GACTTAGAAACAATATTTACAAAAATATTCTTATTATCTAGAAGTTTATTTAATATATGGATAAGATAATACAGATTATTATTACCAGTTATTAAAGATTAGCCAGAAGATAAACGTTACTGGAATAGAATCTTAATATAATAAACCATATCTATATATTTATTTTAAAGAAGATAAAGATTATTAAAAATATAATAAACTTTCTTAGCTTGTGTGTTATATAAACACATGCTTAATATACCATGATTAAAAGTATATTACTAACTATTAATCTAAGATACTGGAAGTAATTAAAATAAAGATAAGCTACTGTTTATATTCTATCTTTAATTACATGTATAAAGAATACTAGTAATATTTTTATTATAAATTAATATATTAATTAGCATATTTTAATAATCAGTATATAATATATTATATAATAAAAATAAAAGACTTAAGATTTCTAAGAAGATATTTACAGTAGTTAGAACCTAACTAGCCAGAACAGTAATTAATAGTTACTAAGTTAAGACTATATCTGAAGATTCAAGCAATCATATTAAATTAATTAATCTAAATATTAATAAATTCTAGAATAACTAGGAACTTTATAAACCTGTAATTTATATAATAGCTTAAAATACTTAGATAATAGAAAGCAGAATCTGAATTAATTATAGAACTAAATAAAGAGAATTTAGAAACTCTTATATTAACAGTTAAGTCAGAAACTATATCTATAACTATAAAGAAATACTATAAGTATATAGACTTCAATGTGACACTTTTAAGATAGTATAATATTATATTAAAAATTCTATAATTCAGGAATCATAACCTACAGATTAATTAAAAGAATAAGAGTCTTTAATTCATGAATTATGATTATCTAAGATAACACTAGTAAGAACTAGGTATAAGATCTGGATCTGTATAGCCCGCTATATAGTAAGAAGCTAAAACAAGGACTAAATAATCTATTATAGAAAGATTAAGATTATTATAAAAGCCTAACATACCAAATATTAGAGATAACTTAAAGAAAAATAATATCTTAAGTATAGTTATATAAGTAATAACAGTAATTAAGCTATTATAGAGAGATTGGCTTATAAAATTATCAGAATAGATACTAACAATAATAAAAAAGTATTAAGAGTATAGTATTAATAATACTAATATAAAGATTAAGATAACTGTTCAAAAGATAGAAGATTCATGGGAACTTCTAGCTATAGTTAAAAGTAATATACAGATCTTATTATAATATAAAAGATTTAAGAATTTATTCAAGCAGCTAGAGTAACCTGAATTATCTCAGCATAGAAAGTATGACCATACTATTTCTATAAAGAAAAAAAGGTTACTAATATATAGAAAGATTTATTCAATATCTAAGAAGAAATTATAGATATTATAAAAATATATTAATAATTAATTAGTTAAAGATAATATCAGATCTTCAAAATCACTAACAGAATATAAAGTCTTATTTATACTGAAAAAGAACAGCAGTTTACAGTTATATATGAATTATTAATTATTAAATATTATTATAATTAAGGATTAATACCTGTTATCTTTGATTTCAGAAATCTAAGACAAGATATAAGGAATAAAGTAATTTATTAAGCTTAATATTATAAATATATATTATCATATATATATTATAAAAGGTAAAGAATAGAAAACTATATTTAAAATAAAATACAGATATTTCAAGTATTTAATTATATTATTTAGACTAACTAACACACTAGCATCATTTTAGCAATATATTAACAAGATTCTTAGAAAATATCTTGACAGATTTATAATTACTTATTTAGATAATATATTAATCTTCTCAAAGACTGAGAAAAAATATATAAGATATGTAAGACTAGTTCTATATAAATTATATTTATATTAGTTATAATATAAGTTAAAAAAGTATAAATTCTATATATAGAAAACAGAGTTTCTAGAATATTAGATATTTATAAAGAGAATTTATATAAAGTAAGCTAAAGTATAAGCTATATAGGATTAATCTTAATCTAGAAATTTGAAAGAACTACAGCAGTTTATCAGATTAATTAACTACTATTAATAATTTATAGATAAATATACTATCTATATAACACCACTCTTCAAGCTTATAAAGAAGTTAAAGAAGTATCAGTAGAAAGAACTATAGTAGAATATGTTTAAAGATATCAAGCAGTAACTTATTATATTATTAGTATTTATACAGTATAATCTAGATAAAGAAATAACTATTAAGACTGATATATTAGATTATATTGTTAATATATATATAACATAATCTAAAGAAGATAAAAAGCTGAGATTAATTATATTTTACTTAAGAAAGTTGATTTAAGCAGAACTCAACTATAATATCTATAATAAGAAATTACTAGCTATAGTAATAATATTCAAGCAATGGAGGGTCTATCTTAAAGAAGTAAAATATATTATTATTATAAAGATAAACTATAAGAATTTAACTTACTTTATAATAATTAAAGAATTGACCAGAAGGCAGGCATGATAGGCTGAGATTCTGTTATAATATGATTTCAGAATTATATATTATAAGAAAGCAGAAAATAAATATATAGATATACTGAGCTGCAGGCCAGACTATGAATTAAGTAAAAAAGTTATTAAACTAGCTATTCTGAAGCGGAACACGGATAAGTTGATTAGTTATAATAAAGCTAACTTAGCAATAATATTAGAGATAGATAATAACTTAATCAGATAATTAATTAACAGTATAAAAAATAATAAAATACTTTAAAAGATGAGCAAGGACTCACCAGACAAGATCACTATCAATAAAAATAGATTAATCTATTTTTATGGATTAATCTTTATACTAACTATAATAAGAATAAAGATTATGGCTAAGTATTATGATAAATTACTTAAGGATTACTTAAAAGTGGAAAAGACTATCGAATTAATCACAAGGAATTACTATATTCTGAATCTCAGATAAAAGATATATAATTATATTAGATAATATAAGACTTATATTAAAAACAAGCCTGTAAGATACTAACCTTATAAATAAATATAAGTATAGAAGGTACTACAGTAACTATAAGAATAAATAATAATTAACTTTATTAGTTTACTATCTGAATCAGAAGAATATAATACTATTATAATTATCACTAATCATCTTATTAAATATATCTATCTTATATTAAGTAAGATAATAATAATAATAATAATACAGATAGTAAAACTATTTTTAAAAAATATTATTATATATTATAGAATGCCAAAGTATATTATATTAGATTAAGATAAGCTATTTATCTTGAAGTTCTGGAGATTACTTACAGATCTTATAAAAATTAAAGAATAAATAATAATGGCTTACCACCTGCAGATAAATGAGTAAATAAAAAAAGTTAACTAGATAATTAAGCAATATCTGAAGCACTATATAAACTACTAGTAAGATAATTAAGTAAATCTATTATTAATAATATAATTCTTATATAACAATGTTAGTTACTTGATTATTAGAGTCTTATTATTTTATATTAATTACGGTTATCATTCCAGATTTTTAGAAACACTATTAGAAAAGTAGTAAGTTATTAATATAGTTAAGAATATTATTATATTCACAGGAAACATGCATTTCCAGTTATTCTGAGATATTAAGTTTATGAACTTGTATAGTAAGATATATTATAATCATAAATATAGAAAGAAACCTAATCTAAAGAGAAGGAAGAAAGTGTTCTTACTCTATAAAAATATCAAGATAAAATAATTAAATCAGAAGCTTGACTATTACAAGCTAGGACTATTTATTATTAAAGATAAGAAGAGACTAGTTAACTACAGGTTAAGATTATTAAAATCAATGAGTAAAATTCATCCAGTGTTTTACATCTTATTATTAGAACCCATATTAAAGAATGCTAGAATCACAGAAAATATAGAGATTAATAATAATATAAAGAAAAAATATAAAGTTAAAAAGATCTTAGACTATAAAAGGATTAGCAGCAGATCATAATATCTAGTAAAATAAGAAGAATATAATATCTCAGAAAACATATAGAAATCTATTAAGAATTTAACAGGCTGTTACCAGCTTATAAAGTAGTATTATTAATAGACAGGTCAAAGTTCGCCCAGAAGGAAGGGAAATTAATTAACTGAGTCAGACTAGGATTATCTAACACAGTGACAAGTTAAGTAGTATTATGTTTATCAGCCAGATACTTCAGCTCCTAGAGATCCTTAGTGCTTGGAGGATCCTTCTTATCTAACTACTCTAATACAGTCAAGTCATGATTCAACATCCGCTTACCACGATCTTTTAGAAACTGCTGTTACTTAAATAAATGAGTCATCTTGGCAGCAATACAGGCCTGTTTAGCAAGAATCTCAGTAAGTTTATTTTATATATCTAATTAATTGTATTTTAACTTATTCTATTTCTTATCACTGTAAAATCATTTTTCATATTTATAATCATGATAAGTATAGACAGTATAATTTCAGCTCTTTAAATCTATAATATAAGAAATGCCTCTCAGAAAATAATATTTATAAAAATTCTTAATAATGAAGCTGTTATCACAGATCTTGTTAGACTGATGAATATGTTTCTTCATCCAATCATGATTAGTATAATAACAAGATATGATGGCTCATCATAAAAAAAAGAGAAATTAAGAAAACTTAACCAACACAGGAGAAACATGTATCTTTATGTTTCTTGAGAATAAGAAATCTTGAAGAAGGAGAAGTGATGTTACAGACCCCTGCTAGCCAGGTTACTAGCGGAGCAGACTCGTCAGGCAGAAAGTAATGATCAGGCAGGACTCGGGCAACCAGTAACTCTTATTAAGTAGAATCCCGGTCAGAGTAATGTCCGAGACAGCGCTGTGTTACGTGATCATTTATCATCAGATCTACCATTGAGAGTATATGATATAATATACAGGATCTAGAAACGTGATTAGATTGATCCTTGATCTATCCTGAATAGTATACGAAATAGTATATAAAGAATAGGATATAAGAACACTCTTTCATGTACTTAGTTAGTTCTGTTCTTCGTGCTCAATCCAATTATCTTTAAATAACCATATGTTTTGGTAAAAGCTTAGTGACAATACTTGTCCGTACTTACTTACGGATAGCTGCATGGCACTATCTGGCCTTACTTCTCTTCTCTTGTTCAGGACCAGTCATCTTTAGATAGTTATCAGCCTGACTTACCTTGATTCAGTTCAAAGGTACGTATTGGAACGGGAGCTAAGCTAACAGGAACAGGGAGAAGCGATCCTAGGGTTTGACACTGTACTTAAATTACCTATACTATTACTTAAAACTAAAAGTCCTTTTTCTAAACCGTAAGGTCCTAATAATTCAACAGAACCTTTATCTAAACTCTTAGAAGTTTGACCACCTAATTTTAGAACACCTTCTACAATATATTTATTATAGAATAATTCAATATAGAATCTTTGACTAAAGAAACTAAAGATATTATAACCAAATCTAGAGAATTTAAAATTCATAAGTAATTTAGGTAAGGATTCAGATAATAATACAGAAAGTATACTTAATGAAACAGTAAATACAAAAGGTAATAATTTAAATAATGTAGGTACAGCAAATTCAGTATCAATACATCATACAAGCGGGAATTTCGCCATCTTGTTCTCAAATGCCGCCCTTGGCTGAATGGTGAACTTTGGTCCTCACTTCCTTCACGGGTTGACTGAGGCCGCACTTTTTAACACCACGTTGTCAGTAGGTTTGGTGGCAAATTACGATATATACAGAGCTATGTAAAGATGCAACAATGTGCCATTTTCATGATTTGCCTTTAATTCTTTGCTAGCAAAAAACGGTTGGCCGTCGACGATATTGACATAGTAGCCTAGAGCGCCCAGGTGCATCTTGAGTACTAGACGAGCCACGATGGTATTTGAACCGGTGCATGCTATATAGTATGGTATACGGGCTATGGTTCTACATCGGTGGTGTTAGAAAGACTGCGTATGTGTTCAGGCAAATGCACCAACGAATGCCATCAGCAAAGCGCCCCCTGCAACTGCCATACAGGCTTCAATGCGCCTTTGACCCCTAAGTGTCGCATAGCTTGTTTCACTTAGAAAGTCCTCTGCAAGAAGTTCGACAAGCCCCGCGAATAGCAACAGCCCGCTGCTAATGGCGTTAGTAATTCCGACCATAAGTAGACCAGTGGTGCTGGTTGGGTCATATAGATTATGCAGCAAAAGACCCATGGCTTGCCCTATGGGGGTAGTAGTTCCATACGCGAGGGCCATAAGCCATGGCCTGAATGATGATGGAGGGAAGAGATCCGGGATGAGAGACGCGATCCGGGATCCGAGAGCGAAGCCTTCGAAGGTTTGATGAAAGCAGATAGCCACAAGAAGGACAATAAAAGGCGTTCCTGTGGCCACACTGAGGGCCATTCCGATAAAAATGCTGTGAAATAGAATTCCAGCCTCGAGCAACAGACACTGGAGCAACAGGCGTTGTGGATTCTGCCTGGACGAGTCGATATCTGTCCCTTGATGTACAGCAGCATGAGACCGATGACCACCAGAACGCCAGGACTGGTCACGACGCCCTTTTTGTATATTGATGGAAGCACTTTCATATGGATCTGACTCTCCATACTCCATGTCGCGACCTTCCGTGGACACGGCTAAATCCGTATTCTTCGGCCTAGAGCATTCACCAGCTGACGTTCTTTCAAGTGGTCCGGAAGGCTGTGAAGGAGTATGCTCTTCGATGCTATCAAGGTGGATATCTTCGCCCACTCCGTCTCTGAAGTTGATTTCTTCATCCTGATCGTCACTTGCAGAATCAGCGCCAACATCACCGATCAATTGGTCATATTCACTCCCATGCACATGGCCTGCTCCTTTCAAGGCGAAAAACATCTCGACTAGTACGACAACGAACACAGAGATCATAGCCACAAAGCCGGCCATGGCACGGTAGGTTTGGCTCCAGAACCGAGGAAGGCAAGGGTCGGTCAATGAGACGAATGCGGTAGGGAGTAGATGGACAAAGGCCGTGGCAATCAGTACTCCTGTCCCAAAGTGCCTGGACAGGAAAAGGAACCGGCGCGGAATCGGTAGGCGCGGAAATCGACGAGCAAGGACGGGAAACGAGCATGCTGATATGACACAGGTTAACCGTCAGTTACTGAGGGGGCGCCAGAGGGGAACAGCAATGTACCTAGGGTACTCAACACGAGGATAAGGAATAGCGCGAAGACATGTACTGGGGTGTTGTAGGCACCCCGTTCCCTTGAACCGCAGGTCGTGGTATCATCGTTCGAACGCTGGGTGCTACTTCGCCGGGAAAGTTCCGCCCGTAGAATGGCATCAGGGACTTTGTAGATTAATGAGATGATGTGTTCTGAGTGTATACCATTGTGTCAGCAGCGGAGAAATTGCTTTAGAAAGCGGAAGTAGTGATGGAATGAATCCCCTCCTAAAGTGAACAGGAAGAACATATACAGTCGTATCCGTCATACAGGATGTGCCTCGAACACTTACCAGAACTACTGGTGTCATACCGGTCCAGCCTGTGAGGTTCGTCCATTCTCGTCTATTTCTCATATAACAATGCACTCTCGCCACATCCATGACCCGAAGATAAATCCTGGGCGCCTTGGCCGGCTCACGAATGATTCAGGAGCAGTCTAGACCAGGTCAGTTGTGAAATATTTCGCATTAAAGTGTTGGCGGCTGAGGGGCCCGCTCACAATGTTTGTAACACCGTAATCTATTGCATCAAGCAGTTTTCAATCGTGGAATGCAGCTTCTATGCCCAAATGAAAGAAGGCATTGCAAGCCCTAGGAGACTTTGCAGGTAAGCCGGACACGCGGCTCATTCGGAGAGATAATCTTATCAATCAGTTGAAACATCCTTGCTTAGCTAAGTAGCGTATCTAACTACGAGATCTGATATATCTGATGAAGTACTTGTGAGTTGTATCGCAATCTGACATGGTCGATTGGGAACTGCTCAGCACGCTCCAGAAAAAACCATTGAATTTTTTTACAGGTGTACAAATTCTAATTTTTGACGTACTATGAGGCGCTTTGTAGGTAGTCATCCAAACCCCAACAACGACAACAAAATGAGCTCACCAACACTGAAGGTATGGATGTATAACTGTATGCCTACGGGCACAGGTATCCAATTCTGGAAATCTTGATCTTGAAAATGCCCGACGAACGAGGTCTAGCAGTTCGTCCGCCGTTTTCTACCTGTTTCTCAGCTTTGTCCAGCCGCTCGTTCCCTTCAATCGAGTGGGTCCGCAAGGTCCACTCAAGGTGTCCGCACCGAGAACTGTACCATCCACATTATCCCCAGTGTGTCTCCGTTGGTGAGGCAAGCCAGCGGTGACAGACAGCTGTCCAAGTGTTGCTGATTGACTTGGCTCCTGGCTTGTATCGTCCCAGTCCCCCTCCAGCAACTCCCATTCTGCGCTGGCCATTTCTCCCAACAAAGTTGACTTTAATTTGTCCACAACCCTGGTTGGAGTTGGAAGTTTCCAAGTGCGCGTAAATTCCACGCCCTCAGCGGCACCCAAAAAAGAATGTGCAGTGCCGTGTGAATAATGCCCCAGCATCGGGAATGACATTGTGCGTTGGATAGTAGTCCTTGGTGAGTCCCTTGATATTCTCATCTTCGTCTGTAAGTCACGTCCAGCAAAAGCTCTTGATAGAGTTGACGGCTGCGCAGGAGGTGCCACAAGTAGTTGCCACATATTCTTTCCAACGTTACAAACTTCTTCCCAAGAATCTGACATTATGTTTATACCCTGGGTTCGACACAGCCACGACACATTCCAAGCCAGTAATGTTACCCCTTCAAGAAATAACGCATATGTTCCAGGGTCCTCCCGAGCCAATTTCGGAAGCGCCCTGTCGATGGAGAGGGGCCGAGGCCGGGGGGGACGGGGCGAGCCTATTCTGGGTTCTGGCGGTACAGAATGTGGAAATGGTGGTTCCCTTGAAGGATATGATGCGGAGGGTGCAGATATAGTTGATGTAGGATGGTCTTTATGAGGAAGTGTGATTTCCGCTGGAAGTTTGAGAGACAGATAATGTGACACAAGGACAAGAAGGTGCGCAACATAAAAAAAAGAGGTCGATATACAAGCCGGTGTAGCACCTGTTTTCGACAATTAATAATTGTATGTGAAAAAACAATGGTAGATTGTGACTTTCCATTCATGTCTCTCAGGTCGATGATATCTACACCACCTATTGTGTATGTCTCTTGGAGTGCGCCATCCTTGTTCTTTGTCTTTCGCTGAAGCCTGTAAAGATTGGCGGCTTCTCGGCAGAGGAATATTCGGGCCTCTGCAGTCTTGCTATGAAGAGAATGCCAGAGATGATCCGCCCTCTTGGTATTGTTCTGTATGCTAGCTAGTATTGTAGTCTCCCGCTCACCAAGTTGATACTGCGCAGATTCAGAATCCGAGTTTTGCCGCGCCAATGCGAGTCTGCGTTGGGAAATATCGAGTCTTTTGTCATTTATCTCAGAGATTAGGCTTTCGATCCGATCCGAGACTGACCTCATCCTTGCGGACGACTCAGCTTCTTCCTTGGCAATGCTTTGGAGAGTCCACTTTGTAGAAGATCCAACCTCGCAAGCGACGATATTCCCATCATGTTCACATGACGGTTCTGCTTGCGCTGTGCCAAGTGTCGCGGTAGCTTCGATTTTTTCAGCGATAGATTGTTTTTCGAGCAGAATTCTGGCGTTTTCGATACGCAACTGATACAGCTGATTGCGGGCACAGGTAGGGCAGAAAAAACGTATTCGCGAAGCTGGAGCGCGAAAACATGCGTGACAGCTCATCTCAGGAAGACTTTTCTTACTCTCAGTTGAACGATGCCGCCGTAGCTCATAGTCCCATGGCCTTGGACTTCCGGTGATGGGTTACCAACTTGACTGCCTGGCTCCGAGCATGTACGTTGTTTGAACAGGTCATGAGAAAAATAACCCCTCATGACTTATCCGGCTCAGTTGGCGACATAAGACGTCGCGTGGTGAGTGGTAACTGGTTTGATGGCCTATCTCAAGCTAACCGAGGGGAAACCGTCGTTTGCGATTACGTCACCTGATTGTTGTATTGGGATATACAATGCATTTGCCTGAGGCATTAATGAGTTATATACCTAACTAGTCCTCACACTGCTCTCTAGGTAGAATTGCAGCTAATGAGCTGGTATCTGCTGTAGGCAAGCGTGTTTGAGTTAGCTCTCGAAACTAGCGACTGTTTTATCTTCTTCTAGCTGCTGTGATGTTGTTAAACCCGCAGCCTTTTAACATGAGCGGCACGATCTCAAGGCGGGTAATCAAGACAAGCATATTGGTAGGGAACGATCGCAGCCATCGATATTATACTATTTCAGGGAACATAGTTGAATTACTAAGTGATAACGCAATAGAGGCCAGCGACTACTAGCATTTTCCGACCTAGCTCATCTGTAGGAGTGAAAGGACGCTTGGAGTAGAGACTGTGCCCAATCACCTGACCGATCACCTTTTCCTTCTAAAAGCTCCGATGCTAGGAGTATCTAAGTTCGTAACTGGCGCGCTTCCATCGTATCACATAACGAGGTAAGTCAGCAAGACACCAGCAGCTTTATAATCATACTAATTCTTGACAGAGTTTCCCTGGTGAGCGTCAAATGTGGGCAGGATTGGGTGACATATCCATATACAGCCCCATTAACTTCTTATCGCCTCTGCCCCAGTCAATAGCTGATCCCCTGACAGAAAAAATTGCAAACAATCACCATGGCTTCTTTAAGCAAAGACCACCGAGGGACTGATACCTCTGGTGATGAACAGTGTCAGGTAGAGCTTCCCACGAAGGGTCTGAAAAGCCCACAGGATACTTCTCAATCTTCCGGGAGTCTCAGATATCATGATTGGGATCAGCTCCAAGAAGAATATATTGATTCCATGGAAAAGCATGAGCGAGCTGAACAGGAGCTACGCGGCCATGTCTCCCAACTGCTAGAGGTGCCTCGCGATAATCCCTGATTATGCGGTTATCATCTAATGGCTGTTGTCTAGATCTTTATGGCTTGGTCTGAGACCACTATTACGCGTGATGAACTTAGAGCACTCAAAAGGTTCGTCCTTCCTGGTTCGGCAGTCCTGAGATATAGTAGATGACATCGTGGTAGATTCAAAACACAAATGCAACACGTCCAAACATCTGAAGAGAGTCTAGAGCTGAAACGTAGACACTGTACGCAAAACCAACATCATACTCTCTCTGACACATGCACTTTTACTAACAGCAGATCAGATGTAGATGTGGTGAAGGCATTCGAGAGTGCCCTTGCGCTGTTAAACGACCGCATAAATTCCTGATGCTGGCTGGGCGCGAATACTTGAGGATTGGGCTCTCCCTTTCTATACCGTATTCCATACTGAGCCTGAAAATGGATGTATACCAAGCACCTAATGGAATCTCAATGTTTGGTATAGAAATTAGCGCAGTGATTATTGTTCCAGACATAGACTTGGCTGACACGAATTGGAAACCAGTTGAGATGGGTTAAATACTAGGATGTCCAAGAAACCTACTCCCCCGCACCCCCCTAACTATTCACTGCTGCTGTGTCAGTTGGCATCGACGTATCTCCCAGAATTTGCCAAGAGCCTTTCCTCCTCAGCCTCCTCGGCCTCCTGGTCAAGCAGACGTTGATCGAGTTTCGGATGGCGGACGAGAGAGGTAATAAAGATAAGCAAGTAGATGACTGGTCAATATAATCTATATTAACGATTGACTACATATTATAGGAACGAAGCGGTCCTACTTACCAAGGAAGACAAACTGGGACCAGAAGAATACCATACCGAAGAACGGATAGCTAATTGTCACGCGGTTGAGGAACCTGCTGGTGACGCTGGATGTGCAGACTTGCTTGGCAGCCACATTATTAGTTGAGTCCGAGCATGGCTTGACAAGATGCCTGTTATTCAAACAATCTAGCTGCTTTCCGAGCGGACTAGGGGAGCGATCGCAGAATGTCTGTGGCCCAAAAGTTGCGTATTGCGGTGCTATAAACATCGGAATCGAATAATCCAAGGCTAGTATAGCTAAAATCAACATGGCAGTTGTCAACAAGAGTGCTTGTGGGGACGTATGCCCCTGTCTGATTCGAAATATTCTAACCCAGAGGAAGCGAATTCCGATGGTACTTATTCCGACAACTGAACTGCCAAACAGAAGTAAGACTAATATCGCGAAGATGACGTAGTCAACCGGAAATACTTTAGCGGATTGAACAAAGGCCCAGTTGAGAGGGTTGAAACCACTTATATGGCCGAGAACGTATCCGCAACGTTGTTTGCAAAGCGAATTATTGGCTTTGTCGATTGCTGTCAGGAGCATTGATATCCATATCATGAGCGCAATCAGTAAAAGGGCGATACCACCGAGAAGCTTGAATGGACGAAAGAAAGCCGTGACTACCAGCCAGGTCCTCATCAAGCGGCTTTTAACTTCACCGTGAGTTTCTTGTGCCAAGCGCTGCCGTCGAATAAGTGTCCTTTCATCCCGAATGAGAGTATCTAGCTCTCTACGCTCATTTGAGGAGAGGAGACCGGGGTCACCTCGACAGCGACCTTCCAACTGGCGCTGACGCTCTTGGTTGGATTCGAGTTGTGCAGCTGTCGTCGCTTTCCAATCCGAGATAGACGGAGCTACCCGTATCATCCTCATGGGGAGAAGGGCAAGACCAGTGGAGGTATATAGAACATAAAGAAACAGGCCCAATGTTATCAGTAATCCAAGGGTAAATGTGAGAACCCTCTCGCCACCTAGATTGAGGCCAGTTAGCATTAGAGCCAAATAACACCAGTACCTTCGAGCAAGTAATATTGGTGATAACAGTTGGCCAGATTTGAAGGAGGGAGGAAGGCGGAGGGCTTACGATTCTCAGCCAACAGCTTCCTGAGATAGCCTGGATCCTTGCTGTCCTTAGCAGTTGGAACGGGAACAAGAAAGCCAACGATGAAAAGCACAATCACTATCGCGATAAACGAGAGGGTGTACTTGAACGCGGCCCAGAGTCGTTTCGGAGCAGATTGCTCGCCCGCTTCTATGGCCGCCTCATCATACTCTTCGTACCAAAAGTACACAAAGGGAATTGCTAGAAGGCACAGAAAGGCGTCAAGGGAATATAGGAGATAGTACACAACGGTCAATAAGGAAACAATCTTATCTACTTCCTCCTGGGTGGCCCAGGCTTTCCTCTGGCCAAGCGCGGGGAATGTTGTAGAGGAGATTAGAGCAACATCCACGGGCAGCAAAAGAACAGTGGCAAGCAGGCTTGTGATCGCAATGATACAGGTAAAGGTCACGGCTGACGAGCGATCTCGAGGCGTCTGATAGGTATAGATAAAGACTGAGGCTATAGTTACCAGCACAGCTACCACAATCGCATATACCGCCCATATAAGAGATGTTTGTAAAGGGGCCATTTTTGGTGAGGGGTGAGAAGAGAGGTTGGGTCCTACACAAGGCGAAGAACAGCACGTCAGGAATGATTTAAGTGTATGTACCGTCAAGATTCCAGATCGAGTAAACCTTTCACATGAGTAGGAATGAAGGACGAGATTAGCCCGATTCTGATTTAGCATTCATACCGGGCGTTATTAGGTTGTAGGGACTTAAGAAATAGATACTAGTCCGATGTCACAAAAAGTCCACATATCTTACGTCATCGCCTCTCTGGCTCCAGCGGATCATCACGTGCCATATCGAACTCTACTCCATCCCGCCCACCTCCATTTCTATCCCAGTTGGGAATGCTATGAAGCTTAAGGTCATCATAATTTTCCCCATCTTCCCAGTTACAACACCCTTACCGCTTTCCTTCTGCGAAGCCTTTCATTCATCACGTCTTTCATTTTTCTGGCAATGCTGCCTTCCGCGCAGAGCAGTTGAGTAAATTGGGTTTGACGGGGAGAGCTAGACTCAAGCAAAGCATCTGTGGGCTTTCCAGACTCAGGATGCAGTGCTATACTGAGCTGATGGCCCCAACTGGGGTCACTCAGACATTGGCAGTCCCCTTCCTTGCGGCAACAGCCAACAATTTGATTGTCGTTAGAACATCTCTGCTTCAGATATATACCCTGCATAAAGTTACCTCTCAAGCCGAAGGAACCGAAGCACAGCAGGAAACGACGAAGCTTCTCCTGGAAAAAGAATATTCTCTCTCTGGGACAGTAACTGGTCTATGTCGGGTCAGAGTTCTGAACAGCAAGAGCGGCGGGGAGGCTGTTCTTCTTGCTTTTCGGAATGCCAAACTTAGCCTGATTGAATGGGATCCGGAGCGTCGGGGCATCTCCACCATATCTATCCATTTTTATGAGCGAGATGATCTGACCCGTAGTCCGTGGGTTCCTGACTTGAAGAATTGTGGCAGCATCCTCAGTGTGGACCCAAGCAGTAGATGTGCGATCTTCAATTTTGGAATTCGGAATCTCGCCATTATCCCTTTCCATCAACCAGGAGATGACTTGGTGATGGATGATTACGAGTCAGACCTCGGAGAGGGAAGATTAGCGGATCATGACGGTGTCCATAAGGCCAAAGAGGGCATTACGTATCAGACTCCATATGCACCGTCATTTGTTTTGCCCTTGACAGCATTGGACCCTTCCATACTTCACCCGATAAGCCTCGCGTTTCTATATGAATATAGGGAGCCAACCTTTGGCATATTATATTCACAAGTTGCAACATCAACTGCTCTTCTACCCGAAAGGAAAGACGTCATCTTTTATACCGTGTTTACGCTAGACCTGGAGCAGCGAGCTTCTACGACATTGCTCTCAGTGTCGAGGCTGCCCAGCGACCTCTTTAGGGTGGTGGCCCTTCCACCTCCCGTCGGCGGTGCTCTGTTAATTGGCTCCAATGAACTGGTGCATGTTGACCAGGCAGGCAAGACCAATGCGGTTGGAGTTAATGAATTTTCCAGACAGGTTTCATCATTTTCCATGACTGATCAGTCCAATTTGGCCCTGCGCCTTGAGAATTGTATCATCGAATGTCTCGGGGACAGCAGTGGAGACCTGCTCCTGGTACTTTCTACCGGAGATATGGCCATTGTGAGGTTCAAATTAGATGGGAGGTCAGTCTCTGGAATCTCGGTTCACTTGTTGCCGGCCCACACGGGCGTTACTTCAATGGATTCCGCGGCAATAGCTTCAACCTTTATCAGTGATGGAATGATCTTTCTTGGCAGCGAATATGGCGATTCGGTGCTTTTAGGCTGCTCCTACTCATCTTCGAGCACGAAAAAGCACCGTGTACAGACGAGGAAAGCTACGGATGACCCGGCGGATATCTCGGAAGACGATCAAAGTGAAGGTGATGCTTATGAAGATGATCTTTATTCTACGTCCCCAGAGGCAACGGTTAATGGCCGCCGTTCGTCGGTAGAATCAGCCGCACTCGGATTGTATGATTTCCGAATTCACGATAGACTTATCAACATTGGCCCTTTGAGGGACATAACACTGGGCAGGAGACCATCTGCGAGTCACGGAGTGGGAGGCGATCGTACCAGTGGTACCTCTCCGGAGCTGCAGATAGTAGCTTCCCAAGGTTCTGACAGAAGTGGTGGGCTGGCAGTAATGACCCGTGAGGTTGATCCCCATGTTGTCGCCTCTATAACAATCGAGTCAGCCGACTGTCTCTGGACAGCCTCTTTGGCTCAGGAGGGAAAAGCTGTATCTGAAACCACCGAGGAGATGGGGCAGCAACCACAGCAACCACGATGCTATGTGATCGCATCGAAAGCCAAAGGTTCAGATAAAGAGGAGTCTCTCGTCTTTGTAGTGGATGGTTATGACCTCAAACCTTTCAGAGCTCCCGATTTCAACCCCAACGAGGATGTTACCATTGACATCGGGACGCAGGCAAACAGAAAACGCGTGGTCCAAGTTTTGAAGAATGAAATACGGAGTTATGACAGTGGTTAGTTCCCATCCTGAGCTGCTGGGGGACTGACTTGTGTTAACGGAACAGACCTGGGATTGGCCCAAATCTATCCGATATGGGACGATGACACCAACGATGAGAGGATGGCTGTTAGTGCCAGTTTGGCCGATCCCTCCCTTGCTATTCTACGAGACGATTTCACGCTATTGCTCCTTCAAGCGGATGGCAGTGGGGATCTCGATGAAGTAGAGCTTTCCGAGGACATAGCATCTGGAAAATGGTCATCCTGCTGCTTGTACAGAGACAAAACCGGGGTTTTCTCTTCGATCGACCCATCACCAAATGAATCGGTTGGGGGCGATATGTTCCTATTCTTACTAAGTCACGATTGCAAGTTTTTTGTGAGCTCTAAAGCCCCGTGAGAAGAAGGAGTTCCGCTCTGGTTTCCTATTTGCATTCCCTTCATTGCCTATGTTACTTACGAATTGACCAGGTTTATCGCCTCCGCGACCAAAAACTGATCTCAGTAATCGAAAGAATTGATGGCCTGTCGCCCCTGTTGTCTAGCGAGCCACCAAAGCGGTCTGGTGCACGTGAGAGCTTGATAGAGGCCATCGTTGCTGATCTTGGAGATGCATGGAGTGCTTCGCCTTATTTAATTGTAAGTTGCCATGCTATTGGTCTCCAGCCAGGCTTGAGGTGCTGATGGAGACGTATGATAGCTGCGATCCGAGAACGATGACCTGATAATCTACAAGCCGTTCTTGGTTTTTGACGGTCCAGGGAGAGGTGTTCCTCGCCTAAGGTTCTCCAAAGAGACCAACAATGCTCTGCCAAAGATCTCTCCTGGTGTCAGATCAAAGCAGTCGAATACAGCAGAGCACAGATTCAAGCCATTGCGAGTACTGTCCGATATCTCGGGGCTCAGCACAGTTTTTATGCCTGGTGCTTCGGCAGGCTTCGTTCTCAGGACATCTGCCAGTGCGCCGCACTTTCTGCCCTTAAGGGGGGAGGCTACCCGGAGCTTGAGCAGTTTGGATACCCTTGGATGCAGTAAGGGATTTATTCATCTGGATTCACAGGTACGTAAATTTGGGCAATATTGAGAAGGCATGCTAAAATACGATACAGAATACTGCTCGCTTCTGCCAATTGCCCCCCAAAGCACGATATGACTATCGGTGGACGCTTCAAAAGGTGCCTCTAGGAGAACAAGTTGACCGCTTAGCTTACTCTGCCACGTCGGGAATGTACGTACTGGGAACGTGTCATGCAACAGATTTTAGATTACCTGAGGATGACGAATTGCACCCTGAATGGCGCAACGAAGGTTTGTTTTCTACCTATCTTTCTGAAAACCATGCTGAGGCCATCTAGCTGTTTCATTTTTGCCATCGGGGCGTGGAAGCTTTATAAAACTCATCAGCCCCAAAACGTGGTCTATTGTTGACAGGTACGATGTCATCATCTACTGTGACGGGCTGGGGCATGTCTAACTATGCATTCTATAGCTATTCACTTGATGCAGACGAGTACGTCATGGCTGTCAAGAACATGAGTCTCGAAGTATCCGAAAATACACATGAGCGCAAGGATATGGTCGTTGTGGGGACAGCCTTTGCCCGGGGTGAAGACATACCTTCACGCGGCTGCATATATGTGTTCGAGGTCGTGAAGGTGGTTCCGAATCCTGATGACCCTGAGACAGACCGTAAATTAAAGCTCATTGGCAAGGAATCCGTGAAGGGCGCCGTGACCGCGCTATCCGAAATTGGTGGCCAGGGATTTGTTCTAGTTGCACAAGGGCAAAAATGCATGGTCAGAGGTCTCAAAGAGGATGGTAGCCTTCTTCCTGTTGCTTTCATGGACATGCAATGTTATGTCAGCGTGGCAAAGGAGCTCAAAGGCACTGGGATGTGCATTCTCGGCGATGCTGTGAAGGGGATCTGGTTTGCAGGCTATTCGGTATCGTCCTTACACCCCCAACCATGAGGCCAGCATAATCGTGCCAGGCTGACGATATTCACCTTACAGGAGGAGCCATACAAAATGAGCCTTTTCGCCAAGGACCTAGATTACCTCGAAGTGTCTGCCGCCGAATTTCTTCCAGATGGCAAAAGGCTGTTCATTGTTGTGGCTGATAGCGATTGCAATATTCACATATTGCAGTATGATCCCGAGGGTAAGTCCACAAGACCAGAGAAATTCATCGGTAACACTAATAATTGTAAAAAGATCCTAAATCCTCGAACGGTGACCGGTTGCTAAGCCGCAGTAAATTCCATACGGGGAATTTCGCCTCAACATTGACCCTTTTGCCACGTACCATGGTCTCTTCTGAGAGGATCATATCTGATTCGGACGAAATGGACCTAGACAGCCAAAGCCCTTTCTACCAAGCCCTGATGACAACACAAAATGGTTCACTTGGTTTGATTACGTGCATCCCCGAAGAATCCTACCGAAGATTATCCGCTTTACAGTCCCAACTGACAAATACATTGGAACACCCGTGTGGCCTTAATCCTCGGGCTTTTCGGGCTGTGGAGAGCGATGGCACAGCTGGGAGGGGCATGCTTGATGGGAATCTTTTGTTCAAGTGGATAGATATGAGCAAACAACGCAAAACGGAGATAGCGGGACGGGTAGGTGCACATGAATGGGAGATTAAGGCCGATCTGGAGGTTATTAGTGGGGAAGGTCTTGGCTATCTCTGAACATCAACCCGTGGAGTTTTAGATAACTGTACCGACGGTCAAGAAGAATCGCTTGAAAAGAACTTGCAGTCTTGGGATAGCTCATTGTAACGAAACCGGTCGCATGTTATTCGGGAGTCATTGTATGACGGACTGGCTCCGCGATAGTCGCATTCGTTCAACGATGATAATTAGTACATCTTTGTATTTCCTCACATGAGCCAGAACGGTGTATATGAACGCAGGCGCAGCACATCTCCAGACGGACAGATCAAGTCAATGTGTGAAAGCAAATTTTGGTACATGAACGTTCCAGACGGCCAGCCGAGTATTAATCTTCCTTCAGTCGGGCCCGTAGCCGGCGAAGGTAATCACCAGAAAGAACCTCACGTCAGATATATGCAATCGGAGAGAAAAAAGAAAGGGGGAGGGGGTTGCAAAAACAAAGATGAGGCAAAATGTAGGAAAGATGAAAAAGTCAAAATGGGAATCACGCCCGGAAAAGGCAGAGACCAAAACCCGCTTCCTATCCTTGACTCCATCACGCCGCGTCCCATCTCCGTAATACGTAGCGCTCGTTTACATAGCCGTACATTCCGATATTCAAAAAGAGACGAGAAGAAATTGGAAAGGAAATGTGGGGACAAGAAAGGGGGATGTGGGTGAGGTGACGGTGAGGATGCCCCCGCCAAATGCGGGTCCCCGGGGATTATGTCCAGCCTGCCGGGAAGGGTTGGGTGTATGTGGCCGAGAGGGGGAAAGGCGAGGGAAGCATCATGCGCAAGATAGGCGATCGGCGGAGAAACAAACCGAGGTGTTGCTGGAGTCTAGGGAACCCGCTCTAAGACTTTCTGCACGCGTATTAGATCATTGTCTGCGGCCTATCGCGTTTCCCCCATCTCAGAAGACATCTTCTGCGGTAAAATACCGTTTGCTGCGTCCGCGCGCAGTGACAAATTTCACTTCGGGCAGGGTGGTATGATGCACTACGTGCGGTCGATATACGGCGTCGACGGGTGCTTGCCAATCATCCAGGCCTAAGGGGAAATACTCGTATAGTAGATCGGCACTCTCATTTGGAAATGGAAGCGTTGAAGCGAAGGGCTGCTGCATGTTGGTGGTATTCAGTAACGGTAACGAGGAAGTGCTTCGCGATTGTGTTTCAGGTAAGCCATGAGACAACTTGCGCATTTTGGTTGGCGGTGCGGAGCTTTCCATGCTCAGGATTTTGTGCGACATGTCATTTGTATACGAAGCTGACCGAACAGGATCAGCCGGGTTGATCGATTCTCTACCATCATCATCTTCGAGAAGAGATAAATTGATGGGAGCGGCAACCGCGGCTGGGTGTCGCTGGACTTCTGCCGGCCGTGAAAATTCTGGACTAGACTGGGAATATACGGTCGAGTGAGGCAAAGTCGTAGAGGGAAGCGTACCCCCAACGGGAGGGGGGATCTGTGTCCAATCTGGGGAAGCTTGTTGTGTAGCCACACCACCTTGGGAAACGGACGTCTCCGGGGAGCTACTCTTCACTGTGACTTTGGCCTTGGCTGGTGTTAGGCTAGAATGCGGCGCGGAGTCGCTGGTTGGAGTCCGGTTGACAGTGGCCGACTGAGCAACTTGCGCACTTTTCCGCGATGCAGCAGCGCTGCCACTCAAAGGCAGGTCCTTGCGGGACTGAAAGTTGCGGGGGCTCCGTCCCCGGACTATTACGGGTCCCGACTGTACCTCACAGATTGGTATCTTAGCTCCAGTAGACAACGTAGCCACAACCTTCAAGCGAATGAGGAAGTGCTGCTGGAGCTCTTTTCGGCGTCCGTTATTGGCAGTAGCAACGCGGAATTGAAGCCGCTTCCATGCGATAGGGAAGGTAGCGTAGTCGGTGTCGAGGTCCTGTCCAGCCATAATATCCAACGGAATCGGAGGGGGCTCTTTTTCAACTTTTATACTAGTCGCGCTGTTGGTGTTGCCGCCGCTCCCGCTACTGACATTGTTCCCATCCTCAGCCGCAGGGTTTATATTCGCGGCGGGAGTTTTCCAAGGAACCGAGATGATCTTGACCGGATTACCTTCGACAGACTCGGTGGCAGACACGGTGAGTTCTTGGGCCAGAATAGGGATCCGATCGCCTTGCTCCGTCATTATGTACCGCAAGCTTCGTGGGAGGGTGACTGAGCCTGTAATCTGGAACAGATTCCGGCGGTAGCACGTCAGCTCCGCTCCTTGTTGAGGCGGGGCATTCTCCGTAGGGGACGTGGTCCAAGGTGACTCCGCGAGAAAAAACATGCCGTGTAGCTGAGCCGAGAGTGATATTGAGGTGCGACGTAGTGAGTAGTCAAGCAGCGTGAACCCGTACGCAGGCATTGAGAAGCTCAACAGTTTATTGTTGTGATCGATAGACGAGTCGGGAGGCTGCTCTGGCGGCGCAGGTTCGAACGGGGCGACTATGTCCGTGAACGGGTCTTCATAACCGGAAGGAAACCGTTTCAACGATGCTGGAGGTAAAGCGTGCTGGGGAAAAGAGATATCGTCACCACTAGCCCGGTGTTATGTCAGACGTGATCAACGATCAGCAGTGGGACAACTCCATGCAACTCACCTAACAAATGTTTCGGAGTCAAAATTGGAACGTTGGTCTGGAAGATCCATGCCGGACATTGAATTGAGGTAATCGGTGCTTTGTATGTTGCTGAGCGACAGCGGGCTGGCCAGGTAAGGCATAGCCATAGTGTCAAAGCCCTCCATGGCGGGGGGCTAGACACGAGCGGTGCAAGACAACCGAGAGAGTTTAGATGATGGTTCTTCAAATAGCAAGAAGAGGGAAGACAGACACCTGGATAAGTGAACAAGGAGGAATGGGGAGATAAGAACTGAATGGAAAGCCGAAGGAGAAGAAAATGGACCAGGATGAATCGGTTCCGGCGAAGATGGGGAGTGTGGTCGCAACGAGCGCGGAGGACGCGGGAGGAACTAGAGAGGGGAGTACATGGATTGGGAGAGGGGAAAGTTCCGCCCAATCAGAGGAAACGAACCGGAGATGACTGACCAGCGTGGGGAGCAAGGTCAAGAATAGTACTTAGTCGGGTGAGTGAAAAGGAGCCGGAAAGTATCAGGGAGGGCAAGTGAAGCAGCGGTAGTTGTAGTAGTTGTAGGAAGTAGGAAGTAGGAGTAGTAAGTGGATAGTAGTACCGTACAGAGTACTAGTTGTAGTGGTAGTGATAGATAGCAGGAGCAAGCAGCAACCGCCGCCTTGAGTGGATCGGATTCGCCCGAAGTCAGTGCATGGAGAGCTGCTCTGGTTGGTGGAGACGGAGTGATTCCTCAAGGAAAGGAGTGTCTAAACTCCAAACAATCACTGAGACGGTACACTAGACAAGATCCGGAGCGAGCCTAGTATGGACTACCATGGTAGTAAGGTGGGTGGATATGGATTAAAGAGCCTGAGAGGAGATAAGAGGAGGCCAGGCAGACGGACCCGGCGATGGGGCCGCAGCAAGAGCCAGCAACTAGCAATAGAGGGTCGGATGGTGGAGAAGGAGCGCGCGCGCACGACAGAGAGTAATGAAAGAGAAAGTAGAGAAGGGAGGGAAAGAGGGAGGGAGGAGGGGAAGCCGGGAGGGGAGTGAGGAGCGACCTGAGGAAAGGGCGACCGACCGACCGACCGATTGAGGCCAGACGGTTCTCTCCCTGGATTGAGTCTAGCTTGAAGGAATTACTAAGGTACCAACGAATGAAAGGCCCCCGTTAACTGTGGACAAGAGCTCAACGGATGTGGATCACGCCCTCAGTTCGGTAGCCCATCACATCCATTTGCGGAGAGGCAACCTGACGGAACTGAATCAAGAAGACTCCGACCGGAGACGGAGATCCTGCAACTGCAAGGCTGCAGATGGGGTTCAGGGTTGGGAAGCCAGAAACCCGAAAATACATCCTCCCTAACCATAAGTTGAACCTTCTTTTCTTTCTGATTCTTTTTGGATTTTTCTAGTTTCCATGTCCTTCCTTCCTTTCTTGCCATTTTCTATAATTGGTGGCATTGCCTATTTTGGTCTTCAATCTTAACTCACCGTTTTCGAGCAGGGGAATTAAAGAAGAACCTGCCGGCGGAAACAAGGAAAAAAGATTATACTCTAATGTCCGCAACAGAATCAGACAATAAGAACATAATTCCGAGGTAACAAGGACTAACTTTCAGACGTGTCTACTGATTTTGTGAGAAATCTATATCTGGTCTACACGATCTTGGAGGCTTGTACATACCTAAAATACTACGGTAAATTCCTTACCCTCCACAGAAAGTATTGATTGATAGATGGATACCTACATGATCACCTCACTATATACTATGTACTATGTACGATGTTAGTCAATCTAGAATACTAGAGGTCCTGCCGGATTAGGAAATGCTCGTCCAGTACTAAGCCCTAGGTAGTTGCGTGCAGCCATTCAGTCCATAAAGCGATATACTACTAAGTAGTAGTAGGTAGTCAGTACGGAGTAGCTGGTAGCAAGACCCACCAAAACCCGGGGTACACCTGGACGGTTCCAATGTCAGAACAGGACCGGGCTGCTGTTTTCGGATGATCTAGGTGCTTACCGAGGTCCAGAGCTAGGCTAAGCTTGAGGAAGTGTCCAAATACATATAGTAATAACAATAACAACAATAATATGAAAGATAAAAATGAAAACAAAAATCAGGATCGATATGGAATGAAATTGAAATCAACGTGGTCTCGTTTCAGATCAGGCCCAAACTTGGCCGGTTAGCATCGGCCGAAAGAAACAGTTGTCTATGTCGTCAAAAGACAAGGTGGATTCACCTTGCAAATAGATCTAATGATACTAAGGTCTAGCATAAGAGAAATTGCAAGGACCCAATGGTCTCCAATCACCTATTCTTGTTGAGTGAGTAGCCAGCCACCTGCCGCCGGCTCAATCCCATTCCTACCTCTTCAGGGTTGGTATATACTTAGTTGAACAGCCTACCTGATTGTATCGGTTAATCTACTCTCTGCGTATCAACTATATCTTTTGACCATAGTCTTATATTAAGGAAGGAACATCGGGGTCTCGAGGACGCCTGACACGTAACGGTCTACAGTGAGGATGGTGATCATATGGGCATAACGCCAATATTAACGTCTCTGATTGAAGAGTGACCGATGGAGAGATGGATATCTGACTGACATGAAGTGTAAATAGTTAGTTGCATCTTCTATTACACTCTCTTTCATCAATCGCTAACTCATCGGCTTCTTATCCATTGAATGACCGCGAAGACGTAGAAGCTTCTAGGCCCGAAGCTCACATAGCAGCTGTTTTGTAATCTCATTCATATAACTACATAGTAACTATTGGCGCTTACAAATCACCATTGTTTCCTACTCTGCTTCTTCGCATATTTTCTTGACTGCTCACCCAAGGCAGTATTCATCAAGTTGTTCGTACGGAATCAGTGAAGTGATTGGCTATTACTCGTCGCGCTGCCAACCCACACTTTCAGGGTTGGGTCGGCCACAGCTCGATGAATCCCCTCGGCTCAATGAATCGGTCACTTTTGTATATGATTCCCATATAAAACATATTTTCAGAAAATCTTTAATAACTCAACCACTATAGTCCGGAGCCTTGATATTTTGATATAGAAATATAGCTAGAATCTTAAACTTATATATACTAAAATATTTTTAACATTAAATCCTGAATTCCAATTCATATTAGCAAAAAGCTAAAAAGTAGTCTATATATCAAGCACGAAATCAAGTATTTCTATAATCTGATATAGTTTTCTAATTTTTTTTTATATTTAGTAGTAAATAATATAAATATAAAATCTATATCAAAATTTGAAAACTACAGCTCTTGTAATGGTTGAGTTATTTAAGATTTTCTAAAAGTATCTTTTATATGGGAATCACATATAAAAGTGACCGATTCATTGAGCCGAGGGGATTCGTCGAGCTGTGGCCGACCCAACCCTGAAAGGGTGGGTTGGCGGCGCGACGAGTAGTTGGATATGCAGTATTTGCTTACAGATCATCATCGAGTACGGGTTACTCTGTACTATGACTAGAGTTTCTCCGCATGCGGCCAACTACCTTACCACCATCATCAGGGTCTACCTGCCTCCTGGACGAATGCATCCAGGTACTTGAGATACTTGCCTAGGCACAGACTGTTTCTCAGCTGAGAGGTGGGGCCACGCCGTCATCCTTTCTTTGCCCTAGTCTATCTCCTTCTAGGTTAGACATGCAGTGGGCCATGGCAGTGGTGGCCATCATCGGGGGAAGGGGAGGGGCCATGAGTCTGCTAGTAAAGATGATTGGCTCTGATTGAAGGGTATGTCTCAGTCGCTGGGACGAAGCCGGATTTGCCGCGCCTGAAGGTTGGTCCGCATTTTGCCGCTTTCAAACTGGGGCCGAAGCTGCCCCCCGTGTCTATACTCTATCTAGATACTTGTAGTAATAATCGCGGTTTAATTTAACCTAACCGGAAGGGGTTAGTCGAAATTGATCTAGTATGCAGCTAACTCTTGATTAGGCTCGGGGTGCCAGTTTGACTGTTCGACTAAGTATTCCGTATTAATATATCTTATATGATTGGTTGTACAAGGAACTTGTGGGTTCTTGCAAGTTGCAACAAGAAGAAGACCGCACCAGTGAATCTACAATCTCTGATTCGGGAACACTGAGGATGCAGCATCATCGCCCGGGATGTGCCTGTACATATCCATCTTGAATAGGAATAAATTATGAGCGCGTGATCTATTCAAGGACTACGTGGAGTGTATAAATAGGGCGCGGAAACTCTTCAGACTAGCAAGTGCCCTGAGACGTACAGTGCTTTTGACTGAATCATGCTGTATAACATAGGGACTATACCGAGCCCTGGAAGCCAGAATGTGATCAACGCCGTTCCTTTTCTCTGGGGACCTGAGGGCTGAACGACAGTGTGGCAGGATCACAAGCCAGTCCGTGGGCACGACTGGGAAGTCAATTTCCTCTCAGGAGCCTTGGCACCAGCCTTACACCGGCCAGTTTATCTACTGGATCTAGACTTTGCATCTAGCTGGAAGTCTCAGCATCTTGTGCTGATGGGCAACGCCCTTGGATACTGGCTGCTGCCAGGATATTCGTGCTTGTCACCTACCCAGGGTTATACCGATGGAGAGGGTGTTCATTTTAACGGTACACTGTCGTCACTTGAACTTCGTCTGAAGCTATAAGTAGACAGGACTGCGAACGGAAAGTAAACGGGAAGGAACTACTGGCCCCTAACCACCGCAACCGGGGGAAACAGGACGGGGGAGGGGTGCCAACTGCCAACCAATCCAAGCTGATGGGATCCTCTCCGCTCCATGATGCGTGGGGCTAGGTACTAAATAAGTCACACGCCATCGAGAATGTGCAAATGGGTCGCCCTCCCCTCCCCTGGGTCCTCCTCAAGACTTACCTAGGAGATACTAGGTAAGATTTAGTACCTTGACGGCCACCCACCCAATCCCCGGACATCTCATTTCTGTTGGCCGGACCAAGCTTGGCCCCGAAATCTGAAAGCAGCGGCGCGGACTCGATCAACCGTCCTTCCTTCCCCTCTTCCCTGTCCAAATTTCCCTTTAACGCCCAAAACTCTCTCTCCCCTTGCCCCCTCTTTCCCTCTCTTTCCTACCTCTGATCGGATATCGACGGTAACGAATAGCGCGGATCCCGGTAGCTCACTGCTCTCCCTAACCGGGTGGTGTGGCCTTGACTCCGTCGATTTCCCATCCCATGAAGAGTGCAGGAGGTTTAAAAGAAACCGATGCACTGACTAACTGACTCGGGCTAAGAGCCCTTCCTTCCCTGAAGAGCCTGGAACTGGCTATAAGCGCGCCAACCGGTCCCAGGCTTGGCACATCCTAACGTTTTCAACATTGATGCCAACGCTTCGCAAAATCCTCTGGGCCAGCTATCCACTGCAAGATAATTCCCGTACAGGCACTACTGCATGGACCATGCTAACATAGATCGGCGTTTTCGAGAGGCATGCCTCTTTGGCTACTGCTCGGGGCAGCATCCGCTCCGGTGCTCACCGAAGTATCCGTACCCGGTTTAACCCTACACCGCAGTGGCGGCTCGCCTCACTCATACCTAGTCAGTCACATAGTCAAACCCAGCTTAAATTGGCTTGACAACACCACCAAAGGAGGTGTCTAGAAAGAGCAGAAAGAAAGGGGTAAGTTTCCCCAAACAGAGCTCGGAAATGAGGTAAAAAGATAAGTCATGAGAGAAAGATGCAACTATATAGTGGATGTAATATGTACGATGCCGAAAAGCACAGCAGGATCAGATACAGGAAGGGGACATTATATGAATCGAATATGGAGGGTAGAATGAAGATGAGCCTGGTACAAAAGATCGGGATAGGTCAAGACGAAGACATCATGGTCCATGACGCCGCATCGCAATTGACCTCCTCGAAGCTATGCAGGGTACTGAAGCCCAGTCCCGACAAACAGTCGAGATTACTATCGCCGTCGACCTAGACCCAACATGTTAATACGACACGCCTCGCCGCATACAGGCGAAGGAATGGTAACTCACACAATCCATTATTACAGCCTGGGCGCCGTTCTTACGGACTTGTTTGATTCCCAGCAAGACCAATCCCTGCATGACCGTGGCGTACTCACCAACCGAAGGGGAAATGACCGGAGAAGAGATGCCCCCCGCTTGGACCTGCGTGGATTTCAACGCGGGCAGATATTCTGCCAATGTCGCTCGGCTGTTGTATATGACTACACTCCCCAAAATAGCCCCATCACCAGGCCGTATGGCCCGAATGATTCCACAATGAGGTGCTCCTCCTAGGGCTACCCTGTAGATGTCTATCACGCCTTGTCTGGAATTGGTTTTAACATGGTCAAGGATGGAATCAGCGTAATCCCACCCGTAAACGAGGTCGTAAGCCACGTCCGCGTTCTGAAGCCCATGGATCAATCCGTCGGGCGGCGTCCAACTGGACAGATTGCGCAGCACCACGCTGCAAACGGGCCGTGAAAGGGCGGTGTTCCAGCCCAGGTTTGCAAACCATTGTCGCAGCCTCTTCCGCTCTACGGGATTGGCCGATGGAATGCCCAGGTAAATCCCTGGTAGTCGAGATCCAAGCTGGAATCGTTTCATCCCCTTTTGCTGGAGAAGGGTTCGAATGGCGCGGTTGTGGAGTGAATTCCCAATCGACAACTTTCGCCTCGCAGGATGGACGATCAGGGATCCAATGACTCCAGTACCCGTGGATCGAAAAAAGTATGTGGAACAAAACCCATATAGTGCTCGTGTGCTGCTGTTTCGAACGACAAAATGCGCTTCGTCAATTTCCTCCCGCCGCAGCAGGAAGCCACTCGACGTTACACCTAACAGCTCGGAACGTTGTCCCTGAGCGCAATCCCCTCTAACCGCATCCAAAAGACAATCCAGAGAATGTGCGTCCCTTTCCTCATTCCAATTCTCCACCAGCCAGTGCTGTCTCGCTTGGTGAAGCTTCTGGCTGCGGCTAATAGAACCTGGCAGTGAGCCGATGGGGTTGAGCTCCCCGTAAAGCACTTTAACCAGGGCCTCCAGAGCGGTCTCAGTAAAATCGTAAGTACAAATATATGTTCCAATAGACGGGTCCATGGCGAAGTCATATGGAGAACTGGCAGCGACAACAACCAGGGGCTTCTCGCGAGCTTCACCGGCTGGGGTAAATTGTGATCTACAGATCATGGAAACATGTTTCGTAAACCCATGCTGATACAGATTTCTGTTAGCATCTGCGGTAACAATAATGACTGCACTGGCCCGGTCAATGAGATTTTCGTGGATTGGGCGGACACCATTAGAAGTGTACGATGTGTGTAAGACACGGCCACTCCTCTGCCGCGATAGAGACCTTCCGAGCTCCTTGAACACACTTTCGCCACCTAGCACTGAAGCTGTTCGATCCCACGATTTTGGATCGAGAGACACGTTCGAGTGCTCACTCACTGAGCGGGATACGGCGGAAGCGGGCAGCGGTTTAACCAACGGAGTCAACAGGAGCAACTCTTCGCTTGACTCCAGGATGTTGGACAATGGCAGTAAGTTCTTTTTATCCCGCACAACTGAGATGGACCCGTTGTATGCCCTCGTGGAGAGGTTAGTATGAGACGGTTGCATCTGTGTCAGCGAAGAAAGGCCGGGAGGATTGAGGGCCTGCTCCCAGGAGGTACATTTGGTTTTTAGGTCGAGGACCCTGCGTAATGATTGCTCTATGCGTGTTCGACCGATGATACCGTTCTCAACGCCGAGCTTCAGGCCATTGATTGCCTCTTGCTGCACCTGGAAAGATCGGCACAAGAGTATGATGTCACAGCCCGCATTCTTTGCCATCACCGTTCCGCCGCCGACTCCAATATTGTGTGTGAGGGCCTCCATCTCCAGGCATTCTGAAACGACCACGCCTTTGAATTTCAAGTCCTTCCGTAGCAGGTCGTCAACAACATGCTCACTGAGACAGGCATGCATGACGTTAACTCCCGCGGAGGACATTGAAACGCCTCCTACCATCATGGAATCTAACCCATGGACGATGGCATTGCGGAAAGGCACTAACGCAGTCAGACTGAGCTGTTCCAGTGACTCCGTGATGATAGGCACGTCGGTCTGAGACCCAAGAAACTCCAAGTTACCATATGAAGGGAAATGCTTGCCACACGTCACCAAGCCTGCTTTCTGATAGCCCTTCATAAACTCGACGCCATATTGGGATACCTCTTGCGGGTCATCGCCAGTGGTGCGGACGCCCAAAGGCTGAGTCCTCACGTTTGTCAGCACGTCTAAGACAGGGCCAAGGATCCAGTTGACCCCGACGGCCTTGAGCTCCTGAGCCGTAGCCATTGCGACTTCATGCGCCAGGGCTTTTGAACCCGTCGCAGCAATACCCATGGCGCTAGGATACTGTCGGATGTATATCTCATCATATAGGCTGTTCACGCCCCCATTTTCTTGATCTAGGGCGATGAGTAGAGGCACCGGATGGCCAGCATCCTGGGCAATGGTTTGGAGCTCAAGGACCAGTCGCATTGCATCTTCCGCAGCTAGACATGGGTTAGTGGTTTGGTTTCCAGAATGACTGGAGACGTGACTGCAACGCAACTCTCAGGATAGGAATACGGAGCGACAGAAGGTAAGGTGCGGTGGTACATTTTAAGTTTTTGGCAGAGAGTAGAACTGAGCCTAGATGATAGTTTTCGATCAGAGAGCGGATCTGAGGGCTGACCGAAGTTCCGTCGAAGCCCATCATAAATAGCTGCCCCATCTGCCTGTCGGGGACGACATGGCAGCCTAACTGTCAGTCATGATCGATGGATGGATGATTCATAGGTGGCGGGAGGGAAGAGGAAGAGGAAGAGGAAGAGGAGGAGGAGGAGGAGGAGGAGGAAGAGGAGAGAGAAAGGCAGTGGTTAGTGGAGGAAGGTGTGGAAATTGGCAGGAAGCAGGAATAAGCCACGAAGGGTAACTTCCAAGGTGGCTAATAAATATAACATTGACGGCGAGGGTAATGGAAGGGCCCAGGAATAACCGCCAAGGCTACACTCCTACCTGTCTAGATCTTCCCAGCCAGGCGGCAGCATGTCCTCTTTGGGGGCCATGAGGGCCCGGCGTGGGAAGGAATGTCGCGGGTGCAATGGGAAAAGGCGGAGGAGGGATTTGGGTTAATGTAGGAGTAGTAGGAGGTAGGTACGGAACGGAACGCAGCACGGATCGGTTAGAGTCGAGTCAGGAGTCAGAAGGGATTGAGACAATAAGGCAATCGTTTGCAACCGTCCAGGAAAAAGTGGGCGGACACGCGCCGGGACCGGCAGATGAGACCACGCTACGGAGTACCCTGGTTAGTAGCTTGCCAGCTTCATGGATCAGATAAAGTCGGGCGGATCGGGAGGGGGACGGTACTAACCAGTAACTACCGACTCGGGACTAGATAGGCTGAGCATAATAGTACTAGTAGCAATCGCGTTTCCCCTCTCCTTCATTCAACAACAGTCGTGATAGCAAATGATAAGACAGGCGAGTTACACAACAACTGGGTGAGATTGGAGAAGCCCGGGGATCTCCTATCAGTGCGAACAGGACCTAATGAGTCATCACCCTATAGATTTTAGGCAGACTGCAGGACTTGGAGTGTGAATGATTGAATCGTTCAAGGTCTATCTACTATCTAGGTTCTCGAGGAAACATCTTGGCAATGGAATGATAGGGATGTTCAACTTCAACCCTCTAGTGGAAGAAAGATCTTCCAGCAGACGACCGAGTAACAAATCACGTGACGTATCTGTTATACCGTCTTTATACCATACCAAAACCGTGACGGGTAAATGAAGATTCCGGTATGATACGTAATGTACGGGGAGGGCGCATGGCACCGGTATGTTTGTACAAAACCTTACCAGGTGGTCATGGGCGAATGACTCCATCCTGATACAGGAGTCAGAAAGGGAACCTGGAGGGTTGCATGGGTCCGTGACACACAGGGCTGTTTCCCCGGTTTGCCGCGATGCCCGAATGCAACGGCAGCGCCCGTCACCAGATACTGACGAATCGAGTCCAACGGAAGCGCTGGGACGCTGCCCCGTCGGGTTAGACGCCCCCTCGGTCACTCCGTCTTTTATCAGTGCTGGTATCATCAGGATGATACTATCTAGAAGCACGGTCACCTGTCTCGGCGTTGTCCCCTTGGCAAGCTTGATCGAGCATCTTCCCAGCCGATTCGCCCCATGCCACCCCCTTCTGCAACATCACGTTGTTCTTGCTGATGATACCATTCGCGACAATACCTTTTCTGCCTTTTCTTCCCCGGCTAACCCGTTCAGGTTCTTTTTTACCTTCCTCGTCTCTGATTGGCGGCCTTGAAGGCCTTGAAGGATGAATGATGCATTACAACTTACAGTACTTAGTACTTCCCTTCGGTTCTTGAAGGACAGTAGCACCTCAAGGACAACAGAACGCTGCGTCAAAGAACAGTTATTACTTGGCACCAAGCAGTAGCACTAGATACCGGTGAATACTAATGGTAGTAGTAGGCTCACACATTCCTTCCATGACCTAGTTACTGATCTAGTATATAGGTATATACCTGGAGCACCATAGCAGCGATGTCGTCATCAGCCTGCGTTGACTCGATGCAGATCCCTTGTAAGATTGTAAAGGTACTAAGAAGAATTGGAGGGAGGCGGGGGGGGGGGTGCGCTCATCCATCATCACTAGATACTGATAAGACTAATTGATTAGTACTACTCGTATCTACAACTGCAATGAAAGAAGGTCCGGCAGTCCACTGCATGTATCATCCTGTCACACTCCACCCGGCCGATCGATCCAGACTTAAGTACGGGCTGTACTGTAACAGAGCCATGGTTGGCATGGAGCAGCCGGATCTAACAATCATTATTAACTTCCTGCCCAGAGCTGCTCAATTAATTTTCCTTCTCCTGTCCTTTCTTTTTTAGACCTCAAAACCAACTCCCCTCTCTAACCCCCTCTCATCTTTCACTTTTCACTCCTCACTTTCCCTTTCACATTCACACACGTGCCCCCTCGTGAGAAACCTCCACGGTCTTCTGGGTCTCCATCGGTATACCTCGTCTTATCGTCCTTTGATTTTACCAGTGACGTAGTGGTCTCTTCCCCCCTCTGCCGCCACCATGTATGGCGCCCGTTCTTGAGAACTTATTCTGACATCTGCATAAATTTCAACTGACCATTTTTTGTAGGAGAGTGATCATCCGAGAGACTAATTCCGAAGCTTCGGAATACATTGCGGATTATATCATCAGTATGTTTCTGTTAAATAGTCCTCCGTACTCTAGATTCATCATTCTTGCACATATCCCCATGCCACTTGTAGACATGGGTTATGTGGCATCGGCTACATGCATCCAGCTACTAACCATGCTTTCACTTCCCGCTAGGTCGCATCAAGTCGTTCAAACCAACGGAAGATCGGCCCTTTGTGTTGGGGCTCCCAACAGGTAGCAGTCCTGAAATTATCTACAAGACTCTTGTGCGCCGGCACAGGAATGGCGAAATCTCATTCAGAAATGTCCTGACGTTCAACATGGTATGCATGCATTGTTTTCTAGAAGTTTTTGGTGGATGAGTGATATGCTAATTCAAACAGGACGAGTACGTTGGCCTGCCTCGTGATCATCCCGAGTCTTACCACAGCTTTATGTATAAGCACTTCTTTTCCCATGTGGATATTCCGCCCCAGAACATCAACATTCTAGACGGAAACGCGCCTGATCTTGCGGCGGAGTGTGCGTCTTTCGAGGCCCGGATTGCTCGTTATGGTGGCATCGAGCTCTTCCTGGGTGGCGTGGGGCCAGATGGGCATATCGCCTTTAACGAACCAGGATCCTCCTTGACTAGTCGCACGCGTGTCAAGACCTTGGCATATGACACGATCTTGGCCAATTCACGGTTCTTCGGAAACAACATGGATCAGGTGCCACGAAGGTCGCTAACCGTGGGTATTCAAACTATCATGGATGCTCGCGAAGTCGTCATCGTGGCTACCGGTGCTCACAAGGCCCTTGCTGTGGAGAAAGGTCTTGAAGGAGGCGTAAACCATATGTGGACGCTATCAGCGCTGCAACTACACCCGTATGCCTTGATCGTCTGCGACCGAGATGCAACCCTGGAGCTCAAGGTCAAAACAGTTCGCTACTTCGAATCTATCGAACAATCCGGTACAGATGCACGTACTCAAGGCCCGCCTCTTGTTTACCGACCCAGGACGTACGTTCCCGCTCCTGTGGGGATTGGCAAATTCAACCAGCCGCAGACTTTGCCCCAAATCGTTCCCCAAAAAGCACCCAAGGACCTCCGAATCAACACGGAGTTTAACCCGTCGATGGAGGATGACGAGCTCACACCGGACAGCATGTCTTCACGGATGGTTGACTCAGCGATTGACGGACTGGATTCGACTCTGAAGGGAGATTTGTTCTTTGACCACATGGGCTCGCGGGTTGTCTCGCATTGACAGAAAGTAATGTGAGAGTGACTTCTGCGACCGCCGAATTTTTACTGGAACTGGGACAGTATCCACTTGGCTTTGACTTGCTGGTAGATGGAACCTGGTGAAGAGGATCGTAGCTTGCCTCGTACGCCGCTGTCATTTGCTTGGAACACATTGGCTTTTCTCCATTGGCATCCGTCTTGCAAATTTATTCCTAGATGTTTTGTTTTTGATATGCACCGGGAATTTTCGCTCTTGAGTGGGTCTCGAAAGATTATAGAAGGGTTGACAAGGCGTTAGTTGCTGAACCAACATAGATTGCCTATGATATAACATCAAAGACAAATAATGCATTATGCCTGGAATGTTTCTGATGAGCGTGCGTGGTACGTATGTTGATGATAAGGAAGGGTCGACTTATGTGATGGATATGAGCCTATAGCTTCCACCCCAAAACTTTTGCCATCCACCTGTGTAATAGTATATATGGTATGTACTATTATTCCCTTCTGTACATCAAGATTGGACAAGGCCCATAAGTATATTGTTTACAGTTTGGCGAAGACGGTGGCAACGGCGCCGTTCATATCCACCAGGGTGCTCTTGTTTTTCACCCAGGCCTCAATGCCTCGGCGTCCATTCTCAACACCTACACCGCTGTTCTTCCATCCACCGACAGCCATTTCGGACGGACTCTCACCCCAGCTGTTGATCCAAGTGATACCCGCCTGCAGCTGGTCGATGATGCGGTGGGCCATATTGATGTCCCTGGTGAAGACGCCCGCAGCCAGTCCAAGCTTGGTGGCGTTTGCCCGCGTAACCGCTTCCTCAACAGTCTCGTAGGAGAGGATGGACATCACCGGACCGAAGATCTCCTCCTTGACAATGCGCATGTCATCTGTGCAGTCCGTGAAGACAGTGGGCCGAACCCAGTACCCATCCTCCAATTCCTTCGGAACCTGCGGCTTACCCAGCCCGCCGTAGAGCAGGGTGGCCTTGTCTGTCTCAATTCCGTGACGGATGTAAGAAGCCACTTTCTCCATATGGACGCCCGAGCTCAGCGGACCAAAGTTGGTAGCGCTGTCGAACAGAGGACCGGGGCGAATGTACTGCATCTTCTCCAGTAGGCGCTTTTCAAAAGCAGTCTTCATAACTGTGGGGACAAAGACTCGGGTACCATTGGTACAGACCTGGCCTGTGCTGTAGAAGTTGGCCATCATGGCTCCATCCACTGCATTGTCCAGCTCGGCGTCAGGAAGAATGATGAGGGGGCTCTTGCCTCCAAGCTCCATCGTCACATACTTCATGTTGCCAGCGGCAGAACCGGCAACTTTCATGCCGGTGGACACCTGGCCCGTGAAGGAAACCTTGGCGATGGTCGGCTGGGCAGTCAAGTATGCACCAACGTCGCCTGCGCCGTACACCACATTGAAAACGCCCGAGGGAAGTCCAGCTTCCTTGTAGATCTCGGCAAGTGTTTGAGCGTGAAGTGGGGTGAATTCACTCGGCTTGTATACCATGGTGTTTCCGGCAGCCAGACAAGGCGCGGATTTCCACAGCGCACTAATTGCAGGCCAGTCAACTTCTGACCCTTCCCAACAGGAGGAAACTTTGAATTCAAAAGGACCTACATTTGGATGGGGTAGTTCCATGCGCCGATGCCTACGCATACCCCCAACGGGGCCTTCTTCGTGTATACCCAAGCGTCCTCCCTCAGCTGGGTAGTCTCACCATTTAGCCCACCGCCTCCAACCAGATTTGCATAATACTCCAGGGAATCGGCTCCCGTGACAACATCGACGGTGCTCGTCTCAGTGTATGCCTTTCCGGAGTCCAACGTCTCGACACGAGCAATCTCGTCATTGCGCTCCCGCAAGAGGCTGGCTGCTTTTTGAAGGATACGGGCACGAGCAATGGGAGAGGTTTGAGACCAAGAGGAGAACGCACGGTCGGCGGCGGCAATAGCCGCATCTATATCAGAGGGTGCGGCGACCTGGATTTCAGCCAGCGGGGTAGCGTTGGAGGGGTTAACGGTCTGAAAGGTCTTGCCGGAAGAGGCAGGCTGAACCTTGCCATCGTAGTAGAGCTGGCGCATGGGGAATGTGAGAGACGACATGGTCGGAGAGAGGGAGATGGAGAGGAAGGGGGTAGGGGATTGATGAGAGAGGAAGATGAAAGGATGAGGAGAGATAACGAGAGGCCAAGGGGACCCGATAGTGAAAAAAGAGGTTTCAGAGTGAATGTACAATTCAGGTACCTCGAACAGCGCACTAAGCCGGAAACAGTACTTCATGTCTACACCGCCAACCCGATGATGTAACCGGTCGGCATTGGAGGCGGAAATTACCAAATCCTAAGTTCCGAAGCACTTAGGCCCTCGATAAGGACCACGAAGGTCGCTGTCGTCGGGAAGATCCATCGATACGATCCTGGATAGACCTCCCGGGCTGAGCTGACCCCGGAAGGCTCCTATCAACTATGGCTCAATGCGGTATCTCTGTGCATCATGGAAGTTATCAACCCCGAGCAGGCAATCCGATCCCGTATTCGCCTCGGCCCTGCATCTCCGATAAATTTAACCGTTGGTTAGCGCCCAGTCCGGCGGGATCGTGGCGTGCCCTAAATATCTAGTGTTTGGATCTCGTGTGGGGAGTCCGCCGTCCAACGGACTTCGGAAGTTGGCCGTTGAGGCGTTGACTCCTTCCTGCTTGCCGTCCATTCTCCGGTGCGACCACCTCCTCAGATATACTACTACCATGTAGGGCTCGACCGTATCGATTCGGCTGTCTTACTTGGGATCCCCCGGGGAAGTTGAATAATAATCTGGGGATGACCAGGTACCTCCATACTCCATAGGTGGTACGTAAAAGTTTTGGGCTTATGCATACCGAATCCGACCAGCGAATAACTTTTAGTCAAACATTTTTTTTCCCGTCTGTTCCGTGATTTTCTTCTTCTGGACCACTAGCCCCATTATATGGCAGCCATTGTTGGACGCGGATTCGATGCGGTGGATATAGGGAGTGGGACCCGTCTCTCTAGTACGGAATGGGCAGATAGATACCGGGCAGAAAAGAGAAGGAGAAAAAAAAGAAAAAGAAAAGAAGAGAAAAGAAAGGAAAGTAAAATAAAGAAAGAATTGAGAAGTGGATAGATGAATGAATAATAATGGATGGCCTGATGGTTCGGCCTCGATGATAGTACCTAGTAAAAGCACCGCACGTCTTATGTATCCTGTAATTTATAATCCCCAGTTTCATCTTTCTCTTCCCTTTCCCTTTTTTTTTTCTTCTTTCTCTCCTCTGTCCGGTCCATTCGGTGTCCATCCGCCATTCCCCTCCGCCTCCTTCCCATTCTTAGTTATCCTTATCTCTTATCCTGTTCATCTTCTTCAATTGTGATCTCCCGTTCTTTCTTTCTCTCTCATCCAAGATGGCCACCACGAACGACTTCCCTGCCAGCGATGTCAACAGCTATGACTATGTCATTGTTGGAGGTGGCACAGCAGGCTGTGTCATTGCCAGCCGATTGGCCGAATACTTACCCAACAAGCGCATTTTGATCATCGAAGGTGGCCCCAGTGACTACATGGACGACCGTGTTCTTAACCTGAGGGAGTGGCTCAACTTGCTCGGCGGCGAGTTGGACTACGACTACCCCACTACTGAACAGCCTATGGGTATGCGAGAGGTCGGGATGGGAATTCCCCTCTTCCCCCGAACGAACGACCCAAGCAATATAGATCGGATGCTAATATTCTCTTGTGCTTTCTAGGTAACAGCCATATCCGTCACTCCCGTGCCAAGGTGTTGGGTGGTTGCTCCAGCCACAACACCCTGATCTCTTTCCGTCCCTTCGAATACGACTGCAAGAGGTGGGAGCAGGCCGGCTGCACTGGCTGGTCCTTCGAGACATTCACCCGCGTCCTTGATAACCTGCGCAACACTATCCAACCCGTTCACGGCCGTCACCGTAATCAGCTGTGCAAGGATTGGGTCCAGGCTTGCTCAAGCGCCATGAACATCCCCATAATCCCCGACTTCAACAAGGAGATCCGTTCCAAGGGTGAACTGACCGAGGGTGTTGGTTTCTTCTCCGTTTCTTACAACCCCGATGACGGCCGTCGCAGCAGCGCTAGTGTCGCTTACATCCACCCTATCCTCCGTGGCGAGGAGAAGCGTCCTAACCTGACGATTCTCACCAACGCCTGGGTGTCCCGCGTCAATATCAGCGGAGACATCGTGACTGGTGTCGATGTGACCCTGCAGTCTGGTGATAAGCATACCCTGCGCGCCAAGAAGGAGACAATTCTGTGCGCTGGCGCCGTCGACACTCCCAGACTGATGATGCTGTCTGGTCTGGGTCCTCGTGAGCAGCTGTCCTCGCTTGGAATCCCCGTCGTGAGGGACATCCCGGGTGTGGGTGAGAACCTTCTTGACCACCCTGAAAGTATCATCATCTGGGAGCTCAACCGCCCTGTGCCCCCCAACCAGACCACCATGGATTCTGATGCCGGTATCTTTCTACGTCGTGAGCTTCCCAATGCTCATGGCTTCGATGGCCGTGCCGCCGACATCATGATGCACTGCTACCAGATCCCTTTCTGCCTCAACACCGAGCGACTGGGATACGACACCCCCGTCGATGCCTTCTGCATGACCCCCAACATTCCTCGCCCCCGCTCTCGCGGCCGAATTTACCTGACCTCGGCCGATCCTAACGTCAAGCCGGCCCTGGACTTCCGTTACTTCACTGACCCGGAGGGCTACGACGCTGCCACTATCGTTGCTGGTCTCAAAGCGGCTCGTGAGATTGCTCAGCAGTCGCCTTTCAAGGAGTGGATCAAGCGAGAGGTTGCCCCCGGTCCCAGCGTGCAGACTGATGAAGAACTTTCGGAGTATGGTCGTCGCGTGGCCCACACTGTCTACCACCCGGCTGGAACAACCAAGATGGGCAACCTGACCCGTGACCCCATGGCCGTCGTCGACCCCAAGCTGAAGGTCCGTGGCCTGAAAAATGTCCGCATCGCAGATGCCGGTGTTTTCCCCGAAATGCCCACTATTAACCCCATGTTGACTGTGTTGGCCATTGGTGAGCGTGCCGCGGAGCTTATTGCGGAAGAGGCTGGATGGAAGCGTGAACAGCCCCGTCTGTGAGCGCTTGCCGATTTCACCGATTTTTCTCCTTGTGTATATCCCTATTTTCGCTTCAAGAAAAAAAAAGTTGGGAGTTGGGTATGAAGCGGCGCATACATGACCCAAGCGAGTGAGGGTTTGCTTCTGGTCTCCAAAGTGAGGGAGGGGCTCCGGCCGACGCATACATGCATCTGCGACGGAGATTGCTTTCTTACATGATTTACGATTCATGATTTAGAGAGAAGGATTGGCAAGAAATTGGGAAGATCTACTCCGCTGGTAGGATTGATATATGGCCTTTTGTATCTTGTTTAGCCTTTTTGAGGTTGGTTTCAGTTGATGTGGCGATTGCTGTATCATCATCTTATCTGCGGATTTCTGGGTGGTTCTTTCCGTTACGATCTGTTTGTATCATAGCGTCTGCGGGTAGCGCAGAAACCACCTGATATACAAAAATACAAATAGACATAGAGATCATCTTTAGAAGATCTGTGGAGCCGACCATATGCAGAATTTCTCATCACCCCAATTTTCAACTCAAGCCAGTTTATCCATCTATCACTGAATTTCTATCCAAGGGGTGCGTCTCTCTCTATTTTAGTCTGCTCATTCAGATAGCAAATATAAGACCACACACATACCCTTCTGTCGCCGAAAGGCGGTGGCGGCGGCAGATATAGAGCAACATCAATTAAAGGAAGAATGGAGGAACGGAAGAGCCAGTCATCCAAGTCTCTAATCCGAAACTAAGTAAGAAGGTTTAGATCCGGGATTCCCACGCCTGCTGGAAATTAGATGTAACGCATAAATGAGGAACGGCTGGAATGATGCATAGCACCTCGCATGTTCAGGCGGCAGCTGCAGCTCCCTTGTCGGCGTCATAGATCTTGACCCCATACTTCCATACTTGTCTTACTTTCAAGGTAGGGCCAGAGAAATGGTGCTCTTCATCATCCAACACAAGCAAGTCTGCATCAGCGCCGCCCTCCAGGGATCCTTTGACACCCTGTAAGCCCAGAAGACGCGCGGGTGTGGCCGAAGCGGCATTGAGGGCCTCCGCCGTCGATGCACCCGACCACCGGCGGAAATTGTTGACGCACTCGATAAGGGTGGCCGAACTACCAGCGATTTTGTCAGACCCCTCGAGGGTCAGCCGCGCACCTGTTTTGATGATGCGCTCTCCATTGGTCCATTCGTAAATGCCGTCCGGAAGGCCGCATAGCTTCATCGCATCAGTGACAAGGATAAGCCCGTCCGGATGAGCGTTATATGCAATTCGGATCGAAGTGGGATGCAAATGAATGCCATCCGCAATGACCCCATAGAATGGGCGGTGGCACTCATTTTGCCCTAGTAGGCCGAAGATGCCCGGGTTCCGGTGGTAAAAGGGTCGCATCGCATTAAAGAGATGAGTGATCATGGTAGCGCCTTGTTGGGTGGCTATGAGGGCTTGCTCGTATGTCGCGTCCGAATGCCCAATAGAGTAAATGATATCCTCCGAGGTAAGTGAGGGTATGTTGGGAAGCATATCACCGACTTCTGGAGCTGCAGTGATCATTCGGACCGATTTCGATGGGCCAGTCAGATTTTCCTTGCCATAACATGCGACAATATCTTCGAAGGTGGAGGCTGCGCGAAGAACCTCCGTCTTGTGTACTCCATTACGACCAGTACTGATGAACGGTCCTTCGACATGAGCACCCAACGACTCGGCGCCATCTTCAGCGTGATGGCTGTCCGCGGATGGACCCAGAGAAGGAAGGACCTTTGGCGTCGAATCAGTCTTTCAATCCAGTTTCTTCTGACCCGGTGGCAAGGGGCCTAGTTTTGGAGACATACCTTCCAGTAGACTTCCGGGGTGGAGCTTACAACAGTCGGGAGGTACGACGTCACCCCTGTCCGCGCAAGGCCCTTGTTGACCGAACGCATGCCCTCATCGTATAGTTCCTTTGAAGGTTGGGGAACAGAAAAGTCGAAGCCCTGGGCACCGTTGAGCTGGACGTCGATGAGGCCGGGAGCAAGGATGCGCCCGCCTAGGTCGATGACCTCATCGGGGGAGAGGTGTAGTCCATAAAATGCTTCCTGATCCTTCAGGATCTTCCCAGAGAATGAATCGACCCAGACATCCTGCTCGACGAGATCAAGTCCCTTGACGATGCGGCAGTTGGTGAACTTGGTGATGCGGGGAGGAGAAGTGGATGTTTTGCCAGGCATGATTAAAACCGAGCAATCATCCAAGACAGTAGAAGAGAAGGCATGGACTGGTGGGGGAAAGAGGGACAAGAAAGATGCGCATTAAGAATGGACATAGGAGGACTCGGGCGCTACAACATAGTCCATGGTGACATCCAACCAGGAACTCGGACTGAGGGGGAAGGGGGCGAGCAGGGGCAGGCAACGTGCTCTACAGGCCATTGTCCGGTGGCTTGGTATTGAATGGATGGGTTCTGACGTTGCCCTTTCCCAGGGTGAGGGCACGATGCCCGGAAGGTGACGTCGATTCATTATCTAGACCAGAAGGGGGTCGGAGAAAGGCGAGAACGAGGTGACATTTTCCCCGGGGAGGTGGGGGATAGTGGATAGTGGATAGTGAAGAGTAAAACCCCTAGTCATCAGTTGAAGGGAGGAATGTTTCCAAGGGGTGGTGCACACTGCCATAGCCCATACCTACACAGTACTGCATAGATCCAGATGAGATCATGCCGCATACCTCCCATCATTTTGCCGCCCGGTTCCATTATTACCAGTCATACCAGCCATACCAGCTCTGACCCGCCTGGTATTTTACCGGGTCGTCCATAATACCATACATACCATCCCAGATACCCTTCTCGTACTGTACTGCCATGGCCTGATGTAGGCAGGCACGCCGACCCCCGGGCGAAGGGTTCTTCTTGCCTTTTCGGGTCAAGCAGTAAGCAGTAACTTTTAGACTATTCAGACAATTATTCCTGAGTCCTGACCTCCCTCCCTCACTACAGTTATCACCTAATTTTACATTCTCAAATAGGTTACTCTTATCTTGGTCCTTCTGCTAGGTAGTACCTAGTACCTACTTCCTTTGTCTCTTCCCCTCTGTTGTTCTCCGCATCCTCTCCATTGGGTCCCTCCCCCCATTCTCGGTTGCTGGCTAGGAGGAAACCCAAGAATACATCGTCGGTACTGTGTAGCGCCCAAAGGTGAAGAGCTGAAGACTAGGTAATGGATGCTACCTCACGACGACCGTACCAGCAAATGACCCAACTCGCCTCCCCGCATTCGGCTAAGCTTCAAACGGCCGATGTCACCGTCGCCTTTTTTTTCCGGGCGATTTGCTAGCCTGTGAATCAGGATTCACGATGGACAGATAACCAGCATGAGGCTGACTGGCCGTCTCTTTGTTGCATTTCTCCTCCGACTCATCATCATCGTCATCATTCGACTTCCCAGGGGCTTGACTTCAAATCATGATTGAACTGATAGCGGACAGGCTCCTATCTATCATATCTGACATGCATTAGAATCACTCGAGATGTCCGTCCGTCCTCTACCCTTCCTTTTCCCCCTTGGTTGTGCTCTGCTATCTCAGTCATCGCTTTGCTCTTTACCCGGCCTCAACAAACGCTTCGATTATATCCTCAACCTGGAGATAAGCAGGCCCCTAACAACCGACTCTACCTGCCTGCCGGTCTTTGGGGTCTCGACCGTGGCCCCTCGTGGTTGTCAGTTGGCTTGCATTGGTGCCTTGCTAGTTCACTTCACTTCTAGGCCTGATCTTCGGTTTTCCCCGATCGGCTCTTCCAAGCTTCATTCCCTCCTCCTCGTCCCCTGCAGCCCTCGATTTGATGTAGTTTTTGCCTTCTCCGCATTTCCATTTCTCTTACTCATCCTTTTTCCTCGTCTATCTTTTTGACTTTTTCTCGCTTGGGGTCAAGTGGATCTAGTCGATTGTTCTCTGCGTCCTCGACTCACCCGGTTCCCGCTAGAGTCGGTTGGGCGGCGATGATTCGTCGGGGTCATTGACTATCTCACCGTCTGACCACGCCGGTACTCACTAGTGAGGTCGTCTTTCTAATTTCTTCTTGCCCCCGGTCACCGGCTCGAGGACCCAGAGATAAGGTACGGCAGTTTTCTTGTCATCCCATTGACTCTCATTATAATTGGGTTTGTGCGTTGCAACACTGGGATGAATCAGCCTGTTGTCTATCTGATGTATTTCGTATCGTGGAGGAGATCCCCGATATCTTTGCTGTTTGTCTCGTCCCTATCGCCGTGGTCTCATTCTCCCTACTCCCACGGTGGTATCCACCAGTTGGTCCCTCACAATCAGCTCACTCCCAGTGGCTCAAGCAGCTGGGAACGAACACCATCAGCTGGATGCTACAATAATTCGTATCCCAGCCGAAGATAAAAATAAGCCTAAACCCTCAGCCTTAATTATAAATCCTTTACCACTCATCACCAGGGCAGCTTAGACCAAGGGTTTTTTGACTTGTCAGCGCCCGTGACCAGTCACTCTTCCGTCTATTTGTTTTCGTTCCCACCCCTTCATTCTTACCCCGGATCATCCAAGACATCCCTGCACTGCCCTGTCCTTCTTCCGCCTTCACTGCCAGCTTTCAGTGCATGAAATAAGTCCCTGCTCCCGGCCAGTGTGTGTGTTACCTGTCCCTACACATTTCGGGTTCCTGGCTCCTCCTTCCTCCTCATTTCCCCGGGGTAGTTCAATTCTTCTCTTCCGTAGTGATACCCTTTGTCCCACTTGTTCCCTCCATTGCCTTCTTCCCTTTTTTTTTCTCTTTTTTTTTTTCTTGCTTTACTCTTACTGTCTCTTAGCTACTCTTTCTTGCTTCTTGGTCGCCTCTGTTCCTTGGATATATCTCGCTACCTTCCGGTGTCTATAGCAGCACATACATGCCATTGGACTCGTCTACATATGCATAACTGCACATTTTGAGAACCCTTGCTGACCTTCCGACAAGTCGCAAACCACCATACCACTCTCCACCGCTGTTGCATTAACACCCACATCTAACCCTGCGGTTGCCAACCAACATCAATGGCCACCTCCACAATGGGGCAGGAAGATCTTCAGCCAGAGAAAGAAGTCCCTGCGGTCACATCAGATCCGGAAGCCGGTCATGATGCCCACCTCACCGGTAAAGCCTGGATGTACAAGCCGATGAAAATTGGTCCGTGGTCGTTGCCATACTTCGCCTCCCCAGAATCCCAGCTCCTGCTGGTCTCCTTCGTGTGTTTCCTCTGCCCTGGCATGTACAATGCAGTCAGCGGCCTAGGTGGCGGTGGTCAGCTGGATCCCACCGATGTCAGTGATGCCAACACGGCTCTATACAGCACCTTCGCCGTAGTGGGCTTTTTCGCAGGTTCCATCGCGAACCGCATTGGTCTCCGCCTGACACTCTCATTCGGTGGCTTCGGCTATTTTCTCTATGTGGCTTCACTTCTGTCATATAACCACAATAAGAATTCCGGCTTCCTGATCTTTGCTGGCGCGCTACTGGGTGTCTGTGGCGGTCTGTTGTGGTGTGCGCAAGGCGCAGTCATGATGAGCTACCCAAATGAAAAGGAAAAGGGCAAGTTCATTGCTATCTTTTGGGTAATCTTCAACCTGGGTGGTGTGATTGGAAGCTTGGTAAGTACCTTCCTTGCGTCAAAGCAATGTTGGGTTTTCTCCTTTGTCCTCATAGCGTTTTAACCTGATCATACAGGTACCTTTGGGCCAAAATCTTCACTCTGAAGCGGGCCAGGTGAATGATGGCACCTACATCGCCTTCATGGTGCTCATGGCTGTTGGCTTTGTTCTTGCCTGGGGCTTGTCAGACTCTAAATATGTCAAACGCAAGGATGGCTCTCATGTCATCGTGATGAAGAACCCAACGTGGAAATCGGAATTCCTGGGCCTATACGACACCATACGCAGCGACTACTACATCATCCTCTTCTTCCCCATGTTCCTGGTGAGCAATTGGTTTACAGCTTATCAGTTCAACAGCGTAAACGGTGCTTATTTCAATATCCGGACGCGGTCCCTCAACAACCTCCTCTACTGGCTCATGCAGATGGTTGGCGCATTCGTGTTCGGCCAAATTTTGGACTTGAAATTCCTTTCCCGCCCAATGCGAGCCAAGCTCGGCCTCTTCCTCCTATTCGTCATCACAATGGGCGTCTGGGGCGGTGGATATGCCTTTCAAAAGACATATACCCGAAAAACAGTCTCAGCAACTACCGACTGGACAACTAGCGGCTATGCCGGACCTATGTTCTTGTACATGTTTTATGGTTTTTACGATGCGGCTTTCCAGACCTGTGCATATTGGTCAGTCATGCTTTTTTTGCCTTTCTCGTCACCTGCTCTAAATGTATGCATTTGACTAACTGGCACGGAGTGTGTAGGTTCATGGGTTCTCTCACCAACAACGCTCGTAAGTTGGCCAACTTTGCCGGCTTCTACAAAGGAATCCAATCTGCTGGTGCGGCTGGCATGTGGCGGTGAGTTCCACGAAACCTCTGCCTCAAGGAACGCGGCATGTGCTAATAAACATGTTGTTTTGCAGAATGGACGCTGTGGGGACCCCTTATATGACCGAATTCGCATCCTGCTGGGGTCTGCTCGCTGGCAGTCTGCTCATCGCATCGCCTGTGGTGTTTTTCAAAATTAAAGAGCATGCTGACGTCGAAGCTGATCTCAACTTTTCTGACGAAACAGCTCAAGAAGTGGGCGTTCCGCTGGAAGATCACCCTTCCGAGAAGAAAGACGAGAAGGTTGTGGCTGTTGCCTGATTGTGACTGGGTACTGTTACACGAATGCTTTCGAACAATACAAAAGCCACGTGGGTTTCGTGTCGGTAATGTATCTTACCTAGGACGTTCTCAGTGACTAGATATGCTCTTTCTTTCTTTCTTTCTTTCTTTCTTTTTTTATTTTTTTGGCCTTTTCGCTGGATATCCAAGATCAGAATGGGTTTGAAGCGTTGGACGAACTTCTAGCTGAGGTAGCTCTATGTAAGCCATCAGTGAGTCACGATTTATTTTAATGGAATAATAAGACATGACATTCTAGTCAATAGGGATTACCATGCCAATATCCCAGCTACTCGATACTTATACATGCCAACGCACAAATATGCAGTCTATGAGTGCTGCGTACCATACTTTCACGCCATGAACATCGATCAAGAGTATGTAGCACAACGTAGACCATCCCGCTAACGGAAGATCTCAGACAAACCTAGTGAATAGTGGCACAAATGGCTCCGTGTGTGTAGCCCTCGAGGTCTCGCTGGTGCAATATCCGGGCCAAACCTGGGTTGTACCCGCTGCAATATCCCACCCGAATATGGTGCGGTTGAGCGGTTGAACAGTTGCAACGCTGCAATAGGTCGGTAGTACGGGACCTCATGACCAGCCTGATAGACACGGGTGAATGAGAAGTTGCCGTACTCTTGGGTTTCACCGTACTCCAGCCCGTCCACCGTCATAGGCCTGTATGCAGCTGTTCGGAACTGCACCGCATGGGTATAGTTGACTGCTAGAGAAATGGCCTGGCCACCAACCCAATTACAGATATAGTCGGCGTTACCGTAGATCCGGGACACGTGGACGGGGAGTCGGAGGATCTCTTCGAGGTCCTCAATGAAGTTTGGCCATACGAAGTCGCCGGTCTGCTGGAATGCATAGTATACTTCGTTGCTGTCTCCCTTGTAATTTCTGTCCGGTCCGATAGCTTTTGAAGATAGTCAACGTATTAGGACGGTGGAGCTGGATCCTACGCCATGGGTGATGAGCAGCGCTCTGTTTGAAAGAGAGGAGTAATCCATGTCTTTGACCAGGTCACTTACTTTGTAGGGGTGCCGGATATCGTACATGCCACGACTGCCGAATTGGTAGTACGGCCCCTCTGTACAAAATCATTTAGCAGAATTCCGTACTACTATGTCCCTATTGGAAATCTGCAGTTTTCACTCACCAACATTGTCCCCGCACATATTAGTAGCTTCTGAGCAAATAGCATGATCAGCTAGTGATGTTCTAGTTGTCACTTTACACAAAGCGACTTGATCCTGACCTCCCATTTGGCATCTCGTTGGCGAACTTCATGTAATTGTAGACTGTCTCATTGATCTAGCAAGCATAAGCATAAAATTGGTTTAGCCCCCGTTTCTCGCAGGTGATAGATAACCCACTGTTTTGATTCCGTCCGTATTGTTGACGACAAAGTCAGGGCAGTGACTTGCCTATAGATTGTTTAAGCGAAATGCATAAAGAATAAAACCTCTGACCGGACGGTAGTTGTGTATATATATATATCTGAATTGCCTCGTAGATGATGCCATTAATAATTCTGAGAGACTTAAACTTGAGTGCAACGCCGTCGACTGTTCCGTTGGTAATCTTTGCATTTTGTTCATGAAAATGATTGAAAAGATTAAGTAATATAATTCTTTCAGACCCATGGAGACGTATACATTGGAAACAACTCACAGCTGGTCCATAGTGCCTTGATCAAGTTAGCAGCAGTATGTATTGACTCCATCTAAAAGCTTCACTCACCCTCCATAACTTTGAGTGCAGAAATATTAGTCTTTGGATTTAATATCCGAGTCAAGCTGCGGTAAGCCACCGAGGAAGCCCTGTCAAAGAATTCAGGGACCCGGCCTCGGTTTTACGGTAGGAGAACCCTTCATGAAACATCAGCAACAAATTACTCTGACTACACCAGGGATTCAATGACCCAGACCCACTCCAAGAGGCTGAGACAAGAAGAGGATATCGGGAAACTCGTTCCAAGTAGAATGCCCTCAAGCGGTCAGTGGGTGGAGTCCGCTGCAAGGATGTTCGACCAGCTGGAACATAGTCCAACACAAGAGTCAGACAAGGGTAGAATGAAAGCCAATCCTATATCTGTCCGACCACTTGTCGCCTTCTGCGTCTGGCAGACTACTATTAACGAAATCCCCAACGGGAGAGATATAGCTCGTGTAGTGTATGCATGTGTCATTCATTTCCTCATGTCGTACTTTTCGACTCTGTATGTACATATTATGGAAACAGTCACCCGTGCAAGGGGAGGAACAGGCAACAGGCGCATCAAGCACATGAACAAGCATCAACCGATCCAAGATTCAAGCCGGTACATCAATAGCCATGAACTAACTCCAAGCGCCCATATCCCTTTCATGCTCCCAGACGGAAAAGAAGCCCAATGCAATGGCATGGCGTGGCGATAACATAATCGCCAGAAGCAATGTAGGGGGAAGAAAAAAGAGTTCTAAAATACGAGAATAGAATACTCATAGACTCAACCCGAGTTCCGCATCCAGGTCTGCCGCGAGACTGGCTACGTCGGCCCGTGGTATCGCAGTGCGATCTTCAGCGAGCTGCCCGTCCCCCAAGCCGGTCAAGTCAACACCTTTGTTCTCAGCATCAAATCCCATGATGTCGGAGAGGTTGCCCATGGGACCTAGACCAAAGCCATAGCTCTTCCCACCGGCATTCCCATTCGGATTCAAGCCATCGTCGGCTGCGAAGAAGTCGGCGCCAGCGTCGTCAAAATTGATCAAGGCATCGAAGTCATTCTGGGTCACTTCCGCATCATTCGCCAGATCCATGAGCTCGCTTATGCTCAGTTCCGAATCAAAGTTGGGAATAGTAAAGGCGTCTTGGTGATAACTCGGATTGAGGTTATTGGTACTCCCATTCTCGCTACCATCCGAGGGCGGAGGTGTGGATGCCAACCCAGGTCCGCTTCCCTTAGCAAGCTGACCGGTAAGTGCTGCCCCGTCTGATTTTGGAAACGTCAGGTCAGGGATTTTCTGTGCAAGTGAGTCGGGGGGCGGAGTCAGAGTGTTGACGCGTGCGGTCGTGTCAAGTGTACTGTTTGTCCGCGGGTGCACGTCTTGGGGCGCTACCGTAAGCTGAATCCCGGCTTTCCGAATTGCAGCCTCCAAAAACGACGTCGCAAAGTCAGCCGATGCATAGATTTCTCGCAAGCGTTGCAGAATGCGCATGCACTGATAGAACCGATGAAGGCTTGTCATCCGGATATTGAGATCGCTGGACTTGATGTCCAGGAGGTGGATGATAACGGCGGGAAGGAGGACCGTGACTCCCGTCGTAGGGAAATACCGGGTCAGGTCCAAACTATGTAGGTCCTGGGCGATGTTTGTAATCTCGATCGCCGCGAACCGCACCTTGTTTCTCGAGATCTCCTGCAGCTCAGCATCCATGGACGGGAACGGGATAGCAGGGAGAACTTGGGGGCGGTGGAGCGCGCTGGACGTGGTCAAATAGACCATCTTCAGGAGCGCCCGATGGGAATGAAGGACTTCTTGTGCCTCACTCAACTTGGAGGGCGCGGCGGGAGCGTACTGGATCTCTGCCGGAAGGTGGGCCAGCCAGTCTTCCAGCTCCTGGTCACAACGACGAACTTCAAAGGTCTCCGCCGCGGATTTCTTGGGCACCAACATCATGGTCGTCTCCATTGTGCCCCCAAACTTATGACTCAAAACCGAGTATTGAGCAGACAGGACATGGCTAACACAGAGACAGAGTTTTGCCTTCTCGATGAACATCAAGGCAAGCTCTCTCTGGTGACTCGCATTTTGGAGAATTTCCGAATTGCCCACCATGTTCACGATCTCCGGTGAGAATGCATGGAACTCGAAATCATCGAGGGTCAGCATCGGAACGTCACAGTCATCGTCTTTAACACGCATCGGACGTCTCATTCCCAGGGCAATCAGGCGATCCCGGGTATATGTGCTCCACCAGATACGTTTCCACATCCGTTGGCGCCGAAGGTCCATACGAGAGTTTCCGGGGTCACGATGAAGGCCGATGGTGTGTGCCAAGGACAAGCTCACGCCCATCCAATGCCAAGTGTCCTTCTGATCATCGGGTGTCTCATACCAGTAGGTCATTAAAAGTAAGGATTGGACGAGCGAGATCCGGTCAACTTCGTAGTCAAAATCGTACAGAAGTCTTGCGCGTTGAAAAAATGCTTTCCGGGCTGCCTTTCTTGTCGGATAGCCGGCAGCGTGCAGGTGCTTGAGGTCGATGAAAGCGGTGCCAGCGAACATGACGGCTTGGAATAACAAGAGGCTCAACCGGCGGATGCCATCGTTCTGAACGATCGTCTGCAGAAAATCTTCGAGATCAAGAAGGGGCATATATGTGTGGACGTAGTGGATATAGCTTTTCAGCAACTCGTTCCGTAGTCCCGCATCGGGAACCGTCAACGCTCCTTTCATAGACAGGTAGTCGATGTCTTCTTTTTGCAGGCGAGGCGGTAACCCGCGGATGTAGTCAGGCAAGACGACCCCGCCGGACCTGGCATTGGCGTAAGAAGGATCTAGCAGCTGTTGGATCTGCGAAGTCACATGGTGCAAAGGGAGCGTAGCCGGGACAGCGGGATTTGGGGCCATTCTTCTTCGAAAGCGGTCCCCAGAGCCAATTCGGCTCGCCTGACTCTGATCTAGAGGAATGCGCATCAGCATCTATCGGGTAGGCGTATCATCATTGCAAACGCAAGGCAGACGTGAATACGAACAGAGAAGGTGCGGCATGTGCTGCCCTTGATCCAGGTCTACAGAGCGCTGCGAAGGAGAGCCTGGGACCATGTCGGAAAGCCCATGGCACTCGCTAAGCCGCCTGAACAGACTGGCCCCATCATCCGGGACCTCTGCAGGCGATTGAGAAAGCTGGTGAGGGTTTGCATTGTCGACCTCAACACGTGATTTCCTGAAGGATGGCAACAAGACGCGCTCGTGGTTAGCCGGCACTTCTGCGGAGTGGAAATCAAACAGGAGACATGTATTCGACGTGGACGAACTTTCTCCTCTTGCTCTCAGTGACAATGCACTCTACTTGGTCCAACCGACAATTCGTACAGGGCGAACCATTTTCGACCACATCACACCGCACTTTGCGAGCTCGGCAGCAACAGCACGCCTTCGACGCCCGCCGTTTCACAGGGCGGGCATTGGCGGGCAGACCGGCGGTGGAGGCTTTCCTCTTGGTCTTGGACTCCGTATCCACAGCAGTCTGGGGGGTGGGTGTTGTTGTAGTTGTTGTTGATACAGCAGTGCTAGTCATTATGCGAAGCGACATTCAGTTGAACTGAATCATTCGTGAGGTGGCCAGCCTCTGGTGCCAATGGTTGGAGAAAGGAAGGGGTGGGGGAAGAAGAGAGAAAGGATAGCGATCAATCAATGGAAGTAAGTAAGATAGATAATCAATGCGGGATTCCGTAAGTGGATTACTGGTAATAGGATAAGATGGTAAAAGTAAGAGTGAACAAGAAAAGCGAGGAGTAGGAAAAGGAAATCCAGAACGTGACCCCAATGGAGGAAAGACAGGAGTGGAGAGGCTGTTTCTTCTTCTTCTTCTTCTTCTTTTTTTATCTTTCTTTTTTTGTTAGTTGATTTAATAAATCCATACAAGATGAGAATTAGGTTCTGATCACTTTTTCCGGGGAGGGGGAGGATCACAGGACCACGTTCCAATCTTTTCGTCCAAAGGGACGAAAATCGAGGCAAGCCCTGGGGCCGGGGAGGAGAATGTTTAAGTATTCTTAGTAGGTAGTCCGCCAGTCCGTCCGTCAGGAGGCGTTGGCGTTGGGGATGATGAGCCCCAGATCCACTCGCTATGGTCGCCTCCCCCAGACCAGAACCGTGGAATTCCGCCTGGAAACCCAATCGCGGACGGTGTGCTCCGTCGCCGTCGAGACTAGTAGTTGCGAGGACTGACCTGGTTAATCATCATCGTCAACCTCGGGGTGGTAATACCAATTTTGCTACCTATCGCGTACTAGTAAACTGCTCCGTACTCCGCAGGTCACTACTTACTACCATCTACTACTTCTACTACTACCTATCTACGTGTTTGTTCTGTGTAGGTCACGCACTCACGCTGGCTAGAAAAGAAGGCTGGCGCTAGTGCGACCAGTATTTACCTCAGACCGCGCCCGCTAGTCCCTATCTGGATGCTGGAGGCTTGGGAGCGACCCAGGTTGAGTGGGGTGGGCGGGCAGACAATCAGATTCCGATGCTTTGGACCAGTCGTTGCTGCTGCTTACTGTACCGCCCCCACCCGAGACACCAATGACCATCCAGTTAAGGCGAGACCCACCACACGCAGGACTCCCGCCCGAAGAGGGATTTGGGCTTTGGAGATTGGATTATTGAAGCCGTTTCCACCTTCTCACTTCTGAGGTTCCAGTTTCCACAGCCGGTTTCTTCTCAATTCTCAAGTCAACCCCCTTGCTCTCAGTCTTTCTTTTCCCCCACTACAACGGACCCAGATGGTGGTGGCAGTTTGCCATCTCCCGATTTGGGGTTCATCGGCCTGGTCACGTTATCTCCTACAGACACCGGCCGCCACCGGAAAGCACCGGGAGCAAATATGAGGATCCTACCATTGGCTATGAAACGACTCGTAAGTTAACAGATGGAGGGGGAAACCCCCCGGGGCTCTTGGGATTTTCTACATATCTATCTAGATAGGTCTCAACTGCGACGGCGGCACTATCCGGATAAGGATGCGGGTGGTACTACGAAGTAGTACTAGTAGATAGTACGAAGATGCGTCATATTTGGTCGGAAAAGATTCCGGCTGTTACTTTCCAAGTCGTCTTCATCCCCATTCTCCCCCCAATGGCTCGATTTTTATTTTTTTATTTTTTCTTAGAATAACTCTCCAGGGAGCCAGCCACCTTTCGTTTCACTAGATCTACACATCGCCAGTATTTATACACATTATGATCTTCTCTAAGTAATGGAGATCTCCCCTTGTGAACAGCCGAGTAAGGGCCAGCCAGATGCCCCGAACCGAGGCCCGTAGGCACTCCGTACACTCCGTACACTCTGTACCTACTAGATACTCTATACGCAGCACTACTGTGTATGGAGATCTGGAAACAGTGTGGATTTCTCTGGTCCATGGATGGCCTCGCTCATCATGATTCACATGATTATACGCCGTACAATATGTACATAGTCATGAACTTGGACACTATCTATGCGATGTAAGTAGGTATTCGGCCAGTGCATGTCATACCTGCGATTAATAATGGGAGCGGTGGTTGTTGCTGGCCTGCAGCATCCAGGCCGACCGGTAGAGACTAACCAACTAATCGCAGCCGATCCCGCGTGCCGATGGAGTGACAATCGCTGGGCCGGACCAAACCTGGGACGACAATGGGAGTTAGGACCGGTAGTAGTACGGCGTACATTTCCAACAGTAAACTAAAAATTCCGTACATGCGGTCGGTCACTGACTGGGTGAGACCCACCCCAAACAAGAACTGATACTGCTATCTATGGATGCGGAAGTGTACACCGTATGCATGTTCTACAGAGTAGATATGACCTGGATAGACGTCATCTGGGGGCGAGGTATATGGCACCCAACGTGTCTTGAAAGCTTGCTGAGTTGCTTGTCAAGGACTGGATAATAATATCGCGCGGGTGGATCGGCCCAAATTCTTGATGCATAGCTGTCAGTAAAATTGAATATCGCAATTCGCAGCAGGGGGAAATTTTTTTTTCTTCTTCTTATTTGCAAATCCGCACTGCACCAGACTAAGCGGCTAAGATATATTACGGGGTAAGCCAATTACCTCCCTATTCCAGAATGGAAGAAGAAGGAGAATAATAGTTAATAATCCTACCAACAATACGGAGTACGTACCAAAGCTTTCCCCCGTGAAAACTGATAATGCCGACAAGCGGAGGAAACGGAGGAATCCAACCTCACCAAGGGAAGAGATCCAATCATTGCGGTGGAAATTACTGCGTACCAGCCATGACGGTCCAGAATCTGTGCGAATGACCTGCGACCTGCCGCAGGCGGATGGCCATCAGCCATCATGGAGCTGATGCCCAAGTGGAGTGGGGGAATAGCAGGCTACGTATGGAGTAGTGTTGAAGGCTAGCTAACTTGGGCTCTTCCAGGAAGTCCAGGAACCCCAAGATGAGGTCAGTTAACGAGCGAGAATCGGAGGAAAGGCGCGCCAGGTACCCCACATTAAGAGCACAGTAAAGTGTAAACCAGGCACAGCGGAGGAGGATCAGACATTCCAGCTCTTTCAGGATGGATGCTGTCTGTTTCATGTACAGTGTCGTAATGAAGGGTGATACGAGCGGCTGGTTCCTTGCTGTCAATGTGCGCCATCCCAGCATGTTGCATGCTGCATGCTGCTACTGCAGGAGACGTATGTGATTGGACATGTTTGTAGTTGCAGCCATCCATGTCTCAAACCAGGTATCTAGTAAGGACTGCTACTGTGTAGTAGTTAGTAAGTACTAGACGCTCAGCCTGTCTAGACCAGAAGCCTGTCATGCTTACCTAGGAACACCAACAAGTATAGAACTTAAAAGAGTCGGTCTGCCCTAATCTCCCAGTCTACCTAACAGTAGTAGTTCGGAATGTGTGGAAAATACGGGGGTGACCCCAAAGGAAATTTCGTGGGGAGCGAACCAACGCACAAGCTATCTACTACTGTGATTGGCCTGGTGGATATTCTCCGACAGGCCTTTCAGACTTTCAGACTTTCAGACTTTCACAATCACGAGGGATTTTCCCCACGCCAATCAATGACACCCGGGCGGACTCCCATGTGGGACGGGGGCAATGACTAATGGGTGGTCGGCTGGAGAGCGACTGACTGCCAATAATAATGAGCAGCGCTCCCCGACCTGGAGCCTGGAGCCCTGACGGATTGAGTGAGTGGATCCGACGCCGTCGGTTCCGTCCGTCCGTCCGGTTGATTTTCTGGGGCAACTTACGTATCGTCTCTCATAGTACTAAGTACTGTGTAGGTAGGTACGGAGGGGTCGATTGAAAAATGGAAAAGGTTTAATTTTTGCCCCCCCCTTCCCCAAAAAAATCAATATCCATTCATTCCACTGCGGCGATCGAACCTTCTAGTCCCAGCCTGCTCCAGTTTCAACAACAACAACCCCCCCTCTCCTCCCCCCCTTTTTTTTTCTCCATCATTGTAACCCGGGGAGTCCGGAGAGGGAACCTTGGAACTTGGAAGGCATCATTTACCTAAGTAGGTCCCCTCTCCCCTTGCCGATGATATCATGCGCCCAGATGTAATTGGTGGATCTGTAGGTCCAACACATGCACAAATTGCATTGGATCCTCTTAAAAGACTCATCGCAAGCATCCATTGGCCATGTATCTAGTTCTTCTTGCGGGGTTAGGCATCTACCTGGCAGGTCACATCTGGCGGATAACCCCAGATCCGGGTCCTGATACTCCATAGACCGTAGTACGGGAGTAGAGGCCTGACGGAGGGATAGATCATAGATCACGTTCCCCATGGGGGCCCATGAAGCCTCCCTTCTTGATTCTTCCAGCAAGGGACGCTCCTCGCAACCCCGACTGACCTGTATCGACGCACTCGGACATCTTCCCGAGCAAGCTTGAGCTCCAAGCCTCTAAAAACTCCACCAACATTGCGATTGGAGCTCGCCATGGCCCAGCTTGCCAGCTTGTCACCCCACGTTCTAGCAAGCGTGCTGCAAGCCACAGGCGGCAACCCGATGGACGGGAAATGAGGGGAGGGGGGAGGGGGGAGGGCGACTAGAATACGGGATAAAGGGATCCATCATGACGGGGATGAAGTCATGCCCTACATGGATGGCAAGGTTTAGGCGAGTCCGCAAGGCCCGTGTCAGAAGACTGGCAAGCACGGGGTGCAACTGTCGCATGCCCTTCCTCCTAATCTGGCTCGGACCATCGACAATTCGACCCGTCGGGAATGTTGCAGGCTACTGGAGTAGCTGATATCACGGGGTCGCTCCTGAACAGACACAATCGGAATACACAACCATAAAAGGATTCTATATGATCTCAACTTACTCCATACATTCATATCTACTGTGTCATTCTAGTACATGACAATACTTACTCATCACACGTTCACCCCTTCGGTCACCGGAAATAAGATAACCAACCTGTCAACCAACGGGTCTGAGCATGTCGTATACCAACTAGAATAGACCGTTCACAACCCCGCTAGTCTGCATTCTCACTCAGCAACGGACCGGATGTCAAATTCTCGAGGATCTTTGGGCACTTGTGGTCAGAGTGGCCGGCCAACAACAGTGATACGGAAGTCGGATTTATGATGGACCCCTTAGTAGGGAGTGCTGCTCCAATATGTAAACTACTGGAATTCTCGTGCAGGGGTAATGGTGATATCAATCAAATAAGAGGCCATCATTGGAACATAATCACATTACATCAATAACTTCATCCAGTGACCAAACCACAGTCCTTGGGTTCCATGGCACTCGACCAAAACGCCTTCGGGATATCTCAACCAGGAAGAATATGTGCCCAGCCAACAACCAAACCGATGTACAACAAACAAGCAACGAAGTGAAGTCGAGAAAGAGAACATCCCCAAAGAATGTCTCCGAAATAAAAAAAAAAAAAAAAAACATCATACTTCCGTAGAAGATGCGTGCGTCCTTTAAACACCACCGCGGCCCATTCGTTCAATCGATCCCATAATGCCACTTCGTCCTGGTGTGAATACCGCAATTCCAGACTTGCTACCACTGTTCCCCCGAGCAGGTCGATTCCCCACGGCCCCAATCTTAGGAATTCTCTTTTCGCCATTGCTAGAGCCCGTGCTCGGAGGACGAATGCCACTCGAGAAGCTACTATGGCTCACGCTTCGCCGGATGTTCTCAGAGGGTGGCTCATTGGCGGCAGGCATCGGCTCTAGCGACCCAATATCCCGGGCATCTAATGGCTGGGAGTTGCTTTGTACTGGGGGCTGATCCTGCTGAATTGCTAGCCATTCATCCACGGCCGCCACCAGTTCGCCTTTCTCTGCTCGCTCCTGTTTCAGCTCAGCGTGTAGGCGCTCGTTATCATCTTTGAGGGCTGCCATTTCGTGTTGCAAACCCTTGATTTGTGCCTCTAGCACACGCTTCTCTGCCTCGTTCTCTTCCCTCTCTTGAGAAAACATGCTGTTGTCGATACGTGGGGCTTCCGACACAGCTGCATCTCGCTCCAATTTCAGGCGCTCATTCTCTTCGCTGGCAGCAATAAGCTTGTTTTCAGCTTCACGTACGCGCTTTTCCCAACGGGCTTCGTAGCTTTTCTTCAATGCAGCGACTTTTGTTTCATGTTTGCTCTTGTACAGTGTGTGGAGCTCACGTGCAACTTTTTCGACGGCATCTTGAACTTCTTTGGCGGTCTCTTCGGGTGTCTTGGTGCGAGGTTCGTTTTCGGAACTTCCATTGGCAGTGGAAGCAGTCTGGCAGGCTGCGGCCAATTGACTCTCCAATTCGACCACTCTGCTTTCCAGCTGCTCTTTGGTCCTTTCTACTTCATCCACCTTATTCCCCAACTGCTCTCTCTCTCGCTCTCCATCAACAATCTCGGATCTCACTTCTCTGAGCACGGCTTCCATTTCTTTGCCTCTTCGCTGCCACTCAGCTTGCTCAAATTCTAAAGATTCCTTGCGCGCAACCTCGTTGCGGACCTCTTCCAAAGCCTCCCCAACACGCCGTTCTGCATCAGCAACCGCCTGTTTGAGGCTAGCAACTTCTGCCTCTTTCCCACTGAGTGTGGCTTTGAGAGAAGAAATCTCCGAGAGAAAGCCCGACTTCAAAGACTCTAGCTCTCGAGGCGTGACCGTTGGGATTGATCGAGGAGTAGGAACCGCGGGAATATCGAAATCCAAAAGCGAAGCTTTTGCAGGTGACCTTGCTGCATCTCTAGCAGCCCTCGAGGGAGACCGCTGTGAAGGGGAGTAGCGCTCATTCTGCGTACTGTAACGTTGACGGGGGAAGATGTTTGGTTGATCGGTCAAGTCGAGCAGGTTGGGCATTTCATGTATGCTCCTTGCTTCTCGCTTCCGAGGTGTGGGGGATGCTATAGATGTGCCGAAATCATTCAGGGCGCTTTTTCTGGGAGATTTCCTTGCGGTGGTACGGGTAGCTGACTCTACACGTTGATATGGGGAATCTTGTGGCCTGGCTGGGCTTCCTAAGAGAGATCGCATTGCTTTGAAAGGCGAGTCACTCCGAAGCTGCGCAAAGGTGGTCATGTCTGGCACTGCTGAGAAAGTGCTGAGGCAAGTGTCATCCATAGAGTCGTGAGAGTAATCAACCATGGCATCATCTGGTTCCTGGAAGTCGAGATTTTCGTTCTCCTGTATTTCCTGATTATTGGTTTCATGAAGGACACTGCTCATGCCCTCATTATGGTTTCCTTCCATCATGATATTGACAGCCTCCTGACCAGCACCCTCTAGCATGCTCTGCTCAACAATGGGCCCGGCGTCCTCATCAGCGTAGACGTTGATCTCCGGAGTCCCTCTCGGACCAGTTCCCTTTTTATATCTGTCACCAGGGGTCCCATAAGCATCCTGATCGTCAGGGACTTGTTCGTAGGAGCGTTTCCTGGGCGTCATGGTGTTGTTACTGAGGCCTAAAGATGCCTGCCGATTGAGTGCACGTAGTCTTTGGAATTCGACTGTTTCATCTCTCGCATCGAACTGAAAAGGCGAGCTGGGTGCTGGTGGCATGGCTTCAGCATCTTCATTGCTTATAACCTCATCTTGCGATTCACAAACGGCATCGTCGTGGGCTGGGTCTTCTTGAACATCACCAGTCAGTTTGAAGGGGCTTGAATAGGCATTTTCATGTATATCATTGGCCGCCAGATATGCATCCATTTCATCCTCATCCACAGAATTGCCATAGCTCGGTGAGAAGGCGCGCGAATTCTGGCGCGAAGATGTTAACGAAGATAGGGGCGTGGACATCGTAACGGCGGGGTATAATTTGCTGAACACAGGAGATATGTGTCGAAAATCTCGATGATGTGGACAAGTGCCCTGACACCAACCGATAGGATGGGAACAAAGCAGTCCCAGGGATCGTGTGGAGGGCAACAGCGCTGAGTTGGTGATGATCCAAGGACAGTTCGAGCCGGCGTTTATTATTATTATTTTCGGGCCGTTGCCAGGATCGCGGTAAACAAAGCTAGCTCTGTTGTGGACTAGCGTCAAAGTATTAGGGCGGTGTATAAAGGCAATACCACTGCTGTCTCACACCGCCCTAAAAGGAGAGAAACCACAATGCAGCCCACCGCCTTCACATACAGAGCATTCTATATAATAAGGGAGGCGCTACAGCCCGTCTATAATGATACAAAGTGATCGGAACAGTCAGGGCAGAAACGATCTAAATCTGTCATATGTCCATAATTTGACATTAGAATACCTTGCAAGCGCCATAATGCAGCACATCAACCCATTTTTGGCAAGGACAACATCCCGATAATATCATGGTATTCAAAAGCAGTACATACGATCCTCACGCAAATGAGATTCCTCCAACTTTCAAGAAGATATTTCACTTCAGGACAGAAAGTGGCTGTTTAGGAAATTGGTGACTGTCCACGCATGCCTGTACGATTGCGGCATGCTTCGCCTTTCGACTAGGCATTGTCAACCTCCTCACTGTCAGCGTTAGTCACAATAATACGGACAGTCTCTTCTTCATATGGCGTTACATGTAACGTGTAGAGACAATGCGCAGCCGGATGAACTGTAACAGAGGTATGCTTCTTTGGCTCGATAATGCATAGTTGTACCGCACCAATGATTGCGACAAAAGTGCTCCCCCACCAGGCAAGGGCAGTGAGGTCAATCATGGCACCAGTGCTGTACAGAAAGCCAGAGATTGGAGGCGCCATTGTTCGCGAGAGGGCACCAGCAGAGGCCGCAAGACCGTTTATCTTCCCCAGAACAGAATCGGATGGGCTCGCTTGTTTGATCAGGATGAGGAGGACTGGGTAATCGATGATCGAGAGAATATTGCGAACCACTAAACAGGTGTAGATGCCAAAAATCATATAATTGCCGGGAACAAATATGAGGAATGGCACCATGAAATAAGCCAGAGGATGAAGAATGGTGACGACAACGAAAAGCTTCCAGACACCAAAACGCCGAGCCAAGACAGGGAAAATCAGACTTTGGATGATGAGCGCAATAACACCATCGGTCGACATAATCAACCCGACGGTTCGAGTTGAAAGGCCAACACCGCCTTGAAATCTAAGAGTCAAATTCGACAACGTGGAGATGCTTCTGGCGCTTTTGTCCTGTAAGAAGATGGGCAATAGATGGTCATACGTCATCGAATGGTACGTGAAAATAGCCAAGGCGATGATAAGCATGGTCACTCGCCACGTGAACACATTCTGTTTCGGCGGGGTAGACTCGGGCTTTGAATCATCTGCACACACCGTCCCATTCTCACCATCGCGAAGGTGGACTTGGTTGAAAGTGCCATAGGATTCCGCACGCAGATCTGCACCTGCATTGGCCTTCACGCCGGCAGTTGTAAGAAGAGGGCGTTCCACGACAGGATCATCAAGATCATCTGGCACACTCCAGGGTTGCATGTCAGGATGTGTCTCGTTGAGCAAGAACCAACTGGAGATTATGCTGCAGAGAAGTAAGACGGAGCAGACAAGATTGGGCAAGAGGTAAGGGAACCTGGCAAATAAGCCATTGGGGGAGAACAAAAACGGAAAACCTTCTGCAGGCTTTGCAAGCAACCCCCCAATCGCTGCAGAGGATGATGCAGTTAACACCCATTGCCATTATAAACTACCGAGAAGGAGTCCAACACACATACCTGGTCCAATGATTGTACCAATTGACCACACAAATGGCATAACAGCGTAGGCTCGAGCTATACGTACCCGCAGTTAGCAGAAGCCCCGGCCACAATTGCAATAACAATAGACGTAAAGGTTCGTCTTACGTTCGTGCTCGGGCCTCTTGACCAATTCGCCGACCATGGTTTGAATGACCCCAATGTTTCCATTCAGTATTCCACCAAGGACCCGTCCAGATAGTGCCACCCAGAAATTCGAGGCGAACCCCACGATGAGAAGAGACAGCATTGTACCAAAACAGCCGGTGATGAGGACGGGTTTGCGGCCGACTCGGTCTGAGAGAGATCCCCAGAACATACCGGTAAGAGCTTCAGCAAGGGAGAATGCAGAAACAAGGATTCCTGCATAGAAGGAAGCGCTGTTGGTATCAGCCACATCGAAGTCCCTGATCATTACCCATGAGTATGGGAAGATGGATGTCAAGGCGATCGGCTCTGCGACGCGGCATATTGCTATTGAGAAACAGGTGTCAGCGTATCGGGTGCAATATAAGGCAGAGGCCCTGCATACCAAGAAGGAACAGCTGAACAGTGGGGAACTTATTGTCCGAGGTGGTTGGTCTTCTCTGCAGTGTCAATAACATTTTCTGTAGAATCAACCAAGACTCTTACGGCAAGCCCTCCGCAAAAAACAAGACGCCTGCTGACGGCTTTTCTTTTCGCTTTACTCTCCTGTCTGTTTGGATTTGCAAAAACAAACGTGGCAGATTTTGGGTGCAAAGAAGGACAGAGAGAGAGAGAGAGAGGGAGGGAGGGAGGGAGAAAGAGGGAGAGAGAGTGTGTGTGCACAATGCGTTAAGGAAGTGGTAGACCAGGAGAAAGAGTGAAGGAACCCGGGAAAAAGCAAAGGCACAGTGAAGAAGCGATGGTGCAGGAGTGGAGACTGCGAGATAAGCAGGTCCAGTATCAGTACTACTCTGTAAGTAAGTAGCTGAAGTACTTCGAGGTGCGGGCGCCACCTGACAGGTTGGAGTATGGTTCAAGTGTCTTCCACATGGATTTCCCCTCTTCTGAGGCCCTTCGGATTTACCCACCAGACTTAGTATCGGTATCAGAAATTTCAGCTTCCACATGAGAGAGGCTCCCACCATCTTTCCCCCCGGAACCTGGTTTTCCAAGCCTTATCTATATCAGGTTAAGGGCAACGCCCAGAAGCCGGAGCTGCATCCGGACTACTCTTCTCATGTCAAATAGATAACGGGATCCACGGGCGAGTGTAAGGTTTTGCCTGTGATACCGCTGTGCGTCGGGAGCTTGCAGTGGTGCCCGGTGTTACATTCCTTCCTAGGTGCGCGCTTCCGAGGGCAGAAAGGCTTCAAGGTGGCGAGCATACCTCCCAACGGAAGATCTTCCGGATACACTCATAGTCCAGGCAAGGATGTCACGCCCGGGCTCCTCCACACACTATTCAAAGTATTTAAGTATCTACTTAGTGGACCGTATATACTCCGTACGTACTCCATTCTTCATACTATGTAGATCGGTTGGGAGTACCTTAGTAGTACCTTAAGTAGTAGTATCTAGTAGTAGTATATGGCAACCCGCTAGTCTCGAAGCACTCTAGTCCATTGCTACTGTGAGCCACTATTGGGTCACTAATTCAAACCACCCCGCAGACCAAAAGCAACCATGCCAATCAAGTTGATTTTGGTCATGGAGTTTAATAGCCTAGTACTTACTTACCTACTTACTTTGTACTCCGTACGAGGCATTGATCCCAGTTGCTTGAACTTTGAGAAAGACTATAATACGAGCTACCTTTCACCATCCGGAATCGGCTGCTTTTAGCCATGTAGCTCAATTACCGATAATTCGTTATACTAAGCTGGACCGGAACTGAAAAATTAACAGGCAGCTATGCTAATGACATATGCAGTGCCACCTGCTCATGCACACTAGCACTAGCGGAGAGCGGCTCTAGCCTGCCTGGGTCTTGCGGCTAGATCATTTCGGGCTACTGAGGATGGTCTCACCACATCTCAAAACAGTACCCCAATTGTTGATGGCATCATATCATTTGATTTTCTGACTTCATCGCTATAATCTCGATTCTCAGCATACGACGTACTAGTTCGCGTTTCCGAGATTTATGATAGCCTCTCTCAGGTAAGAGCCTTTCGAAACATGACCAATAGCAGATGCCGCTAGGCTCAGATATGGGTCAAAAAGATACACGCAGATATGGGTATTTACACAATCTTGTTGATTGGCAACGCTAAGATACAAGTCGCTGGAGGCTGCGTAAAGAGGCTGGCATGGATCTGTACAGCCTGCCAATGAATTCCCCTTTCAGGCTAGCCTTTCTAGATGATCAGGTGGGGGTGTTGCGTCCATCAACTTAACGAGCCATGCCCTTGGCAGATGTCCAATATATCTCAAACCCACGACTTAAAGAATGCATAGGTAGCTGAATCACCTCTAGTTTCTGTTTCACCGATGGCCGGCGTCAGAATGCCTCGAGCAAGGGAGCTGGGCCGGTATTTTTGTAGGTAGTTTGCATGTAACACGCATTGCTAATGGCCAGCATTTTCTGAGATTGGGATATATGATCGCCGCTCTTTTGCAGCCTGTAATCAAGTCAGCACTTCATGTAAAGAAAGCCATGGACGTGAAGTTACCTCGAGCCACTTTTCTACCCAAGGCTTGAAGATTGCCCAGGCAAGCAGACTGCCTGTAGCAATAATGAAAATAAACACTATGGCTTGGTCTTTCCGTGAGTCTCTTTCTGAACAGAGACACGACGTCAGCATAACAATGGAGACAAATAGAGGTCTTGAAAAAGAAGAACTGCGCCATACGGAAACAAGTCGTGAAGACGTCATCTTCCTTGGCACCATGGCAGGTGGGTAGATCATAATCCAAGCAGAACTTCCGGTTACAGTCGTTGCAATTCAAAGAGCGATAGTTCTTGGCCCTTCCACTTAGGCTATGTGGATCATCACTGCGACGAAGGAAATGGGAGACACCGTTCAAGGCCGAGGCGGACTCAGAAGAGTCGGGATCGAGAGGGATGATTGTGCTGTTGGAAAAGCAAGTACACTTGCAGAACGACGCGGGGGCTGTATTTGATGACGCTATGTCAGCCCTTGTTCATTGATTGTAAGGCGGAGAAAACGCCATACAACGGATGGTAAGAATTACTCACAGGAAGCCACCGCGAAAGAGGTACAGAACAGGAAAGCAAGAAAAAGAAGCAATAGTCGCGGGGTACTGCTCCGAAGCAGCATGACTGGGGGGTACGCGGTGGAAGGGGTGGTTATCCCCTTCAGCCAACAGTTGACGTGTTGGTCTGATTATTGCCGCGGCGGAAGTCATGGACCTCGGAACCATCCCCGGACTCTTGGCAGCACGTGATGTCGTTACTGGAGAAATACTCCGTACTCTATTTGGAGTAGAATCAACGGATGCATACGATCTATTGTCAGGTCTCCGATCGCCATATCAACGCTTCATATGGATGCAGTCTATATGTTTAGTAGAGAAGATTATCTGACAAAATTTGGCATTACGCTGGCCAGTCAGGCACGCCAGTTATGCAAAGTCCCGTGTCCGAATCCGTTGTGAGAACCGTGCCGTAGGCAGCAGCTCTAAGATTTTCCTTTCATTCCCTTACTGCGGTTATCTCTCTGTCTTTGCTCCTTAGCGGCATCACGCCGCCTCCTCTTCCAGGCGCGGTTGTTGTCGCCCCGATTCTCCCAGAACCATTTGGTAAACTCCGAGTCTTCCTTCGGTCCAGCCGCGGCTTTCGGTACCGGAGTATTCAGGTGCATTTCACCATCTACATCCATAGGATCAGGCCGTCCCAGAGTTTTCCGATTAATGGCCCGACCAACTAGAGCCGTGTCGGGAGTTGGCGCGGCGCTCCTCAATCCACGGTCTTGCAGATCCCTCTTGGTGAATGGCGTATGCGGTTCAGTCGGTTTGTCTTCAACCTCTTCATCAGACTGTATATCATCTTGTGCAAAAAAACTGAATTGTGCACTGGTCTCTGTATCAGGCTTCGCGTCGGAAGTTCCCGGTGGAGGTCTCTTGAAAAGTGCTTCCAGCGGGTGGACGCCTTGCGAGGACGGTGTTGAATTGTTCTCTGCCGTGGTCTTTGCTCCGGAGACCGTATTTTCTTGCCCACCTTGTTCTGACCATACTGACATACCGTCATCGTGAATAGAAGACTCATCTGACGAAATGAAGGATTCGTGTTGGTCATCTTCAGAGTCCGTGGAGTCTTCTTCGGACGAAGTGGCTCCACTAGACGAGGTCCAATCCTCCGATTCATCTGCAGACACTGCTTCCTTGGTGGCTTTCTTTTCTTTGCCTGTGATATTCTGGAATCTTGACACTTCGTCTTTGACGGATTTAGCGGCTTTTCGTTTCTCCTTGGCTCCTGCTACTTGCCCCGGCCTGTATTGAGCCTTCCTTATGCGATCGCTCGCATTTTCCTTCACATTTCCAGACCCATCTACCCAACCCTTTCCTTCTTCGAAGGAAACTGTAGGTGTTGACCCATCATCCTCAGAGCGTAAGAAACTCGGATGCGTAAGTGTTTTGGAGAACTCATGGACAATCGTCTCCTGCGCAGAAGTCTTTTTCTTGGACTGTGTCTCAGATTTTTCATCGGTGGAGGACTTATTCGGAGGAAGCTTGGTTCGAAATAGACACTCCGCCTTTTCGGTGTACTTGGACTTTGCCTGGGATTTGGCTGTCTTTCCGTGTTTGTCCTTCTTCTTTTTTTTCTCTTCCTTGCGCCTCTCCTGCTTGGCATCTGTTGACTCTGTCCAGCCTCTCTTTACTTGACGGTCTGAGGGGAGCTCATAACCCTCCAGAACTTCCCCCTCCGCTATTTGCTTCTTGGACTTCTTGGACTTCTTGGACTTCTCGGATGATGGCTTAGTGACAGCAACATGATCGACATCCTCTTCATCCCTTGATCTTTTCTTCGGCCGCGCGGTATCCACCTTGAACTTTTTGCCCTTAAGGATCGAACCATTGAGCTTCTTTTTGATTTTGTCGGCCTCCATAGTTGGTAGGGTCACGTAGCCGTAATTATTCTCTGGAAAGGTTGGAATGCAATGGAAGGAGATCTCCGTGGCCAGGGATTGAATCGACGCAGGGAGCACGGACGGAAGGAGGTCGGGGGAGAATGGAGTGATATGGAGGCGCTTCGTATCGGACGCTGCGGTCGTCATTTGCCCAGAATGATATTTGAAGGCTGTAGAGTACAATTGACAACTAAGACGTGTAGGGGAGATTCGACTCGATCACAAGCGCACCAGCATGATAAGAATCAAGGACGATTCGCAAAGACGGCAAAACCGCAAATATCCGGGGATAGTTGCATAAGCTTCACATGAAGCATCAAGAACCCCAAGTCAATAAAATAGATGGATGATATTCCAGACCGAAAAATTAATGATGGATTTTCCGGGCCGCCAAGGCCGGGAATGGAGATGTGGCGCAGTCAGTGATCCTCAGCCACAGGTCCTGCCGAGTACTCTGCATCGTAGTACTTGTTATGTGCATAAGGAACCGAACACGGCCAGACCATAGTACTCAAAAGAAGAGAGGTCATTCCATTCCTACCACCAGCCACGCATCGAAACGGGGAACATGTAAATTTGCAACTCAGTTGGGGGCAGGAATGATTGATGTAAGACTCGATGTATCCACTGCAACATATCTACTCCGTACTACTATTTATCTACTGTGACCTGGCCATGAAACCACGATACCGAATACGATGTAACTGTCGGGCCGATACTCAGCCGGTCTCGGGTTCGTATGACAGAGGGAAAAAGCGCGGTGTGAATGGTGGAAGACCCGAGTGGCTGGTGGAACCGGCGACTGAGACCAGGTAAGCCTCAGTATGGCGGGGACCAAATCACCTCCTGCCTATGGAGTAGTAGTGCCTAGGCAAAAGGCCCAACAGCCCGGCTGCTTTGACGGAACTACTGACACTAGTACTCCGGACTCCGTACTTACTGACACGAACAACTGACGCGGATCGCTGTCGTCCTTCCTCTTCTGCTTTTCCCTTCGCCTAGGTGTCTGTCTCCTCATCGCTGGATTCGAATCACCACGGCTCCCCCCCAGTATGGGACATTCTTACCTCTTCTAGTCTCGCTTCGAAGATCCCTTTCCCCCAAGCCCCCCTCCCCCCCTGATCCGGCCCCATCCCCATCTTCCCGCGGCTAACTAACGCCCGCACTTCTGATCTCATCGCCGCTCCCAGCTTCGACGTCGTCGCTCACATGGCCACATTGGGTTCTTTAGCATCATCTTATTTCCATCCCCGCTCTACCTACTGAGGGTCCTCTAACGTGTGCTCCACCTTTCCCCTTCTTCTCCTAGTCCTTGGATCTGGGTCCTCACTCTTCGCCGCCTGGGCCATTTCCCAACCATCGTTAGCCTCTTCCATCTCCCATTATCGGCCGGGACCTCGTTCCTTCTCCGCTTTCTTATTCCGACCGCTTCTCAACCTGACCATCGTCCTCATCTCGTCCTACTATTGTCACCTTGAGGTTGGTTCCAATTCTCGCCCGAGATGGGCAATTCTCAGACAAAAGAGAGCCGGCCGCTTGCTTCGTCAAATCGTCGTCATCACCATGGCCCATACGGTGATCGCCATCACGCAGATGGTTCCAGGTCGAACCGGGGCAGCAGACCTGATCTGTCTATCCTCGGAATAGGCGGAAGCTCAGAACGAGATCTGGCGACGCTTGAACACCGGCGAGAGACAAGGCAGGAACGAGAGGCTCGTAAGCTGGAGAAAGAGCGGGTAGCTCGACTCAAAGAGCGGGAGCGTAGTATGAAGGAGGAGCATGTCGATGGTGGATACCTGGTAACCCAAGGTGTCTATACGGGTCCTGAGGATTTCAATAAGGCCGTAGTCCGACAGCTAATGGTGAGCCCGTGACGGTACCGTTTGATTTGGGTGGGCCGACGCTGACTATTTCTCCACAGATCGAACGACGACTGGCGCCATTCTGGAGAGGTCTTAATGACTTTTCCGACTCGTGGACGGAGCACCAGCTCATGGCAGCGGCGCGTGGCCTACCGATTCCCCCGCCCGACGAGATCCCCCCGGAGCTGGAATATAGGAACCCCCCCAAAGCCGCGGAGGACGCAAAGGAGGCTTCGGATTCGGCCGCGGTACAATATTTGATGGTTCCTATTACTTCGAGGTCCCAATCCTATGGTTCCGATGCTTCCCAATCATCTACCCCCGCGCATTCACTACCCTCCCCCACGTCTCCCATCGCATCCGGTACCTCAAGCTCACCTTTATTCCGAACCCGGGCAAAGACTCTTGCATCTCTGACGACACCTAAGCACGGTATCTCGTCTGATTCAGCTTCACGAGAGATTCAGTTGCCTCGCGATCCTTTTGTTAACGGTCAACCCATTGAAGCATATCTTTATAAAGATGCGGCTGAGTGTCCTATCTGCTTCTTGTACTATCCCCCGTACCTAAATCGTACGAGGTGCTGTGATCAGCCAATATGCTCAGAGTGTTTCGTTCAAATCAAACGCCCCGACCCTCATCCACCGGAGCATGGAGACGCGAACCCGGATTCTGCCCCAGCTGATGGTGGTGAACACCCCGAAAGTCAGGATTGTCAGCTAGTGTCAGAACCTTCGGCATGTCCGTTTTGCGTCCAGCCAGAATTTGGGGTGACCTACGCGCCCCCGTCATTCCGTAGAGGGCTGGCTTATGCTTCTGATCCGAGCTCTCGGCCCAATATCACTTCTCCGCTGTCGTCTACGTCTTCCTTATCTTCCGGCAATACCCCTGTCACAGGCCGTCGACGCGCGACTTCGTTATCTGCAAATGATCCTACGGTGATTACGACCGATAGGATCCGTCCGGACTGGGCTCAGAAGCTGGCAAATGCCCGAGCTCATGCTGCGCGGCGGTCTGCGGCAGCAACCGCCCTTCACACTGCCGCTTATCTAATGCACTCTAATGGAACTGGAGGTGATTCCCGAAACTTTGGTCTCGGGAGAAGAAGCGTTATGCGGAGAAACGGCGCGCCAGAAGCCCATAATGCCACTGCCCGCACCGGGTCCCCGGCGCTGCAGGCTCTTGCGTTTCTGACGGATAGGCGTGGAGCTGGTCACGAGACCGACTCTGCAGAAGAGGGGCCTGGTAACATAGCGCCCCCACGCCACAGCTCGAGGCGTAATCGCATTGATGATCTAGAAGAGATGATGATGATGGAGGCAATCAGACTCAGTCTAGCCAGTGAGGAGGAGCGGCGCAAAAAGGAGGAGAAGGAGGCCAAGAAGGAGGCCAAGAGAAAGGAGAAAGAGGCCAAAAAGGCGGACAAGGTTGCACGCAAAATCGGGCTAACGAGTAACAATGCGAGCAGCTCCGCCTTGGACGTGCCTCCTGATGGGAGGCTGGGAAGGGTCACCAGCAGCTCCTCTTCCATTGCCGATGAAGCCGCATCTGCCCGCAAGGGTAAGGAGGTGGATCGGGCATCACCAATTGCACCTGTTGGTGTACTCCCTGCCGGTTCCAGTGCTGCGGTCGAGGGTGTCCAGTTCCCCTCAGTGTCGATAGCCCCGGTCGATCAACCGCCGTCCATGTCACCCTCCCCAATCGTCCAGTCCTCATCCAAAGAAATTACGAGGCCGTCGCATCTTCGGCATGTCTCCAGTGCGTCCTCCTCGTTCTCGTCACTGGTTGAATCGATGACCGAAGATCCTGCGGGGCCGCACGCCTCGGCTGAAGGAGCAGGCCCCTTTGCGGAGCCTCTGTTCAATTTCCGAAGTCTGGCTGCAGTGATTGGCGATGAAGAAAAGGGTGACGAAGTTCCTGAGTATGTGGAGGGAACGACCTCAAGGTCGAATGCAGAGGGGTCCACCTCACAGTCGGTTCACGCCGCGGCAGATGCGTCGTCTTCCGAAGCAGCGACCACCGGAGCAGCCGGTGTACCAGTGGAGGAGGAGCACTGCAATAGCTTGATGCCTAAAGAGCTAGAGGCACAATCCGTTGAGATCACTGGTGCCACACATGATATGGAAACTACGTCTTGAAGCAGCGACCGCTGCGTTCAGAGGCTATTGAGTGTTCTCCGCCCGTCTCTTATTGAACCTTCTTGTTGTTGAATGTTACTGCTCCCGGCATACGGGGATGGGACGCAACGGATGTGCAGGCGTGCAAGGCCTTCGGGGTGGAAAATGTGATGATGATACGCTCCTTTACAATTGTTTTCCCCCTTGGTTGTGATGACTGGGACGCACTTTGTATCTTTCCTTATATAAATACAGTTGCATAGACTTGCTTTGGCCGTCATTTCCCCTTTTATTCTATTATATATGCTAGGGCCGGAGAGTAGGCTGGTTGGTGGAGGGGGATGTATTAAGCATATGGTTTGGGCCGAAGATTGCTACAGGGTGGATGGATCGGTTGAATATCAGGGTTGGAATACTACATAGTAGATCTCTTGGATAGTTGGCATTGACCTACGTACATTGTAGTGACCATGGATCATGAAGATCCCGGGCGTAATAATAATCGGCAGGGAGACTTAAGAGTTGGGGGATCATCGTGGATCGGACCTGCGATCTTGTTTGTTTCAGCCACGCGACGGGCTCCACCGGCCCTGGAGGAAATAAGCCGACACTGACATCCGCCATCCTGATACGGAGTATCTAGAATTCTAGATAGGTACAAGGGACGAGATAAGGACAGTTAATTTTACTATGACTCTTAGCGCCCCCCAGCAGGGTCCATCCTCACCCACCACGGCCGATCCGAGCGAGTCCTTGTCCTTGTTCTCGTCCCCTCGTTTCTCCTCCGGCCAATCCCGGCGTGACAGTATCCCATGTGAGGTTCGGCCATGGTAGAGCGACCTCCGACTGGGATTCCTCTGGGTTTCGATAGGATAGGGAGAAAGGGACACACACCCACAAAAGACGACAAGGACAACGGAATGCCGAACGGACGCTATCGCCACTAGTTGGCGACGGACTGCGACTGATCCATCCATCCCTCTAGCATGCATGGGTCGTCGAGACGTCGACAGCTTCAGCTTGCTTGGACTTTTACTTTTCCTTGCTTTTTCCTTTCTTCCTTTTTCTCGTGGTCTTTGCTCCTTAGTCCTGAGTCGATCAGAAGGCACCCACTCGGGGGTGATCTATCCATTATTATCCAACCTCCGCGATGACGCCCGTCCGTCTGCTGCCTCCATTCGTGTGGAGCCATCCATGGTTCAGCTCGTTCCCTGTTGCGCGTTCCTGGATGGATCGATTGTAATCCGGATTTATCTTTTTCATATCCACTTTTTGGTCCCATTCGTCTTACTACTACTAGGTACTAGGTACGTATCTAGGCTAGAGTGTCTTGTTTAGCGCCCCTTCACCATTGGACTTGAGTCTTGCCTTTTTTCTTTCTTTCTTTTTTTTTCCCCTCTTAGTATTATCATTGTTAATTTTTTCCCTTCAGCAGCAGTATCTAGGGTTAGACCAACCTCAGCCTCTCTCCCTCTTCTCCCCCCTCACCCCCCTCTATTCTCTCTTTTCTCTTTCTCTCCCTCTTTTGCCTGAAGTTACACATCCGGCCCGTGCCCTTCATAGTTACTGCTACCGGAAAACAACAGGGGTTGCCTCGAAAAAAACAAAAACAAAAGCATGGCCATTCTCGATAAGGAAAATCGCTCCCGCGGCCTGCGAGTGCCGTCCTTCGCGATGAAAGGCTTCAAGCAAAAGTCCACCGATTCTTTGCCGCAGAAAGGAGCCGAGCCGGTGCAGGCGCCGGAGACCACGGTGACCCCGGCGCAAACCTACTCGGTTCCTGGCGACGCTGCCAGACAGCAAGAGAGCAAGTCGCCTCCACTCACCCCGCTGCCTTCCGCCGTACAACCGCCAGCATTCAACGCCCCGAGCCCTCGCCAGGATGCCCACCTCCCACTCGCTCCAGCTGCCAGCTACACCCCTCCCCCGCGGGCGTATCAGGCCTATCGTCCTCCAGTATCATCGGTTCCCGTGCAAAGGACTCCTCCGTCGAGTGAGGAGGACCCGGACCGAGTGATACCACGCACGGAGATGGACGAGCCATTGGAAGACTTCATTCCGGAACCAGAACCGGAACTTGATGGCACCGGCGCACCTATTGAGCCCGTGTCTAGTGAGGAAAACAATGGGCCGTGGACACCTCCCGATATTGAGCCTGTCGCGGCGCCGCTGAACAAGCTCCACTTTGCTTGCTACCAGGACCATCGGTCGATGCCCCCCGCCAACAATGTCTGGCATACGCTTCCATGCATGACCTGCCTAAAGTTTGACCGCGAAGTTCGACATCGATGTGTCTTCTGCTGCCTGCGTATTTGCGCCGGATGCTTCCAGGCGCTGCAGGCGTGTCCAAACCGCTCGTTGACGCAATTGATGGAGTCAATTACTGCGGCCAAATCTTGATCGTATCCCGATCTTCTCTTTTCCTCGAATCTACTTAATCTCCCGGCACCCATATAAGATGGATGTTGAATCTGCGCCACTTTTCCTTTTTAGACATTCAAACACCTGTGGCTCGTATTGGTCTCACGGCTATTCCCGGTGTACGTTTGATGGTTCATGGCTCTGTCACTGATACCACTGGAATTCCTTCATTGCCATCTGTTTGGTGATTCCGTGCGCATGTTCTCCCTATTAATAATGGCCTTGTCTCTTTTTTCCCCTCTATCCTTTTGATTAACTATATATGCAGACCCAATCCTGGCGATTGGGCTGATGTACCATGTACTCTTAGTGGGGCTTCCTGCATGATATGATAACCTGTCTAATTCAAAATCCAGCGGTGAAATTATATATACATTACTTACAGAGCGCTATAGTACAATGCAAATCAGTCATCAGTCATGGTCCTCCTCGGTCACTCCTGGACACCCCTCCATCTCTGCCGTCTCATAACGATATTTGCACCAGAGGCAGTAGTGGTAGGTCTCTCGCAGATACTGAACCAGTCGGGCCAGTCGCTCGCCTGGTTCCAGCGCGTTGAACTCGTCCAATTCCGGGTCCTCTTCTTCCAACTCTTGTTCGAGAATCGAGGACATCTCGCGTCTCCCCCCTAGCGCCTGCTGGTCGTCTGGGTCGAGAGTCGGGTCATCATACCCCGGTAATTGCGGGTTGCCTGGGAAAAAAGAAGACGGAAGAGACGTCTGTAACATGTGTCGTGTCTGCACGACACGTTCCTTTTCTTCCCGCTCCTTCACCAACCCCCGGTAGAGGATATTGATCTGGGATGTTGGCTTGACCGGCCTCTTGTCTTTCTTTGGCTTTTGCTCGTAGGCCGAGTCCTCTTGGTGTGGCTCTTCCTCATCTCCTCCAAGATCCTGTGTCTCGCCGAATTTTCCTTCCTGCGTCTGCGAGGATGGCCCCGTCTCCGCCTCTGCTTCGGCATCTAGCCGTTCTGCAACCTTCTGCGCAGCATGAAACTGAGCCTCGAGTCGCCGAGCTTCCCTCTCCAACCGCACCCTATCGCGGTAATCCCCCTCTTCTTGCTTAACCTTCTTCGTTACTTCTTCGGCTTCCTCGAGGAATTTGCGCTTCCGCTCAGTGTCCAGACCGATACCACCCCGATCTTCTTTGAAAATTATATTGAGGGGCTCAGACCGAACCTTCAAGCTGGGGTCGCCGGGGGGGTTGGTGTCCTTATCGTTCGGAGGTGCGGCAGGCTTCCCGAGAACTTGTCCTGGCTTGAAGCCAAGTTTGGCCATCATCTGGAACCCCTTGTTGGAGGGGTCAAGCGTGCTGGTGGATAAGGCGGCATCTCGACGGGCAGCTTCTTGGGCGGCGCGCTCGGCTTTGGACGGGACTTTGGCTCGCGCTTCGGCCTGGGGCGTGGCTGGTTAGCAGGGTCCCGAATATTCCATACTTGCACATACCTCTCGTTGCTGCCGACGCTTCTTTTGCGCAAAGGTTTCCTTCTGCTGAGGCTCTTCAATGACCATGGACATGTAGTCATCTTCTTCGTCCTCTTCGCCCTCTTCGTCCGGCCTTCCGCGTGCGGGGATCTCGGAGTGAGGGGGAGGTGCCATGACTGGCTTGAGCGTCGCTAGAAGACCGATGGACGGGGCGCTGATCTAGTCAACGGTCAGATGAGTAATGACAATCGTACGGAGGAGAAAGAAGAATGACGGCGTCGGTGAAGTGGGGTAAAAAAAAAAAAAGAAAGAGTTCGCGACTGCGGGGATGATGCCGATCTCAAATGCGGAGGCCGGATTTTCCCTCTCCGGCGGCACTCTTCTCGCCCTTCTCGCTTCTCTCCAACTTTCCAACTCTCCTCTACTGCCCAACTCTCCCTCAACTCTCTTCCACTCCTGCTCTGCAGGTCACGTCCACTCCACTCGGCCAAGACTGTTAGCTGTCAAGAGTATCGGATCGCCCGTCATGCGCATCCACCCCAGAGAAGAGACACCAATGAAGCTGCAAACAACAATATTGATATCATACCTCAAGACTATAATATCTATTGCCTTCCCGGGGATGTCCTATCCTTCGCAGGCGCCCAATCACTGCATGCGCAAGGAGAGAGCCTTGCGTCGGCACATTTTCTCCGCCCATCTCAGATTAAGAACCGATTCCCCTCCCCCGAGGGAGCATGGTCTAGTCGAAGCGTTCGTTCGAGCCGTCAAAGACGCAAGGTACCTCCCCGTTCGATGTCAGTATACGTTGTCCAGTTGCAGCTCTACATGGGATTGAAACATCAATGATCCAAGGCTCGTTGCACAAGATAATATGATTCTCTGTCGCCTCATACTGTTCATCTTCCTCTCCAACCTGGTAGCATCTTCGCAGATCTCGACGGTAAACCTTGGCCACGCACGGTATAGAGGCCAGGCTCTGCCTGATGGAATCTCTCAGTGGCTTGGGATACGCTATGCTGCCGCGCCTGTAGGACTCCTACGGTCCTCCGCCGCAGGACCCTGAGACGGTAGATGATATTCAGGATGCATCCAAGGAATACTTCTGGCGGCAATAAGATCGTCCAACCTCTGTTGCTGTGCTGACATGCAGTGACCAGCATGGACCCCTGTGTATCTCCACTGGCTAATATCCGACTCCCGCAGGCACATCTGAAGATTGTCTTTTTCTTGACCTCTATGCTCCCAGCGCAGCGACCAAACGCTACAAAGCTGCTAGTCTCTGTTGGGATCCAAGGAGGTGGCTTCAATTTCAATTCAAACTCTAACTACAATGGAACAAGTCTACTCAAAAGCATCTAACATGGCTATTCTTGTGGTCACCTTCAACTACCGAGTAGGTTCTTACGGTTTCTTGTCCGGGTCGGAGCTGTCAAAGTGTGGAAGCGTGAACAATGGCCTGTAGAATCAGATCATGGTTATAAGATGGGTAAAGACCCATATAAGCAAGGTATGACATGCTGTCGTTGGAACCACAACCCTGCAGTTCGGAGGGGACCCCAATCATATTGTCATTGGCGGCGACAGCGCCGGTGCAGCCTCTATTACATTTCTTCTTTCAGCCTACGGGGCAAACGATGAGGGCCTTTTTCATGCCGCTGCTGCAGAATCGCAAAGCTTCGGTCCCGTGCGGACGATCGATCAGAGCCAGTTTGCTTATAATAGCCTCGTTATCCGCACCGGTTGCGCACACCGGATCTCACCGTATGCGTTGCTCGTGGGTCTCCAGTAGGGCTTCGCACCGGGTGATTGGTGTGTCTGGTCCTCTGCTAGGTACCAGTGATTCATCTTCGCCAGGTGGTCAAATCTGATATTAGGGAGTTGGCTCTGGATGAAGGTATCGGCTTCCCCCACAGTGGAGGTATTCTTGGGAGCGAATATGGTGCCTTCGTCCGTGTCGTCACCAAGGATAACAGGTACTCTGAGGAATCTGCCCTGCTGGAATAGTGTTCGCTACAGCTGGAATGAACGGTTGGAACTATTACTACGCTGTTGAAGACCCAGCTGCGGAAGCTTCTGGCGAAGGAGTTAGAGCCATACGGTGGAAGCCAATGCCATCTGGGGACCCCAGTACGTGAGCGGCACCCCACCTTCATCGTACTTTACCTCAAATGCGCACATTATCGCAGTGATGCAGGGCTACTGGACCAGTTCCATCAAGTCCTTCGATCCCAATCCGCACCGTCACCCCGGCAGCCCGGAGTGGAAGACATGGGGTGACAGAGAGGACTACAGTCGCATTTTCATCCGAACCAACCACACCGTAATGGAGACGGTGCCGGTAGCACAGAGGGAGCGATGCGATCACTGGGTGAGTATAGGGACGGATCTTTCGCAGTGACATGGACGTGTGTCGTATTCTGCTTTGCGGCCAGCTGCGTACACCAGACCACTCATTCGGGGAAGGATACCATTAATGGAAGTAGAATACGTCAACGATTGTTACCAATGACTATGTACGCGGAAAATCCGATATTAAAAACAAAGCATTCTTTTAAGTTGCTACCCATCATCATCCCGATGATTGAAGAAGTAACTGGATATATACATCTGTTCAAGCGCCATCCGAAGGTCGTGCGCATACAAGAATAAAAAATTAACCAGTAGACCAGCCCGCAACCCGCACACAAGAGAAAGAACGAGCACCGAGTTGAAGCCAACATGCAACCATAGGAGAAAAGGAAAGAAGCGACATGAATGAACAAGTGGATCAACCGACCAAGCGTTTGTACTTGCTTGACTGACTGAATCACCGTTTGCCCTGACGCATTCTCTTCTCTCTTTCGTAAGCATTCGCCTCGCGACCCTCCTCGTTCTGCACCTCTGCCACGAGCCGCTTGTACTTGCGCTCGTACTCGGCGTCGCGCTCCTTCTTCTCGCGCAACTTCTCGCGGGCAATGAAGTTGGCGTCCTTGCGGAGTTCGCGCATGGCGCCCTTGCGCTCGCGCTTGTATTCCGCCTTGAGGCGGTTGCTTTCGGAGCGTTCGCGGTCCGGATCGTAATGTTTGTCCGGGTTGAAGGTTTCCTCGAACTTGGGGATGGCCGTCTTGATGGCCAGCGGGCGGTGGTGGTGCAGGATGAGGGGACGGCGCGTGCGACGCGCTTGCGCCAGATGGCCGTCGATCTTGTCGAGCGTCGATTGCAGGCTATCCCGGGTTACGGCGGAGATCTTGTTGCCCTTGCAGGAGCGGAAGAGGTGTTTGAGGACCTTCTGGACGGGGGTGAAGATCTCTGTGTAGGCGGACTTGTTGATCCACAGGTCGGAGGCGGTGCCCAGGAGGGTGACGATGGTGGTGATCAGGGAGAGCTTGAGCTCTTCGGGGTTGGAAGACGGTTGCTCGGTCATGTCCCAGAACCGGAGCTTCCTAGGGGAAACGGACTTGGTTGGGTTCAGTCGGAGGGAGGTCGGGGGGCTCCGGGAGGGGAAGTATCCGAGACTCTCGGTGGGCTCTTTAGGGCTGAGATGGCACAGAATGTTGAGGGTGTAGTTGATGAGTTCAGGCATGTAGCGCTTGGAGATCATCTGGTATTGCAGGAACAGACTGGCTGCGTACGTGCCCGTGGACAGGTCGGCAAGGGAGTTGACGGCACCCTGGCCCAGGTAGCGAGCAATGCAAAGGTGTGCGGGGGTTGCGATGGCGTGGAAATGGTCAGACGTTGGGAAGGTGGTGGCAATGCCAGTGAGGATCACAAGGTCGTCAGGACGGAGGCTGAGAGGGCGCTCCGTAGCGATTTGGCGAAGATGGGCTCGATATGCCTGACAGACGTTGTCGGGGTGGCTCTTCGCAAGGGAGTGGATATGACGGAGGAGGCTTTCCACGATGGCAAACGGAGGGTGTTCTGGTCGATCGGCCAGGTATGCAACGTGCTGGACGAGGATTCCGGCGAAACGGCCGAGCTTCATTTTGTTGTCGCTGTGGAGGCGGGGATGGTGTAGGGCTCGAATACGCTGGACCACGGTGGGGAGGTCCTGCATCGAGACGTCCTTGATGATCTCCAGGAACTCGTCGTGGCTGCCAGGGCAAGGGTATGTATATGCCAGACCGTCACTGGGCTCTTCGAGGGCGGCCGGAGCATCGCCGGACTTGATCCCAGGTATAGTGAAGCCATTGATGAGCTCGTCCTCCTCCTCGTCTTCTTGCCCCTTCTCTGATTCTTCCGCGGAGTCCATATCTGAATCGCTTTCAATGAATGATAGACTGACGTCGGACCTTGTCTCGACAAGATCATCGTCAATGATGAAATCGTCCTCATCTTCGACTCCGAGCTCAGGACGAGGGGTCGTCTCAGCCGTGGGTTGTTGCAGTCCGAAGGCCTTCGCATCATCTGGTAATGACTCGTCATCTTCATCTTCATCTCCGCTGCCATCTTCTTCGCTCTCCTCCTCATCCTCGTCCTCGTCCTCGCTTGGCTCTTCACCGCGCATGCGTCGAAGTCGCTCTTCTTCAAGGGTCTTCAAGCGTTGGGCCTCTTCTTCGGCCTTCTCCTCCGTCGTCTTCGTACGGTCTGTTGGCTGAGACCGCTTATCAAAAGTCAACTGCTTCAAGCGCTGATCGTATTCCTGCTCAGTCTCGTCTTGGGTCTTTCCAGCCATCAATGCCGCGCGGGCGGGGTTCATCGCTGCAAGGTCGTCCTTTGGTGTTTCCGGCTTCGGAGGCGGCTTGACGCCCCTCAGCATATCAAAAAGATCGGGGAGACCCTTGTCGAGCTCCTCCCGGAGATCGTCGTCGTCCTCCTTGGCTTTCTGTCGCTCGGCTTTGTAGAACTTGGACTTAGCGATGACCTCTTTCATGACTTCGTGTTTCGACTTCTTCCGCTCCGGCTGCACCTCTCCCTCCTCACCGTCGTCCACAATGTCTTCTAGATCCTCATCATCGCCAAAAGCCCGCTTCCGCTTGCGCGAGAGTTCGGAATCCGATTCGTCGTCAGCACTCAAATCGCCTTCTCGAAAGTCGTCTCCGAGGGTGCCCTCTCCAAATGACAGAGATTCGCCTCCGTGTGTGAGCGTGAACTCTTCTTCATCATCCTCCAGGTTGAACATGGACTCCTTCCGCAGTTTCTTCTGACTTTCTCGGGCGAATCGTTCGGCGGCTCTCTCCTCGGGCGTCATCGTCGGATCATCCTCACCAAACCGGCGATCAAAAATCCCACCGACTTTATTCTTCCGGTCCATCTCTCGCAGGAGGGTTTGACGTCTCTGTATGAAGGAACATGCTCAGTAACAGCCCGCCTTGCAAAGTACTGACCTCGCTCACCTTTTCTTCACCGAGAGACTTGGTCACACCGGGCCTAGCATGCCCCTGGGTGGATTTGGAGCCTACATCCCGGGTGGTCACGTCGAACTTGGCCCGGGAAGTGGCCTTGATTTCAAAGGGATTGAAGCGGTCGCGAATGGCCTGCAGCGCGGAATCCCGCTTCATGCGATTCTGGGAGGAAACGCCAGTCTTGGCATTCTGGCGCTTCTGCTTCTTGGACTGCTGAGGGCCCAGCAGTCCGCCATCCCGGAGGGAGGCTTTAAGCTGCTTGAGCTGCGACGGAGGCATGGTTGGGGGTGAACGACGACGCAGAAACGTGCTGGATCTCCACCGAAATTTTTGGCCGAAGCGGGCGTGGATCCGCCCCGAAAAAAAGCAATCTCACCGCCTCCGGAGCCAGGTTCTGCCGGTAATACGGCGCTGGCTCGTGACTCCCCGCTTTTCCTCGTCCGGCGCTGGATGAAGACGGCCTGTCGCGGAGTTGCCTTGCTGGTTGCTCGCTCACACCATGGGATCTCATCTAAGTGACCGCGTCGTCTGGATCTGTCTGGGTATGTTACCGCTCCCGAGAGGGGGGAGGAGGGGCGCCGCAATAACTGACCGCGTCCAGGCGTCTCGCTGTTCTTCGCCGTTCGCGGGATTGTTACGGACCTCCGCCGAGTGGGCGAGTTGACGGAGATCAAGCATGTTGAGAAGGAGGACAAGATGATCAGTGAGGGGACGGAGGATGGTTTGTTGGGCTTTCTCGGATGTTGTATGCGACAACTAATGCCGGGGCAGCCTTGAATTTAGACACCCTGCTGAAGCTCTCCGATAGCACCAACTATGATCTCCGAGCAGCGTATGAACGGCCCTGGGCGGTTTTTAGTGACAGCACGCAGGGGCTAACACCTGATTTCTAGTGCATTGCGTATCATTGCCGAACGATCTACCAAGGGCGAAACCCGAGACTTGCTTTTGCGGGATCTTGCAAGCAAAAATAAACAACGGCGGGGCAAGGCACTCAGTGCCATGTACTTCCTGGTCTCCAACCGAGCTCGTATGCATCCATTCTCCCTACTTTGCCAACTCAGCAGGCCCGATGGCTACTGACTGCAACGCTTAGTCTCACGAACGTCCGTCTGCGTCCGACTGAAAGATCATCCCACCTACAACGCCCTCGTCGACTGTCTGTGCAACTTCCTCGACGAACATGTCGAAGAGACGATCACCACAATCTCCCCCATCCTGCCCAAGACAAGGCCCTTGGGTGAGAAGAAGGCGCTGAGTGTACTGAACATCATTCTCCAAGAAAATGTCCCGGGTGCCTTGGAAGCGGGCATTGTGAGCCGCTGGCTGGTCAAGTACCCGTTTCCTTCCGCTCTTGCCGAGCCTTCCCGACGGCAGGATGTGGTGCTCCTGATGAAAACATGGTGGTCAGACGATACTATCATGAGTGCGATCTTTGGCACCTTGTCCTCTCACCCCGACGGTGCCAAGCAACTGCGCAAATACGGGCTGATGGGGAGCATGCTAGAGGAGAACGACCACGATGACTATGACAGCGACGTGTGGATGGTGGATGGAGAAGACACTGCGGGGTCCAGGCAGGTGCCGGGGAGACGCCTCCGCACCGCCGAAGAACAGGCTGTCCGGCGGCGCAGGCGGGAAGCGATGGTACTGAGCGACGGGGGACGCCCACTGGGGAACGATGATATTATCCAATTACCTGTTTCCGGATGATTGGCGGCGGCTACGGAATCAGGAGACAGGTTCACGATGGTTGTGGCAATTACTGCTTTGCATATTCTTATGATACCCTTGGTTTGCGTATGAGATCGCTGCACGATGGCTTGTGCTTAATATACAATACAAATCACAGCCCCATCCATGCGCTTTTAGCGACATGGTCGGCCTTTTTCCGGCTGCTTTTCACCATACCCAGAGCCTGGAGTTCCGACATGGCGCGGTAAAATAGGGCCATGGTGGTCCGTTCGTCGCAAAAATCCCCTTGCTCGCTTTCAAACACGGCATAAAACGCCTGCCAGAGGTCGTAGACGTTCACAAGTGACCCGGACTCTAGATACAGCTGGTACAGAATGGCTGTGGCGGGTTGGTTCGCGGAAACCTTGGTCTCGGGTTTCTCCGCGGTAGACATGAGATAGTCGAACGGATTGGACAATGCCCGTTCGACTGCAAAACGTGGTCGCGGGGAGAAGATCTCTTTCAGGGGATTCCTCATATCAAAAAGAAAGATCTCATGCAAGACGAGATCTTGCGGGCTCTGCAAAGTCTGCTCGAAGTATCCCTCGAGCAGGGTGTGGAAACGGTCGAGGATCTTGGTGTACTCAATATGTTCCTGGGGCAAGTTGGCTTTGCCCTTGCTGAGCCTCACCCGCTGTTGAACGACAGTTGTGGCCACGACCGCGTGACGCTTGTCATGCGCGCTTCGAAGGGGCTCAGTGCCCTGATATGCCTGTTCTAAGGCGTTGACTTCATCCCGGATTTCTTGTAACTCTGCACGTCCCGCGAATGTGGTCGGAAGGACGGCAGATACTTCCATGAGTGATGTGGAATCTAGCGTTTGCGTAGCTAGGAGTATGTCGGTTACTAATAGCGAGTCTTGAAGTTCGCCGGAAAGCGCGCGGACGGATAGATCCGATATACTCGTCTTCTTGACGAGGCTGAGTTTTTTCAAAAGCAGGTGCATCAATCTGACGCACTGAAAGATGTCGCGCATCCTCTGCTGTCCATCCCTCAACTGCTGTAGACTGTGCTGAAAGAGGATCTCGTCGTCTTCGAGCAGGTCACGCACTTGCTTGGCAGACCCTTCGTCAAGCAGCTCCTCGCAATACCTATTTCGTAGTCAATATAGGGGAGCTCAATGTAGAAAAGCAGGCTTACAGTCGGAATGAAGGAAGATTTCTGATTGCTTCGCAGACGAGGTCCTTGCGCATGTTCGGGAGAGCCTCGTCTGCTAGGAACACCGTCAACGGGTTCGCAAAGAAATGGGACATGTACGCGTACTGTTATTGTTAGAAGGGGAAAATATGACACGGATAAGTCAGGATCGCAAATACCTTTACCGTTCGACTGAAAGCCTCCGGAGTCTGGAAAGAATCATTGGATTTCTCGAACAAAACGTTGGTGATGTTGCGCCCCAGCCAGAGTTTGCCATCCTGTTCTGCCTGCAGCCTCCCGTAGATGCGATCGACGCAATTGCTCGCCTCATGGATTTCGAAATACCTTCCGCGAAGCAAGGCGACACTTGACCGGGGGAGTCTCCCTTCGAAGAGTTCCACGGACGTCGAGATGCCGAACAAGAGGGTGAATGGTATCCGATCAAGCCACGAGCTGAACAATTAGCTAAAGTTTTGCACTGCACTAAGACAGGTGACGACTCACCTTAGTAAAGACAAAAGATCCGTAAGGAGGCCTGGATCAAAGGCTTCACTGTCCCGGAATGCGACGACCAGCTTCTTGACGCCTTTGCGTCTAACATAGTCGCTTAATAGATCAAGATCATATGCGAGAAGTCTGGGACCCTGCATCGCGCTTTAGCACAGTGCGCGTCTTGCACGGTTCGGAACATGGAATAGTCACCTCTCGATCAGTGAGAAAGGATTGGTAGCCGTCATTTCCTTCTGTATTCGTGATGGCAAATCTGATGATGTTTTTGAGGGTCGTCTTGAGGTTGGGCGCATCTCCGGACTCCAGCACGATAGCTCCTCCGTCCCCGGCCGAGGTTAGTTGATCATTGAGTCTGGCCAGCAGTCTAGCAAGCGACGAGACGTTGGAGCCAACCGTAACTAGGGCCGCTGGTATACAGCCGTCATATCTGCCGTCTGTCAGGACATGGGGACGGCCCTATGGGATCATGATCCGCTCTTACGTTTGAGGAGAAGTCGACCGGACGAAGGACGAAACACTGGTTAGGACCTCGGAGTCGACGTCATCTAGAATTTCCTGAACCACAGGTTAGGAACCTTGCGCAGCAGCCCCTCCCCAGACCGATATTCCGACTGACCTGAATCTTTGCTTCCTGGGTAGACCAAAGTTGTTGGTATGTTCTATATCGTGCTCCGACGGATTGCTCGTCTTCCTCCCCATTCATAAGGGGCACAAAAGAATAAACGTTCTTCTGCTTTGCTTCCTTCTCCAGAACCACCTTGCGCCGCTTGGAGGGGCGCTCTCCCGAAGGGTTGCCTTTATCGGCGGGCGTGTAGATATAGACACCCTTGGCTCCGTTAGCGACGGGGTCGTGACGGACGGGCATTGATGGGGCTGTACCTGACTGTTGGTGCCATCCTTGAGCGCATTGGCTGGCTCTACCTCCAGCAAATCCGGATCCATGATGAGCAAAACGGAGGCCAGCCAGGGGGGGGATGGGGGAAGAGCGCGAAGGAGTTGGCAAGAAGAATAAAGAAGGATAAGTAATGATCGAGCTCGCGGTGGCGCTAGTCCCGATCGGGCCGACAATGGTTTTCCGCCGCGGAGCTTCTTTGTCTTCTTCTTCTTCTTCTTCTTCTTCTTCTTCTTCTTCTTCTTCTTCGCTACTTCGCTTCTTCGCCTTTAATTTGCCCCCCCCCCCCCCCCGCTCCTCCCACATTTCACCCCTCTTCCCATCTGATAGCCTCCATCATCCCCGTCGGTCTGTTGTGATCCTTCACCTATACCCATCCCTGTCCGATGATCTAATCGCTCATACTTCATGCTCCGCCAGGCCGTCCGAGGAGCTCGGTGGTATCAGCATGTGGCCCGCGGACGCCCGTCTTTGCCGCGAGCATTCTCCGCTGTAGCGCCGCGCTCCATTCACTTTGGCGGTCCCAACAACAAAATCACCTTCTACGAACAGGAAACTCGCGGGAGCAAGACAAGGAGAAGAGTCGACCCGGAGGCGGATCAGCGCGCCGACCAGAAGGATGTCGAGGACGAGCTGACCCGGTTGAACGAAGAGCTCGAGGCTTTGAAAGATCCTTTCGGCCCCGACAGTCAGTTCATGCGAGAGCTGCCCGAAAAGGACCGGGCTATTGCGCTAGAGGCACTGCGAAAACATGCCACAGAGGAAGATGAGGGAGTCGACGTCAGCATGAAGGACCTCTACGACAAAGAACTCGACGATCTTATAAAGGAGGAATTCGACGGCATGGTCAAGGAGGAGGAGAACTGGCAGTCAGACGAGGAGGACGAAGATGCCCCTAAACCGGTTGTCCTACGCCCTTATGAAGTTGAATCGAAGGACTCGGACCTGCAACCATACGTCGACAAGTTCAACGGATGCCTCCGACGGATCGCGAGTGGTGACTCCCATATGCGCTGGCAGCAGGATCTGTGGAAGTGGTACCGCCGGTGCAAGCAGGTCGTTCCTGGGTTTCTGGAGTCGATCTCGGATGAGACGTTGAATCTCCTGTGGGATTCTCTGGCTCCGAAAGGATCCACGAAGCCTCAGGAAGCGGCACGTATACGCACACTGGCTCAAGACGCGATGTCGGCTGGCCTATCTCTTTCCACGCCTCGGATCCTCTCTTACATCGAAACCCTCCATGAAACCGAAGATACTCAAGCGGCGCTAGATCAGTGGGAAGCCTATCAGGCAGACCTCTGCCAGAGCAAGGAAGACTTGGAGGCATACTGGAAACTAGGAGTCCGGCTCTTTGCGGCGGAAGACGACCCTCAGCGCGCGCAGGATATCGCCCTGGCCTTCCTAGCAAACGATAAGTCGCGCCGACCGCATATCCTTATCCCGGTCATCACGGCCTGGGGTCGACGCTCTGGGAAGGAGGCGGAAGTCAAGGCGTGGGCGCTATATTTGCAACTGAAAACGTTCCTGGAACGGAATATGACCATGGATGACTATGACCAGGTCAGCATCGGGTTCCTCAAGGCGGGCCGGCCGGGTCTCGCCATCGCCGTATTCAAGGATATGATGGTGACCGGGGATCCCCGGCACGACTCGACGTCCCTCTACAAGGCCGCCGTCGGCTTGGTTGGCAACCTCCAAGCGTCCAGTGTCTCCGAACAGGATGTGAACAGGGTCTCCCTTTCGACCCTGACTGTCCTGCCCCTGAAATTCCAGAATCGGTTCTTCTACGCCAGCTGGATGAAGAAGCTGATCGGGATGGGCGAGGTCGATTCGGCCGCCATGGTCATTGAGTTGATGTACGAACGAGGCGTCAAGCCCGATGCGAAGCACCTCAACGGCGTCATCGCCGCCTGGCTGCGTGACGGAAGCAGTTCCGCTCAAGAAAAGGCCGAACGCCTCGGCTGGGCCATGGTCCAGCAACGGATCGACCTGGTTTGGACACGCGCAAACTCGCCAGAGGAAGCTCCCCGACTCGACGTCAACCCTAGTGCAGAGAGCATCCGCATGCCCGAGTTTATGAAACGACCGATGCCTGCCGCAACCATTGAGACCTTCTCGATCCTCCTGCTCCACTACACGCGGAGGAGCGATGACGGCATGATCAAGTACCTTGTGAAATGCTTGGGCGATGCCCGGATCCAACCGAACTCTTACTTCATGAACCACCTCCTCTACGCAGAGCTCCGCAAACAAGACATCGGGTCCCTCTGGACCAAGTACCAGACCCTGTCGGCCTCGACCCAGCCGGATCTGGAAACGTACGCCTGCCTCTGGGACTGCGGCAAGCTGCAATATGATCGCGGCCGGACAGCCTATGTGACCGGCTTCCCATCCGCCCGCCATCTCTTCTCGGACATGATGCGATGGCGCGCCCGGCTTCCCGCCCGCGGGCAGACCACTGTGCGGGAGGACTTTTCCAAGGAGCTATACGACCAGATCATTCGATGCTTCTGTCTCTCAAAGGACCTCCCCGGCACGCTCGTAGCCTTATACTCGATGCGGGCCCTGTTCGGGTTCTTCCCAGACGATACCACGGCGCGGCTGATCGTCCTGCAGGTCGCGCGACTCGCAGGGGTGCCCGCCGATACGCCCAAACGACGTCTCCGTCGGCTGTCCAGCACGCCCAAAAGCAAGGAGAACATCGGGCACGTGAACCGGCTGGTGGAAATCCTCAGTGATCGCAAGCTGGGGGCTCTCGCGGCGCGGGGGCTGGAACTAGATGATCTCGAACCCTATGAGCGCGAGCAGTACCAACTGGAGGTAATGGCCGAGCTGCTGCGGGTGGTGATGGGGCGGACGGCAGGTGACACAGTTTCGGTAGAGACACAGATTGCGGCGGTGGCTGAGGAGATGGGGGTGAGGGAGCTGGATCTGGGGGAGTCTGTCGAGGCTGATGACTTGCTTTTGTGAGAGGTAAACAAAGTAACGGGGACCTGCAGAAGGGTTCCCAAGCATGGCTGGCGTTTCGGTCTTTCCTGTGTATGTATATAAAAAGGTAGACATTGTGGTATATGCATGTATTATAGAAGTTCTTCTCTTGGGTCGCAGTCAGACAATCATACTACTAATAAATACAATGGGTGTCCTATCCGAAATGATAGGCAGTTCCACAGCAGCTACAGCTATACTCGTAACAATAACCACCCTGAGCTAGAGAAAAAAAAAAAATAAAAATAAAAATAAAAAAAGTGATAAAATTGACCATAAACGAACATACACCTTATCCGATTCACAACACATGAAAAGCACCCATCTAATTAATTCCCCCCCTTCTTATTAGCCCCAGCAGCAGCCTGCTCATCCTTCTCCACCAACACCGCATCATCATCACTCCCAGCCACCGAGGGCGGCGCATTCGACGACTCAGGCGTCTTGGTAGCCGGCGTCGCCTCCCCCGACCCCGAGTCACTAGCAGATGCACTCGCCTCAACCTTCTTCCCCTCCGCACCACCAGCCGAAGCAGCGGCAGCAGCAGAAACAGCAGAAGAACCCTCAGGATCCAACTCCTTCATGTATCCCTCCTTCTTCTTCTCCCACCATTGCTTCTCCTCCTCCAACTTAGCCTGGTGCTTCTCCATCCGTTCGCGATAAATCGCATTATTGAGCATTTCATTAGCGGATTGGAAGATCGTTTGACCCCAGCCGGGAACGTAAGCATTTGCCTATTACCCCACACATTAGCTTAACCCTTTACTTCCCTCCCAAAAACCAAAAAAAAAAAAAAGCGGGGGTAAAGAAGAAAGAAGTACCTCAGCAACCACATCCCTGACCTCCTCCTCCATTTCCTTCTCAGCACGAACAAACCTCTGCCAAAGATCATCGCCCACACTACCGCGTTGCAGGAGCATCGCGAGCGCTTGTTTCTGGTTCCGGAGGGCCATGACGCGTTGGATATCTTCGATTGCGCGACGCAGGAGAGCGGATTTCAGGACACTGTCGGGGACTTTTTTGCCCTTTTCATTGCTGTCTTTGGGGTCGAGGTGGAGGAGGGAGAAATAGATGTCGCGTTGGGTGTGAGTGGGGAACCAGGGGGAGAGGGAGAGGGATTTTTCTGATATGCATTAGTATTGTTATTGATATTTGTGTTGGTAGTGTGGTTTTTTCTTCTCGTTGGGGGTGGGTTAGGGGTTGGGTTGGGTCGTACGAGCTTTGCGCTTCCGGTAGAGGGAAGAAAAGGTGGCCAGGGAGCCGAGTAGGACTCCCAGATAGGCAAAGGGTACGGCGAGGGTGAGCCAGTTGACCATTTTGAGTGATGTGTTGTGGTTGTCGGGGGGTGTGGTGAGTGTGAGGTGGTGGTAGTTAAGTGGACGGAGGTCGGGCGTCGGCGGCGGCGGCGGTGGTCGGTGGTGGTTTCGGTTAGATGTGGAACATAGTAGGAATGAATATCTCCGTGCAACGAATGAATGGAATCGGTCAATTGCGCCTGCAATGAATCAACCCAGCCAGGGGTGTGTGTTCAAGTGTTGGGGGGGAGTGAGTGATCGCTGAAGCGAAGATGCGCGGCAGAAGAGCGGCGAGGACCCTGAAAGGCCAGGCTGGTGTCTTGGCCCGTCACATGGGCCGATAAGATAACCTTTGTATATACTATATACTACAAGTTAAAGTATAGTGTAATCATAGTAGAATGTATATCTACATCCCCCCAATCACCACTTTCCCCAAATACATGCAAGAAGTAACGCAAAACACATCGAAAAAGGGGAAAAAAGAAAAAGAAAAAAGAATTCCGCCCACGCATACCGAAGAACCACCCATCCAACAGCAAAGCGAGAGGTATATGCATCCTTCTCAGTACACAAATCCATTGTCGCTTCAAGAGGTATCCCTAGAACCAAACCCCGCACAAAACAGAAATCAAAATCTACAGCGGATACAGCGACGCGCCCAGCTGCTCCTTCGTCTTCTGGCTGATCGGCCCGATCTCCTGCATCGCCTGCATGTCCTCCAGAACCTCGTTGAACGTGTCCTGGATCCCCGCCGCCACCTTGCTCCGATTCCATTCCCCCCGCGTGCGCCACAGGTAGTCCATCAGGTTCGTCTGGATCTGCTCCAGCTGCTCCACGCTGCACCCACTCGTCCGCTGCGTCAGTTGCTCGTGCAGGCTCTCTACGTACTCGTGGTCCAGCGTCAGCTTCGGTGACAGGTCCTCGTTGTTGAGCAGTGACTGCAGGTTGGCCGGCACATGCGACGACGCCTTGGTCGCATTCTCAAACAGTGGCACCGGGGGCTGAGGTCGCTGCGCCGTGCCGTTGTCCAGGTGCGCCAGCTCGCCCATCGGACGGGGCGACGGCTGGCTGCTGTCCCCCTGCTGTGTGTCGGGCAGATGCTCCTCCTGCGACACCCGGTCCGGATACTGCGTGAGATCCGGAAAGTCATGCCGCATCCCATGTGCAGCCACCGGACTCTGTGTAAACGGGTTCGGTGCCGAGGACTGCTCCGAGGACTTCTTGTCCGACGTCGTCTGCGTCGTGGACGCTTCGTTGGTGTAGTCGTGCGGCTGAGACCCCGGGGCCATGGGCGTCACCGGCCCTTTTTGCGAGAAGCTGGAAATCCCGGACTCCCGCCGCACCTGCTGCGACGGCGCCGTCAGCGAGTAGGTCGGTTTGGGCTGCGCCGAGGGCCCGAACGAGCTTGTCAGGGTGTCCTTGTCGACCGACTGGTCCGAGTTGGTCATGTAGGTGTCGCCCTCGCCATCTGCGCGGAAAGAGCCATTGCTAGTGAGCGCATGCGTACTGAGGTCGTTCAGATCCGAGCCGCCCCCGGGATGGTAGCCGTTAGTGAAGCTCACTGTGCGCGTGGGCGTCACCGGCCGGTCAGTCTCCTTGGGTGCGCTGTCGGGGAAAGTCTCGCCCAGCACCACCGGGCCACTGGATGGGCCCGATTCGGTGTTTCCGTGTGGCACTCGGTTCGTCGCCGCGCGGCCGAGAAAGCCTTCCGCCTCTTCCTCCGCCGCCTTCCGCGCCTTTTCGATGGCGATCTTCTCGCGTTCCAACTCTCGCACATACACCCCTTCGCATTCCGCCACGAGGGCGGGCTCGGTCTGCTCGATGGTGGCAATGTCCACTTCGACATTGGAGAGGAGTTCGTTGGCCCGCAGCAGCCGCTCTTGCTCCCCCAGCTGCCGGGCGTCCTTGGCGAGCCGTTTAATATCCCCCAAGAAGTCCTTGGGACGCTTGTAGTACCCGTTGGAGAGACGCTTCTCGATGGTGACGATCTCCATGTTGTAGAAGAACTTGCCGGACACGGTCTCGCGCAGTCCCGGCGTCCCGTTCTTGTCGTAGGCCTTCTCAAACGGCCGGAAGGTGGTCCGGTGTTCAATCGGCAGATCACTCGTCACGATGTTCGGGTCCTCCTCCTCCCAGAGGTAGCGGATCTGGGACTCGTCGATCACGCCGGTGCGGAACCGTTTGTACTTCTTGATCTGGTCCATGATGGGCTGGATCCGGATCTTGAGGAGATTGAGGGTTTGGTGGTCCTTCTTCTTCTGCGCCTTGAGCTGCTCCTTGGAGAGCGGAGTGGCGGGCTTGGGGGCCGGCGCCGGCGCAATTTCCAGGGTCTCGAGCTCCCGCTTCTTTCGCTTTTCCGGATCAGGGAAATGGGCAGGTGATGTCTTGACGTAGTCGATTACCTTGGCAAAATACTCGTATCGTGCCTCGTTCGCCGGCGCTTTGAGATCGTAGAAATTCTTCTTAGAGAAGCCAAACAAATTCCTCTGCACTCCAACATCCACGTCCTCGCCAATCGACTCCTGCACGCCGAGCAGCAGCACAGGATCCGTTGGAGGAACCGACCGCAAAAGACCCAGAAATGTAGACATCACGGCATGGCCCACCGTATCAGACCAAGCCTGGATATTCGGGATGTATATCACGCTCGGCTTGTGTCTCTTGACCTCCGCGAAAAGCTGGATTACGGCGGCCTCGGGAGACCGAGTGGAGTCGCTGAGCAGGGTAGGGAGATCAAACGCTTGGACATGGAGTCCCTCGAAATGGTGCAGGAGGGCGCCTGCCAGGTACTGCTGGCCCATTCCCAACGGTCCACGAAGCAGCAGGCGAGGTCGGAAGACCCGGGATCGGTCAAATTCCTGCTGCATTTGCTCGCGCTGGAAGCTACCTGATCCTTCCGGTTCCTCGAATTGCGCTTCCTCTAATGCGGTGAGCCTCTTTCGCTGCGGGAGGATCAAAGACAGCAGGTCCTTGATCTCGGCGAGAGGCGCGCGCAGCAAAGGCTCGACCGCGTTGGGGAGCGGCGAGGCCCCCGACGAGGTCGACCGTTCGGAGGACGGTACCATCTTCTTGATTGCCAACATAAAATCCTTGGGGTTAACCTCGATGGTCTTCGGGTCAATGACGAGCTTCTCATTGGATTTATAGATTTGGGGGTATCGTCTTTGCACCGCATTGAGGGCTGCTTCCGTGCAGAGCGCACGAAGATCGGCACCTCCGTAGCCCTTAGTGATCTCCGCGAGCTCGTCCTTGATGGGGCTCGGCAGCGGCGGATCCCAGCCCTTGGTGTGAATATCCAGAATCGCACGTCGGCCTTCGGTGTTGGGCAGAGGAAAGTAGAACTCGCGGTCGAAACGGCCGGGGCGGCGTAGAGCAGGGTCAATGGAGTCGGGTCGATTCGTGGCGCCAATAACGATGACTTGCCCACGTCCATCCATGCCATCCATCAATGCCAACAGGGTCGACACGATCGAGGCATGAATCTGTTCCTGCTTGCTCGACCGCACGGGAGCCAGTCCTAGGAAAGTCAGCTTGTGGATGCCCTGGTCACCCAGCACAGGGGATACGCTTACCATCGATTTCGTCGAAGAAGATAATGCTAGGCTGGGTCTTGCGAGCTTCGTCGAAAAGAAGCCGAAGTTGTCGTTCCGCCTCACCCACCCATTTACTGAGCGCGTCTGCTCCCTTTCGCATGTAGAAGGTCACCTTGCGGCCGTTGGAGCTGACACTGTTTGCCAGGGCTCTGGCTAGCAGCGTCTTACCAGTACCGGGGGGTCCGTGGAAGAGGACACCGCGGGGAGGCACAATGTGGAAACGCTGGAAGATCTCCGGGTATAGCAGCGGCAGAGACACCATCTCCTTCAGCTGGTCAATGTGGCCCTGCAAACCCCCAACACTATCGAAGTTGACGCTCACGTCCACCCCCAGCGGGTCAGCATCAGCCAGCGTTTGCTTGTCCTTGATCTTGCCGAGATTGGCTGGCGTCCCGGAGTGACCCTGGGCTGCATCGGCACTGTGAGTCTGAGTACCCAAGAGGCCGAGACCAGGCTGCCCATGGCCTGACGTGGGACCGCTAACACTGCCCTTGGGATGCTGCATACCCTCGTCATCACTGCTATCGCTATCGACTCCGCCAGTGGCAGCAGGTACGCCGGGGGGACCCAAGATGGCAGACGGCCCGCCGCCTCCGAAAGGACCATACGTAGGGAACAGGGTGCGTTGCCAGCTGCCGCCGCCACCTCCCCGGCCACGGCGCGAAGGCGATTCGTTGACCTCGTTCTCGGCCTCCTCGATGGGTAGAATCAAGTCAGGGCGGATGATCCGGTAGTCGACATCCTTCCGGCTACGCCGAGGCTTCTCGTAGATAATATCCGGCTGCACTCGCCGGCGAGGGCGACCGCCTCGCAGATCTTCCAGTTCCTCTGCAAGCTCCTCGGCGATATCGGCACCGGCCTCAGATTGTCCACGGGATCGCGATGCCCGCTTGCGGAGGCCCGGGCGACGGCCGGCAGTGCTGTCCTCATCATCATCGTGGACCTGGCTCCCTTTGCGTGGAGAAGGATGCAACTTCCCAGACTGCGATACCTCATCATCATCATTCGACTCTTCTTCCTCGGGTTCGAAATCACTCTCTTCATCCTCGCGCTTGCGCTGAGAACTCTTTGGCTTCTTTCGACTGGACCGACGGGGGTGTGCAGATTCATCATCTTCGGGCTGCTCGACTTCGTCATCCGCTTGCTGGCTCCGGTTGGGTCGACTCCTCCTCCGTGTTGTCGGGCCCTCGTCCTCGTCCTCGTCATCATCACCACCTTCCTTTGCATCGCCGTTCTCAGACTCGGGGACGAAGCCTTCGTCATCAGCAGTTGTTTCGTGGCCGCCGCCTGCTGCAGACGGGGCTTCTTCAAAGCTGATCTGGACATCGCTCTCCATGATCTCCAGCTGAGAGCCTTTGACTTCCATGGTTGTTTCATCGATCATCTCGTCGTCTTCCTGCTTCGGCTGCATCTCCTCCTCTTCCTCCTCTTCAAGCACCGGGGCACGCTTCGAGCCACGGGATCCCCGCCGACGGTCCATTTCCGGGCTATATGTGGCCCTCCGTTCAACGGTTTCTATGTGGCGTCCGGAAGTGGTAAGGGCATGGAAGTCTTCTGAAGGGTCCCGCGTGCGTCGAGTCACCCGGCGCGGGCCCGGGAAGTTCTCCAACGGGGCCTGGCGCTTCAGGGCGTTGCCGACCTTGAGCGTAACCACGGTGCTTTTGCGTTTCGGTGGAGGGGTCCGAGCCATGTTCTCATCGTTGGTATCGTCCTCGATACTGCTGGATTCGCCTTCGTTGTAGATCGGTCGGTTTGTAGCAGCCCTGCGAGCGACTAATCCGCGTGCATTTCGTTGGGCGTTGATGTCGTCTTCCTCTTCCTCGGACTCCTCGAACGAGAGTTCGTCGGCCTCGTCGAAGATCTCTTCATCGGACAGCATATCATCGTCGGAATCGCGACGGGCCTTCTTCTTCACGGGCTTGGACTTCTTCTTCGATTTCGTTCGGGAAGCGGAGCGGCGGGCGGAGCGCACGGGGTGGTCGCTGTAGTCGTCGTCGTCTGAGTCGGACTTGTTGGCCATCTCCTCGATGGAACGCTTTGCACGAGGCATGACGCCGCGCCAGACAGGAGCTCTTTTGTGAATAGCCATGTCAGTGATGGGGGAGTGCAGAGGGGGAGGGGGGCAGAGATAAGACGTGGGTGATAGATGAAACACAAGAAGCGTGAGGGCGACAAGAGGGACGGAGAAGGGAAAGGAAAACGCTGGCCATTCGGAGTAGGAGATAGCCGGCCACGCAGAAAGACTGAAGGGAAAGAGCCTAACACTTACGGGGGACAATGGGAGTGATTGAATGGCGGATTGAAAGGGCAGGTCAAATGGTTAATCGCCGATGGACAGGAACCCAAACACAGACCTCGGAGTCAACGAGCGACGAGACGGTTCTCATGAAAACCAACAATTGTGACAAGCTTCGGCAGCCATCAATGGTGAATGAAGACAAGACAAACAGGAAGGGATGGGGAAGAAGTAGGCCCGGTGCGGCCCTGTCACCGGAGCAGTCGTATATATAACACGGGGGGACGAGGGCGAAGCGCAATGCGCAGAGGTGCCGGGGCGAGTGAAGGGAAATGAATGGAGCGAGGCTCACGGACTGACCAACCGGAAGGGACGCGTCGCATGCAGCTGCTAAGCACAGGGGGAGGGGAGAGGAAAGCAAGTGAGATAGATCTCCAGGGAGAAAAAGAAAAGAGAAGAAAAGAAAAGAAAATGCGAAAAGAGAAAGGAGTGAAAGAACAATCAATCAGTTCAGTGCAGTTCCCCAAAATCTGGATATCAGCATGAGCAGCAGCAGCAGTAGCAGCAGCAGTAGCAGCAATAGCAGCAATAGCCATGACGGGGGGAAACCAACCCAAACCAAACCAAGTTCCAACTCGGGTGCCGCCCAGCCACACACACACACACACACACAAACACTCGCCCGGCAGCCCGCGCCACACCACCCCAAAACAGTCTAGCGCTACCCGTCTGAGGCCGGACCATTCCAATTCCTCCATCCATTCAGTCACCACCACCACTCCGTTGGAGCATCCCCAAGACTCCCATTTCCATCCCCCCTCGCTCCCCTGGAAACCACGTAGACCAGGAACTTCACCCCCCATCCCCATTCCCCAAATCCCATCATTCATTAAATAACCAGTATTTTCTCCCATTTCCTCAACCCTTCCCCTTTCCCTCACCCAACCACCCAAAAAACCAAACGTCAAGAAGAAGAGAAGAAGATGTAGAGGAAAGAAAACAGAGACAAACAGCCCCAGCACCCGAAGCTAGGACAATTTCCCCACGAAGCTTATCGCCTTTTGACTCCTCCCCGCTGGTTCGAGCGCTTCGCCATTGCCGCCGGCTCGCTTGATATCATGTGACCTTTGTGCTGAGTCAGCGGGCGGGCTGGACTGGCTTTCTCCCGGCTCATTCGATTCACGGCCGAGCTTGCATTGCATACATATATATATATATATACCTACCTATATCTCTCTTCCTCTCTCTCACACCTAGAATTCAATTCCTCAATCTCAGTCATAGGCAAGATGCTCTTCCGTCATCTCCCCCTCCTTCGCGCCAGAATCCCCTCCTCCACCATCATCCACAACAGAAGAACCTTGGCTTCATCTGCTCCCAGATGGAACGCCAATGAGTCCAGCGCCTACAGGGAAGGTGTAAGTTCTATTTTTCCCCTCATTCTCCGTAAACCCTTCTTGTAAGGGAGTGTAGAATGGATGCGTCTTGTACCCCTATCAGTACCTGGTTATCTGCCTCTGAGTATCCAGTCTACAAACAATACAGCAAACTAACCCTACGCTCCAGATGGCCCGGTACAAGCTCTTCGTGGGCCCATTTGCCAAGGTCTTTCTGGGCGCCATTTTTACCTACCAGATGCTTTACTGGACCTGGTTGAAACTGGAGATGAATGAGTCCAAGTATGAGAAGAACCGTACGTGACTGGTCCTGTTTTCTCGTCGTTGGGAACTGCATCTAACTGGAACAGAAGAGGTTGCGGCGCTGGAGCAGAAGGCGAAGGAATTGACCGGCGCGCAAAAATAGAGGCTGTCCCCCCCTGTGTATGGTTTACATTTTCCTGGATTATATATACCCCCTACGTCCATGTGGAAAATTCAGGAAGTCTGTCTTTGGCATGCGTGTCTTCGTTGATTGTATATTCAAACGCTATGAAAATGGTTTGACTGGACGTGTGTAAATTTACATGTTGTCTACCCCGTTACGAAGGTTCCCCTACCATGTATGCCCCGCTGGTAGATGGATTTCGGTCCTCACACCCATCACACAAGCCATGATGGCAAGACGGACATTGATTGGTATACGCTAATGCGAATGGGCCTTGCCTACATTGACACTGGATCCAAGTCAGTCGCCTGCATTTGGATGCAATTGGTCCAGGGCTAGACTCACGCAGAAAGCCGAGTCTGGCTCGTGAGACAGTCGACTCGGCTCCGACAACATGCTGTCAGCGACGGGGTAGAACGTCCCCATCGATTTCCCGGGCAGATGATCCGAATCGACTCTCGATCTTTTTTCCAGACTGGGGATTCCCGGCTCGCCACATCGGTAAGAGCCAGAGGTTGACTGCAGAGATGGGAATTTCCGCTTTCGCAGATTCGATGCGCCTGGGAAAGGATAAGTCATGGATCGATTAGGTGGAAGCGGGTCGTCGCCCAGTCCCGACGATAGATCGGGCGTAGGTTCCTTGTCTATCACCATCATGTCGTCATGCAGTGGTTCATGGTCGACAGCATAGTCGCTGCTCACCGACTCATCATCGCTGTTCTCGTCCATGGCAGGCTCACTCTCGTATCCACTGCCATCGGTCCTTTGTTTTTTCATTTCTTCTCGCTCCTGACTTTTGGTCAGATGCCCCGACGGGAGGAGCCAATCTTCAACGCGCTCGCCCTTCTTGAAGTGCTCAACATCGATGTGATTGTAGCGTTCATTCCAGGCGCCGACTCCCTGGGTTTTCAGGGGCAGAAGAACCCGACAAAAGCCGCACCAGTAGTGCGAGGGGCGCGGGTCACCGTCGCGGTTGATACGATTCTTGCATAGGGCCGCCCGCACCTGCTCATCTTCGTCGACGTCATGGTGTTTCTTTAAGTGTTGGACGTATATCTCCTGGCGATAGAATAATCGGGCACACGGGAGATCCTCTTGCGTGGCATCCGACAAGGTGCAACGCCAGCACTGCGCGTGGAAATGCTGGGAGTTCTCGTGTCGTTTCCAGTCGGCCTTGCTGCCAAATGTCTTGGTACACTTCGCAAAAGTGCACCCATACGGCCGTTCGTGGCGCTTCTTATGCTTCCTTTTGGACGGCCAGTCAGGAACCCCTGTTGATAACAAGAAAAGCTGAGCCCGACTTACTTCATCTCGCATCGCAAACGCGTCCGCTTCGTGCAGAACTCGCATTGAATCCAGCCCTTCTTTTCACTGTCGTCATCTAGCGTGTCTTGAGAGGCAGCATGGTTGGAGCCAGGCTGTCCGGAAAGCCGATCCAGAGCTGCAGACAAGATCCTCTGCAGCATATCGCGCTTTCGATCCGACAGCTCCCCATTCTGATCCACCATCTCCTCCCCAACATCCGACTGCTGGCTCCGTCTTCGTTCATTGGTGTTCATGGCCTTTGTCATGGCATTGATCATGTTGAGCGCCGCTTCATTCACCATGTCGTCCATCTTCCCGGTCCTAGCGGTGTCCGGTTGAGCGGGAATAGGAGCCTTCTGGTCCAACGAAGAGTCCAGATTGAGGGCCCTCAGGGCAGGCAACTCGCTGGGGTGTGGCTTTGCAAGCGGCGGTTGCACCGATGCATGGTTGAAATTGGAATCCTTGTACTCGTCGTTCAGTCTCATGACAGTGTCTGGTGTGGGAGTCTCCGAAGATGGGAACACCATCTGACACGAGGGGGAAGCGTCTTCACCAAGATCTCTCATGATCCCTCTAGGCTGGGCGGCTGGCTCAGCTTGTAGGGTCGGTGCTTCGTCCGACAGAGAATCGATGAAGGAGGGTCCCAGCTCTTGCGGTTTCACGCACGTTTCATACCACTCATGTGATCTGGATGATACGTTAATTCTCCGGCATGCTAGCTGATGCGCGGAAGGTATGTTTGACTTACTTCCTAAGCAGCTCCTCCACATCTTCATCGTTGTGCATCCGAGCCAGGTGCTGGCGAAAATTATCCAACCGGGGCCATTTCTTGTTCCTCCGCGGGCAGTTTTGCCCAAAGCACATGTAGAGGACTTTCGGTCCGCGCTCCGGATCCTGCTTATGAACGCATTTTTTATGGCGTGCGAGGTCGTTGATGGTACCAAACCCTTCCTTGCGGGCGCAGTTCGGCTCATCACATTTGAACAACTTTTTGTGTCTCGCTTCGTGTTTTCTGGGAAGGTCAGCTTTTCCGCTCGTTGCCGGTCAGAGAAGCCAGGATGGCGTACCTCTTGTCAGAAGGACACTTTCCGGTCCATTGGCACCCGGGATAATCGCATTTGATCACGTCTTGGCACAACAGGGACGGCGAGTCCATCCGGTCCAAAGGGTCAATGCCGTCAGCATACGGTACCGAATTGAGGTCTAATGCGGATACTCGATCATCCTGCTCATGCTCAAGGGGCGCAAGGAATGGGCTGCAGGCCGACTCGAGTGCATACGATGCAGCCACGGAGCGCGTGGTGCAGCCCTGTGTGCTATATCCCGAATCGGATAGATGAAGACCGGTATACTGGCTGCCAGCCTCCGAGGGCGTACTATGATGGCCGCTCGATGACCGGCGATCGAGGCCGTATACTTGGTGAGACCGCGGGACGACGAATGCAGCGGGATGGATTGGCGTCGACGATTGCAGGGGGTTCCAAGCGTCTTGCTCATGCCTCCATCGCGCCAGAGGAGGGTAGGTGGACGGATCAAAGAGTTGAGGAAGCGGTGAGGATGATGATTTGTGGTACAGTGGCCATGGATGGAGAATGGATGGATGGGTGGGATGGGGGATGGCTTGATCGGACGCAAACTGGAAGCCCAGGAAGGATGCTGGGTCGCCCAGGGTGAGATCGGATGGCGACAGCCCGTCCGATGAGAGGTCAAGCTGCGAAGAAGGGGGCATTGCCCGTGTGCCCATGATTCCCTGGAGAATATCGCTGGAGTTGTCCCAGGGCTTGCTGGGGTCGGATGTCTAAGTCACATGGGGTCAGCTTGTGGTTGGCTCTTGGCCGGACGGATATCTCCATAGTGTCTGTTCGGCTCGCGCGAGAGGATTGCGACATACACTCATATTGGAAGCGGTAGGATGTTGGGGGATCCTACAAGAGCGCGTTCATGCGCGTTCTCGGGGTGTTATTGCCGTGATGGAAGACAACCTCTGGCGAGAGAGGAGCAGAGGGCGGAAGCCTGGCGGTTTATCATATAGCAGGAGGGGACGAGCCCAATCGCAAGTGAGCCGATCGGATTCTATTCAGAGTAGGCGATGACGAGCCACAACGCTCCTATGATTGATTGATTGTCGGGGTCGTTTCCTCTTCAGGGTCTCGTCAATCTGGATGTCTGTCGAGGCGGTTCCAGCTGAGAGGAACGAGATGACGAAGGCCCGGCAGATCGACTGCGTATCACTGAAGAAATAGATTGGGGTGGGCGACCAGAGGCGAAGCCAGAAAAAGGAAAACCCAAGAAGACAACGAGCTGGGTGAGTGAAAGAAGAAAGGTAATAAAGAAGAAAAAAAGAAAAACAGAGAAGAGGAGGGAAGGGGGAAGATTAGAAGAAAAAGAAGAGAGAGAGAGAGAGAGAGAGAGAGAGGGTGTTAAAAAAAAAAGAAAAAGAGCAAGAGAGCAAGAAAAGAGGGGAAAGACGAGCAGGGAATCGGGCTAAGCATGCGAGGATGCTGACTGGAAGATGCAGAGAGAGCCAGAGAGGAAAAAATCAAATCCAATCCAGCATCCAATCCTGACCAGCAGACCGAGAGGGAAAAAGCAATGCCGGGGCACCGACGAGGTATGATCGACCGATTATCCCCATCACGAAAGAAAGAAACCCCACGCGATAACGTGTCGAGGGCCGAGTTGAGCAAAAGCAAGCGGGAGAGGGAGAGGGAGTGAGTGACAGGAGCTAATACTAATCGATGGCATGTCGGATCATGTCCCCAGAGGAAGGAATGTCCATTTCCATCATCATTTGGCTGCTGCAGGGCGAGCATCGAGAGCATACTAGATAGTACTAGTACTAGGTAGAGGTCGGTCTCCGATCGATCGAGCCGGCGAGGAGAGACGGAAGGGAAGGAAGGAATGACAGCTAGCAAGTTAGTACGCAGCAAGTACGCAGCAAGTACGGAGCAGTACTAGTAGGTACTAGATAGTAAGTGGTCTAGAATCCATCCCCAACTATCTACTACTAGGTAGTAGATAGGTAGTACCTAAGACCTGTCAGACCGTCTGGCACCGAGGTCCCCTTCCCGTTTCCTTTCATTCCCCCGATAAATAAATAGATAGTAACTAGTGACGGTAGAAAGTACGGTAGGTAGTAGGTAGAGTCGAGACCCCAGCAGCGAGGTCCGCGGAAGTACCCAGTCGATCGCGATGCGATGAAGACGCGGGAGAGTGAGAGAGCGAAAGAGCGAAAGAGAAACAAACTACTACTGAGCCATAGTCGCAGCGTTGGCGTTTTCCCTCCCGCGGGCGTGTGAGTGAGTGTGTAGGTCCCTTTTTCTTTCCTCAACGGCCACTCATCTCGTCCCTTGGCTTTTTGGTTTTGATCTTTATTTATTTTTTTTTCTTTTTTCTTTTTTTTTCCTATTCAGTTTTGTTCTTCGCGTCCTCCCATTCCTTTCCAAAAGTCACAAGTGGCTCCTCCCTCCTGCAGGATAATCATCATCCTTCCGCCTGTTCAGCTAGCTCTCTTGGAGAGCAGGAGGATGATGAGGAGGGACATTCAAGGATCTCCTCGGAGCCTCGCATCAGCATCAGCACCGCAGCCGCAGCTCGACTCGAGGGGGAAGAAGAGGGGGAGGGGAAGAAATGGATGAAGACAGACAGACAGACAAGCTGGAGTTGGGAGACCCTTCCACCATACTCGGACAAGTAATCAGTCAAGCTGGTTGGGTTGGTCAGGAGTCAGGACCGAGCCTGTCTCTCGCAGAGTCGCATGTAAGGTGGTTGAGCGATCATCACGCGGCCGTAGTTCCATTGGCTGCAGGACCCTTCTTCCTCCCCCCATCATCATCACCATCATCATCATCATCATCATCATCATCATCATCAAGACTGTCAAAGGACGGGGCGAACCTTCGCGGATGGCAGGGCATCCTCCGCTACATACATCGGCCGGACTAACGGTGGCTGTGCCTGTAAGGAGGCCCCCGAAAGGCAGTTCGTCACTCGCCGACGGATATGCCGAAGATCGCCCGCGATGATGGATGGATGGATGGATAAATGGCCTGTCTTCATGGAGATTGACAGCCCACCCACCGGTCAAACCCACTTGGACCTCGCGCCTTCCAACCGGCTGGCTCGCGCGCGCCTTAGTCCGGGCGAGTGAAGACCCCGATCGAGAGGATGGCGATGATGGCAACCCCGTCCAGCCGATCCTCAGGGATGGCCGTTCTCGATCGATGGGCGAGCCATCAATCACACTGCAGCAATCTATCTGATAGAGTCATCTAGTTAATACGACGTAGCCAAAGATAGCTGCATCCACTTCCTGCTCTATCTCGCTATGTATCTACGTATCTCTTCTTCTCCCCCTGGCACACGACCGACAGACGTCCTGTAGGTAAGTACCTCCCCCCCCAACAGATGCAGCCTGGCATCGCTCCCCACCCGAATCTCGAATGCTCGTCCAGGTCCCGGCGATGTCCTCCGTACCTAGTGAAGGACACAGTAGCGTGGCTCCATCGCTGCCGATCGACTAAATTAGTGCGCTCCTCACCACCCAGCAACTCAGCAAGCCAATGCGGTCTGGCACCTCCCCCCCCCCCCCATCCCCTTGGATCCCCTGCCCTCCTTTGTACTGTAAGTAAGCGTCGTCCCCACTCCCAATCCCATCATCGTCTCTGCCGGCCTAAAAAGTAAAAATACCCTCCCCCCCCCCACCTTCCCAGCTTCAGATCGGGCCCGATGAGCTCGGGGATCCTTGCAAGCCCCATGGCTGTGCTCTCCCCGTCTCAACCACGGGGCCCTGCTCCCCCCGTCCTGTGCATCCGCCAGGGTGGTTGATCGACCGTTGGGGTCCCCTTCTCCGACCCGTCGTTGACAGGCAGCTAACTACTTACTTAGGCCGGAATCCTCCGTCCTGCGTTGGATGTGCTCCGGAAGCCCTCCCCTCAGGACCCGCTGCACTGTGCCGTGAAGCCTGTCTGCGACGTGCATCCCCCCTTCCTCCAATCACGCCCCCCCGACCAATTGACAATTTGGGGGCCACGCGTGCAGCTTGCATAACGTAGCACACACGGCAATAGATGCTCGAATAGTCCGGGCAGCCGAGCCCAGTATTGGTCTTCGATGAAGGGCGGGCGCCATCTATTACCCCCAAGAATTAAGGGTAATCCCCCGAGCACAACTAATCCAGAACCCAAGAACCAGATGGGCGAGAAAAGGAAAAAGGGGGGGAAGGGGTCTAGGAGAAGAGGGGTCCAGCAGATAAGTTGATCCCCGGCAGTGGCATGCATACAATATTCCTTCCCAAGAAAAGTCAATGGTCCAATGTTCAATCCAATGGTGGGTATATAGGTGGATGCAGATCAAGCGATACAGAAATGAGCCCCAAAAGGGATTATGGGGAAAAATAATAAATGAGTAAATAAAGGGTTGACATCGGGTAGTTGAATTGCAACTACGGAGTACTGTCCTTGGGCGACCGTTTCAACCACATTCCAACAACCTCCCTCCCCCACGATCTGCAACCGCTGCGCTAGGGTCGTAAGTCCCGTGAGTCGTTGTGGCATCTCCTCTCCAGATCGAGGTTTAGGGCTATTCTCGGTAGCCTCCCGGAACGTAAGGCATAGCCTGCGGCATCGATCCCTGGTACCCATAGCCGTTCTCCACCGAAGGTGATACATAAACCGGCCCCTGATGATCGTAGGCGGGCTGCATCTCCGTGGGGGATAGGGAAAAACTATACGGGTCTTGCAATACACTGAGGTTCTGGTTGGGAACTCGGAGTCGAGGGCCAGCGTTAAAAGGGGGCGGATAGGTGACCGAGTTTTGATGTATCGGCATGAGCCGCGTCTGGTCCACAGCCCCCCCTGGCAGGATTGCGGGCGCATCATCGTACGCGTCAATTGACTCAGGCTCGGCGGAGATCCAACCGCCAGGCATGGTTGTCAAGTGGGGGGAATATGATGTATTGAACGACATCATAGGCTCCTGAAGCCGCTCGGCATTGTTACTGGCGTATGGTGCCTGCGTCGACACCGCCGAGGACCCTTCGACTCCATCCAACCTTGGCATGAAACGGGTGGCTTCCGGCGTGGAGGTCCTTGGATCGGGGCCAGCATCTGGCCCACCACTAGTAGGCCCTGTAGTCTCGTTCGATGAAAGATCTCTCTCATTTACAAGCGCCAAAACTGGCATGGCGATCTGTTCCATGTGTTTAGCCAAGTGCACCGTTAGCTTCTTCCAGCTGCTACAAACATTGCCGCAGAAGCGACACGGTTCGTCCTTGGGACCTTTCAGGGTATCATGCCGACATCGCTCGACCAAGTCCCAGAGCTGTTCAATCTCTTGCTCGCGATTGTTTTCTTCCTGCAGGTTCGGGGAACCCGGGTCAGCCTTTGTTTTGCTTGCCGAGCCTTGGCTTTTCGCTTTCTTGACTTTGGGTTCTGGCATCTTATGCTCCCTAACAAGGTGCTGCACGAAATTATCCTTTCGGTAGCAGGTATGATGACAATCAGGAACCGTGCACGTCCACCACTCCAGCTGTCGATGTCGCTCGCTTTCGTGTCGGACCCAATCAGCTTTTCGCTTGAATGATTTGGGGTCTGAGCAGTGAGGAAAGGTACAAGTGAATGGCTGCACATCTTCGTGGACATGCTTGGTCCAATCTGACGGTTTCTGGAACTTCTTGACCTGGAAACATACCGGGCATTCGAACTCCGCCGGCAACCGCTTGACCGGTGGCAAGGGCACACCCGGGGGAAACTGCGCCGCAGTGACTGCGCTTTCTCCAAGCTTATGGGGATCGTCATCGATCTCCCCATGGCCGGGAATATGAAACTGCGTGTGCGCAGCCTCGGGGCTAGTGCGAGGTGCTAACAACTTAGCCTCGCCACCCAACGCAAAGCAGTAATTGTCGGAGGGGCATTTCTTCTGATCAACGGCGCGAGTGTGGCTGAGTTTACTATCGACCAGCTTTCGGTACCGACGAAGTTGCTCGTGAGAAAGGCGGTCAATCAATGCGGGTGGAAGTCGGGGGTTCAACTGGGTAATCTGGTTCCTGAAACCCTCGAGCGTAGGGACCGGCAAATGCGACGGAACCGGAAACTGCATCACCAACCCTTTTTCATCCACGATGTCATCATCTTCATCATCTGCATTGCCCACAGCGTGGGTCACCTTTGGGCTCTTCTGCGTGGCTCCGCCATGGTCAGCCGCTCGAGGCGAGTAGGCGATATTGGGGACAGGCGGTCCACCGTGACTTGTCATCAAGTCAATCAAACCGGGTGCTGAAGCCCTTGGTAGCTCACTTCTGCTCCTTCCCCGAACCTTGAGATGCGGCCAATGACCTGTGGCTGAGTTCGGTGATGCAGCCCTGAGTGAGTCTTTGCCACCGATAGCGGCCATCTGCCCGGCAATGGCAATCACAGCACCGCCAGTGCTCAGGCTAGGTGATCTAGATCGACCAAGGCTCAGTCGATGCGGGAAGCTGTCCTTTCTCACTGGGGGACTCTTGGCCTCGTCGCCTTTGCTGGCGCCCTCCGTGCTGGGAGGGATGATCGAAAGATCCGATAGCCGCCGCTTCAAATTGCTGGACGACGGCTTCCTGTGGAGAAATTTACGGAGGCTACTTCTCCTCTCGTGCTTCTTGCTTTTATCGTTACTAATAGACAGGGTCTCAAAGGAGCCGCCCGGGCCAATGATACTGTTGACTTCTGCATCATTCAGGTGTCGTGTGCCCCAGGTTGCCGACCGGGATGCGGTGTCAATGTCCTTGGCTCGTCGCTGATATTCCACCATCGCTGCGCTCGAGCTCAAAGGCTGCATCCGTGTCGTTCGGGGGGATAGGTCGTGAGCTGAGTCTCGCCATGGAGGGGCCCCAAGGAATTGATGGGGTGATGGTTCCCCATCTTCGGGCCTGGGCTGTTCCGGAGCAGGGGCGAGTTCCGTGTCCCCTTGTGCCCACCTCGCCTCGTTGACACTGACGGCCGGGGAGTCAGATCGGCTCTCTGCACCATCCGAGCCGCCTTCACTAATCCCGTCATCACTGCTCTCATGGAGCAGAAGGCCAGGCCCCGGAATAGCAGGCCCCAGTAACCGAGATTTCAAATTGAAGTAATCCTGCTGAAGTGAAGGATCTCCAGCACTTTTCGCCCTACGCCTGCCTCCCATGTGCCCTCTATTGCCACAAAGCAAGGAGGTGTCATCATCCCCTGCCTCACTGTTCGCAGCGCTTACTGATACTGACCATGATTGAATGTCGGCATTCTTCTCATCCAATCGTCGCCGAGTCTCCATATCGTTCGGACTCAAGACAAAAATGTCTTCCCGTGATGAAGGCCCAACACCCGCTTGTCCGGTGGCCATGCTGGGAATCCAAGAGCCATCCTGCGCGCGTGTGACCGTGTAGTTAAGACCGGTTCCCCGGTACTCTTCTTCCAAGCCGTCGGGTTCTGATTCACTAGTCATGTCATTTGGTGAAAGATGTGTGGAAGACAGGCTCCGCCGTCGCCCTGTCAAAGAGGCATCTCGGACTGGTGAATCACCGCGGGAGTAGCTTTCAATCTTGACAATCGGACTTCTTGCCCTGGCCGACTCAGGGACCGCTTGGACATTGAGTTTATCGCTGGGCGGACTCGTGATTAATGACAGCGGTTGGGGTTGGCGAGACAAGGTCTCATGATCAGCCTGAACATTGATACTGCCCGGATCTGGCAGGAAACTTGGGCTACTAATGTGGTTCAAGCTAGCTGGCTGAGGCGACAGCATGGTTGATGGAGACGATATTTCGCCCATTGAGGCACTAAACACCTCGGGTTCAATATCCTGTACGTCCAGAGCCATGCCGTTATCATGGTGCAGACCACTGGCCCCCAAATCCATGTCCATGCTAAAGCCCGCCGACAAGATGTCAGCACTAGGGGACGTGTGGGCACTCATGTCACTTGAAAATTCCTCTGTTGGACTAAGGAACTCGGAGTAGGAAGCTGCTTGGTCCTCGTTGTTTGCGTCGGCTATGTTACTATGCGTCTGAATGTTCAGAGGAGACGACAGGTGCCCTGTGCTATGGTCTTCACCACCGACAGGTGTCAGTCTGATGGCGGAGGACTTGAAAGAGGCTTCATCCGGGTCCAATGGGGCCGAGAGGTAAGGGTCGTGGTAAGTGGAATCGTAGAAAGTCACATCGGTCGGCGACTCGTTCTGGACGAGCTGCGGGGATAAGGTGGACATGATTGCAGTCGGTCTCTTGAGTCGGTTTGATCGCCAAACGCTCGCACCGGCAGATGGACGGTAATAGCAGCAGTCAGCTCTTCGATCAGAAAGTGTATGTTTCCCCGAGATGTTGAGCTCTGCTTTCTTCGGGCCTGGTTTCTGTGGGTCTAGGTGAACCGTACTGCACACAGGGACCAGGATACAAGAATTCGGGGTCGCATTTCTAGATCGACATGGAGGTACTAGTCAGGGCACTCCAGCGATCGCAATCAGGGCAGGATCAAATGGCGTAGGCGTAACTTCTGGAGGGGCAACAGTGGAGGGACACCGGCGATCTGATTGCGTAGGAATTATTTAGGAATGCCCCTTTAATCTGATAGTGGAGGACGGGCGCAAGGTGGTGTGGGTGGTGGGTAAGCAGAGCAGCCGTCGTAGTAAGCGGGAGGAATGAGCAGGGAGGAATGAGGCCAACCAAGAACCAGGATTGGCACTCCCGATCACGAGAGGTTGAAGAATAGTTCGACTAAGCGGGACCAAGTATTAGGTGGAGCGAGAAGGAAACTGAAGGTATGACAAAGGAATAGTATGGTACAGGAACGAGAAGAAGGATGGCGGTGGTGATGGTACTGTAGCGGTGGCAGTAGCAGTGGCAGTGGTAGAGGCGGAGGGAGGAAGCCAGAAGAGCGTGGGGGTGATGAAGGTGATAATGATAGGGCCGACGGGGAGAGCCGCAGTCGCGCGCCGGAGGGAACAAGGAGCGAGAGAACAAGAACGAGCGACGGGGGAGGGCGGAGAGAAGAGAAGAGGAGGGATGGGGGGGTGGGGGGAGAGAAGAGGAGAAAAGAGAGGCCGGGACGACGAGGCTCTAGAGAAGAAGAAGAAGAAGAAGCCTGAGCCTACTACTACTAGAGGAGGAGGATGACTGGAAGAAAAAGCGAGAGGAGAGAGAAAGTGAGTGAAATGAGGAATGAAAGAGGAAAGAGCAAAGGCGCCTTGCGGCTGTGACTGAACAGGGAATCCACCACTCGACTCGAGGGAACTGAGCCACATCGTGTGATAATAAACTACAGAGTACTCCGTACTAGCTACTCCTAAGTACTAGTAACTAGAAAGGGGGTCAGCGCGCTGATTCTCATCATCATCATCATTTTTTATCATCCTCTTCAGTCCAGACCGGATTCCCTCCCCAATCGGGCTGGCGAGAAAGCGACGATACGCGCCGGCGGGCTGCTTTGATGGCCACTCACAGCCAAGCGGGGTAGAAGGCTAGTCGCAGGCGGTTTAGCCTCGGGGCCAGTCGCAGCAGTCAGGTACTATCGTGCTTTTTCCCCTGGATATTTTATTATTATTACATATACAGTACTTCGTAGATACTAGGTATATAGTAGTAGACTATATAGATTACTACTATATAGATAGTATCTGTAGTAGTATAGTAGATACAGTACATCATACCATACTCTTGGCTTCTTTAAAGTATTGCAGTGGCACATATTATCGTGTGAAATATACTCCGATTCTGCAGAACTGCTGATCCCCCCCCAAAGATTTTATCCTCTCTCAGCACTCGGATCATTTCCGCAATATTAACACATCAACTGTGTCGTCACAGCTCAAGGATAGAATGCACACTCCCATGTAGATCTGGTTCAGGAACGACTAGATGGATCATGAACGAACCGCATGCTCCCTCCAGCCCAGCTCAGCCCAGCCCTCCTTCATCCATGGATCCTAGGTAGACTAGTACTACCCGTCGCAATGAAGAACTCGGGAAATTCGCAGGGCTCGACCCGTCCCCACTGGTCCCCACTCCCTCGATTATCGCAATGTATCTACCACCAGTCCACCCCTCAGTATTCCGGCACTATCTACTGGCGCTGACGGAGTATAAGCCCTCAGAGGGGAAAAAGAAATAAAATCACTCATGGTCCGTGGATGCTTCTAGCCAAGCGATCCTCAGCCCAATATCTAACCTACCGTTGTTGTTGTTGCTCCTGCTGCTATAATTATAACCGACTAGAGCTGACCTGCACTCAGCCACGGCACAAGCCACCCTCCGAGCCCAGAACCACCCACACCCTGGCATTTGCATCCCCTCCGTCGGTCAGTGTCACTGTGAGCCTGTCTAGGTTTGCGGCGGTGCAGTTCAAATGGGATGAACGGACATGGGATTCTCAACATGGACTCATGTTATATTTTTGGATTTACACAGTCCTCCTAGTGTTACCGGACAATGTGCTACGGATGCTCGCTTCGCCCTGTACTGTGTATAACCCAATCGTGACTGGCTATTGCTAGTGCGGTGGAATCTGCACAAACTCCCAGGGTTGGGACGTCTGCGGCTCAAGGGCGCAACAAGCTTTGCATGGGCCATGGGGACGGGTGTCTGGACTCTAGACGGCTGTGACATCATGTGCGTGGCTGTGCAAAGGTGCCCGGGTAACCAGGCCAGGCTGGACCAACAACTAGATATATACACTGTGCAACATGCAGGTGCCATTTCATCCCCGTCGTCACGCCATAGGAGACACAGCTTGTTCCCAGGCCTCTTATACATGCCGTCATTCATGCAGTGTCAGCATTAGCGCCGCGAGGGGCTTCAGGACATGGTAAATATAGTTTCACATACATCATCATTTGTTACACATCAAAGTTCAAACGCTCGCTAAGAGGACAGCATGCAAACACAACACACAAGAAAGCATACCCCCGAAAACGATGGTGGCGTAGAAGACAAGCACAAATGGTCGGGAAAATACAGTGGGTGGAGAAAGGAATGTGAGTTGGGGCAAACTCAAAGGTCATCGCAGTCATCATCGAAAAGACACAAAAGAAAATAAAATGATTGTCGAGGTACCGCAACCCTGGAGGCTCAGACCTGGAAAGTACAACATGTGGGAAAAACAAAGTATTCATGACAAGCAGATTATTAAAACAGTCCTGATCGACATAGCCACTCACATTACTTCACCTCTAAAGCCTGTGACTTCAATCGCCCCGACTTCTTCGGGGAGAGGGCGACTGCCCCTCAGAACGGATCGAGCCCCTTGAGCCACGGCGAGGTGAGTCCTCTCCTCCGGCTAGCGCCTCGGTGGACTTCTTAGACAGTTCTTGCAGCCTGGCCATTACCACAGGAGAGTCCGAGTACAGGACACAGCCTCGGGAGTAAGTGCAAGGACTGAACTTCTCCTCCTCTCCCGCGAAATCTTCATGTGCCGCTTCCCGAAGAATCCGGGGGAAGGTTCGCAGAATAACATGGCGTGTGGGGTCTTCCTTGGAGCTGAGACTGCCTTCCTTGGGGGTGCCATACTCTTCCCAATCGTCGTTCGAGACGGCATCGGTGTCTGGGGCTGGAAGCGATGCCAGGATCAGCTCGCGCTCAACGCGCGCAAGTCTCCAGGTCTCGGCTGCAAGCTTGACGATTTTCCGTACGCTGATAAGCAGAGAATCCAAGTTTCTAGGGTCAGCAAAATGCTTGAGCTGGTCGATAATTTCGTCGACGATGACAGCAGCCACCACGTTGATCGACTGCTTGGCATCCGAGGTTGTGTAAGCTGCTTTCAGCGTCTGCTGCCTCCAGAAAGCTTCCCGTCTCACGGATTTGCGTCGAATATCCATCGACAACATCTGGAAGAAGGTATCGGCCTTATCGTACCGCCGCCCCAAGGTGAATAGGAAGGGATGGAAGATCCGGTAGGTCAGAGTCTTAGAAATGACATGTTGCACATATGCTGCTCGTAACTCACACGATGCCGGAGTGTTATCAAGGAACGATGGTAGTTCTGATGGAAGTTTGGATAGAATGTCCTTGGGAGGATCAATTGGAAGGTACGAGAAGTGCTCCTTGGACAGGGAGACAATAAGCCGAGAAAGCTGGCCGAAACAGTCCAAACTAGATTTCGGAGATTTTTATCAGAGCACGTACATTTATAGCGTTATCAACATGTCATCATAGTCATCATCATGATCAGTCTATAGAAAAAGAACTGGAGACAGACAAAGGAAATAATGAAAAGAAACAAAAGATTGTAGTCTGGTTCTGGTTCTGGTTCATGCAGGAAGAGAAGAAGAGGAAAGAAAAAGAAGAAAAAGCAAACATGACGTCGATTAAAAGCGAGAATAGAGGATGCAAAAGAAAAAAGGAAATGAGAAGAGAGTCCATAAACGAAAGTCGGGTACTAAAACACATTCTCAATGCACTGGGTCACTTACAAGAAAGAATCACCCTTCGTGCTCTTGAGGTCAGTGGCTTCTCCAAGGCTGTGAAGGGTCTTTCTCAGCCTTTCGCAATCTTTGTCCAAATTGTCAATTGTGAGGCGCATTCCATCCACCGCATGTTGGACCTGCTGTTCCTTAACAACATTGTCCTCTTCCAGTTTCTTGTTTTCGCTCTCGCAGTGTTCCAAGGCCTGGATCTTGTCCGTAAGCCGCGTCTCCAAGTCCGCCTTCTCATCGGCCCATTGCTGCTGCTTGTCACTGTGTTCCTTCTCCATCTCAGCCACCTTCTCTGCGTGGCTGGTGTTAAGGGACTCGACTTCGCTAGCGTGGGCCTGTCGGAGATCCTCCATCTCCTTGGCGTTCGTCTCAATCGTCTCCTCCAATTCCTTTTGCTTGTCTGCGAGTTCGGTGGTTCGGGTTTCAAGTTCCTCCTTGGTCGAGCCCAGCTCAGTCACCTTGGAGTCGAAATCGGCTTGCAGTGCGTCATGCGCTTCTTGCATCTGTTGCTTCTGGTTCTCGTAGTCGTTCTTCATCGCCTCCTGCTGGTCAAGCAATTCGCGTTCGCGTGCTGCTAGAGCTTCTGCTGCAGCTTTCTCATCCTCCGCCTTGATCTCCTCGAACATCTCCGTCAACTCTCGCTTTTGAGTGGCGAGGGACTCCTCTTTGTCCTGTCTGGCCTTCTCCATGTCTCTGTCGTAGGTCTCATGTGCCTCTTGGAGGTTGGTGTTCAGGGTCCTGACCTCCTCCTCGAGCTCGGATTTCGACTGAGAAAGCTCATCGTTGGCCTTCTCCGTATCAAGCAGCTTTTCTTCGAGGTCCTTTCTCTTCTCGTCAAGATTGCCCAGCTCCATGCGAAGCTCGTTGATAGTGTTCTTCAACCTGGTTGATTCCTCCGCGCTCTCACTGGCGGTCTTCCGCATCTGATTCTGCAAGGCCTCGATGTAGAAGTCTTTGTGCATCAAGGCCTGCTCATGCTGACTCTCCATCTGTTTGAACTCAGCCTCCCGCGCTTGCAATTTGCCCTTGGTGGTCTTGTAGCTGTGGAGCAACCGGCCAATGTCAGGAATAGCATCTTGGATCCTCTGAAGAAGCTCGATTGGCTCCTCATGGTGTTCCTGTGGAGGCGAGATAGTGCCCATTTTGCCATTCAGGCCATGGCCATTGGCGAAGCCCAGGTCTCGGAGGGCCTGGAAGGAAGCCGCCGAACCCGGGTCGATAGAGCCTCGGGGGGTGGGGTGCATATTCGGCGAGGGTTGGTAGTAAGCGTACTGGGGTAGGTACCCGTTGGCACTCATAATAGGCGAGTGATAAGAGGGGGGGTATTGCGGGATGGCAGACTGAGGGGGCATCCTCGCCGCCATTGGCGGGGGAGCCGTCTGTGGGGACATCATCGGAGACATGTGCCCACGTGCGAGAGGACTGCTGATTTTCGGGACTGGGGAAGCGGGCTTTGCGACAGGGGAGACGTGTTTCTGGACAGGTGATACGGTCTTTTGCACAGGTGATGCAACCTTCTGCACTGGAGAAATTGGTTGCACGGCGGGTGAAGCTGATTGAAATACAGGAGAAGCTGCTGGCGGTGTGGGAGAGGAACCCCTTTGAGACAAAATCGTAGCTTCCCGGATTGGCGAGGCGGGTTGGGCCATCGGCGAGGTATACTGTTGCACAGGAGAAGCGTAAGCCCGAACTGGGGACGCAGATTGGTGCACGGGTGAAGTGGCACGTGGTGTAGCAGCAGCGCTCTGTGGAGCAGGCGAAATGGACTTGAAGGACGGTGATGCGGTTCGCTGGATTGGTGAACCCACTTGAGGAATCGGAGAACCAGGCTTCGAGATGGATGGAGTGGTTGAGGGGGCAAACGAATCAGAGAGGGGAGTAGGCTGGGCGTATACGGCGTCCGCAAAGGGCTCAGACATTGCAGGAATATGCGAGTCAATCTCTGGGACTCCAGCGTTGGAGCGAGGGGATGCTGCCACGAATTGACTTTCCGTCGGAGGCTGTGGTTCCTCAAACGGGTCCGACGATTGGGCCGGGACGAATGAAAAATCCAGCGGTGTCTGCGGTGCTGTTACTGGCGTCTCTTCGTAGGTTTCAGCAGCGGCGTTAGGTTCCGTTAGAAAAGGGTTGTTCTCGTGGTTCACATCAGCGTCTCCCGCGTGTTGCTCCGATGTGCCTATTTCCTCCCAGCTCGACTCTTGTGGCTGTTCGAAATAGGTCTGCGCATCATTCACGTCCGGTTGCTCGATCTGGGCGGGCTCATAACTGGCTGGTTGCTCAAACCCACCCTCGTCGTTCACTGGTGACTGGACTGGTGCCTCGTCTAAGGGCACAGTCGAGTCTTGCTCGACGACAGCCTGTGATTGCTCCAGTTCCGGTTCTTGGTCTGGCAGCAACTCCGGTTCTAGTGCAGGTTCTGGTACGGTTTCAGACACAGGCACTGCTTCTGCTGGCTGCGATTCGGCCGGCGGTTCGGCTCCGGCGTCAGCTTCAGGTTGAGGTTCAGCTTGAGCTTCGGTGGGTGGTTCTTGGTGTTGCTGCTCGTCAGGTTGTATGTCTTGCTGTTCTTGCAGACCCTCTTGTTGTTCTGCTTGTTCGGGAGTCTCCTCGAGCTGAGCTGTCAGTGGCTCTTGGTCTTGCGGTTCTACTTGCTGCTGTTCTGGCACGGCCTCTAGCACCGGCTCTGGCTCTAGCACCGGCTCTGGCTCTGGCTCTGGCTCTTGAGTGGGGACCTCGGGCTGCTGGATCTCTAGCTGCGGGTCTTGCTGGCCCTCTGGCTCACCCTCTGACGCAGGGGTGGAGAGATCAGGTTGAGCTGTCTCGCTCTCTGGCTGTTGTTCCTGCTGCTCTGCTTGTTGTTCTGGCTCGGGGCTGGATAGCTCAGGTTGAGGTGTCTCTTGTTGTTCTAGTTGTTGTTGTTCTTGCTCGATGGCAGAAGGGTCCGGCTGAGGTGTCTGATTCCCAGAGGCCTCTTGGTTCTTGCCCTTCTTATTCTTTTGTTTGCTACCGGACTTGCCTTTGCCTTTCGCCATGGTGGGCAATAGTGATGCGTGCCCAAGTTAGAGTAAGGCTGACAGACGTGTTCCCAGTAGACTAAGAAAGTAACTCTGTCAGCGGAGATAGGATTGGGTGGCTGTGGGTTTAACACAGTACATGTACAAGCGCGTTCGGCGGCGGCGTGATATATTCCGAGTTGATATGGGTACAGAAAGAAACGCAGGGGCCCGACAGGGACGGTAGGTGGTCACACGGTCAGGCAGGAAAAAAACGGGAGGGGAAAAGAGAAGGAGAAAATTAGGAAAATAGGGGGAAATGGAAAATGTTCAAGCCCGGGGAGCGGAATCTATGCAGGTGGGCGCAAATGGCTGGAATACACGAAGACAAATCACCGGATGTCAAATGGCAAGTTTGCCAGCGGACAGACACTCCGGAAGGCCAGGATGGATTTCCACACGCTGGCTCTTAAAATAGTTGATTTCTGAGGAATGAGATTCAAGCGAAGAGGCGACGTTGGGGAAAAAGAGGGCAGCTAATAACCGGTTCCCAGTCACGCCCAAACCAGAAAAAGTGCATGGTGCAAAGCACTCCGGACCAGCCTCAGGGGGGCTGGGCGAGGCGCAACGCGGACCGAACCTTAGAGGGCAATTGATACCCATCCATCATAGGAGTCATGAGAGTCCAACTAGGCGAGAAAGGCAAGAGAACAGCTTTGGGTGCAAGAAGGGGGAGCATCGGAGTGGACCGAAGCGTTCGAGTCCGGACTCGTCGCGGATCCAATCAGCAGGCGGATTCATCAGCATTGGGCATCAATGACTCGATCTTCGGGGTGGCAGGATGAATCAGAAGACGAGCGGCGGATAAAGCGACCTCAAGCATGCTATTTCCAGCGTCGTAGCCTGAGCTCTCTCAAACACCGCCGAAGAGAGGGGGCAAGGCCTATGGGTGGGGGGTGGACAACGCTAACAACCGATCGATGACATGTCGCTGTTGATATCCAGACGTTTAGAAGCCCACATGAATTGGCAGAACCTGAAACCCAATTACTGCCGCGCTAATCGCAGGCAGTGGGGAGCGCCATGTTGAAGTGAGGCAGTTAGCCATGCATCAGGACCACCCAGGGTGCGGTGTGGGAGCACCGTCAATCAGCATTGACGAGCCAACACACAGCGACCCGCCGCCCGGGGGGGGGGGAGGATCCATGCACGCCCAGGGAAGGAAGGCAGTTCGACCATTTCCCCAACCCCGTTCAAGGCGAGGATTCCATGATCCCTCCCATGCTGCAGGCAAGGCGAGAATCCGAGGGCCTGAGGGTCGTCATATTTGACCGACATGCAGGCGTTAGTTAGGCCGACAGAGGAGGGGGGAGCAAAGTCTGGCTGCAACTTTGCCAGTGTCTCCTCCATGGGACCATGAGTCGATCTGCAGGAAGTGTAAGATTGACAGTTGACGGACTTAGTCATGAACGGGCCACTCACCCACCCACCCATTACTTGCCGGCCTTACCTTGGCTTACGTAAGGTAGGTGGAGATCACAGAACAGGTGACCTTAGAGTCACGGGACTGGCCAAAAGGGACTAAACCTAGACAGGTAACGATCCCAGCCTGCCAGCCCTAAACCCAATGCAGTATCCAAATCACGTGCTCTCCGCCTCGAACCGCCTTCTGCGCTTTCAACCTCCCCAAATCCCTCGGCGACGACATCATACTCGATCCGCCGCTGCCAATTGTCTACCTCCACACCATGTTCTTCGCCCGGCGATCGGTGCCTTCGGCGCGGCTCCTGCTGCGGAACCAGCAGCCCCGGCGATTCGACTCCCACGCAGCTCACCATGCCGCGCCTGTGAACGAGAGCTTCGGCGTACGTTTCCCTACCTTTTCCCCTCCTCCAATGAACACAAGCGACCCCTCGTCGACGGCGACTCTCATTCCACGATTGAATGGCCCATGACTAATGTCCGATCTTACGCATGATACAGCGCAGTTTCTACGTCACCATCGGCACCTTCGCGTCCTGCTACGTCCTGTACCGACTGAACAAGGCCAACGAGGAGTCGGGCTCCCCGTCATGGATCTCCAACCTCATCCAGAAGTGGACCCCTTCGGAGCAGGTCTTTGAGCAGAGAAACGCAATCCGCACCGCCGTCATGGAGAAGGCCGCTAGTGATCGCCACTTGTTCGCCAGTCAGGGTCCCCGGGAGACCTTTGAATTGAAGCAGCCTGAGTACGTTGTTGCCTTGCCCCCCCCCCCTCCATCTTCAGGATCGAATGGTATGCACTAACCGGATTTTCTGCTTATAGGGTCAGCTTCAATGCCGTGCCCCCCTACAATGTCTCCCCGGGCCAGAACGCGGATCTGAGCCATGTTGTCGCTCACTACCAGCGTCAGAATCAGGAGCTTGAGGAGGCCCGTGTAGCTCGCATGAAGGACGGCAAGGTTGTGTCTCTTTATGAGTAGACAAACAAAATTTGTTCCATTGTTTTTGTTATGAATATGTCGGTAATAGACATAGGAAGCAGGACTTGTTTGTTGTACATATAACCGGGCAGAGTTCAAGGTTCTTTTTTTTCCCGTTTCATCAGTGTCATCTGCCGCATCTTCTATCCTTATAAATCTAGCAAGCATCCAAGAATCGCAAGACTCTCTGAGTGAAACCGACACAGAGTACTGTAGGTCGGTTTTGGCCCTATCGATCGCATCACCCGCTGAATCAATAAGATTGCATGTTTATCTAAGCTCCCGTTATTGCTTGAGAGCAATCTGCAAGACCACCCTCCCAACGCCCTCAGACTTGATATCCAGTCGCTCCTCCACCTTGAGTTCCTCACTACCACTAACACCTCCCAGCACAGCAAGGAACTCATCCACACCACCCCCAACACCGAAGTAGACCTTCTTCGCCGCCAACAATGCCCCACTTTGAACCCCCTCCTGCGCCGTCCGACGCAGCAAGGCAAGCAACGTCTCAGAGAACGCCAACAGCGAAGCAGGCGAGTAGATCGTCTCACTAGCAAGGATCAAGACGCTTCCTCTTCCCTTCTGGTCGGACGCAAACACCAAGTCCACAAAAGCGGGCGACCAGGCACCGGAGATAAAATCCACCGTGATGCCTCGATTGGCGATATCGTCCCGGAAGCTTTGCACCAGCTCAGGCGTGATATCGAGCTCTTCTTCCTCTGCCTCTGGGCCACCATCCTCTGGCGAATCGGAGGCTTGCTTATGTGAGATGGTGTAATTCCAGGTCAGTAGGAGGTTGGGGAACGTGACGAGACGAAGAACGGCGGAGTTGTAGTCCGCGAATGTGAAATGGGTCTTCCGTTGAGTGGTTGATGATGATGGCTCTGACAGTAGTTGTGCGAAGAGCGCTAGTGAGGGCACGGCGGTGCCTGCCCCGAGCTGTAGATCGTATGGTCAATATCTAGTGCAGTGGGTGCAGCCTAATATTTGAAGATCATACCTCAATGATGTGTCGGTCTTGGGTGGGCTTGGATACGTCGTCAGTGTCGACAAGCAGTCTGGCTAAGTCCACGGCGCATTCCCACGTCTTGAATCCGCCTTCATAGAAATTGGGTTTGATGTCGCCCTTTTCGAGACCAGCAATCAACTCCTCGTTGTCCTCGTCGGGAGTGTCTTCGGCCATCAGTTGAGTCCGGATGTCGAACACTTCCCGACGAGCAAGCGTGATTGGTTTCCCGGTGTTTTCATCCTGGGAAGCGTCGTGTGCAAGCTTGAGCTTGTTGAATGAGATTTGCGAGGGGAGACTCGGAACCTGTAGGATGGTTAGAACATACCATAGGAGAAGGTATGAACTATCCTTTGAAGGGAGCAACATTTCGAGTACAAGGGCCAAGTAGTATATGTGATAGTGTATGCCAGATCAGCAGACTTACCCACTCCGCCATATCATGCTTTCTAGCTGCAATAAGCTCCGGCAGCGCAGCTCCAGCATTGAGACTCTGGCCATTGTTCGTCTCGTTGATCTCATTGACCTCTGTTTCATCGATATCGATATCAATATCGTCCCCCGCAAACCCAAAGCTGAACGTGGACGTCATGACGCAGCGGAATTTTTAACGATGTAGCTATCCACAACCAGAGGCCAATATCGACCTTTATCTTGATGTGGATCTTGTAGTAGCAAAGTCGGGAGCAGTAGACGATGGTTTCCCGAATCCCGGCAACTCTCTGTCAACGAGGTGGGGTATCTTATAGTCTAGATTCAGATTGTGGAAAAGAAGAAACTGGCTGTTCCAATCGCAGACTAAAATTGGTAAAAGTTGAATGCAATGAGTCTCGGGCGATGCAATTGCCGATTATGACCTAGAGAGGATCGATCTAGTTATTAAGCTGCCAATGCCTGGATCTTCGCTTGAAGCTTTCGTCCAGATTTTTGCATCCTCATAACTATCATTGATGACTAAGCGCCGCGCTTCATTGCGATAACCACATAGACGAAGTATACAGTAGTATGCTCGGTGATGAAACAGGAATAGTACTTTATTACTGGCAACAATTATTGGTGCGTATAAGTTCTATTGGAAATGAATTGAATCCTTTGCGGTCATGATTGGGCCTGTCGAAATATGCTGAGCAGGGCCCTCTATCGTCGTTACATATATTTTTAACGTAGAACGCTCTATGTAGTGTCCCAGAAACGCGCAGGCAAAATCTCAGGTATCTAAGCAGCTCCGTTTCCCACCTTGGTGGCGGCCACAGCCTTCTCAAGGGCCTGGAGAGTATCGGCCAGGAGATCCTCCGCATCCTCGACACCGCAGGACATACGGACAAGGTCGTCGAAGACACCAGCAGCCTCCCGCTGGTCCTTGGGGATACCAGCGTGGGTCATGCTCGAAGGAACCTCGCAAAGAGACTCGACACCGCCCAAACTCTCAGCCAAGGTGAAGACCTTGGTGTATTTGCAGAAGAGATGAGCAGCTTCCTGACCGCCCTTGATACGGAAACTCAGCATACCACCACCCATGCCCTGGCGGTGTTGCTTGATAGCGATGGCACGGTGGGGGTGAGAGTCGATACCAGGGTAGTTAACGGAGATGACGTGGGGAGAGGCCTCGAGGGCCTTGGCGACAGCCGTCGCGTTGGTGGTCGCCTCGCGCGCGCGCAGGTGGAGGGTCTTGAGACCACGGTGGGCGAGCCAGCAATCAAAGGGGGAGGGAACGGCGCCAATGGCGTTCTGCAGGAAACCAAGGCGCTCTTTCAGGCTGTCAGAGTTGAAGGCAGCAACGCCCATCAGGACATCCTAATTCTCGGTTAGCAAGATGCCTCCGGGGCGAACAAACGACTCTGTGCTTACCGAGTGGCCGTTGATATACTTGGTGACGGAGTGAACCACGATATCGGCACCGTGGTCCAGAGGGTTCTGAACATAGGGACTCAGGAAGGTGTTGTCAACCACGACCAGGATACCGTGTCTGTGTGCAACCGCAGCAATCTTCTCAATATCGACCAGGCCCAGGGTGGGGTTGGACGGGGATTCGATCCAGACCAATTTCGTCTCGTTGGGGCGGATCAGTTCTTCAACATCAAGCTCGATGCAAGGCGAAAAGGTCACATGGACGCCATGGGCAGAAGCGACCTTGGTGAAGTACCGGTGAGTTCCACCGTAGACGTCGGAGACGGAGACGATGTGCGAGCCCGCCGCCAGGGACTGGAGGATGACGGCGGTAGTTGCGGAACCGGAGGAGAAGGCGAGGGCATATTTGGCGTGTTCGAGAGCAGCGATGGCCTGCTCAAAGTGATCCCTGGACAATCGTCAACATCTCTGCCAGTATCACAGCCATGGCGACTTCGTTCCACTGACCGGTTTGGGTTGGAGCTCCGGGTGTATTCGTAGAGACCGACAGGGTTTCCAACGGTGGTTTGCGCAAAGGTGGTGGAGAGGGAGATCTACATGGCCTGTCAGCTCTTGCACGGAAAGAAGCACCCGAGATCTGGAGACCCGGGTAGTGCCATACTAGTAGTAATGGTAATGTGAACTGACCGGAGCAATGACAGCGCCGGTGGTAGGGTCATGGGGAGCACCGGCGTGGACGGCCAGAGTTCCGAAGCGACGATCCTGAGGGGCCGAGGCTCCGTTCTGGGAGGGAAATTCGCTATGGCCAACCATCGTGACGAGTTATGGAGAGAAAAGTCTAAACTGGGGAGGATGAGATGCAGCAACGAAAGATAAAAAAAATGACAAGTCGCTCCGAGTAGTATGTATGCTAAATGGCACAGGTGGATGATAATGATGATGAGATCACAGGCCCCCTGCAAGACGCGATCCGTCTAATATACCCTATGCACGGCGGGCAGGCGGGCTCTCGGTCTTTCTAGGGTTGCGATTTGTAATTGGAGCCAAGGAAAAAAAAAAAGATCAACGCCGAGGGCGACAACAAGAGAAAATTCTGGCTGATGCCGGGTTTCTTTTACGTTGCGCTGACGGGATGCTGGAGATCTATAGGACGAGTGGTCGAGAGGGACCCGCGCGGAGTTCCAGAAAATGGCCCGAAGCAATCCTGAATCCACATCCACTGCGTGTCTTCGCCGCCTTTAACCGTTAATCCTTCAACCCATTAGTACTTAGTAGTATTTGGCGGGCAGGATCGCCGACGCTCTTCCGGACCGCTTGAGTGTGTTCCACTTCTGGCACTATCCTTTACATAGATAGATATTATCTATCTGTCTATCTATCTATCTACCTAGCCATCCATAATGACCTCGTCGCGCAAGGGAGCCCCAGCTCTCCGTCAACCAATGAATGACCCATGGTTCCTCTGGTTGGCTCATACCATCCCTTGATTTCGACATTGAACAATGAAAACAGCGATTGTAGCCAAGATCATGTCATTATTCGTCTAACGATGGGCAGCTAATCTTCGTCTGCTGCAATATCCCAACATGGTATATTCAAACATGCAAACCCTCACACAAGCACTTTTAACGGACAGTGTACAATGCAATCCCCTTCCATGGAAAGCCCCTCGTATTCACATAACAAAGCCCGCCATTACCACCACGAAGTCGGGCCCAACCCAGCCATTTGCATGGATCCTATAATCGAATAGGGGGACTTCCGCTCAATTGCGGACGCATCTCCTAGATCCGGCGCATTGGGGATCTGGTCGTGCCACTCTTCCATCTCAACGCGGAAACGGACGACTTCTCCCACATCAAAGTAGAATGTCGAGCCGTCTTCATTTTCCCACACCCAGACTTGATCGGCGTAGTCACTGATACCCGTCAATAAGGTGACATAAGGGGACGAATGTCAAGTCGGGGGGGGAGGGGCACTCACAATCTGGCGCCATCCAAGAGTAGATCCGGAGGCACAAGGATATCGTTAAAAAACTCTACGGCAACTACGCACTGTAAGCAGGGGTGTAAGTCGAGGACATACAAGGTACACCTACCTTTGATGCCGTGCTCAGTAGCACCTGAAATCTTCCCCAGCATGATCTCCCCCTTGAACGGGCGGAAAACGATCAGGCGGAACTTGACTGCGGGCGCGGTTAGGTGCTCTGCTATGGCATACAAGAGACAATATGTCACAGATAGAGAGACGACCTACCGTTTACATTGACCAGTCCGGTACCATGGCCAATCAGGCCATCTGATGACTCTAGCAGGTCGTAGAAACCAATGCATAGGCCGATTTTTTGGATTACCTTCACGGGAAGAGGTCAACAAGGCCCAAAAGCAACCGGCGATCCCAGCCAGCGTCGAATAGGAAAGAAACTTCAAGTTGGATGATGATGCGCTGGTACATACTTTATTGGCATACTTCTCATTGATATTATCCTCGAGAGCCACAACGCTATATTTGGAGAAATCCTCCGGGGAGATCTGGATCAGATCTGAGATGGTAGTCTGGGAGAGTCAGGTCAGCCTAGACTCTCATTTCAACATTCACTGCGAGCTTCGGACAGCGGAAGATCACTGACAAGAATAAACATGATGAAGTCGCTTGACGTAGCGCTCAACGGCTGGTGGGGGAAAAGATCTTTCTTTTCTATTCTAGTAGGATAGCCAGTCGGGGGAAATGATCAAAGCGGTCGGGACTCAATTCCATGTTCAGGAGCCAGTCCAATTCAGTTGTCTTCCATCGGACAGTCTTGGGGGTCAAGCTTTCCACAATCCCAGATGCATGATATATATCTCGCAGTAGGTAGATATCTATCCAGCAGCAGCTCTAAAGCGACCGACCGAGACTGGCGCAAAAGCACTGCAGCAAGGCCGACAGCCAATCGCAGGCCACAGACCTGCCTGAAATTTCTGCCTGAGGGCGCGGGCCCCACGTGTGCACGTGAGCGGCACGCGATTCCTCTTTCTGCTCGGAACGGAACAACGACGGTTTGTCACTGATGGTCCGTCGGCCATTTATGAGTTGCGACTTCGTGAAGTCTTCGCGATGCCGTGAGGATGGCGTGCATGCTGCCTTGCTTTGAAGGTCGACTGAGATCTTCTCGCCATGAACCCCCAGGGATTCTCTTTCCCTCCTCCCCCTCCTCCTCCCCCTCCCAGCAGCAGCAACAACAGCAATCGCCGCCGCAACAGCAACAATATCACCATAATGGAACCTTCCCGGCCCAGTATGGGGGCCAGGGCTATTATGGCCAGCGAGGTGGCCGTGCTCCCGGGGCCCATTTCAGAGGCCGGGGTAGAGGGTATGGGAATCGAGGAGGTGCCCGAGGAGGTCATTTCATGACACCTGATGCCAACCGCGCTTATCCTGCCGCCACGCCTTCCGTTGGCTACGCCCATATGAACTACGCTGCGTATCCCACCCAGCCTCTGTCAACTACTCCCCACGCCATTCCGACAACCCAAGTCGCTCCTCCAACATCGCCGAACTTTCAACACCCCCCGAATGCCTCCTCTTTCACCGCATCGCAGCCGTTCACGCAGCAAGCAGCACGTCTGCCGCCTTACCAAGGCCAGCCTAACTACGGTGGGACATACACTCCGTCGCCTGCACAGCCGGGACCTGCATATCCTTCTGTCATGCCCTCGCACCAACACGTCAACCAGCCAGTTCAAACGCCAATGATGGGTCCACCCATGCGCTGGGGGTTTGAGCACACGGGGCTGGCAGGATCTTTCGCTGGAGCTCAGCGCAGTCCTCAGCGCGGTGGGCGCCCATACAATGGTTACAATGCTCAGCCACCCACCGGTGACAGGCCAACGAATTATACGAACAAGCGTGATCATAGTTCGGCGTTTGGGAAACCTCAATCAGTCGCGCCGCGAATTCCCGCCCCGCCTCCGGTTCCGAGCTTTGGGAATCCTCTGCCCTCAAAACCACCCCCACCGGCCGATGCCACGCGGAAGCCGAAAAAGAAGAAGAGAAAGCATAATCAACTTGGATTGACACCGAAGACCGAGGAACATGAGTCGAGCGAGGAGGAAGACGATGCAGACGAAGAAGCGAGACTGGCAGCCGGAGGTGGTGGCGCTTCAGCATCTCTCCAGATCACATACCGAGGGAAGACCGCTACCCTGCAATCACAGGAGGATATTGCTGCCTGGATCAAGGAGCGGAGGAAACGGTATCCAACCCAAGCGAGAGTGGAAGAGAAGAAAAAGGCCATGGAAGAAGCAAAGAAAGCGCGCCAGGAAGCGCAACGGCAAAGGGATTTGCGAAAGCAAGAATTGAAACGAGCGCAAAAGGATGGTCGAAATCGAAAAGAGCACGACAAGCAAACCAAGGAGCAACCTGCCGACCCCATGGACGCCGCTGCGAAGGCCAAACAGAAGGCGGACAAACTGCGGCGAAAATTAATGAAAGAAGAGAAGCGTGTTGCCAAAGCCGAGGCAGATGCTGAAAGGGCCAGGATTAGGGCCGAGGAACTACAAAAGGGATCGACAGATGCCAATGTGGACAAGTCATTGGCCACTCCAGAAGCTCAGGCCCAACCGAATGGCCCAGATCCCGAGAGTAAGTCTGGCAAGCCCGCGTCCACCGCGGCTGAGGGTTCAGAAATCAACCACTGCGACACCACGCCGGCGACAGATATCAAGTCAGACACTGGAAAGTCCGAAGAGACTCGTGAGGGTGACGGGCTTAGCGTCCCATCTTCAGAGATATCCGATAGCAGCGATTGGACGTCGTCAAGTGGGTCAGATTCGTCGTCTGATGATTCTGACAGCGATGATGATTCCGCGCCGGAGGAAGCGAGCTCTCGACGAGAGGGACCCGAGCGGCTACCGCCACCGGCCCGTGACAGCAAGAAAAAGGTATGCAGGCACTTTGCTCGAAATGGCCGCTGCGCGCGTGGGCAAAACTGCCGATTTTTGCACGAGGCGCCTGAGCGAGCAAGTAAAGCAAAGCCGACGGAACCACAGGGACGAAAGGGGCTTTTACAAGCGGTGAGTCCAGCATTCCCCATCTGTTGCAAGTTCCGGCCCTATTGTGGGGACAAGACTAACGAGCACAATTGCTAGCTTCTGGAGCGCCAAAAGGGAGAAGAAGACCGGAAAGTCATGGAAGCAATTGCATGGCTTGGGGAGAACGGGTTTCTGGATGCACCGACGGACCTAGGGGACGCCAGCGACAAGACCTCGGTGACCGAGGGCGCGGAAATTACACGGCATGCTGAAAAGGAGCAACAGGCAGCACCCGAAGCCACAATTTCCGGGCAGGAAGCCGATGCGGCCGCCGTCACTGCGTAGAATAGGGAGTAGTATCCCACTCTCTCGAAGGCCATGATGCAATGTACATACATCGCTAGACTCACGTATATTACCACGCCTCGTGTCAAGCTCGGGCGAGCATCAGCAGACCCACTCCGGATTCCCTTTCAGCGCGTATTTGTCTATCTGGGTACTCCGTCTGGGATCATGGGATGGGTTTCCTAGGCCCGGAATAAACCAGGTGGCGGTTAGGCAATTCGGGCGAATGTAACCGCAGCTGCACCAGGGTGGCCACCGTCGCGAACTAACAATAGCGATGCGGCTGCTCTTCGCTTAGGCCTCCCTAAGTGTACCAAAGCTCGACAGTAGTGGCGCCTCCCCGCTTTGGGTTGCGCTTGGGAAAGATTAACCCATCTTCCTCGTTCCTAGTTCCTGGTTGTATGATTCCTGGGCGCGCGGACAAGATCCAATCTCCATAGCACTCCGTCCATTGGGTGCCTAGGCGGTGGGTCTTGGGTCTAGGATTAGCATGCCAGCGGATTAGTATCCCCTCGAAGGCAAAAGAACAATGGCTGACATCCAGCCCATTGAGTAGCGTGAAAAATATCGGACTTACGCACGGAGTAGGTAGCAGTGCATCTAGTAGGGAGGCCACGAACATGAAGAGGTTCGGGTCCGATAATCCTTAACGGATTGGGGCGACCAAGTGGACTTGAAGCTTTGCACATTACTGGAAGAGGAAAGAGGCGTTTGGGGGTGGGAGAACCGGAGGAGAACCGGAGAACTACGGGGGTTGCTGCGAGAACAGGGACATAGATATTAATATTGGATAGGATGTCGGTGGCTTATTTAGATCCTGGATGCAATGCCTCGGTCATTTCATTTCTCTAGTAGTCTGTCTCTACTCTCTACACAGTTAAAGTACTACTACTCCGTAGTCAGGCATTGATAATCACTATCGGCCGCATCCACATGCCAGTCCGCACATCATGATAAGATTGATCCCCAGCCCAATAAGAGACATTACTATCTATCCACTACTAGTAGTACTCCGTACCTAGTATAACTTAGTACTGCTACCTGATACCTAGATATGTAGTATGTAGTATGTAGTATGTAGTATGTAGTATGTACTACTATGATAATATCATCATCCAATGGCTCCTGTCGGGGATAAGAATTTATGCTTCTGTCAGGTACAGAATAAAATACACACAGCTCTGGCTGCCCTCGAGCTAGACCCGAACGAGGCCGTCGCAGGCTCACAAACTTTGCCGGGGTGGAACAGCCGGAGAGGGTTAATTTCAATTCTGCCCAATGATCGCCCACATGCTTTGGATTGCGCTGCGGGAAGTTGGGAAAGTTGGGATTCTCCCCCCTGAGCCTGAGAGGCCTCTCACCCAGCTCCTCTTCGTATCGAGAGCTATATTTACTCCTCGATCTCCGGACCAACGCGGATAGGTCGTATCGAAACTGCCATCACTCACTGAGGCGGCGGATCTATCTGTATATTTATTGAGTATTGGCCGCCGCCGCCAATGACCCCGGGCTCAGCGCGAAAGTTGTACTAGACTACTAGTACTAGTGGCGTAGGACCTACGCTACGCCCGAGGCCGGCCTGAGCCCTTTCCCCTCTCTCTTTCCGCCCAAGTGGGAAGAGAATGAGGGGATCCGGACCGGGCTTTCACCGGGAGTCCAAGCCAGAACCGCCCGAACAGAAGGAGTCAAGGGACTAGTGGCCCTAAGGGAGGTTAGCGCCACTGGAGGATGTGCCCCGTTCTTTCCGAATCCTGTGAATTGGCTCCGATACTAGGGATGCGAAGTGAATTTTCAATTTCATGAAAAAACACGATTTTTTGGCGTTTTTCATTTCACGGTGTATGGGGGTGAAAAGGGTTAAACCACACTAAATTTGTATGGGCTTAGCGTCATGATTTAGTCTATTTTAATACTTAATTTGGCTTAGTGCTTAAGCTAATTTTCTTTAGACTAAATTATTTTTCTAAAAAAAAAGATATAAGCGTGAATCGAACTTGTGATTATAAAAAGATATTATACTATTAGACTATCTGTCTTAATTAGTAAAAGTTTATTTCCTTTTTTAATATATAAGTTAAAAACTCGCGCAATTTTTATATTTTCTAGTAAAAAAACACTATAAACCTGCAATTTTATATAATAATATAAGTAAATTGTTACAGACCCCTGCTAGTCAAGCTACTAGCGAGGCGGACTCGTCAGGCAGAAAGCACCGACAAGGCGACGTTCGGGAACTAGCAACTCTTATCGAGTAGAATCCCGGTTTGAGTAACACTCGGAACGGCCTTACATCACGTGATCATCTACCATCACATCTACCATTGAAGGTATACTCAGGGTATACTGGGATCCCGGATCACGATTGGATCGACCATCGATCTACCCTGGATGGTATACGATATGGTATACGAAGGATAGGATATAAGGACACTCTTTCATGTACTTAGATAGTTCTGTTATTCGTGCTCAATCCACCGTCTTTAAGTAACCATACGTTTGGAAGCTTAGCGACAACACTCGTCCGCACTTACTTACGGATAGCTGCGCGGCACTATTCGGCCTTACTTCTCTCCTCTTGTCCAAGACCAGTTGTTCCTAGATAGTCATCAGCCTGATACATCCTCGATTCAGTTCGACGGTACGTATACCAGTGAAGCTAAGCTAACCGGGACAGGGAAGCGATCCTAGGGTTTGACATAAATCTATACTTAATATTCTAATTTAAATTAGAAAAGTATAAGTAATCTTAATAAAAATATATATAAAAAATACTATATCGTGTACAGATATATATATTTTAGTATAAGTATATATACTATATATTACCCGCGATTTTTAATTTTATTGATTAGTTAGATAAGGATCCATTACTATCACGTGATATTGAAAAATTTCAAGGTTCAACCGCATGAAATTTCAATATTTCTGAAAAAGAGGTTCCCAATGTCATTTTTACCATCCCTATCCGATACAGCAGGTACGCCCGGTACGCTAGGCTCGAATGCTCTTAGCAAAAGACAGGAACAGGCAGGAACAGGAAGGCCCGGAGTCCACTCGGCCTGGCACTAGTCACAGGGTCATCCAATCCATCGCATCGCCCGGTTATTGTGCTCTGCGTCGCTCTGTCCACAATAATGGATCCTCAGAGTCAGAGCAGTACGGAGTGGTATACATAGTCATCCTCCTCCCCCCCCGTGGCTCCTGCCTCTTTCTCTCTCTTCTCTTTTCCCTCTCCTCTTTCCCTCTCTCGTGCGATTTCCCCATTCGACGTCGGTCCTTCGTTCTCGTCGTCCACGCTCTCTTTCACTGACTCACCCGGTTCACTCTTTTGACCGTCTGTCGCATTGAAGTCATTCCTTTGCTTCTTGTACTACCCACACTCGCATCTTGCATTTACGTCTGTATTGCATATCAATTCACTATTGTATCGAATCACCCCATTCACATCTACATCCTCACACACCTCCATCAATATGCGCTCTATGTTCTACTTCGCTCTGAGCGCCCTCGCGACTCTCGCGACCGCTGCCCAGAACCCCTTCAACGTTCCCGATGGTGGTTACGAATTTGAGGCTGGTAGCCCGACCACCCTCATCTGGGACCCGACCACCAGTGGCTCCGTGACCCTGCGTCTCCAGTGGGGTGCTGTCTTCACCACTACCACCGGCGATCTCATTGCCGGTATGTTCCTGTCGTCGCTGCTTTGTGTGGAGAGGTTTGATGAGGCGCTGACTGACTGGATTTAGGGAGCATTGACAACTCCGGTAACTACACTTGGACTCCTTCTGCCAGTCTTGCCAGCCGGTCCGACTACACCGTCGAGATCATCGACGATGATGACACTAGCATTGTCAACTACACCCCGCGTTTCTCGATTGCCGGTACGACCGGCTCGGTGACCACCAGTGTTGCCTCATCGACCACGACTTCTGCCGCTTCCAGCACTTCTTCCTCCAGCGGGCAGTCCACCACGATCAGTGCGACTACTCTGTCTACTGCAACCTCGAGCACTAGCTCTTCCACTTCTTCCGCTTCTTCTTCCACCACCGACTCGGCCTCCACCGCATCGGCCTCATCCTCTAAGACTGCCTCGTCTAGCTCTTCGCTTACCGCGAGCTCTAGCTCTTCCAGCGCTACTACGACTACGCTGTCTACGAATGCCGGTATGGTCAACCGGGTGTCTATCGGAATGATGGCACTTGTCCTTGGAGCCGTTGCGCTCATCTAAGCTCATGACGACGTTCTATTTGTCCCGTCCGACCGAGGGTGCCATTCCAATGGTCGGGTTAGGACACCCTTTTACTTTCTGGTACATAGATTTTGAGCGCCTTCTCTACGCCTTCTTGTTCACCCTTTTACACTTCTAACGCCCTCTTTGAACTTTTACTTCGCTTGCCCTGTTGGATTGTCTGGGGTTGCATGGAACTTTCCCCTCTCGTGGGGTTCATCTTTGTGTGTCGGAAAGAGAAGTTACATCCAGGCTTTCAGTGCCGTGTGCCGTTGGCAATGGCGTGGGTATGTTAATTATTACTACGACCTTGTTTTGCGTTTCCGGATGGGAGGCCCTAATGGGTTGGACCCCGGACTCTTATGGTGTATGTAGATACGGATTGTGTAATGAATGATTAGTCTATCAAGCTGAATCCCAAGGGAGGAAGTACTATGTATCCAGGTAGCTGTGTGGTGTGTACACGGTACACGGTACCTGCATGATGAAACGGTGAAGATTCTGACGGGGTGGGGGAGATGAGCCTTGCTTGGTGGCCGGCCCACAGTGATCTCGACCCCAGCAGACCGGCCTGTATGAGATTGGGCCGACCCAGTAAGGATAATTTTGAATCAGTCAAGAATACCCCGGAGTAATACAGCCATTGATTTGCCAGAGACATGTCGATGGCCATCAACAACCGCCTCGTGCCTGGTATATAGGCCGTGTTGTTTGAATCATAATGAACCGTAATAATCAATGAGGGAGGGAAGCGGAATACAGTAAAATGACATGGGAAGATCTAGACCATTGGCGGGCTCCACGAGAATCCAACCAGGCCGTTGGCCAAGAGGGTCCACTCACCCTGTGGAGAGGAGCGAAATCAATTTGATCAGCGTGTTCATCATCAGTCGAAAATTAAATGGGTGATACCTAGATATTAGATAAAGATTTAGGGTGTCCTTGACTCCTTGATGATTTGGTGTTTTGTGCCAAGCTTCTGGGGTCAAGATAGACTGTTTTGTTTGCTTGGAGGTCGAAAAAGGACCAAAAAAAAAAACCTAGAGCGCCTAATGTATGGGTATTACTATGTATGCATGTAGCTGCCTACTTGTATCTCTCCCTGGAGTCCTGCAAGGTACATTGGGTGGGTAGATGGATGTATACAGATAGATCATCACGGGTAAAGTAGACATGGGCGCACGCAGGGTTCTACTACTATGTAATACTACCTATAGGTAGGCTACCTAGGTTCTACTACCCCTGAGACCCAAAGTCAAATACAAGTAAGGAGTCTACTCAGGTATTGTACGTACGGAGTAGTGTGTTCACTACTATGCAGGAAAGGGAGTGTCTGAAAGTTAGCATGCTACCTCTATGAAGTATGAAGATCTGACCGTCATTGTTATGATGTTTCCTACTCCGTACTTGAGGCACCAAATCGACTGGGGCATCGGCAGTCCGAGAAACGAATTCTTGGGATTGGCTGATCGGCAATATATGATCCATTCTGCAATTCGGCGGATGTGATTGGTGGATCCGATTAGTCCATTCCATCCAGATTTACTTCCTTCCAGAATCCAGTTCATTACTAGTAGATATTATTAGGTATCAGTAGTTAGATATCTATCTACTTCTTTGTGTTCGTGGGTTGGCGGAGGCTAGGCTATTTTGGCGCTAGTTCAATTCCTTCCTTTTCATCATCAGATAATGATATAGATAGAGAGAGAGAGAAAGTATAGACATTACTCCGTTGACAGATATCGGTTTCTGAGCTGTGGGGAAGTCATTCCATGCAATTCATCCCGCTGAAATCAGATACATACTTATAGTGACACAAACTATCTCATTATCCACATGCAGACCAACTGTGGCGCATACACCACTGCAAGTAAGCGACCAATGCCCCCTCGGACTTAAACTCCCAGTCCGACATAGTCTCAGCCTATACTCCGGACTTACTAGCAAATGATGCCGCTGGCCACTGGGTACTTTCTGCGCAAGCTTTCCTGGTCTCCAGAACAGGCGACAGAATTCCTTAGCGTCGGATATTCGAACTGGATGGATCTCCCCATCAGTTGGTGATGGGGGGGGGGGGGGGGCACCTGATGCAAACAAGGCACAGAGGTGACGCCATTCCTTCGATCACGCCACCTCCTCGCCAACTTCATCTCATCAACCATCTTCCTCGATACCATGATAGAAAGAACACCCTCATCCGATACTTTGAGTACTAGCCTACAAGTCCACTCTTCATCTTCAACAGGCATTTTACATAAACATCACCTGTCCAATTAGCACGTAGAGGCTGGACGCGGGGCGTGGTTTCAGTTGGGCGCTTACAGACTACAGGGCACCATGATTACTGATGGCTTCGACAGAATCTTCCTGTGCAGCAAGTCTACTAGGTAGGCATTACAATTGAGAAATGCATACGAGCATACAGGAAAGTTTCGCAGCAGGTTCTCGCTCTGAATCGGGTTTCCATTTCCCCAGTGTCTCTCACCGGTGCGTTCTCGGCCAATGCACGTGAGACTGCCATAAAAGAGACCCTCCCGAATGAGCTGTACAGAAATGGCCTAATCTCATGAGATTCAAGCCCACTCCGACATACCGACTGTCTCGCAATCGTGATAAGACACGACTTATGCACAAATTCAAGACAGAGGAAAGAAACCGGCATAATAGTCGCGCTTCCCCAGAGGCACGCCTTCCTTCCGCAGAATGTCATACGCGGTCGTCAAGTGGAAGTAGATATTCGGCATGGCCATGGTATGAGCATACACAGCGCCACTGACCTCCATCGTCATCTCTCGGCTAACCTTAGAAGGTCCAACGATGTCACATTGCTGATTGACGACGTCCTTGTCGGCCTTTCCGAGCACTTCCAGCACGGTATCAATGCGCTCATAGCATTCGGCATAGGTGGTGGGCTTGCCTTCGAAATCCACCGGGTCCCGACCGGTCAGTTTCGCAGCCACATTCTCCGAGAATTGGGTTGCGAGGCGGATTTGATCGGTCAAGGGGTACATGTCCTCATACAAACGGGCCTCGAGGAGCGAGGTCGCATCGGGGTGTTTCTCGGCTTGGCGGAGGATGTGGGATAGAGAGTTGAGGATACTTTGGATCACCGCGATGGTTCCGTCATAGAAGGTGTAACCCATGGTTATTGGAGTCAAAAGTTTAAGTCTTGGAAAGAATAGACAGGTAGGTTTGAATCCTGAAGATTATGACAAGCTCAGTGAAGATTACGATCCTGACTTGCAGTGTGTGCGAAACCAACTCCTTAGGTTGACACTAAACACACGTGATTCGTATTCGTCGGACACTAAGTAGATACTACTATAGTACATAGCCCAGCATAGCCACATGGACTTGAACCACCCAACAATAGTGGTCTTAATGGTAAGGTACACCTCTCCGCTGTCTCATAGCCTGGAAACTGAAATCGTACCAGAAAGTTCCTTGTCCACTACCTACCTACTTACTACTAGATACGTACTTACTTTTCAGATATCTAGTCTGCCTAAGGTGGAGTTGTGGTTCGCTCCACCCGAGGTGGGATTAAGCAGTGTTCATCGGGTGTGGGCTGGATTGCGTAATGGGCTATTATGATTGTGCTGACTATACCCCACACGGAGTATGTAGCTGGTATCTAGTAGGTATGTAAATTAAGTTGCTTCTGCCTGATGTGTGGCCATCTATCTACTATGTATATTTAGACTGGGTCAAGAATAAGATGGATGGATGGATGGATGGATGGTGACGGGAACTTGGGATACGTAGTGGAGCCGGGGGGGGGGATTAGGTTTGTCAGCCAGGTATGGAGGATTTCAGAGGAGAAGGGTAAGTAGGCCGTGGAGGGAGGGAAGTTGGGAGTCGACGGTAGGCTATTATGGTTTGGTGTTGTCACTGAACAATTTCCATCTCAGAGGTTACTTGAAGCAGGATAGAATACGATTCAATTTCCATTGTCAATAGTACTAGTGCATCTATAAGATGCATCAGTCCATTACTATATTCAGAACCAGAATTCATGCTGGTCACCTACCAGAGGGACAGCGACTGTACTGCAACACATTAGGGCTAACGAACGCCAGGGGAATCACAAACAAGGACCAAACTACGACGTCCACTGCGGACACACCCGCTTCAGGAAATTCATGAACTTGTAGAACCCGACCGCGTGCTCGACGTTGCCATACGGATCGACCACCCGCTCCGGAAACGCGATTCCCGCGCCGTACAACCCCCGGACAACGCGGCCGTTGCCGTCGCGAAAGCCGCCCGAGACCGAGTCGAACTCGGGCTCCAATGAGAAGCCGTTGACGGACAGCTCAGGGAGCGGGTCCCGCGTGAATCCAATGGCTTGCACCACGTGCGAGCATGAGGGCAGATGCTGCTCGAACTGTGCCTGCTCTTGCCCCCTTCCGCAGTCCACCTTGGTGATGAACCGTCCGGCCTCGGAATGGGGCAGTTTGTCGTCTTCTAGTTGCTGGCGAGCAAAGTCGGCCACGGAGCCCTTGAGCCCGGTGTTGTCCCGGAGGATCCAACCGTCCATGAACTCGGCATACCGGAGGGGATGGCGGGTGAACCACTTGATACGGAGCTCGGGGTGAGAACTGCGGGCCAAATCTATCAGGTTGAGAAGGGCTAGGATGGCACTATGAGAGGCGCCCACTACAGCGACGGTCAAGGGCGTATCCTGGGGGAGATAGGACACCAGGTCACTAGGCTTCAACACTACATCTAGGTCTAGCCTCTCGATGTCGTGTCCCGGGACGGAGATGGGAGCCTCGGTAGGGGACGACCCGGTACAGAAGACGAGTCGAGACGTCAGCACCTCGACTTCATCCTGTGAATCCTGAAACCTGATTCGAACGGTCCAGGTAGCAGTCTATGGAAGGGGTGGATAGGTTAGTGATGACAGACGCCTTTGAAAAAACCCCAGATGAAGCTCCGTGAAAACTGACTTTCTCTGCCAGATTGGCAGCTGTGACAACCCCTCGGCATGGCAGAACACGGTCCATTTTGTTAATACCATCGGTAAGAGCCCGGACCACATCTATCGCATGGTGCAAATGACAAGTTTTATCCTGATCGAGTTTGGCCATGGTCGAAAATGGACTGGGGATGCGAGTGTTGTTGATGACGGTGCGGAACGGCTGAACGGCCGTGGCGTACGCCTGGAAAAAGGACACTTTGGTGTTGCTGATCGAACCGACGGAGCCAGTCAGCAGGAGTGTTCCTCATCCGATGGCTTCAGCTTGTTCTAGCTACTGACCTAGGAACCTCGCGGTATTTGCGGTTGATTCGGCCACCCTGGAAGAACGGGTCGACCCAGGCAATCTTCCCTCCAAGTTGTTTCTCCAGGAGATTCCCCATCACGGCCAGACCGGCCGGACCGGCTCCCACGACGACAGCAGCACATTTGTGGGGTTGAGTCATTCTGAAGGTGCCCACGAAGATCGGGCTGAGAAAACAATGGCAAATAACGTCGGGTGTGTCCCAGATTCACCAGGTTGGGATGGGGATTCTGACAAGCGGAGCGAGAACCCAAAAGGGCGGGAGAGGCGTTTATGAGGGCAGGTAATCCAAGGGGAAAAGACGGATTGCCGGCGTAATTCTCGGCGAAACAAGCGAACGAGAGTCAGCGCCATGCTTTGGCGGGAGAGGGGAAGCCACCACGGACGGGGCAACGTGAATGACCACTCGAGATAGCCAGGTAACCGAACGGCCGAGATGGGCAAGCAGATGGGCAGATGGCTGATCAGCCAGTCAGCCGGCCAGAAAGCCAGGAAGCCAAGTCACGGTGCAGGGACTGCGAGACTCTCTCGGGCGAGATAACACATCATGCCTCCGCCACCGCCGGTCAGGCGGTGATAACCGCACTGCTCACTGGCTCGCCCAGGGCGTATCACCGCTTCTCGCACGACTGCTCGGTTGTTGCGCAATCGATGCGGCCAGCCCCACCTGGGCTCCCTCTGGAACCCCCCCTGGGCCGCTTTCCGTCGGCCGTCACATTCTGTCGGCTTGGCTGGGAATGAAGGAGGGACGCAGGGTGATGGGGGGTCGAAGGGCCGGGTCACCGTCGAGCAGAGGATATCATGAATCTTTGTCGGACCAATTGACGGGGTTGTCTCGTCGAGTTGGGTCGAAAAAGAGAGGACAAACCTGCGCTGTTGGTGGTGGAGGAAGAAAGCGACCTTATATTCAGACACGCAGATGACGGAATTTGGGGTCTTGGCGCAATTGCGTGATCGCCTTGAAGGATGAGGTGATGCTGCCCCGGCTGGATGCGGCAGCCTCAGGCGCCTGTTGATAGTAGATAAGTACGGAGCGGAGTACCTACTACTACTACCTCTGCTGTGTAGGCGTATGGATCTTATCTGTTATAATAATAATAATAATAATAATGCATTATAGGTAGATGCTTAGTTGGCCCATCAAAGGCATAGATACCTACTACCGTGTATACTATTAGTGCTCAGACCGCCCAAAACACCCGCACCGACACGCGCTGCACATGGTTCGCCCACCCCCCAAACCGTGCTCGCCCCCAGACAGCAATCGCATCTCCAACCCCCAAAGCACGGACTTGGCTCCCATCCAGCGTCGCCCGCCCTCGTCCTTGATCACGTTCTATCTCCACCGCCTCACTTGAGTCCGCCGCAATGTCGTCCAGATGATGCCAGACAATGGTGTGCACTTGCGAGCTTGACACGGCTGTTTGATTCGACTGTAGCTTCCGAGCAGTTGGAAGCAAGTTGGGATGGTCCGGTCCGAAATGGAATGGACCCTCTGGCTGAAGAGGCTGATTACTGGGAGCTCTGTTCAGTGATGACTGATGTGCCGAGTGGATGATTTCGGTATCAAACCACGAATAAGAACCCCCGTATCGACCTCTGTCGCCTGTCCCTCCACCCCAGCCCTGGTCGTGGGATGAAATAGTGAAGATAACCTTGCGGCATGGGTGAGTAGACCGATATGGAAGCATTTTGGGAGAGGGCGTATCCAATGTCTGTGCAAAGTGAACGCAGTGTCAGCAAGAATGTGTCGGTGAAGAAACCTCCAATCTGAGTAGAGACGCATGCAAGATGCCATACCTGAGCATCATAGCATAAAGGCACCGTCGTCAGAAGCACCTGATCCTGGTCTCTCCGGATCAGAGTCTCTCCTTCCAAGACGGACTCAGAGGAGGCCCAATACTCGGCTGCATCCACAATCATATCCACCAGTTCAACCGGCAGCAGTTCTTGCGAGCCCCTCGTCCACTGCCAGATATGTTGCAACAGATACCGGACCTTCAATACATCAAAACTGCTGGGATAATATGTCTCATATTCCGCGGGGAACCCCTGCACATCCTCGTCTGGTGAGTTGTTTGACTCGTTGGGCGGGTTTGGTCGTCGCCGATGTCCAGGAAGCCGACGAACAAAAGGGAGCATCATCGTGGTTGTGGCTTGCGAGCCCCTGGAGTAGATGAAGGGGCACGGATGGGAGTTACCACTGTTGATTTCTGTGATGTAGAACTTGGAAACCTTGTAGCGTGCGTTGCCCTCCTTATTTCCAGGGAGCCACGCACTGACCGACTTGCCAATTCTCAGTTTTTAATGGAACTGTCTGCCTCGGAGACTAGCAGGTGGGCTAACCCCGTAATAGACATACGATGGGGAGTTCACTGGCTTAAGCCAAACTCATCTCGAAGGGTCGGGTTCTTGTACCAGTCAGCCAACGAGTTGGCAATACCTGGTGTAACCGATGGATCTCACCCCGCCTTCTGGGTGCGGAGAGAGAGGGGAAGAAGAGGTGTCAATGGGAGACAAGGTTCAATGTCAAAGATCAATGCACAGACACCAAATGCGTGGACGAAGTAATCCCACGATATGCATGTATACTGGCTTGAAACTGAACGAAGAGCGCAATTTCATTTCCTGGACTGAAGGGGAAAGAGGTGAAAACGATGGTAACGGATCGGCCCCATTGAGATATGACGTCATGGCCATGTTCCTGATGCTCAAAGTTACACCTGCCGTACTACCGGTACGACGATACCGACCGGGCAAAGAAGATTGATTTGCACGCAACCGATAGATAACCGATAGATGGATTGGCTTTGAACCACCGGTATACACCCAGGGAATAAATTACATAAAGAAACATCTACAGACTCAGCCCCCTCGCTAATTCGCCGTCTTCCCCTTCCACCCTCCGGCGGCTTTGTAGGCCGCAGCACGCTTGCTGCTCCGGTTGTTCGGCTTGCCCTTGGACCCACGGCTCTTCGTCTTCACCCGGATGCGCGAGGACCCTTCAGTGGCTCGCTGGCCTTCGAACACCAGAGAGTTTTGCGAGATGGACGTATTTGCAGCAGCCTTCAACTTGGCCGCACCGGCCCGACCGAAAAGCCTGCCAGCACGACCCTGAAGGGTCTTGTCGGCTTCTCCGAGTTTCTTCCCTTGGCTGCCGCTGTCTCCACGTTTCTTCAGTATCTTCTTGGCCCGCGACACTCGGAGTTTGCGGGGAAGCATGGGCGGGTAGTGCTTGCCGTTGAGTAAAAGAGCTTCTTCCACACAATTCTGATCATAGAATTGGACGTAGGCAAATCCTTTGCCGACCCGAGTAAGACGGTCACGAACCACGCGGACTGACTCGACATTACCGTTCCTGGATTCCTCTTTCTTCCCACCAGTGTGGGCATTGAAAATCCGCCACAATCCTTCCTCCACATCTGCGGGTGCTCTCTGTTTCTTCTTCTTTTCGTCATCGGGTTTGACCTCGTTGTCGATAAAGTCCAGGTTACCGACAAAAACACACCGTTTGTGATCGGTTGCGGAGGGATGCGCAACACTGTCGACACGCAGATGGCGATCCAGAACCACCGTGCCATTGAGAGCAGCGGGCGCCTTCCGCGCAGCTTGCACGGTGCTGTAGACGGCATACGCGTTGGTGCATGGCGTGGTATCATCCAAGACCTCTTGCTTGGCAAATGCGGCTCGCTTGGGAACCTGGCCACCGCTGGCAAAAGCCGTAGAACGGAAGCGAATCGATTCGACTTTATGAGGCCCCGTAGACTCTGAAAGTGTAGAGAGAAAAGATCCAAGGTGTTTGAGCAGAGTCTTCTTAGCGGACTTGGACTTGATCGCCTCACTCGACACGTTTCCCAGGAAGACAGTCCGGTTGGATTTCTCCACTTCCTTGGACTCAGCGTCTCCGGTCTGGCTCTCGTGCTTCGGGATCTCCCTCTTTCCCTGATCCTCTGAAGAGCTTTCTTCGTCATCCTCCTCATCCTCAGATTGTTCCTCATTGTCCTCTTGCTCGCCATCTACAGTCCTCTGTCGCTTAGCCTTCTCTTCTCGTCGCTTATCATCTTCCTTCTTTTGCTCCTTCGCTATGCGGCGCATGTATGAATCTTCGACATCTTCTGCAGCTGTCCTCTTTCGTTTACGGCTAGGTGCCTCGGCGGCTACCTGAGCCGATTCACTCTCAGCATCGCTGGAGGCTTCCGGAGCCTCCTGCATCTCTTCGTCCTCGGGGGAAGACTCGTCCTCCAGTTCTGAGATCTCATCTTCATCGTCCTCCGCGGCCCGTTTCTCTGCCTTGGTGGGGATAGACGGGGCTTTGACAGGGCCAGCCTAATGATGCCTCATGGGGCCATGTTAGTCTAAAATTTGATTGTGGGCGAGATAGGTGTTGGGTTACGCACACTCGTCTCGAACAAGGCTGCTAGACTTGGATCAATAGAGGCTTTTCCGCCCAAGAGAGGGACAGACGCATCTGAGTTTCCCATAATGACAAAAATCTAGGGAACCTGTCCCTTCGAAGTGATGATATGAGATGTAAGATGGGAGGGCTGATAGTCGTTCCACTGTCGAGCTTCTGTACTTCCTGCCTTGGCGTTTTGTTCTAATATTTCCTTTTTTTTTTTTTTTTTTTAAGGTCTTGGCGGTAGGCGCTGGAGCAGTACGGAGCAGTCACGTGGGGACTGATAGCGGTCCAACTGATCAGCACGCAGTGATGGTCTCAACAACAGGGAAATGCCATTCAAATGGTAGAGATGAGCAGAATGCGACAATATCAGAGTCCAGCGGATCCAATTACCCCCTGGTAGCCCGTTGCCTTCAATTGAGAGCGACACCGAGGACGAGGGGGAAGATCACCCAAAGGCGGTGAGGTGCCATGGGGCGCGGCAACCATACGACCGGCAGAACGCGATACGGGCGGCATACGGGCAGCAAGACGCCCGCGAGAGAGCAGCGAAAGAAGCGGCCGGCCAGTAGTGAATCTCCATCATTGCTACTGCTGCTGCTGCTGCTGCTCTGGTTCTTCTCCCTCCGCCGCCGCCTCCTCTTTTCCTCGCACCTCCAAGCTGCCATCGCTCCCCTAGCGCTTCAGTCTTGGTGGTCTTCATCTCCAGCCTCTTTTCCCCCACCTTACTCGCTCGCTTTCTGCTGGTTTCAACGTTTCCCCCCTCCAACCGTCTATACTTCTCTCGTCCATGCCGCCCATCCTTCCGCTACGCTGCACAGTCGTCTTGCCCGCTTCGTGAGCGTTGACGTCCACACACTCGAAGTTTACAACCTCTCGACGACGGTTGGCTTGTACGGACCTTCGCGAGACCCCTATACGCTCTACCACGGTCAATACTTCTGTCCTCATCTGGTTTGGCCCTGTCCCTTCTCCGCGACCGCGGTGGTTCAGGGAATCGTACTCGGTCGCGGCAGCTGGGATCTTACGAGTTTCGGTGCTGGCGCATTACTGAACGGTATGTTCTTCAAGGCTTTTCAGCTGGATACAGAGTTGGTGTCGGACACACGCGATATCCTCAGGGCGTTTCAGACCCGAGTCCGAGTCCGGATCGCTGCTGTTGGATCGGCGCAGTTCCCAGAGCCCAAACCGGGAGCGAAAGTGACTTTCGCTCCGTCTGGGGTGTGATCAGAACCTCCGCACCGCCTTTGGCAACTCTCCTCCCCCCCTCGTCCTCGACAATTTCCTCGACTCCCTCCTCCTCAGTTGATGTTTCCCATTCCGCATCTTCTTGGTCGTATCATGTTGTCTCTCACCTTTTCTAACGCTCTGTTCTCCATTGATCTAGAATTACGACCCTGATCCTGCCGATACCCACTGACTTGTCTACCCCCACAAGTCCCCCGACCACAACCTCCACACAAAATCCGCTCAATCCTTCTTTCCTCACCTTTCTCCCCTTCCTGTCGATCGACCCGGCATCCGCGCATAACGATGGAGGTAGCCGAAAGCAGAGAGCCTGTTTCGGTGGGTGCGCCAGCTGGAGCAGACTCTGCTGTCACCAATGGCGAACAGAACCTTCTGCTAGACGATTCGTTTATGGCCGATGACAGGTCCAGCAGTTTGAGTGAAATTGATGACGTATCTGAAAATATCCCCTCCGATTACGAGTCTCCGAAGCCCGAGAAGGTGGCGCCGGAGAACGACTCGGAAGCGGAAACGGAGCGCATCGAGGACTCTCCAAATATTCGCTCCAAAACAAACATCGTCGTAAGCGCGGCCGGTTACGAGCCAAGTCCCAGCAAACTGGCTCAGTCGACGACCTACGATGATGTGGAATATGATGAAGAGCAGGTGGCGGACGATTCGCCCAGTAAGCCTCGCGCCAAAACTACTCGGGCCGCCGAAGTGGTCGATGAGACTCCTGGGGTGGAGGACTCTGCTCTTTCGGAAAGTATTGGCAAGAAGCGCAAGCGACTCGAGTCCGGCGATGAGGGGGGCACCGAGATTGACGAAGAAGACTTGCCGCCCCAGAAGCGCCGTGGCTCGGTCAAAAGCGATCTAAGCGACCCTCCTCCGGACGATATCGTGCTCACACCTGAACCAATGGAAGAACCTCCCAAGACTGTGGAGGAAGATACCGCAGCCGACGACATTCCCGAATCGACCTTGCCCATTGTTCCTGCGAAAGGCAAGAGATCCAAGAAGGGTAAGCGGAAGGGTCGGAAAGCCAGAGATGCCGATGATGAGCTCGAGAACGGTGCGCTTGAGACGGGTGCAGAGGCCGATGATCTTGGCGATGATGATGCTGCAGACCGCGGTGAAGATGCGGACGACGGCGAAGCTGCCGCCAAAATCGAGGAAGAGTGTAAGTTATCACAGCCATCCCGGTTCCAATCCGTCCAATACTGATCTGCGCACCTAGCAGCCAAGAGAATATCTGCCATGGACTCGCTGGCCGTATTAGAACGGGAGTTTGCGACCCTACGAGACAAGTAAGGAACCTGTAGACTCTTGTGCCTCCTGTGTAGAGTTGCTAATCATTTGGCTGCTAGGATTTATGACGAAAGGATTTCAAAACTGAACCGAGAGCTGGAGATGCTCGACGAAAAGAATCCTACACATCCCGAGTACTTGCGGCAGCTTGAATGCATTGGGCGTTATCGCGATACCAAGATAAAATACGAACAGACGCTGTTTCAGTACAGGGTGAAAGCTCTCTTGAACAAGAGCATGGCAGAGCGGGCTCAAGCACACAGCACGTTCTTTCAGCGGACGCGGGACATTCGCGAGAAACATTCAAGCGCTATCAGCAAGCAGTTCTATTCCATCCAACACGATCGCTTCAAAACGGACGAGGTCAGCCCGCAACATTACATTCCATTCCCGATGCGCCGTTCACAGCAGATTGCCTACCAAACCGCATACAACCAGGAGGTGTCGATCATGGCTGGAGTTGCCAAATATGTTGGCTTCCCGGCTGCGCCTGCGCTATCGGCCGCGCGGCCATCCGAGCTTGACGAGGATATGGAGAAGATGGGTGTAAGTCCATTCGAGCCATATAGAAGTCCGTCCACAGAGCGCAATTGCTAATTTTCCATGTACGCAGATCTCCATTGAACCGAAGGTTCCCGTTTCACAGGCCCAATCCACGCTCCCGCGGGGTGCCATGCCGGCCATGTCATCGAACGTCTTCCGCACAGCCGCAGAGGAGGCTTTCCTGGAGCAGACCCCATGGGCCAACCCGCAGCATCCCATCCATCAGCACCAGCAGATGCCTCAACGACCGCAAAGCCGGGTGTTTGAGAATCCCCGAGCTCCTGTTTTTACGACTCCGGCCGCACAAAAGCGCGTGGTCGATATACATGCCCCCAACGGCTCCGCGTCCACGATTGCAGAAAACTCCTCTGCGAACAACACCCCTTACGATCAAGAACAACATCCCCACAACCCCGAGCCTTTCGCCAATCCCGATTATGAGGCAGAGCGGCAATCTGGGTTCCGATCATTAAGCTCCTCCCCACTCGACGTACGCAAACCACATCCCGCCCCGTATAATCCTACTACCCTCGGCCACCGCTCTCCGCAAGGACCCTCTCAAAATGCAGCCTATTCACCCCCATCAGCGCGACTCGGACTATTCCAGTCGGCTGCCTCCAAAAGAGATCCCTCCCCACCCCTCTCATCCCGACCGGTCAACTCCATTCATCAGTCAGCGGGTATCCTTGGCCCTGGGTCGAACCAGATGGCAGCGCGATAACCCACCTTAACGTCATTTCTCCGAGGGGTGGGATCTCCCACATCTCATTGTACAGGGCTTCGCTTTCCGGTGTTGTAGAGTGTTTCTTCTAATGTATGTACGGTTTTGGCATGTATGACTGGCAACAACAGGGACGAATTCAAGTGATCTTCTGCAATTTGTGCTGCTTCCTTTCACATCTCTTTTTGATGGGAACTGCTTTGGGCATGTGTGAATACAGGGCGAATGGATGCATCGGGGTTAATACTTGCTGGGGTTTTTTGCTTTCCACAATCTCTTTTTCTCTTTCCTGACTTGGACTTGCTGTTTACGATACATACATATGCCACGGTGTTATGTCTACTTACAGTTTCATTGGCGTTGCGAGGAGATGTATTTGCTTTGCTTTGCGGTAAGCCGTGCATAGGAGGTTTAGATTAGAAATGTCTTCGCCGATTGCCTCTCTCTCTCTCTCTCTTTCTCGCCTTTGCATTTCCACAATACTAAACCGGTTACGTGACTCAGCAAGGATGCTTGCCCATATGACGTTAATAGAAGACGTGGATGTACTTAGTACATTCCCAGACGTCCATTACACTAGTTTGTGGGGGTCAGGGCTCCCGCAGTGTCTTCGGGGAGTTTGTTAGGATTCATGTCGATAGCCGATTGCCAGTTTCCAAGAAGGATATCATGGATGAGATGGAGAGACTCCGGTCTTGTTCGAAATTACTGTTCCAGTTAGTTGTGGAATCATCAAGAAAGAGATATTTCCATGTTCCATTTTCCTTAGCCATTCCTTCAAGCCAAGAACGAGATGCATCGAAGCCGACTATAAAGCCCAATCACTGACAAGATGCATGGCGTGTTAAAACGTACCAAGAATCCAGTTTAGTAAATTCAGGGCCAAACTTTTATGCGGGCCATTTCTAGAACCGTTGTCTAGCGGGTTCTAGAACAGGGATTAGGGTTTATGATATGCATGAGGCGTCGGGGAGGAGAGATATCGGAAGAAGACTCCCGACACACGACAGCACTTCCACCCTGCATAGACTGATATGATTGAGGTGGGTGGGAGCTACAGGAGAGCAAGGCCGTAGGAAGAGGTCACAAGAGAAAGAGATTAGTTGATGGCTGTGAACCGGAGGGCCCGTCATCGTGTATTTGGTAACATAACCTTATAGTTAGAGGGTAAGGGGGGGGGGGTCACTGAAATATCATGATCATGATCATGACCTTGATGGATGTTGAGGCATTATCATTATTTTTTTTTCTCAATTCTCAATGGAGAGAATACATGGTGATGGAATGAGATTGTTAGGTTTCGGGATTGATCCGGGGGCTATAGATAATCAATCGGGTGTATGGATCCGAGCGGAATTAATTCCTAGATTGCTTGATTACATCGATCGTCGAGCATAGATAAGAAGGCTATCATACGGTTGAAAAGAAAGAAAAAACGGCTTTATTCCAATAGATATACATTGGACTATTTCTATGCGACAGACTAGTTTCGGGGGAATCATCCATGAGTAATTTTGCTTTAGTATCTTTGGGAAAGGGGAATGAGAATGATACAGGTCTACCTAAGTAGCGGCGGGGGTGGCATCAGCGGGTTGTGGCGGGGTGGGGACTGATTCTTCAGTACCATTTGGGACGGGGGTATTGGTTTCGGATGCGATTAAGCGGGGCTGCTGCTGATCTTGGGGTTGAGGTTGATCTTGAGGGAGTTGCTCTTCGGTTTTCGGGGGACGCCATCTGGCGAGGATTTTGCCGGCTGCAGGACGGGACTCTTCGTCTGGAGTGTCGGGGAGGGGTTAGCGCTGGGGAAAGGCTGGGGGAGGGTGCGGGAAATGCAACTGACAGGCCTGATAGACATCCTCGAGGGCGTTAAGGCACATTTCCCGCGCGGGGGGTCGGAACATTATTAGGTACCTGGGAGGGTTGTGAGCTTGTCGTTCTTCGGGGTTCATTATTTCGGAGCCAGGGTAAGACATACAGGAGGGACTGGACACATAGATTCACACGCTCGGGGTCCTTCGCAAGACTGGCCACGCGCTTGGTGATCGGGATTGTCACCTCGGGGATTTCGCTGAGAAAGCGGATGAAGATCTTCGTGTCTCGGGAATCTAGGTACGGGAGGAACCCATCAAGGAGTCGCAGGACCCAGTGGTCATAGTGCAAGGGAACCGTGGCCTCGTCGTCCTCGTCGCTCCGCTGCTGAGCAGTAAACTCCATCTGTATCCGGTCGTTGTACCATTCCTCATTAAGCCACATGATGCCTACATTCACGCGGCCACGGAAGTCCTCCAGGATGTACCGGTAGAGTGTTTCGCGGATCGAGTCGGATATCGTGGGCTTCCCCTTCTCGGATTTCCCTCCCGCTTCCAGACCAGCTGGTGCCCGGGTTGCAAGTCTAGTTAGTAAGGTCACCCAGGCGTCGCGATCGAAGGTGCTTCCGGCCAGGCGAGCAAAACCTGGTTGCTGTTGACTTTTCCCTTTCGCCGGGTTCGGGGCTACTCCGGTAGACGCCAACATGCCAAACACTCTTCCAACAGCACTTCGACCGATGTCCGCGGCCTCGTCTTCCGCTAGGGGCGGTGGTTGGGGTAGAACAAAAGGGCCTAACGATACCAGGTCCGGTTGGAGGTCGGCGACTTCAGCAGCAACAGCTTCCGCCTGCTCCGCTGCTGGTTCAGCGACGTCCATGGGCTGATACTCAGGCTCGTAATCATCATCGTCTTCCGCCTCCGCTGTCGCTGCTGGAAGTTGCGCAGCCTGTTGCTTCTGGATCGCTTGGTACCGCATCCGGATGCCCTAGAATCTTGTCAGCACTGGAGGTTTCAAGCCACTACGCTTGGCATACCTCGATAGACTGGCTCATCATTGACTGGTCGACACGGGCGAGAATAGGAACAACCATCTTTACGAGCATATCGACGGGCAATTGCTTCACATCGAATCCCCTCAGCTCCTTATCTTCTGTTATCGTAAAGAGCTGTGCATAGCTGGTCGGGCCTGGTGGGAGCGGGGGAATCTTGACCAGTGCCGGCGTTTCAGCATCAAGTTTCGCCCGTTTGATGTTGTCAAGTCCGTCTGTCGGCTCGGACGGCAAACCACGCTTCCGGGAGGCCTCGTCGATCATTTCTATACGTGATTGCATCAATCGCTCGATGTACTGTTGCATTTTCCCCACCAGGGGGTGGCTCGAGTTCCTGAGCGGCTCATCAGCATTTCATCGTGAATGATTCCATGCCGCCATGTTGCTTTCCTCACCTCTTTATTATGTTGATCAGAACCGCTCTGGCAGTCCGTTCCATCGACTTAACCCCGACCCGGACCGAGGGGGTTATTGGGGGGCGCACTTGTCTGGCCGGAAAGAAATTCATAATGGCGTTGATGATTTTGTTGCCGACAGACTGACGGGTTCGGATAAGGACGGCCAGGCAATTCAATGTCGCATTGACGAGGAGGGGGTCGCTTCCAAAGCCGTTAGCGACACGTTAGGCTGACACTGGATCGGGGTGGCCACCAAGTACCTTGAATCTTCCTGGAAGACGGAAAGGAGTCGATCTAACAAACCCGAAGCTTCTGCTTCTAAATTCGGGAGAGACAGGAGGGCATGGTTGCGGGGCACAATGGCCAACGAGGTCTCATTCTGCTCCGGTCGCTGGGAAAGAAGTCGTTAATTTCACCGCAGATGCTCCACGGGGGATGCAGTATCCTGCTGTACATACTCTAGGGTCGGCGATCGATCCATGCGTCTGCACGTGGACGACTCGCTGTACGAATTTGATGCAACAGATCTTGACGGGGAAAGGGAACGAGTCCCATCGGCGCAGGATGTCCTCCTTGATGGCCGTCATGTTTTCCCACGCCGTCGCATCGGCCGGGTGATTGATACTGCGAGATCAAGCGTTAGTCAATGCGATACCCAGAGGGGCACTCTAAGAATCCCATTCGCAGCTCCGTGCGACCATCTACGAGAGCTCTCCCGTGGGGGCAAACAGAAGCGAGCATCGGTCACCTACATATGCCTAAACACCAGCGGATACAAACTGGCCGCGTTCTGCACTATATGTTTCAACACCAAAGGATCCCCCTCCGGTAACTCCAATATCTCCCGCAAAGTCTGCAGCACTTTCGGGGCCAGCTGCTCCTTCTGGGACAAAGCCAGCGCGGGGCTGGCGAAGGTCTCGGCCAGGAATTCCGCTCCCCATTGTCGCAACTCCAGGCGAGTGTGTGCGCCAATTAGGGGGAGGACTCCGTTCACAATTTGCGGGTAGAAGGCGGCATCGCCCAGGACGAGGTTTCGGGCGGCGTTCAGCTGGGCGATCTGATCGACGAGGTCGGTCGACTGAGCCATTACGACTCCGTTCGGTGGCCGGCGGAACCGACCAAGAGGGAGAAAGAACGAGTTGGAGAGAGCGGATATCCACAGCGGGATGAAACTGGTTGAGCTTGTCTACGCAGGGAGGGTGGGTGGGTGGTTCATTCAGGGTGCAAGCACCGGGGCTTAGGATGCCAGGACTAGATAATCTGCCCACGAGGCGGGCATACAACGTGGTAGGTGGAGGATACCAGTGGTAGATTAAGAAGGAGGAGGCAACGATGACTCGGGTGGGAGGAAGAAGATGGGAATAGACAAAGAAGAAGAGACCCGAAACCAAAGATGGAGGCGGAGGAAGACGAAGAGGAAGAGGAAAAGGGAAAAGGCGCAGGTGAAGCTGAATGGATGGAGGGAAGCCGCAGCAGGAATCTGGCCGGCGGTTGATCCTCTCACGTGGGCGGTCAGTCTTTGCCCACCGTCGGACAACCATCTTACACCATCTACTACTTACCTACCTACTTACCAGTACTCCCGGCGACTTTCTCACCAGCACCATCCTGGCCATCCCATCGCATGCGATTGAAGCTTGCAGGATTGATCTACAATCTACCAAGATTTCAAGCCCGTTTGGCTTCAACGGGATGACCTATTTGAACGTGTGTCATTGACCCTACGCCATACCTTAGGATGGTCGGCCGACACTAATGTCAATATGGCGGTCCCGACTAGCGAGACGGGCTCGGTATACAAGTAGGAACCCAGCATGTGAGTGGACTAGCTATGCAGCACTGCTGACACTGTCACAGACTCTCTTCTCACACTGGCGCTTAGGCCCAGCCCAATCCTTGTAGAACAACATCCAATCAGTCATCCACAGATGGCTCTCAAAGCACGCTGCATCCGCTTTATTATAGAAAATCACACCAGGATCCGATTGAACAGTTGATCCTTTTTCAAGCACCTCGGAATCCCCAGTCTTCAGGGTGATACATACCTCCCATGTCGGAGTCGACCCACTGTGCTCCGGCGACTCCCGCGATGGTAGAAAGTTACAACTCCCTGGGACAAGCGTCAGCCCAGGCTCGAAGCTTGCAATGTGACCGAGCCCAGCTATAAAGTCCAATTAAAAGACCTTGAGGCCCCTCCAACTGGTTGCAATGATACCCGCGGGCCCTGCTTCAATCTTGGTCCAGTCGTCATAGTCGGCGGACGCGCTATACATGAGCGTCTCGTCCATTGAGGCAAGCTTGGTGCGAAACCCCAGCGTCAGATGGACCAGGTGGGGAAGGTCTGCATCGTCGCCAGTATGGCCTGCCATGTCTTCAAAGTAGATCTCGTCGTGGATGGGGGAAATCGAGTTCCCCAGGTAGGTCTTTGGTCGCGGGGACTGAACCCGGCTGCGCAAATCAACAGCCATCAAGAAGTCGGCAGATTGAGTCTTACTCGCTCATTATGGGTGAATGGCCCGATCAACGCAAATGGTCAGCGTTGCGGTGATAATGTCGTTACTGGAGATTCATGCGGAGGACTGTAGCTGCAGGAGGAGCCGAGTGCATTTATCCTTCACCTTGGCTACCTTCTCGGGGCTGAGCTGTATCGCATTCCAAGGCATTCTACTGCTCGGTGGAAGAGTTGGGGTTAAAAATAGGCGTGCCCAGCTCAACGCTGTGATCGAGATGCGTTCGCTTGGATGGGAAGGTCGATACCATGTTACGTAGGTAAACGTGGGTTTTTGCGAGGCTCTGCACGAAAGGAGTTTCGTGCTCTTCGTTGGCTGCCTTGCAGCATTCAGCAACCGCTTCGAGGATAGAATCAGCCCCGGTGCCGTCGAAGACGCTGTGCCAAAAGGACATAGTTACAACAATCTTGCTGGGGAACACATTGGCCCGGAAGCGGAGAACTGATCGCTGTTGGGAGGCTGGGATAGAGGTGGGCAGAGGGAGATAGGGTTGAACTGGGTGCGAGAGGAAATCTTATCGCGAACGAAGTGCTTGGCCCGGAGCCTGGGTATCTCGGAAAGCGGAATACATCGGAGCGCAATATGCATTCGGTTCTTAGGCCCGTCTGGCACACTGTGCAAGATCACATCTCCGGCGTGCCAGGGTAATTGTCGGATCGGTGTATCAATGCCCTTCTGGAGGGTGGAGAGAGCAGTTCGACTGTCGGATGTGTCAAAGTGCAAAATACAGGGCAGAAAGAGCTTCGCTGGGATGTGGTCCAAGAGGTCTCAAGGCCAGAAGATTTGAGACATCCGACATGATGGGGGAAATCGAGGAGCAAGTAAATCAACTACGGCCAAGTGGATACAGACAATCATCTTGTCTTGTACCGCCCCTTTGATGACTTGTATCCTCCCCGATCTTCCCCTGGTCCCTTTTAAAGTGGTTCCTAACAGCCTTTGCTGTTAGAAATGGATAAACACAGCTAACTATGGATAGCGTGGTCAGCACTTATTTAGTCCGACACCGCCGCATGGCTCCCTATCTATCTATCTAGTCTAGCAGTAGCGACATTCAGTAAGCGGCAAGCCATCTCCAGCACCGAGTTCGCAACTGCCCACGCCACAGACGATCTTCGGCCTACCAACTGTCTGCCTCCTGGCCGCGGCTCGCTCCGCCGTCAACGGGTCACTCACCGGCCCGTCCATACGCCAAGTGGGCCGTCCTGATAAACCCGAGTCGAATGATGGCTCACGTTCGCCCACAATCTCAATCTCGACCCACTCTTGGGCGTTGACAAGCTACATAGTATGTACCATGGCTTGACCCCCCTGCTAATTGCATGCCTACTACTCGCTGGACGGGATATCCCCTGCAGTCGGTCGCACGGGGGCCAGGCAGGTGGCTGCAGGAGCCCTGCTCAAGACTTAATTAACTAGTTCCATCAAATGAAGAAGCACGGCGACTGAATCTAGCTTAACAGGGGGCCCGAGCAATGCTAGTTGCTAGATCCCTCCCTACGGGCGTCTCCCACTGTTTCAGCGTCCACTCAAATCCACTCCGAATGAGCACACTAGACCAAGGCCTCGGAAGTCATCAGGGCGACTGACTGAAATATGGACGGCTCAAATGGTTCTCCAACGCATCCACCCGATCCTGCACCGTCGATGGTATACGCAGGGAGAGGTGTCATTGGAGCGTTCGGTCTTCTCACATCATGCGGGATCGGCTATCATCAGGATACCGTCCCAGACGCGCATATGATCCTGATAGAGACGGTCGGTGCTTCTCCTGCCTGGAGTCTTCCCGTGCTCACCGTGTTAGTATGTCTATATATTGTTCTGTCTATATCTCTGGGTGGCTCTGGCGGTCAAATGCAGCCTGACGGTTTTCATCGTGCGGGTTTTCCCGACCAAATGGATTCGACGGATTGGGCTGGGAAATATGGGACTCATGGCTGTCCTGGCTATCTCCGGAGAGTTACCCTTGATCTTCCAGTGCAGGCCAGTGCAGGCCAGTGCAGGCGACATGGGACAAGTCTATTCCCAACTCCAAGTGCTTCTCCAATGCCGTGTTGGAAAACCTCCAGCTATATCAGGCGATCTTGATGTTTTCGGCGTGAGTATCATTGCTCTTCCGATCCCGACCATCTGGAAACTTCAAATGCCCGTCCGGCGGCGTCTATTTATCATTGGTCTATTTTGTCTCGGTCAGTGCGAGGGTATCCATTTCTTTCCTCAACAATGTCGGGCTGACTCGATGGAAGATTTGTGGCATGTGGAGCCAGACTTGTACGCATTCCGCTCCTAAAATTCCAAGTGAATTCCACTGACTATACTTGTACGATTGGCCTTTCTTGGATTAAACTACTCCGCTGACTAGCCCATCCTAGTCCCATCGACTTAGAGGGCAAAAGAAAGGTGACGCAAAAGGTCTTGATTACGAAAGCCAGCAGCGAATCGTCGTGACCACAACCGTGGAACAAAGCTAGTTATCGCGGGCGAAAATTCTCCGGTGTTAGAAATGGCGCATCACTGTTACTCCCAATTCCACTAGGGCCGACATCTATGCTTCTCTTACTTCTCGCAACCAGCGCAGCCCGCGCAGCCCTGACAGGGATCCAAAATGGAATTTGCTCCACACCAGCAAGGCTCTTCGGGCGAAATGACGAGGAAGGCAAGCAGGCCCCCTTGGTCTACTACTAAGACAACCATATCTATTGGTAAAATATATTGAGGGAAGCGCAGTCTTGTCTACCGCCAGCAATTTCGCGGACGCGAGCGTTTTTATCCATTCTGCGGGCACGCTGGATGCACCTGAGCATGAGCTGTGCATACCATATTCAGTACAGGCAGTAGGCTTGAAGTGCGAGCATTTTCCATCTCCAAGAACATCAAGATGGAGACACAGTTATGTGATGGTAGTAGTTACTTGTTTTTGCATCAGCACAAAATGTATATTTCCATGCATAACCACATCGATTTCTCTATCGCCTCTGATCTTGTTAACCAGGACTGAGGATACACAGACCAAAAAATGAGGGCACAGCATTTTCAGTGCGACTGATTAACATTCGGGCCCGACCACGGTGGGTTCGCGGTTGCGGCCGTGGGTGGAACGGGACGACCCGGTGGACTAGTCGGTGCAACCCAGAGCTCAACTCCAGGTTTTGGTCAAATTCGAACCGGGGGCCTGTTATTGAAAGGCTCGATTGGCCTATGGCACGGTGGGAGGGCCTTTTCTTGGTCAAAAGCACGGAAAGATGGTCATGTATCAGCCAGAAGGCTACAGGGTCTCCAGTCTCTTCATTGACGGACATTGCGCCTTTCTACTGGCCTGCCATTGCTTTTGAAGATCTGCTGTGGGGTTCCAAGATGGTGCGAGGCCCGACGCTGGTTTGTTCACCATGCATCAAAGACCATGAGCCGATGAGCACCCATGAGGCTGCTGGAGGTCATAGTCCTGAGTCGATAGCTCTCGGGGTGCACTGTAGCAGCATTTTATACTCCGCTGGTGAACTATATGGACAAAGGGGCAGCTGGCCTCAAGGGACTAGTGCATGGCGGCGTCCGCCAGGGTTTGAGGGTACCAGTCCATCGTCGAGTCAACCCGGATATACCGAAGGCAACGGCCGAGGTGTGACGAATGAGGGACCCGTACCAAAATGAAGATCTTTCTCGGTTATGCTGGGCCAGTAGGTGTGTCCAAGTTGGCTAGGTTGTATATCGTGTTGGGCACGCTGCACACTGCTCATTGCACTTAGGTAACTCGGCCATGCTGAATCTACCTTGGAACACGTTCAATAGTCATTGTGTCGACTGTATGTCGCTCGATGATCAGGATTTAACCCCTCGAACCAGGGCTATGCTGCTTGTTGGGTTCTGCCATGAGATAGTGGTTTCTCAAGATCTATGAGTATTCGGCGAACTTGTATGTGTATGAAATAAATGGCAGGTCCTCTGTCCAACTGGTTTCTGGTTATCTGAACAAGGGCCAGGAACGATGGTAAGTCCTTGTATGTCAAGAATAGGTCCCAGCCGGAATAATGACATGATTGCAAATCTATGTTTCTAGCTGATCAGACTCTTTCTTAATCAATGTGATTGCATTTGCACGGTGATGCGGCTGTAATCATACTGTAGTTGAATGATAATAAATAGTATATACTTAGTATCCGGGAGCGCATTTTATCTAGTAGTCTAGTACTCTGCATATTAGTATATGCTAAACTCCCAAGCACACAGCATGCTAGATGGACAATTAACTATACCCTGGCTTTCCATATACTACAGTCTAAACATTGAAATATTTATATAAATTATGAAAGAATAACCCCATCATGAGTTCTGATCCAAACCGAACCAACCAGGCCACCCCCGCGGCTCCGTTCCGGCCGGAATGGCCCGCCAAGCCCGGGCCATCATCTTCAACTTTCACGATTGACCGGATCCTCCTCCATTCATTCCCTTCCAACCCGCCTCTTTCGACCTCGCTGCCTCTCCCAAACCCAATCCGCCGACTCAATTCCCGTCGCATAATCTTCCAAAATGCCCGCCGGAATGTATGTACCCTCTGCCTCCACGTCCAGACACGACACCACCCACTCACCCAATCCCATCCGATCTCCAAACATCTTCCCCTACTCCAAGGAATTGAAACAAAAAAACTGACTGATTGATCCCATGCAGCTTCAACTCCACCTACTACGGCAAGGATTACCGCGCCGGTGCTGCCCTCCTCCGCGCCCGCCGTCCCTATCTCTTCAGGAACGCCCTCACCGGTCTCGCCCTCTTCGGTTTCACCGTTAGCGTTTGTACGTCACCTACCTTCCTATACCATTCCTATAGCCTATTAATTCTTTCGATTCGCGCATATCCTCTCCAGTGGACATACAGCCAGCCCTAAACACAGCAAACTAACGAAATCACAGACACCTACACCATCCGCGCCGTCGGCCAGGATGAGTTCTCGGACGTGAAGGTCCCCGATAACCCCGCCAAGAAGCAATAGAGCATGCGTTCAATTCAATTCAATTGAAGGGATAAATTTACTTGCGCTGTTTGTTATTCGTTTGCGATTGCGATACCGATTGCGATTAAGACCACCCGGACCTGGGTTGATTTCAGTGCATCGATTGATCGATTAGTTTTATGTTTGCTTGGTGTATTGGGCTTTGTTCAGTGGAGTTTGGGGGTGGTTTGTTTTATATTCTATTTTTGGAGGACTTTTGGGGAGGGAAAAGGTGGTTCTGAAAGAAGTGGTTGTGAGGGGACGGGAGGTGAAGGGAGGGGAGTGGAGTGGTATGGTATGGTATGAGATGTTGTATAGATTGGTTGGTTACAAGTGGAAAATCTCTGCTCGTGTGGTTTCGTCGGTAGGTCTGTTCGTTTGTATACTATTTGTATGATATCTTCAGGCTGAAGATGTAGTACTCGGAGCGGGTCGCATGGGTGTAATTGGGTAGTGGGTAAGCTGATATCCCTACAGTACGTACTCTTCCGATAACAGATATTCTTTCTATGCTTCGACTATATGATGTGACAAGTACAAGAACATGGAATTGACAGGCTAAGAAAAGGATCATTTTACACCCGATTCGCTATCGACAACGGACCCTTTACTCGGTCCGCAGAACACGCGGGCCCTTCCGCTTTGTGGCCCGCTTGCGCTTGTTGCCCTTGTCAAAGGCCACCGCCGTGTTGTGGTCGCGGCCGAGGTTGTCCAGATCCTTGACCTTGTAGATACGGATAATCCAGTTCTCACTGGTGAAGGCCTCCTCCAGCGTAGACAGCTGAGGTCCCTCCGCGGGGAGTCGCGATCCACGGACACGGTCAACAGCCTGGCCAGGCTGGAACAGCGAGTTGAAGTTGTAGTAGGACATTTTGTACCTGTGAGCACCGTTAGCATATCATCTAAGCTGAGCAAGTCATGGGGACCCTTACATCAAGCTGTTGCGCATCGTCGGGGTAGCCCCGTCGTCCACCCGGTATTCGCCCCGGGCAGTGAAGAAGTCACGCTCCTTCACCTCATCGGGCCAGATACCCTCGGCAATTCGGACCATCCACAGGAACTTATTGATGTCGTCACCCGAGTAGCCCAGCAACCCACCAAACACCACCAGCACGTAATCAACATCGTGCTGACGGAGAATGGGGTAACTGACTTCCTCGCGCGAGCTCATTGCCTTACCAACTGTGGCAATGTGGGTGTTGTTCCACGTGTTGTTGTCAACAAGAGTCGGGCGGTCCGCCATGCCACCGATCTGGTAGCCGTAGTCCCACCAGGACATGATCTTGGCGTTGTGGGCAGTGTTCTGGCGAAGCCAGTAGTACGCCTCACGGTAGTCGTCGATGATGTGCTGGCTTCCGTCCGGCATGCGGCTCGCCAGAACCACAGACGGGGAGGAGTAGGCGTTCGATGTGACCCAAGTGCAGTGCGCAACGAACAAAAGGAGGTAAACAACCACGGAGGAGGTTACGACAGCCTTGGAAAGGTAGGAGGTGATTCCAACGTCGGGCTTCCGGGCCGAACGGAGACCCTCGGAAGACGTGTCCTCGTTGGCCTTTGCGCGGGGGTTGGGGCCGTTGGTAGCAAAGACATAGGTGTCGAGGATGGTGGAGAGGGCCAGGGCAGCAGCAACACAAACAATAGGGGTCAGCGTCAGCATCAGTCGGACCATGACGCCGGCGAAGTAGCTGGCAAGCACCGAGTAGATGATGACGAAGACATGCTCATCCTTGAGATCCCGGAAGCACATGTAAACACCTGCTGGGAAAAGCCAGATCAGGAAGTTCAGGTCAAAGAAGAAGGCGGGCCAGGCAGTGGGCTGGTGCTCCGAGACGGACGCAATGATGGGGATGTGAATCTTGGCGTAGCCGGTATCCCACAGGGAGTAGAAACGGCCGCTCCAGGGGGCGATCACTCCCGACACGGTCAGGACGACGAGTCCGATGAACGCAACGCCAAAGACAACGATGATCATGGTCGTCAGAAGTCTCTGGAAGTGCTTGCCCGGGATGAAGCCACGGACAAAGTCCGCAAAGGCCACAAGTTGGATCAAACCGAAGACACCTGGTAATATCAGCAAAAGCTCGTCTGCTTGGTCAAGAAAAGTGCATACCGAGTGCGGACATATGGTCACTGTTACGGATCGGCAGGAACCCAACAAACGGAATCTGCATGCTAGCCAAAGTTCCCAGAGCATACCAGGTGGTGTAACTGATGTAAATGCGGGAGCTGTATCTGCCCATGCAGAGAAGGACAAAGACGTGCAGAGGGATCAAGTTGGTGATAAAGACATATCCACCCCAGGCAGACACCATGTATCCGTAGAACAATGCAGCCAATGCACCCCACATGATGGAGCCATTTTTGACAGCCTTGATCCACAAGAAGAAGGTGAAAACCAGCAGGAAAATAGCGATGGCCTCGTTATCATAGCTGCCTGCGACGGAACGAGAGATGTAGCCGGGGACGATTCCCATGAAGGCAGCGGCAAGCAGACCCGCAGAGGGAGAGGTCGCCATCTCGCAAGTCAGGAAATACATTGCCAGCGCAGTCAGCCCAGAGAATCCGGGGGCAAGCAGGACACAGATGTTACGGATATCGACAGGGATGGTGAGGAACCGCAAAACGTGGTAAATCACGCCGCTGGTCACCATGAGACCGGGGTATAGGGTGCCACCAGTGACACGTCCCAGAGGGTGCCAGGTTCCTGAGCAGGACCACCAGTTAGCATGCGTATATTAATCTCGGTACGAAGTGCCATCGAACTCGACAAAGCAGCGAGTTGGAGCGGAAAAGAGGAACATACGGTCGTCAAACCAATCCCAGAAGCTTTCGAAGCCATGCTGGACCAGGTATTTTGTCGCTCGGAAATTGAACCAGGGGTCGACTGCGGGAGCGAATCGTCAGTGTTAATTTCTATTAGGGATGAGGCTGCCTGCACACGGGTCGAATGTCGGATCCGCCGTGGACATGGGCATGGGTATAGATGGACGGGCATTAAAACATACACTCGTGGATAATGCTCTCAAAGCCTAGGGAGAATCAATGTTAGTAACGTGATCCAATTGATTAATTCCACGGTCCTCATTGGGGAAAGAAAGACATACGGATCACACTGAACAGACGACTGGACACAGCGGCGGCGGCAATAGTAGCTAGAATGATAAACCGCAGAAGACCGCGAGTGGTTCTGCCGGAGTTACCCTTCAGGAGAACATCGAGGGGTGATTCGGCCATAATGGCCAGAAAGAAGAAAAATCAAAATCCAATTGAAATGAAAGTGAGCGAATGGCCCTCGACCTGCCCGGGGAGCTGATGAGAGGGAAGGGTAGGTGGTTCGTGGACGGGGATGGACTTGGAGAGAGCGAGAGCTTCGCAAGGTGGTCTCTTCGATGGCTTGGCGCCAGGTACGTAAGTCACCGCGGCCGTGCCGTTGCGGCTTGGGCCAATCCTCCGTCACGTCCCCGCACCGTCATGTCATACCTTAGTCGCCTCCTCCAACAGTCCCCATCCATCCCCCCAAGTCCCATATCCCGCATATCGTTCTAGGTCGTCCTCGCGTGGTTTCTGCCCAGCTCGAGTCCCCGACCATGGATCTTCCTCCGCTCTCCCAGAACCAGCTGGCGGCCGTGGTCGCCTCTGCTCAGTCGCCGACGGAGCTCTACAGCACACTATCAGAATATGAAGGCGAGGCATGTCTTCTCTCAACCAAAGATGGCGAACAAGCGGGGCTGCTCAGCCGTTACTACTCGACCTTCTTTTTCTCTCACCTTCTCACAGACCAAATGTGAGCTATTATCGGCCTTTTTTTTACAGTCGTCCAGTTGGTTTTTTTTTTGGCGAGATAGCTAATTCGTAGTTGCTTAGTCGCGAGGCTCGTTTATCGACGAAGCGCATGCCACAAGTCTTGCTAGAAAGCGATCCTTCATTGCAAAACTGTTTAAATCTGCTCCGGGCCGTTTGGCAACGAAAATACGAACAAGTCTATAAGATTCTGAGAGAACGGCCATGGTCGGAACCACTCAAACCACTGGTCCAGAGCTATGACGGTAAGACGAGACATCCTCTCCAGTCCTTTTCGCCCCCTCAATATGGGTCTTTTTCTAACGCCGTTCAGCTCATTTTCAGGAAAAGACGTTGAAGGAAGTCAGCCGAGCCTATGAGGCGATCAGACCAGCAGCAGCAGCAACATATCTCGGCCTCGACCCTACCGCCGCCGAACAGGGCGATCCGGTCACCATGCAGAAATTCTTAGCTTGTGGATGGACCTGGGAGGACGAGACAGGGCTGTTGCACCCAAAACCGATCATCGACGACCCACAGAAAGACGCTCAGCTGTATAATGAACTAAGTGAGGTCATGGCGCTGATCGGGAACCGCCGGGCTTAGAGTGTATGAGGCATTGCACGCATGGGCTACCTTGCAATCGGATTATCCTACTGTAACAGAGGGGACGGGGCGATAAGGTCGGATGGCTACACATCTGGAGCGAAACATCCCGCGTCCGCTCGTAATGACTTGACGGCTTCACGAGCAACCATAGAACGGCACCATGAACAATGGGCATAACATTGCGCAAGCGCACTCAGTACGAGAAGATCAGCAATGAAACCGAAGCATACAACAGAATCTCTTGCTCTTCTGGTCCAACTGTAGTGTACACACGCACGACAGCCCAGGGTATGTACAAGATGCGGGGATGATGTCTATAGTTAAAAAAGAAAAATCATTCCTTCGCTCGCAATGACACGACTCTGGGAAATTAGACCAAACAATAATACATAATCGGGGCCGACCCGAGATCTCTCGTCCGTACCTTACAAGGTACAACTCGTGGAGAGATAACTGCAACTCATCTGCTTGCTGTATACTTCAATTGCACTCTAGTTCTCGCCAGCCTTCAGCTTCAGGTAGGCCTCAAGGTCAAACCGGCTGTCCTCGGGATCCGTGATGACTGCAAGTTCCCTAGTTAGCATTGATCCGGCACACGCGACTGTGTCCAGGGGGCGGCAATTCGACACAGCCAAGGCTTCACAAAAGCGAGCACCACGACGTACCTCCGCTGTTTTGCGTGTCCTTGGGCGCCGTCTTCTTCTGCCACTCTGCCTTGGCCTGCTGGATCAGGCGCTCCTGGCGGGCGTATTCGCGTTCGGCCTCGGCATGCTTAGCACTGGAGGTGATCGAAGACTGGTGATAGAAACCGTATACGAGACCGGCAACGAGGGCCGAATAGCGCAGAACCTGGATGGCGAAGGGATCGGGTTAACATCGAGGCCCCTGTATGACGACGGGTCCAGGGCGGACACTGATGACACTCACGTTGACACCCTGTGTGGCAGCCATCTTATGAGAACCCTGGCCTCCGGAGCGGCAATGGAATAGATCAGTAAACGCAAGAGAGCAACGCCGGATTCCGAGCGACCGTTTGGAGGGGATCGACTGTCAATGGCTGGCAATCGGAGGATACTCTGGAGCTTGTAAAGACGAAGTCCCTGTCGCGAGTTTTTCCGGACCGTCGGGCCCTTCTGCGCTTATGTCATCACCAACCCGGTCTCTGGGCGGGCGCGGCACGGGGAAGTTGCACGACCCCCCCCCCGTATCTATCTACGCTTTCACCTAGCCAGATCGTGGTCTGGAGGGAACCGCGCCATTTCACCCCCTCCAGCTTCTCTTCACCCATCATGTCGTCGGCCATGCAGCAGCGCAAGGCCGAGATTCTCGCCAAGCGAGCCAAACTCGCCGAACTGAAGCGGCAGAGGGAGCTGCGGCAGAAGGAATTCTCCCAAGCCCGAGCTAACACCGGCGATGCTTCTGAGGTAGGGATCCCCTCACTCAACCTTGCCCGTCTAGCTTGGAAAGCTGCAGCGCTCAAACCACCTGGTTTCTTTAGGTCGTCTCGCCGGTTCCCAGCCGCGCAGATAGCAGAGCCGAGCTCGATGATCTGATTTCACGACTTGTTGACCGCCCGGGGTCGGCTTCTATCAGCCACGGCGCGGATGGTCTCTCACGCAAAGGAAGCAGACCCAACTCAGTGCTGAGCGCGAGCCAGCTCAGTGGTGATAACACGGAAGCATTTATCCCACCCACGCGACCAGTCTCTCAGTCAATTGCCGTTCAAACCGTCGGAACGGAGCCATTTGTCGCTGCTCCTGAACCACAGCCCGCCCCTGAGCCCAAACCCGAGGTTGTCACCTATAGCAAGGGAGTGCAGACAGACGACCTGAAACCGTCAGATTCTGCAGAGTCAGAGAACGAAGAAAATAACGCCAACAAGAAAGATACCGAACGCGACGAAGAGATCCTCAAGAAGCTCCGACAGGAGATCGAAGAGGAGCTGCGGGCCACTCAGCAGAGAGCTGACCATGACGCCGGAGCCGAGTCCTCAAATCTGCGTTATCCGCTACGTACATTAGATGATGATGAGTTGAAGGCTGTTACGTCCTCCGATGATTTTCTGGATTTCGTTGAACGGTCAGCAAAAGTGATCGAGCGGGCGCTGGACGAAGAATACGACGTGCTAGCAGACTATGAGCTCGGAGGTGTGGATGGAGAGTTAGAAGACGATGATGAACATGGGCGGAAACGGCGAGGGATTAGGGAGGTCTGCCAATTTTGGGACGAGCGATGGAGCAAAAAACGGATGATCAGTGATCTAAGCTTTTCCCCGAAGGTTTGTTGCTCTTATTGCCTTGGCCAGTGCCACCTCGAGATCTGACACCTCCTACAGTTCCCTGAACTTGTTCTGGCTGCTTACACCAAAAACCCTTCTGCCCCTCACGAACCTGATGGCCTTGTCCAAATATGGAACCAGCATTTGCACTCCCGGCCGGAGTATGTCTTTCATTCTACCTCAGACATCTTAGCGGCCAAGTTCTCCCCTTTCCATCCTAATCTCATTGTTGGTGGCTCGTACTCGGGACAGGTTCTGCTCTGGGATACTCGGTCGTCGCGCGCAGGAGGCGGCGCTCCTGTTCAGAAGACACCGTTAACTGGCTCTGGACATACTCACCCGGTGTACAGCATCTCAATTATCGGAACACAGAACGCCCACAATATCCTGACGGCATCCACAGACGGTGTGGTTTGCGGTTGGACCGTTGATATGCTTTCTCAGCCTCAGGAGTATCTTGAGCTTTCGACTCCCCCACCCTCCAAAACAGAAGATCTTGCGCCCACCACGATGTCATTCCCACAATCGGACCCCACGTTCTTTATCGTTGGTACCGAGGAAGGAGGAATATACCCGTGCCATCGTTACGACCGAGCAGGAGCCAAAGCTGGCACCGACCATCGCCTCGTGTATCGCGGTCATAAAGCCCCGATCATGTCCACTGCATTCCATCCAGCACGAGGCCCAGTAGATCTGGGCGACCTTATGCTGAGCTCCAGTCTGGATTGGAGCGTGAGGCTTTGGCGTATTCGCCCTCCGGCAACGACTGCCCCAGCAACCTCGGCCATAGCCACGACACAGGTCGTGGAGCCGATCCTTGACATCAACCGTGAAGACGTCGTGTATGACGCACGATGGTCGCCTCACCGCCCTGGAGTCTTCTCGCTCGTCGATGGTGCTGGAAACCTCGAGGTCTGGGATCTCTACACGGACACCGAAGTACCTGTCGTGAAAACCACGCCGTCCAAAGGCCGTGGTGGCATCCTGACAAGAAGTCTCAACAAGGTAGCCTGGGAGGAGCGTGAGGGCAGACGCATTGCAACAGGGGGGCTCGACGGCGTTGTCACTGTCTTCGAAGTAGGAAAGGGTCTCAGTGGTACACCGGAAGACGTGCCTGCCGAGGAGTGGTCGGGAATGAAGAAACTCGTTGGGAAGTTGGAACAGCAGGACCGGAACAACTGATAAGGGTGCAGTATATCCCTGCTGTAATGATTCTTTCCAGTCATCCTTTCGGATTACAGAGGAAGACATGACCATCTTGTGACATATCCTGCTCACTGGATGACAAGGTTGGTCTGCTTTTTCATTTGACCCAGTCCGTCTTCACCAGCGACAAGCCGCCGATTGATGCATCACGGGTGCTTGAGTCTTCTTCCCGACCTGTAACAAATTTCTAGCGGCGCCTCTGTTTAGCTTATCATATACCCCGGGGCACCTCATTGATGTATCTATATATGTTCTAGGCTAGGAGAACGAAGAAGGGTTTCAAGATTTCCAACCGACTCAACGCTTGCATTCATACTCGCTCACACTGGCTCATGGATTGGACTGTTCGCCTCTCTACGGGTCGTGACTGCGAACCAAACAGGCAAGGGGCTTGATCGCAACCAAGAACAACAGCCGCATTCTGGCATATTGTAAGTTCATGACTTGATAGCTTCAATGATGCCTTCACCACTACCAGGTGGCTGGTGGAAGATGAGATCCTTGAGTCCGACAGAGTTGAGCAGCTCGCGCCACTGTTTCTCAGACCACTCGAATGCCCCAACCTGAACCATCATCATGATACTCATGCACGCGGTGGGAAAATCGCAGTTTCTATCGGGGATGATATAGTCGTTGATTATGAGGCGAGAATAACCAGGCTCCATGGCTGTGACGATGTGAGTGAGGATCTTGCGGGCTTGCTCATCTGCCTAGTCATGCAGGATCCAGTGCATATAGTATGCTCGAGCACCTGCGCAAGATAATACTCGTCAGCATCCCCGGTTCTGTCATCGTTCCGCTGCACGATACGTGCAAATGAACAACATCATACCTTTCACTGGCTGCGAAGTGAAGAAATCATGCGACATCAACTCGGTTCCTTTCGGAGGATTCTCTATGCTCGACACAACATGAGGCAAGTCCTGCAGGACCAAGCGCCCTGGGAGAGACGGGAGTTTCTCATTCAATGCGTGCAGATAATGCCCCTCTCCTCCTCCGACGTCAACGAGTAAGACACTGTCAGCAGAACTATTGAATCCATCCAGAATCGATCCTCTAATGTCGAACCAGTCGACCCAGTTCGGAGTTGCCTGCTGCTTGAGAGTCATCCACTGTTGAAAGTCTCTTGCTAACTCGGGATTGTGGCCAAGCCACTCGAAGTAACTGAGCTCCGTGTTCATGGCTAGCTGGAAAGGTGTGTCTTTGACGGATCCCGGGAACTGATTGTCGTTCTTTCAGAAGAACTCCGGGGCTCTCGTGGTACAAAAGTTGCCAATATCGAAGCTAGGGTGGTCTCGGGGTGAGCAGATATCGGGCTACTTGAGGGCCGACCTACCATGCTCTAGTCGTCGCTTCGAAAGTCGGCTCAGCCATCACCATCGTGAGGGGTGAAGGCTTGTATGTCTGGACATCTTCTTCGAGCACATAACCAGAAGCTGTGAGCAACCTCATGATTTGGTCTAGATGATCCAACTAGGTTAGTGTGCATTATTCGGGCTTATGCCAGGGTCTGTATACTCTTCTGGAGGAGTGTTCATTATCGACCCACGATATCGAACCCGATGACGACAGGGAGAGAGACTGATAAGATAACGGAGACGTACCCACGAGAGCTACACTTGCACCGGATTTATTAGCGATCTGCTGTGTCGTAGTCGCATGGCCTTGATTATCCCTGATTGCCGTGAAAGCACCGAGCTGAACACCCATACGAAGTGCCATAAGGAGGACCGAGTTCTTTCCAGATCCACGTCAGTCAAGTGGCATTTTAACCGCACTGGGGGGACATGGTTCTCAGATTCACCATGACGACATCCTGTATGACGGTCTCAGCTGGGGAGCCCAAGGCTGCCAGTAGACCCTGGGCAGCTTTGATGGCTTTGAACCGAATGGCATCATCAAGGCTTTCCCTGTTGGATTGCACGGCGCTTGTCAGCGCTGTTATTTGAGACTCAAGGGACATTCCTCCGGTGTTTGGTTTCTAGTGGATACTTTCTGCGCCTTGGTATTCGACGCAGTATTCTGGAGGAAGTGGTAAACATGCAGGAGCTATCTAAGATGCTACGGCTCGAGGGTTTTAGTATGAAGAGCTGAAGAAACGTATGCGTGGGTCACATCCATGGGAGAGGGGCGTCCCAGGAGCGAATAACGTGGACCGATCGGGCCTATAGGAGGTGCTAGTGCGCCCTAGTGGGCTTAAGTGTCTCAGGAACTGGATCTTGGGCCGCGTGGACGAACTGACAATCGGATCGTGTTGTCGGTTCCAAGCTTTCCGTGAGCCACTCGAACGCCATGTGGAGATCGGCGGAGATTGGCCTTGGTGAACAATATCAAAGGCATCGACTGCCCACCGTTTGCCCGTGGCACCAGCACGGAACGCCTGGCATCCAATTATGTAATTGATTGGATCCCATCTCCCAAGACGGTCCAATGCTCTCATTCCAGGGAAAACGTTTGAAGCTACCAGCCGTGATCTTGGCCGTTTTTGCGATTTAAAGATGTGCTTCCCATGCCATCCTCGTGCCTCTACGCCAGCTGCAGATGCACACAACCATTGCCGCAGCCTCGGCTTAGGCCCTCTAATGGCATAAGGGAGTGTGGGTTCCAGGGACAATGGATCGACGCTCAGTTTCTGATGTCCCGTACAACGGTGATGCGCTGATAGGCGTGTCGATTGCGATCGCCATTGTTCAGATTGTGGTGGTGGGAGCTCGTTTCTATACGCGACACATGCAAAAACTGGCATTGGCGCTTGATGATTACCTGATTTTTCTGGCATTGGTATTTGCTTGTCCTGCTTTCAACTGCTCGCTGCTTACATTATATGCAGATCGCCAGCTTAGGGCAGTCAGCCTTGTACATCATCCGTAAGTGGTGTGGTCTCGCCAGACAGGCGAATAGGCGCTGACCTTGTTTACTTTCGTATAGTGGTTAAGCTCGCAGGTGTTGGGCATCATATGACTTATGTTGAACAGACGCCCAAGAAGTTGGTTATCCTGCAGAAGGTTTACATTCCTGGTTCGATCTTATAACACGGGATGGCCGCTAACACGGTCCAGGGCCTGTACGCCAACGAGATCCTTGATTTCCCTTTTACAGTCACCCCAGCCAAGATCTCCATTCTGCTGTTCTACGTCCGCATCTTCAGCACCCGAACCTTCAAGACAATAGCATATGTGGTCGGTGCCATTGTCCTCGGACATGGTCTGGGGGTCTTATTTGCAGCGATCTTTCAATGCTGGCCGGTTGCATATGTATGGAACCAGACAATCGAGGGTGGATCGTGCTTCAATAAAGAAGCATTCTACCGATACGTGTCACCTCCCAACATTCTGACGGACGTTGTCATTCTGGTCATGCCGTTGCCGTATGTCCGGAAACTCCATACGCGGAACGGGCAGAAACTAGCCCTGACCGGAGTCTTTCTGCTTGGAGGCGTGTGAGTATCATCGATGCAACCCTTGGACCGAGATTAACCCGTTCCAGGGGCACGCTGGCCAGTATCTTGCGCATGACCATTTTCTTCCAAGAGAATGCCACGACCGATCCTACCTGTATGTTCTTGTCCCGCAGCTTGTCGGACTTTATCCTGACTGATGATCACCAGGGACGTCCACCAAACTCGGCATCTGGACCATCCTGGAAGGCGGGATCATTATCATTTCCGCCTGTCTCCCGCCCACCTGGCCGTTGATTGTGCGCATCCTGCCCAAACAACTGCGCAGCAAAGGGTCCTCCAACACCCGGCAACGCCACCGCTACACAGCCAGCCAGGCCAAAGCCAAGGGCCCCGAGGGGTTTTCCCGGCTAGGGGACAACAGCCAGAGCGACCAGTGGCAGACTCCATCCGTGGAGAGCCAGACGGTGTTGGCGCATACACTCGAGGAATACTCGGATAGCATCTCCTTGGACGTGATGCATGGGGTGCGACCGAGCGAAGAGCCCTGAGTTGATCAAAGTGACCACGAATGTGAACGAGTCCAACTGTCTACACCGTTCCCTGTACGAGAAGAGTAGATGGACAACCGACAAACCCTTGGTAATATTCCTAGGGAGTAAATCACAAGGTTCCAACAGCCTAGAGTGACATAAATTGGCCCCAACCCAATCGTCATCGCGAATCCACTTGATCGGGTGCGTGCCCTCATCCGTGCTTCGCAAGTTGCCCAGTGCCAACATTGGCGGCCCACTCAATCTCCGGGCCATCCGCCCCGGCCCACGAAAATGGTGAGTGAAAGCTGGCTGCATTCAGCTACGTACCGGGCTATGGGTCTAGACAAGACAAAGGCGGTGCCTACCTAAAGGCATTTGATCTGCTTCACTGACTGGGATGTTTACACTCGGCAGAATGAAGGTTTTATCTATCTACTACGTACTTCTAAAGTTCTAGTATTCCCTTGGTCCGGTCCCACAGCGGATCGGTGGCTTGACCCCGGAACAACATACTAGATGGTACCTACTTTGTCGGATCGAAAGAATCGGTTCCATGGATGGCGGGGGTTGGCAATGCGTAAGTCCCAAGGATCGGATCTGATAAATGATAATGTTGGATCGATGATGATAAATCGAGAATTTTAGTACTAGCCGTTCTATGTAAAAGTAATAACAGATGCACTCCACAGTAAAAAAAAAAAACAAAATAATCGAACTGGTTCTAGACCCAAGCGAATTAACCACAGGGGGGGGGGGCATAAATTTCCCCCTCAACACTTATCTATCTATCCATTTTAATAACTTATCAACTCCATCATATCTTCGACCATCATCTTCTACAAACAATCGCAGGTGTACTTCAGTGCATCATTTTGCTCAATTTCCTAGCATCTACAGACTTATATAAAAAAATCAAATCTCACCATCACTCTGAATCCCTGGTCACTACCCATTAACCTGGCCTGGAAAGAACAACCAGTCCAATCCCTGGTTAGGAATCAAATCATCAGGGATGGATTGATAAATCTACTTCCTTCGGTCCAGGAAAGACATATTCTTTGCTATGTAGATGTCATGTTTGAAATCCCGCTGCGGATGGTGGGATGCGGGGTAGATGCACTGCTTACTGTACTGTAACGTGAGTGGGAAATGCGATACCCGTATGGTATTATCCTTGTCGCCGGGGGAGTCTGGGACAGGTTACACGGTTCTAGAAGGTCTGGGGTGGACGGGATAAGGAGCACGGCAGGAGCTTGGGTTGACATTGGGTATTGGACTAGTATGTATCTTTTGTACTGTCATGGAGTTGGGGATAATTCTATGGTGGTGGGATATGTCTTGGCTCTGAGTGAGGATGGTGACTAGAATAAGAGATTTGCATTATTCATGATCTCATGATAGGAACGGAACAGTAGATAGATGATGTTAGAAAGGTACGGGGTAAAAGGTTCGGTCATGTGGTGTATCCGTGTGGATGGTTGGTCTTGTAGAGCGAATTGGCCATCTGGGATGTATATACGAACTTCATACGGAGTACCTGGTACAGCATTACTGTTCAAGACAAGTCATAGACAGTATGATGGGGGGGGGGGGGGAGGGACATCATCAATAAGTGTAGCGGAATCCGACCTGTGTCTTGTTAATATCGATTTCCATCGGCTAGGAGACAAAGCAAACATACCATGTTTTGCAGCACCTTTCCTTTCTTCTGCTGCTGGTTGAGGTGCCAGAAAAACACGGTGAAGATGCACACCATACCGATCATCAAGATGTGGGATCTGTGTCAGTTGTCAGTCTGCGGAGTTGAAGTATCCGGGGAGGGGAGGGAGTTACCCGATGGACACCCACACTGCGGTCTCGTACCGCGGCGCCTCCTGCTGTCGCACGATATAGCTGCCTGCGACACCTCCCAGGCCATTGCAGGCTGATACCGCCGCCGCTGTGGTGGCTCGGTTCCATTGGCCGACCACGTTGTTGGCCATGAAGGCGTTCAGGGCCGCCCAGTTGGAGACGTAGGCGCCAGTTGCGAGGAATGTCCCGATGTACCGCACGGTGACCTGGGTGGAGGAGGGGAGGCCGAACATGAGGAACCCGGCGATGAGACACAGCGCGTTGAAGCTGATGAGTGGACCGCGGATGCGGTATCTGTCTCCGACGAACGATGTGAAGAGGACGGGAATAACAGCCCAGTAGTATGGCTGGGGGTGGTTAGTGCATGGGACGTAAGGAAGAAGGTTAGAAGACGGCTTACCGGAGTGGACAGAAGGATCGAGTCATTGCTTGAGAATCCCATGCCGGACTCGAGGATCATGGGGAGAAAGTAGTTCAACGCAGTCGAGACAAGGTTCAAAAGGAAGAACATGCATGCGAAGCCGTACAGCTTCGGATCGGCGAACGGAGCGAGCACTTTGGGCCACGAGAACGGATCCGGGACGATATCGTCGCGGTCTGCCTTGATGCGTTGGGCGGCGACGCGGGCCTCCATCTCGGACATGAAATGGAAGCTGTGATGGGCATTCTCCGGAAAGTCGACGATCCACCAGTAAGTGACAATGCCGAGGACGCAGCTGAGGAGGCCCTGCACCAGGTACATCCAGCGCCAGCCTTGCATGCCCGCTCTTCCGTCTAGAAAGTCAAGACCGTAGTTCACGATGTAGCCTGTCGCCAGGCCGATGACTTCACCCGACTGCAGGAAGGCGAATCGGAGCTGTTGCTCGCGCCGCGGGTACCAGGTGCTGATGAGATAGGTCAGACCGGGGTAGATCCCCGACATGGACATGCCCAGGAGCACGCGGAGGGCAATCATCTGCTTCCACGTGTGGATGAAGGCCGTGCACATGGTGATCAATCCAAAGGCAAAGGTGATGCACGCGAACCAGATCCGGGGTCCGACCCAGCGGACTGCAATGGTACACGGCAGCTGAAAGACGACGCTGGCGATGGTGAAGATGAAGATTGAGACGGAGTATCGCGTGCCCTGAAGACCCAGGTCATCGGGCATGCTGGTGACCGATGCCGATGACAAGATGCCCGAGTCGAGCAGGTTGAGGCTGCATAAGATGCCGGCAATGGTACAGAGGCGTAGGTCTGTTTTCCAGCGCACCTTCGTCTCCAGCGCCTTCAATTCGGCTAAATCGAGGTCTGTAAGACCCGGGGGGGGTTCCTGGCCGCCCTCGAGTTTGCCATTGTCTCTCTCAACCACGACAGCTTCGGAATGCTTCTGGTTCATGATGAACAGCAGGGTGGTGATGATGGACTAAGACACCGATGACCTCGAGGGTAGTGACATGTCGGAAGGAAGAAGGTGGGTTACATTTTGGAGAGGTCGAGTTGACACGCAGCTTATCGTGCAGGGGGGAGATGGCGCCGGTCTGCGAGCCGTGCAGAAGGCTGATCACTAGTAGTAAGTAGTACGACTAGGGTTGAAGATTCCTGCGCTGCTGCTGCGACCATTGGTGGATCAGCTGGGTCTGCAAATCACGTCTTTTCCAACCCACCAGGTTCCATCGGGTTCTGGATTACGATGATATGCATAAGACATGCTCCATCAATATTGATCAAATGTAGAGGATTGAACTAATAACATTGGACTGATTATTCATCTTTTCTAACCTTCATCCAAGTGCTTCTGTTTGCTTCTCTCCATTGAAAGTAGTCAGTGTTTTCACTGGCTTGGCCCCCACTTTCCTTTTTATCTTATCTTTTCTTTTTCTTCATCTTCTTCTTGGCTCTTTTCATCCCTCTTTTGCCTTTTCTTTTCTCTATCCTTCATTACATTCATATTAATAATCAAAGTATAAAACTGACATAGGTAAATCTCCGTGAAACCCTGACAACTCTCATAAAAATTTCAACCCAAGTTTACGAAGTATTTACGTAGCACGCATGGATGGATGGATATCCTAAAGAAGAAGACCCCACTGTGGAGTCGGGATCCATCAAAGATAGAGATACCCTGAGCACTGGCCGTGGTTTGCCCCTAGGGGAAACATTCGCACTGGCCATTGCCGACCTACAGCGCTGGTTCAAGTATTATTGTCAACAGCATCCAATGCCAATCCAAATGAAATGATTTTCTTCGCTGGCAAATGATAGCCATGCCATTCCGGAAGACTGCCACTTCTGACCTCTGACCCTTTCAAACAGGGATATTCCAAGTGTAGAGGGCTGCAGGCCTCGTATTAAGTGACTAGGTGTTGCTGGAAGAAAAACAGATTGGAGAGAATTATCGTACCGCCAGTCCATTCCTTAATCCAGGATACATGGTGTCATGATGCATGCGTTGATTCGTCCTCGCGGATCGCCGCCCTAATCCCTCCTCCGACTTTGTGGTGGGAAAGTCACCATCCCTGACAGTTCTAGTTCTGTCAATGCCAGATAGTACAAAATAGCCTGTGTTTTCTGGACCTATATACTTCAGAAGCTTGTACTCGAACTCGCTTGTGAGGTTGTTGTTGTTGTTGTTGTTGTTGAGCTGATTGACCTTTTACAACTCTGCCGTACAGGACAGACCTCCCTGTTGACTGCCATCATCATGATGCCGTGTAGTCGATCAATGAAGAAAACATCGACGAACTCGTAGCGGGGGTTTGCCTTGCCAATGAAACCTCCACCTACATCTGACTAAAAGGCTATATAGGAGTCAACTGTCAACAGGTTCAAAGCAACATCAGAAGCGAGTTCTTCAAGATATTGATGCCCTCCCATCCACGAAGCGACTTGGAACCACCAACTACCCCGTCCAAAACGCATTGCTGTGGTGAATTCCCAATATTCGGGATACCAGCCTGCGGATTCCCAATCCAGAAACCCGGATAAATGTCCATCATCACCAACAAGAATATTGTGTGCTTTGAAATCCCCATGGGTGAACACAACCTGGTAGGGTCGTTGTAGCTTTTCTGCACATGACAGGGTTCGCTCATATTCTGCAGGCGATTCGAATGCATGACTAGAAGCAGGACTAAAGAGATGATTATAAAGTTCTCTTTCACTTGCAAAGGGGCCCATAAGATGGCCAGGAACCCGTGGACTTCGTAGAGGGGTGCTAAGGGGAGAACAGATAGACCTTGGATTAGGTGAGCACCATAAACGCATGGAATCTACGCAGGTTTTCAATTCATGCAGCCAGGGGCCCTCATCATCAATCTCCAACGAATATCTCGAGTTTTCCAGGGACACACCGGGCAACCTCGTCATTAGAATGGAAAATGTCCGGTTGAAAGGCGCATTCGGATGCTCTCCGCAGAATAACACTTTGGGGACAGGCATCCCAGCGGTTCTTGCCATCTGCATCGCAACCGCCTCTTCCAGGCTTGTCCGATCTGTCCATTTCAGGATGAGTCCGAAGGGTAACTGCAAGATATTGACATCGAATATAATACCGAACCAAGAGCAATACCAGCGAGACAGGTGATAAAGCGCCTTGTGAAAAATGCCCAGGCTATTCGAATGGGGGCACTGGAGGGGTGCTCCGTGATATTGTACATCGCATCGGCCGCGGCCAAGTGAAGTCCGGCCGTAAAATGGATGGTATATAATGACTACCCATAATAAAGTTCAAGTGGAATTATGGGGTGGAGATGGTAACTGTGAAATCTCTCTGCAGGGGCGATGGATTAGCAGAGATAGATATGCTAAGAAGGAACAAACAGAGGGATCCAGCGGGCAGGAAAGTGAAAACAGCGGGATTGTGCCAAGACAACGAAGAAACAGCCAGTAAGACAATGAGTACTATACTAAGTAGTAGTACTGATTGGATCGGAATAGCTGAAAGACTGAACATAAATCTCTCTGAGTCAGCTAGCATAAATTTGTGGAAACTGGAAGCCAGCCAGGCCATAAGCAAAAAAGATAGATGGGAATGCCGGCACGAAACCTGAGATCAGCACGAACCCCCTGGCTGATTATTGACTCTTATCACTGCTATAAATTCCCCGAGGATCGCCTCCATTCCTGAGATTATTCACTTCTCTCTCAATGGCCCAACCATCTCCATGGCTCCATCGGCCCCCGCGTCTTCTCCTGGCCTTGACCCACGCCGTTCCTTCGGGCGAAGGGAGCCAAACACCTCCGTGAGTTGAGTAACTGCACTGACGATGGCCCTACTGCAGCAGCAGCAGCAGCAGCAGCAGCTGACCGACCGAGTGACTGATCGTCTGTCTGGACCCCCCCTTCTGTCCGCCATACAAGATGGCTCTCACTCCCCGCTTGCGGCTGCGACAGACTGAGTGAGCTGGTCCTCCCGCACTGCCAGTCTGCGGTGCTTCTTTTCCCCGCCGTATTTTTCTCCCTAGTAAAGCTGTCTACAGATTTCCCCTGAGAAATAACAGCTACCACCTCTTCGCATACTCTACCTTCTTTGACGACACAAGCCTCTCCACTCCATCATGGTCGAACTCATCCCTCCCCCCGATCCTCGCACCCTGCTGCCTCCCTTACTCGCCTGTCTTCCGACGGCTTTCGTCTCGCCGCAGCCCCCTCCAGCTCTGTTGCCCCTCCTGTCGCCCATTCTGCGCCAACGCGTCCAGATTCTGAGCTCAGTGAATGTCTCTCCGACCGACTCATGGCTCCAGCTACTTTGCTGGGATGCGGGACAGGCTGAGCGCCTCCAAGCACTGGTGGATGGCGCAAGCTTCGAACAACATCCCGTCTCGGGCGAAATCGAGCTCCCCGATGAGATTCCAGTCAGATACAGGCGCCTTGATGAGGAGACACTACGGTCGCGCGTGATACTTCCCGAATACAGCCTGAAGGTTATCTACCTCTGGTGCCCTGACGACCAGGAAGGCGGGGGTCCAGCATGGCGGGTGGCAGAATTGTTGCCGCAGGAAGGTAACGTGGATGATGGCGAAGTCTGGTCCGTGTCGATTGGGGAGGCGAACGCTGAACAGAAAGATCACCTTCTGGAAGACGCCTTGAATGCAGCCGAGCAGGCAGAGAAGCAGAAAGAGAAAGACGAAGATGACGACGATGACTACTGGGCCCAATACGATGCAACTCCCGGGCGAACCCCGGCGGCCAAGACGCCCAACCCTGTTTCATCCCTGCAACAGTCGGAAGCGGATTACTTCTCTCGCTACGGTGATGTGCAACCCGCCATGGACAACCACGATCCCGAGGAGGAGCAACCTGAGCTTGGGGCATCCTCCCTCAATGGAGACATGTTGGCCAAACTGCTCCAGAGGCAGTTCAATGGTGAAGGAACCGATAAGCCGGGCCATGTACATGATAGTTCGGCCGGCGCTGCAGCAAACGGCGACCATGCTAGTTTGAACCATCCTCGGCCGTCTTCCATCTCGTCCGCGAGCTCCGAAGCGGTGGCCAGACTCGAACAAGAAGCGGAGAACCAGTCAACCTATGAAGTTGGGGTCAAGCAGCACATCAGCTCGAGCATCAAGGGTCTGTTCCGGCTGGCTAAAGCTACAGGCATCTCTCGCAGTGACTTCCAGTCACTCGTACAGACGGAACTCGAGTTGTTGAATGTGTCGGATGGCGAGTGAGATATTGGATGGCGTGTTTCTTATCAGATTGTACATACTGCATTGGGTCATGTTCAGCGTTGAGGTGCATTGGTTAGTTGATTGGGTTGGTTGGCTTTGGATATCCCCGGGTAGTCTTATAAGGATACGTGGACGGAAATTGGAATTCCGTCGTAATTATATGTGAAATCTGAAGATTGAAACCCGGGCGGAGTTAATAATGACGATCATCACACCCTGGACGCATGCTGCATCGGTACACGTGTTGCGTCGTGCGATGTTTCCCATAAATTGGCCGGGGGCTGTTTCGGACCAACGCTTTGTTCCGTTCCGCAGGCGTTTGAGACCAGAGAAAGACACGCAATCCGCCCCCATCGGTGATCCAGAACCGCCCCCTCTGCTGCGGCTGAGACAAATAATAAGTATATCCTTCCCTCCGTTCTATCATGGTTCTTTTCTGAACCGGCTTTCCCCTGTTTCCCGTAAGTCGTCCCAGCCTCCGAGCTCGAGGATGCCCTCCTGCCTGCGCCATCCAGCGTGCTGACCAGCTCCTGAGCTTTCCAGAAGTCCATTAGGTGTCTTTCGTTCGTTCTTTTCTTGACCACTCCCTAATCATGCCTCGGTCTCCTTCGCCCTCTCTTCGCAAGAGGGGCGGCAAGAAGGAGAGTACTCCTGTGCCCCAGGATAATCTTTCTTCTCCTTTGTCGTCCAAAGCGAGTGCTCCGCGTTCAGAATGGGATTATCGGCTGGCCATAACCGTTCTGACCGTCCTCGCCTTCATCACTCGATTCTACAAGATTTCCTTCCCCAATGAGGTGGTGTTTGACGAAGTGCACTTTGGAAAGGTAGGCCTGCAGCCAATTGACCCGCATAAGCTGAGGCATGGTGTCTAACGGCGAAGTTGTCCTTAGTTTGCCTCGTACTACCTCCAGCGCACTTACTTCTTTGATGTTCACCCTCCATTCGGCAAACTCCTTTTCGCTTTCATGGGCTGGCTGGTCGGCTATGATGGCCACTTTTTGTTCGACAACATCGGTGACTCGTACATCGAAAACAAAGTCCCTTACGTGGCTCTCCGGGCCATGCCGGCCACTCTCGGCGCCCTGACAGTCCCCGTCGTGTTTCTGATCATGTGGGAGTCTGGATATTCGCTGCCCGCTTGTGTACTGTCTGCAGGTCTCGTTCTGTTTGACAACGCTCATGTGGGAGAAGACCGACTGATCCTGCTGGACGCCTCCTTGGTGCTGTCCATGGCCCTGAGCGTCCTGTGCTATGTTCGTTTCTACAAGTTGCGTCATGAGCCATTCGGGCGGAAATGGTGGAAGTGGCTGCTCCTGACGGGTGTCTCGCTCAGCTGTGTCATCTCTACCAAGTACGTCGGTGTCTTCACCTTCGTCACCATCGGTTCGGCCGTCATGGTTGATCTGTGGAATCTGTTGGATATCCGGCGCCCTGGCGGTGTTCTCAGCATGGTCCAGTGGGGTCAACACTTCGCGGCCCGTTCCTTTGCCCTGATTGTTGTGCCCTTCTTCTTCTACCTGTTCTGGTTCCAGGTCCACTTTGCCATCCTGACCCGCTCTGGTCCCGGCGACGACTTCATGACCCCAGAGTTCCAGGAAACTCTGAGTGACAATGTGTTGAGTGCGGAGTCCATCGGCATCGAGTACTTCGACACCATCACCATGAAGCACAAGGATACCAAGGTTTTCCTGCACAGTCATTGGGAGAAGTACCCCCTGCGTTACGACGATGGCCGTATCTCCAGCCAGGGCCAGCAGGTCACTGGATACCCTTACAATGACACGAACAACCAATGGCAGATCATCCCCACCGTGCCCCTGGATGTCACTGAGACCGGCGGACACAAGGTGCGCAACGGCGACATTATCCAGCTCCGTCACACGGGCACCGATACCATCCTGCTCACCCATGATGTCGCCTCCCCCTACTTCCCGACCAACCAGGAATTCACCACCGTCCCCCTGGAGATTGCCAACGGTGACCGACACAACGACACGCTGTTTGAGATCAAGATCGAGAACGGCAAGCCTCGCCAGGAATTCCGGACTCTTTCGAGTCACTTCAAGCTGCTTCACGTGCCCACTCGTGTGGCCATGTGGACCCATACAACGCCGTTGCCCGACTGGGCCTTCAAGCAAGCGGAGATCAACGGTAACAAGAATATCCTCCAGACCAGCAACCTTTGGTTTGCTGAAACCATTGAGTCCTTGGAAGAGGACAGCCCCCGTCTGATCAAGGAGGAGCGCGAGGTCAAGCACCTGCCCTTCTTCCGCAAGTACCTTGAACTGCAACGGGCCATGTTCTTCCACAACAACGCCCTGACCAGCAGCCACCCATACGCGAGTGAGCCATTCCAGTGGCCTTTCCTACTCCGCGGTGTCAGCTTCTGGACCAAGAACGACACTCGGGAGCAGATCTATTTCCTCGGTAACCCGGTTGGATGGTGGATTGCAAGCAGTCTGTTGGCTGTCTTTGCCGGTGTGATCGGTGCCGACCAGCTGTCTCTGCGTCGCGGTGTCGATGCTGTGGAAGAGAGTAAGTGCCATCTATGGAGCCTCGAGCGCAGCTACTAACGAGTGACAGTCTGGGGCCACGGCGCCCGTTCCCGCCTATACAACAGCACGGGATTCTTGTTCCTGTGCTGGGCGGCTCACTACTTCCCCTTCTGGCTGATGGGCCGTCAGCGTTTCCTGCACCACTACCTCCCTGCCCATCTTGCTTCTGCTCTCGTGACTGGCGCCCTGATCGAGTTCATCTTCAACCTGGAGCCGATCTCGGTCGTCCAACGCATCAGCGGCGAGGACGACCCGTCGGGCAAGGCCAAGGCCACCGCTCGGATTGGGCGCTTCGTCAGCGCCAAGGAACGCATGGGTACGAAGTCCCTGGTGGCGGGCTGGATCGCTACTCTGGTCATCCTGTCCGGTACCATCTACGGCTTCTGGTTCTTCGCCCCGCTGACGTACGGCACTCCGGGTCTGGATGTGCCGGGTATCCTCGCACGCAAATGGCTGGGCTATGACCTGCACTTTGCCAAATAGATGGCGAGTTATAGTTGGATAAGCCTGCAGTTGGCAGGGCGGAGGAATCCGGCTGGGTGACTCCGGGGAAACCGGAGTAGGCGTTCTGTAAGATAGGTGTATTGGGGTCAGACTCTTCTTGCTTTCGTCCAGAGTGGCGGGTTGCTATTTGCGGGGAATACCCGTCGGGTGTGTTCTGAAACCGCGCCCCTTGCCTGTCTGGATATTTTTGCTCGATTCTCTGGATTCTCCTGTTGATATAGCGTGTGAATGTTTAATGCTCATCCTCGTCCACTATCTCGTAGAGAAAGCGTCGTTTACAGTTTCCACCCGTTACGAATCTACAGTATAGTGTACTCCAGTAAAAGTGAATCATCAGTCGTGATGCTATTATGTGATCTATATAACAAACAATCCTAGGAGAACCCCCAAACGCCAACCCGCAATATCCAATCCCGCTTGTCTAAACATCATCCCGGCCGGCCCCTTAATAGGCCATGCGCTTCCCGATGTCACTCTCCCAGCCACGGGACTTCTCAAACCCATTGGACGCAGTCTGGTAGTCCAACATGGCCTGATAGACCTCCTCCTGACTGGTGACAACAAACGGGCCATACTGAACGACCTTCTGATCCAGCGGCTGGCCCGCAACGATCAAGAACCTGCCCTCGGATTCAGCGTTATCAGGCACTGAAGCCTCCACATAATCGCCCTGCTGCTCAAACACAACATTATGAAACTGCTCAATCGACTGAGTCTCCTCTCCAGACCCAAACACGGTCCGGCCCTGCAACGTATAGGCAAACGCATTCCACCCGACAGGCAACAACTGCTTAACGCGACCCCCAGGCCGAATCGTCACATCCAACAACCAGACCGGGGTATAGGCCAAATCGCGCACGGAATCCACCCCATGCGACTGGCCCGAAATGACCTTGACGGTGACCCGGCCCTCATCGGTGGTAGCGATGGGGATCTCCTCGGCGCGCAGATCCCGATAGCGCGGCTCGCACATCTTCAATTTCTTGGGCAGATCCACCCACAGCTGCATGCCGACGTTGGGACTGCCATCGGGATTCTCGTGCGGCATTTCCGCGTGCATGATTCCGCGCCCGGCCGTCATGAATTGCAAATCGCCCGGACCAATGGTGCCCCGGTTGCCGGCGAAATCTTCATGGTCGACACCGCCGGATAAAAGGTAGGTGATGGTTTCTTGGCCCCGGTGCGGGTGGTCGGGGAATCCGGCCCCCTTGCCGATGGTGAAGTGGTCCAGCATGAGGAACGGGCTCAGGTGGCGCAGTTTGGCGGTGCCGATGGAGCGCCGCACGCGGGCGCCGGCGCCTTCGGCTTGTTCGATGGCGAGGAAGGCTTGACGGATTGCGCGTGGGACGGCCATTATGCTGTTGTTGTTGTTGTTGATGATGATTGGGGTAGTGGTAGTGGGGAAAGTGGTATTCAATGTGGTGTTTGTGGTTGTGGTTGTGGTTGTGGTGGTAGTAGTAAAGTATCTAGTAAAGAAGTCAAATGTAGAAGTACTTTGCCAAGTCAAGACAATTGCAATGATAGCGATAAAAAAAGACCAGAGGAGTTTCATGTGGACTTGGAGCGGTCTTTTATAAGAGTCCGTGAGAGCAGCACGAAGACTGTGGAAGATGCTGGAGGGCGCTGCTACGAGGGAAAAATACTACGCATCCATCAGCTGGGTGGGTTAGTCAATTCTTATAATTGTTCGGGTAAGCCATGATTCAGACTTTTGGTTGGAGGTGGATTGGAATCCTCGTATGGGGGAAAGTGAATTGTGGAGGAGAGCGCATTATTACAAAGATTCCCGTCAGCAGTTTTCCTACGTTAGCGCCATTATTCAGGGCTGACTCAGTGGATCCTGTCCCGTATTCACTTTCTTGTCAGGGACAAAAGGGGATGACGGGGGATATCTAATCCATCATATTCATTGGGTGTTCTAGAAGCCTCGGTGGTCATGCCATTCACCCATTCACCCATTTGGAATTGGAAGATGAATAATATGAGATGTGACAGGCATTAATTATCATTCTTCAACAAGGTATCTCCGTATAGTGGGTTACTCCGATACGGAGTAACTAAGCTCGACTGTTATCTCCTATCTAGTAGTAGTAGATAGCTCCATGCACGTGCTGATAAGATCTTACCCCGGCCACCGAGTAGCTCCTTCCAACTGGCATGTTCCGGCCCTTCGGACGCCGACCTGGTCGACTAAATTCAATTCCGGGGCGGATTGTGGTCCCTCTGCATTCCCTCCAATGATGAGCAATTGAACCTCGTAGTTCTCTGTGCTCTCTGACGCCTCCCCACCAAAGCCGACGGCCACGCACTGCCGCCCGCGTCCCCGATCAGGCCAGATCGTCGCATCCAGTGACGCTGTGGCCAGCCGCCGTGAGAGACAGACCTATCCCAGTGCTTACTATTGATTCCCCGTTCACCCTCCCCACGACTAATCATGCCCCGTCGAAACCGGGTGGTGTCGTCCTTGCTGGTGCTGGCTTGTGCCAGTTCCACAGCCTGGGCTAGCAAAAAGGAATTTAACATCCATGACGACTTGCTAGCAGTTCCCCAAGTATGCATCTCACGCACTCCCTCCGGACCTACCATCCACGCTAATCGTCCCATCTCCAGTTCGAAGTCCGCTTCCCCGACGAATACGTCCTCGAATCCCAGGCCCGAGACCTTCTACAGCAGCGTCATGACAGCTCCTCCACATTTGCCGATTCGCAAGAAAACTCAGCCCAGGTCTATCTAGGTCACGATAACCATGACACCGACCAGATGAAATCGCCCCGGGAAGGGGACGGCGATTTCAGCTACGAGGAACTGCTCCTGCATGACCAGCGATTTCTCTGTCAGATCCCCCGCGTCCACATCGATGACAGGGCCAATGCCACGGGGAAATCCCATGAAGCGGACGAGCAGAAGGAATTAGCGCGCGCGATGGACCGGGGCCTGGAGCTCCTGCGCGAGATGGAAGGGAAATGCATGTACTACATTTCCGGATGGTGGTCCTACTCCTTCTGCTACAAGAACCAGATCAAGCAGTTCCACGCCCTCCCCTCGGGAAGTGGGATCCCCAACTACCCGCCCATGGAAGACCACACGACACACTCGTTCATCCTGGGAAGGTTTCCTCAGGGCGACGGCGATGACGAAGACGTTGAGAGGGAGTCCGAGCACAAGCAACCCATTACGGACATGGCCGAGCTACAGACGAAGGGCGGCTCCCGGTACCTCGTGCAACGGTTGGATGGCGGCACGCGCTGCGATCTGACGGGGCGAAACCGGAAGATCGAGGTCCAGTTCCATTGCCATCCCCAGTCGACAGACCGTATCGGCTGGATCAAGGAGATGACCACCTGCTCGTACCTGATGGTCATCTACACCCCGCGTCTATGTAACGATGTTGCCTTCCTGCCACCCCAGCAGGACGAGGTGCACGGAATCGACTGTTGCGAGATCCTCTCGCCGGCCCAGGTTCCGGACTGGGAGACGTATCATTTGGCACAGCGGCTGATGGAGTCCGCCGTGGTGGAGGAGTTCCCGGTGGTTGGGGACATCCAGGTCGGTGCCCAGAAGCTGGTCGGGTCGGAAGGCAAGGAGATCGAGAAAGGACGCGTGGCGTGGGCCGGGGAAGAGAGGATCGACGTGGTGGCCAAGCGTGAGAATGGCGAAGTATACCAGATGTCTCGCGAGGACCTGAAGAAGTATGACCTGGACCCGGAGAAGCTGGACACCCTGAAAAAGCGTTTAGAGGAGTGGGCCAAGGGCAAGGACTGGACGTTGGAGGTGATCGAAATCAATGGGGAACGTCAACTGCGGGGTCTCGTCGATGAGGACGAAGAAGAGGAAGACGGCAGTTACGGAGAAGAGGGTTCTCAGGAGGAGATGATCACGGAAGCCCCGTCTAAGGAAGGGGAGAAAGCAGAGCCACAAGAGCAGGAGTCATCGGAGACACAGGGCACACGGGAGGCGCCAGGCACGCCAGACGAGCAGAATGAGCAGTCATCGGAGTCGGATGAGGTTGAGGAGGTAAGCGAAGAGGTGCATAAGGATGAACTGTAGACATTGCGATTCTTTTTTTTCTCTTTCCTCAACTTTTTTTCTCTTATGTCTTTCATCGTGTGGTTGATCACCCGGTACTTGCATCTATCGTTCTTGCGGCGTTCATAGCTACGGCTGATTGTATCCATTGCATAGATTACGGTTGTCCCAGTTGCCATGTACTGGGACTATTGAAACCCCATTGGTTTTATTTTTCCTAGTTTGCGCGGAGACTATTGATTGAGCGAATCCAATTGACTCGAACCCGACAATGGCGAGTGGGCAGAGCCAATGGTGACGGGGAGAGGCCATGAGTGCCCAAAGAGGCTGGGCTGACCGATAAGGGGGGTATATGCATTCCAGGCTCTCTCGAGGAGTCGAGGGCCCCTTATGGGTGATTTGGTCGAGATTGAGGGAGGTCAAATGGTAGTTCTATTACATAGGGACGGTATATAGATAAATCACCTTGCTTGAGCGAAGTCAATGCGAAGGACCTACTTTCTCCATCTTGGGGGGGGGGATTCAGATAAGGTGGTGGTGGTGGTATTTATAGGGGAACGTGGGTGCAGAAAACGTGACCGCCCTGCCGCCTCCCCTCCAGCCATCCGCCGGCGTAGTAGTAAACTGACGACCGCCGCCTTCTCTTCTGCTGGCTGGCCTGCTGCTTCATCATCTCCGGTCCCTCCCTCTCTGCTTGGGTTCCCTCTCCCTCCCTCTCCTCTCCTCGGGATTTGTCTCGGTTGCTTCCTCTGTGTCTTTGCCTTCATAGTCCCTCTCCTTCCAGCTCCCCCCAGTTCCCCACCCTCGTCTCGGAATTTCCCACCAGTTCCTGCAAAGTGGTATCTCATATCATCCATCCTCCTCCACTGCTGGTCCTGCCAAGGCTGTCTCCTCCACTTGGACCACTTACGTACCTGCCCACTACCTCTACTCAACTCGGTACGTTGCTGCACGGTCTCCTGTATATCATTCTTCCTCCCTCCGTTCTCCGAACTGCCATCACCACATACCCATACCACACCCTGCCTCTTCCCTTCCCCCCTCCCAACCTCCGACCGTGTCGTGTCGGTCTATCTATCCGGTCCACCCGGCTCACGCTCTCCTGATCCAGTCCCACAACCTGGTCTTGTCCACGCTGCCCTCCGCAGCCGCGGCACACAATCCCCGGACCCTCCACCACCGCCGTTTGGCTACTGGACGGCACCCACCATGGGTTTCCTCGGTGTCTACACGGCCATCTACGACTACGAACCTCAGGCGCAGGGGGAATTAGAACTGCGCGAGGGAGATCTCTTGTGCATCCTCGAGAAGGGCGCGGAGGACGATTGGTGGAAGGCCAAGAAGAAGGCCGAGCGCGATGATGATGATGAACCCGAGGGCCTCGTCCCAAATAACTATGTCGAGGAGGTAAGATCCGAGCCCCCAAGATCCTCGAGAGGCGTTCCGACACTGGGTCTGGGCTGCCCGCGTCATGGGCCGGTGGAGGTCGTCGCGGCGGCCGGTTCTCACGCTCAGGGGTACACCCGGCAACGCCGCGACGCTGTCTCTGACTGAGACCATATTTGCTAACGCAGTTGTCGTCGGACATTTAGGCTCAACCGACTCACGCAGCAAAAGCGCTCTACGACTACACACGCCAGACGGATGAGGAGGTATCCTTCTCTGAAGATGCAGATTTGATCGTGTATGACACTTCCGACCCGGACTGGACCCTTGTCGGAGTCAACTCAGATTTCGGATTCGCCCCCGCAAACTACATTGAGATCGTCGAAGATGCAGGCGCAGACCATGCCCCTGCACCATCAATCCCGTCTCCTCCCCCCGCCGAGCCGGAGCCCGAACCGGCGCCACCCGCCCTCCCGCAGCGACCGACGATGATGACGGCGGAAGAAGTTAACGGGACCAGCGCAACTTCCCCAGTTGATACCGTGCAGAATCCTGCTGCCAAGGCCATTGCAGATATCCTCCACAACCAGCATGCGGCGCCGACAGAGCCGGAACCACCTAGGGCCATCCCCCCGCCGCCTCAGCCGGCGCGTCCAGTGTACGACGAGCCCGAGGAGACCTACATGGATGAGCCCTCGCCGCCACCCCCGGTATTACCACAACGCCCCCCGTCCCAACAGGTGTCGTCGCCGGTGCGTGTGGATTCTCCGCCCGAGCCCTCCCGACCGTCTCGTCCTCACGTTTCTTCGGTTCGCGAAAGCGACAACCATGTGAAGGAATCGCCTCCCTACATCAGAGTTGTCGGCCAACTGACCCCGCGTTCCCCCTCCGGCTATCATATCTACAATATCAATGAGATGGTGGAGGTCATGGGTAAGCGGAAAAAGATGCCCACGACTTTGGGTATCAATGTCGCAACCGGGACCATCTTCATTTCGCCGGAGGAAGGTGCCAAGACGGAGGAGTGGAGCGCAGACAAGCTTTCTCATTACTCGATTGAGGGTAAGCACGTCTTCCTCGATCTCGTCCGGCCTAGTAAGAGCATCGACTTCCATGCGGGCGCCAAAGACACGGCTCGGGAGATTGTCTCTGCCCTCGGAGAGATTTCCGGTGCCTATCGCGCAGAGGGCCTGAAGGAGGTCATCGCTGCTGGCACCAGCGGAGGACAGAAGAAGGGACAGATTCTCTATGACTTTATGGCACAAGGCGATGACGAGGTGACGGTGGCCGCGGGCGACGACGTCATCGTTCTGGATGATGCCAAATCCGACGAGTGGTGGCAGGTGCGGCGCCTGAAAAACGGAAAAGAGGGCGTGGTTCCAAGCAGCTACATTGAGATTACCGGGACTGTCTCCTCCAATCCGGTGATGAGTGCTGAACCGGGCCTCTCGACCGTGGAGAAGAACCGTATGGAGGAGGCACGACTAGCCAAGGAAGCTATGCGCAAGTCGACGATTGACTCCGTCGACTCTCGCAGCCCAGAGGTATGCTCTTGTCCCAAGGACAGATTGATGACTTGTCCAATGTTGACACCACTCTCTTAGCACCAGAAACGCGACAGTAAGAGCAGCCATAGACCGAGTAAGTCCTTTGCTCCCCATCACTTGGCTGCATTGATTCCTGTTGCTAATGGGACTAGAACCGGATCCGACTAAGGTCAGACACTGGACCGATCGCACCAAGACGTTCACCGTCGAGGCACAATTCATCGGGCTGCAGGATGGCAAGATCCATCTGCACAAAGTGAACGGCATAAAGATTGCAGTTCCTATTCCGAAGATGTCCGTGGAGGATCTCGAATACGTCGAGAAACTGACGGGAGTGTCCCTCGATGAGGACAAGCCATTGTCGGACATCAGGCGCCGTTCTCAACGCATCGAACCTGAAAAGCCCCGATCCTCGCCCGAAAGCAAGCGAGCAGGCACCAGAGCCGGAGCCTCCTTCCAGCAATCCGACTACGATTGGTTTGATTTCTTCCTCAAGGCCGGGGTTGGCCCGCACCAGTGTGAGCGGTATGCGCAGAACTTCGTCAGGGACTCTATGGACGAGGCCATCCTCCCGGACATCACCCCCGAAGTTCTGCGCACGCTTGGTCTGAAGGAAGGGGATATCTTGCGGGTGATGCGCTACCTGGACAACATGTTTGGCCGCGCAGGAGGCAAGTCGAAGCTGCGCAATGTGAGCTTCGGCGGGGAGGAAGTCATCGGGAACGGCGAGGATGCTGCCGCCGGCCTCTTCTCTGGCCCCGGCGGTGCTCTGCGCAACAACACCCGTAAAGGCCGGCCGGCGCCCACCGTGCCGGCCAGCGATGTCGTCGATCCCAAGGCCTTCGAGCAGAAGGATGCTTCACAGCCGGAGCGCAGCGAGACCCCGCCCACCTCCGCCGCACCTTCCGAACCACCAGTTCAGAAGGGCTTTGACGATGATGCCTGGGAGGTGAAGCAGCCTACACAGCCTGCTGCCACTGCCGCCGCTGCTGCCCCGGCCACACCGGCGACGCCATCAAGCCCACCTCCGGCGGCCTCCTCACCAGCTGCCGCTCAACCCCCGGCTCAGCAACCGCTCGCAGGAGCGATGGCCGATCTGTCGTTGCTTCAGGCTCCTCTCCAACCCACGCCTGCGCCCGCTCCTGCCCCGCAATCCCCGCCAGCCGCTTTGCCGCCTCTTCAGCCCCAGCCCACCATCCAACCCCAGCCCACTGCTGTGCCCGTGCCGCAAATGCAGCCACAGCAAACAGGGGCTACACCCGGCTTCTTCTCGCAATTGGCACAGGCTGCGCAGCCTGTTCAGAATGCCCAAGGATTCAGTCCTCAGGCAACCGGCTTCCAGCAGGCTTCCAGACAGCGCCCGCAGCCGCCCCAGAACATGGCCCAAAGCTCTTTGCTTCCTCCGCCGCCTCAACGACCCCTCTCAGCACCTCAGAACTTCCCTCAGCAGCAGAGCTCTTTTGGTCTGCCTCCATTGCAACCTCAGCTGACCGGTATCCCTCAAGCGGGACCGCAAGTTGCTCCGCCAGGACAGAGTCTGGCCGAATTGAACCAGCAACGATTCCAGCCATCGCTCCAGCCACAACCCACTGGTTTCATGCCTCAGAGTCAGTTCCAAAACGGATTGGTTCCCCAGCCAACCGGCTTCCAGCCGCAATCCCAGTTTGGGATCCAGCAGCAGCAAGCTGGATATCCGGGCCTGATGCCGCAGCCCACGGGCTTCGGGGGCTTCCAGCCGCAACCGCAGCAGCCAATACAGCCAATGCAGACCGGCATCAATTCCGTTCTTCCGCCAGCATTGCAGCCCCAACCCACGGGCATGAACGGTATCGGCAGCATGCCTTACAGCGCACCGCCAGTGCCACCGATCCCGCAACAACCCACGGCTGCGCCATTGCAGCCTCAGAAGACCGGGCCCGCCCCCCCTATCCGGTTTGGTGTGAAGCCCGATGCTCCCAAGAAGCTCGCTCCTCAGCCGACCGGTCTCCGGGCCAACCTCGCTCAAGCCAGTAAGTCACTCTGCTACCAGATTGCGACTGCGACAAGGACTTTCTCACTGACATGCTTACCAGCGCCCACCAACCCGTTTGGATTTTAATCTGGACATGTATATATCAGTCTGTGACTTGGCGACACACGATTTTCCTTTACTATACATGGTCGCTTGCTATTTCTTGCTGGCGGGAATGGCTTGCACATCATACATAGATGATGCCGCGGTTTTCTTTTTCGTTTCTGCCGCTCCTGACGCTGTAATGCGTATATCCGAGTTGCCTCTACTTAGTCATGGCCGGACACAATTGACCCACGCAGCGAGTTCTGAAGCAATGCCTCGAGTCTTGTTTGCATGACGCAGCTTCAGCGACCTAGAATTTCGTTCTGACATTCCCTTTGCCCTCCTTCGGCGCTGCGCCCATTACATTATACGTAATATCTGGAAGACAGAACCTCACCCCCATTCTTCTGCCTCCCTTTTCCTTTTGTTCTCTGCTCTTCATCTCAGCCCTCTGCTGAGAGAGGTTTGATTCACTCACGTGCCCGACCAACTACTTCCTCTTTATTTCCTTTCCCCTCGTGATTCGATTCTCATGCTCATGCTCATGACCATGTTCATGACCATGCTGCATGTGTCTGTCCATCCATCTTAACTGATTCTTCCTGCGTTTGGCCGGAGGTGTTGCGTTCGTTCTTCCCCCTTTTCTTTTCTTTTCTTTTTCTTTCATCCTTCTTCCGTCGCGGTTTAATCTTCGCTTTATATGTTTTATATGTTCTGTTTCCTGTCTTGTCCAGTCCACATGTTCATTCTTCCCCCTCTTGTTTTGCTATTTTTGCATTACATGTACGGTACATATAGCTTGTGATTCAGCAGATAAAATAGGGATTAGTATTGTTGTTTGCTACTTGGTTCGTGGCTTTGTGTTGTGTCGGTGGTGTATACTAATTTACCCTGTCTATTTATATCACGTGATTACAGGGGTTCTAGTTTAGATGTACACAGAGTAGGAGAGCATAGACTCGCTTAGCGATCAAGAGATGATAAGTTCGAATTCGATCGATGTAGGTATATACATAAAGTAAATAATGATGATAATGATAATGATTTGATATGTATAGACGTGGATGGATATGTTGCATAAATATATATATATGAGTAGGTCATGACTCCAACGTCAAGCCAAACCCGATCACGTATGAAGGTCAGGATAGGTGTCTGTGTTTTAAGGGTAGAATAAGAATGAGGAAGGTGATGTTTGTCATGGGTAGTCGTGTCTGGGTGGGTCATGATCGGATTGGGGGAAGGGTAAGAAGAATAAGAATGGGCGTGCCAGGTGCTGTATCCAGGGGGTAGATGTATGTGCAGGAATTAGACCACAGACCCCGTAGGGTAGAATAGACGATGGGTATAAGTAGGATATCAAGCGTCTTCCCAGATCCCAAAGACGGGAAGATCTTCAGCCATGTAGAGGAGGCCATTGTCCGGGAGGATCACGTCCGACAGCGGGGTTTGGGCACTCGGAGCCTCCGGCGGGATCCCTCCGATAGGGATGGTACCGCCTGCGGAACAGCCGATTGGGATCCCGGTTGTTGTGAGAGTAGAGATAGCGGTGTCGAATGGAAGATTGCCAGCACCTTGCGCGCCACAGAGGGTGTCCCAGATGTCGCCATCGGTTGGGCCGGTGGTGGTGCTGGTGGATAGGTCCGGCGGCTGAGAGATGGAGGCCCCGGAGAGCTTGTCGGAAGATAGAGGAGATGGGACAGCGGCTTGGTCTCCGCGGTGGCTTGTTGGGGTGTTGGTTTCTGCAGCCGGGGGTTCGTTGGAGGGCCCAACCTGGCCGAAGAGCTGGTCGACTTGTCGGCTGCGACGCTCCATCCACTGTCGGTTCCGTCGACGGACGTACTCTGCTACTGCGCCTCGGAGGTATTTGATGATCTGGAAGAAACGACATGCATGTGGATCGTGGGGCACAAAGAGTCCTAAGAACTTCTCAGCCTTGTCCATCCCTTCCTCAAGCGGGAGGAGGTTGTCGTAGTCGGCGAAGAAAGCGGCTCCGAGAACCACAGCTGAATTGAAGACGGAGTTGATGAGAAACGGTAGCCTTCGAGGGAGCGTTGTGTAGCGACAGAGATCATCCACGATGTTGAGCCCGCGCAAGGCCGAGTAAACGCATGCGTCGGCAAAGAGCGCAATGCGGGAGTTGCTGGCCCTGCTGTCGGCGGACCCGGTCGCCTCGGTTCTATTTCGCACATATTGGGACACTCGAAATATGAGAAATGGCCGAGTGAGGAGAATGATTGACCAGTAGTAAGAACCGAAAATGTGCGCGGCGGACAAGGTGCCTTCCAGGGTTTTGGAATCCAGGCGTTCGGTCTGCACCTGCAAGAACATTGGCAGACTGCGCACCCAAGCTCGGTGCTGATTTGAAATGGCCTCTGCGACATTGATTGAGACCACCTGGCGCATGTAGACCTCGGTCAGGATTCGTTCGAAAATGTGGCATAGTGAGATCACAGTCATGGATAACTGCTCTTCCGGGTTAAGGCGCTGTTGCTCCTCGGCGGAGTTACTGTCCTCGCGCAGCTCGTAATCAAAGTCCAGTGTCGCAGGAGGCCGTCCCAAGGAGGCACTGAGGTAAAGATCCATCATTCGCAGACTCTTCCACACGCGCTCCCGAGCCCGTCGTTCGCGTGCACAGAAAAGCGCATTCGCGTCTTTCCGGTGGATGCCAACCGCATACGCAGCCCGGAGAGCGATCCCAAGGTTCATGAAAGCCCCGTTACGTCGACATGCTCCTAACATATACATCGAGATTAGGACATACGACTGGATGGTGTGTATGCTTGGGGTCTCTGTGAAGGCAGAAAATGCTAACCGACGGCCGCTAACAAAGTATTGCTCGGCCAAGGTTTGATTGATATCGGATACTTGCGCTCCGATCGCGAGCACGAGATAGAAGATTGAACTGACAGTATCCTCATCTCCAGTCGGATTCTCGACCCAGTCCGCGAGCCGTGGGTGAAATTCGTTGAGGTCGAACAGATCCAGCAATGGACTGGTGGCAAGAACAAATTGACGGGCGAGCCTCTGAGCCTCTTCGTTGCTTGGTGGCGATATCAACGGTCCTTTCTGTGCCGTAGGACCGTTCTGAAAAGCCTCGAGCATCGAATGCCGCGAATTGTCCTCCGTGAACTCGCACCGGCCGATTGAAGACGACACGATCCGACGGACACTCTGTAGAAAGGACAAGCTGGCCGAGTCCCCAACGTACATGAATTTTCCTTCACCGTCGCGCAAAAGTCGAGCAACCTTCGGCACCGGTGCCATCCCATCCTTGTCATCTGCACCTTGTTGTTCCAGATTCGCGCTCCGGTCTTCGAGCGAGTTCAGGAGCCGGTCCATGGCTGTCTGCCTCTGGGGTGTGGGTACTATACGTTCGCTAAGCAGCATGGTGTCCTTCGAGCTATTGGTCGGTTTAAGCAATCTCGCCGGTTTGTCTGAGAAATGACACTCCGACTCTTTGCGACGTTGAATACAGATCGTACATGGTTGTTCTCCGTTGCATTTTTGCTTCCTCCGCTTGCAGCTGTCGCATGCTCGCCTGCACCGGAGACGGGCCCCAGGGGCCGTATTCGCTTTAGGCATGACGAAGCATACAATTATGGCGTAAGGTCCTCGGGTCTAGGAAAACGATTGAGCCGGAATCGCGAGAAAAGAGGAAGAAGTGCAGACTGCCTGCAGGGTAAACCGCGGGGTCAGTCTGGCCTGGGATGGGTTCGCGTCGGGACCCAGACTGCCTAGCCGAAAGTTGGGCTGCACATCTCTCCGACCAGAGCGAGAGAGCAGGACGATAGCCAGGCGTATAGGAAGAAATGGTGGGAGAAGGAAGAATGAAGGATGGAGGATGGGTGACCGCAGGAAGAATGGGCCGCTTTCCCCGGATTGCGTCGGGGCCGCCATGGGGGGGCCGCTGACTAAGGATTAATAGATCACGACCGGGAATACTCTGTACTCCGTACACTATTGCCAACTATTTACGGGACTTCTCTTCGCGAAGTAGATCATGATTGGTACTATTCATTCTAGTATGACCAGGGGTTTTAGGGACCCAGACATAACAGACACGATGACCGCCCGTTCATTTACTCCGGCCGGAACGACACAATCTTGCCCCAGGTATCGGCCGTACCCCAGATACCATGGCGCAAGCATGATAACTGCACGATCTGGCTGTGGTCAACAAACAGATTGACATCAATGCCAAACTCTCGGATGTACCAGTTGTACACCTTAGGGTCTGCTGCCTCGAACATGACGCGCTCCGATGGAAGCTCCTTCATGATCGTGGACACCACATCGGTCCGCCACGACTGCACATTCTCGGTGATCCCCTCCGATTCGATCATCAGGCGCTCAACACCTGCATCAAGGAATTTGCGTCCCAGGTTGACCAGCTTGGCCGGGTCCGAGGTGCCAATCGCCTCCAAGCCGGATGCTGGGGTGTCACCACCAGCGCCGAACTGAATTCCCAATTCGGGTTTCGCTTTCAGCTTGTAAGAGTGAACCTTATCGACGAGCCGGAGCCAATCGTCCTCTGGGAAAGAAAGAAAGCCGGATGAGAGCTCGATGACGTCGAATCTGCATGGCAATAATTCGTTAGATGATAGGCACCACGGACGGGTCACTGATGGATAACTATACCCCAAGTCCTTGCATTTGCGAAGATATTTGTCGAAGACAGCATTTGCGTCCGAGTGAGTAAGTAGATGTTCAGCCCATCCACCCTAGGGGCATGCCACTATTAGCCATCTTCCATAGAAGCTGTTTTCTCGCAGGACAGGCCTTACCGTCGAGACATAGACGCCATGTTCATGAGCAAGATCAATCAGTTCTCTCAAGGGTTTCTCCTGAAATAGAGAAAATGAGCCTGTAGGTCTGTTCAGCGTCTGCTACCCATCGCTTCACCATTTCAGCCGTGATTTACCTCCTGCGAACTTTAAGCCGTCCACATGAGTTCCCATCCTGTTGAAGACTTGTCAGGACCCTGTCTTGTGGCAGAAGTTGTGGGCACAGCTCACGTCTCAAGGACATCTGTCAAGTATCGTTTACCCATCACCTACGAGCAAAGGTCAGTTTACTGTGTTTTGGAAAGAGCGCACACTCGCGACAGGTTGCATGATGGACTCAAGAGTCGCATACTGTATAGTATGGGCCTCTGATTTCAGTAACCCCCTTCGTCCGTGGTTTCGGGGGTCTCGGGTTTGACCGAGCAAACCCAAAACCGCTCTTCTTGTCTTGAAGCAGTGTGACATCCTTTTGGGCAGGTGGTGTGGAAGAAAGTGCTCGAACGGCCCCTGTTAATGCCGTGACTTTGGGGGTCTGACGCGACGCTTGCTCGAGAACGCACCTCGCTGGGGAGGAGGCCACACGGGATAGAGATGAAAGCATTGTCTAATTATGGTACGACTAGAAGTGTATTGAGAACGATGGCTCCTGTTCCTGAGCGTCCGTGAACCAGGTACTGTACGCGAAGGGCAGCAGATTCTGGCATGCACGTCGCTGAAGCAATGTTATAGCGAGCATCCATCATCACCGCCATGGAGGTCACGGCGGAGTACTATGTAATAGAGGACTGACGTAAAGCATATATCATCGGCAGAGGCGCGGAGGTGACAGCCACGGTTATTGGCTCCCCCAGCTAAGTACTGTTGGGAAGCCTGTGTACACAGTACTAATAGTATGTAGCAGTTATATCAGGGGTACTTGTACCTATAGGTACTAGTGATCATCCCTACTGGTCCCGTTGAGCCGTTCAATGGTTCATTGGTGATTTGGAATGGATGAGATTGTCGATGAAGTCAGGACGACGAAGGCCCGGTTGGATGACGTCATTCTAAGATGTTATGAGACAGCTCATTATTGCTCTAGAAATCATGACAGAAATGAAGAATCCCCCGATAACAATTTGTATCGATAAACCAAGAAGTGATGCCACTCATACTATTAGTTATGTACCTGGGGGACGTAAAGTTCGTGTTTGAGACTGGGTCCAACAGAGTTCATATCCCCTGGCGCCGAGGTAGGTTGATTAGTATTCAAGTCAAGCTTCGGTTCAACCTAGGTGCCAGCCAAGCATCGGCGATCCAGGGCCGTGGAAATTTTCCAGGTAGGGCAGATTGGAATGGATCCGTTCGCCCTGTGGTGGGTTCGATTTGCGCGACGGAGCTCGGAGGCAGCGGGGGGAGAAAAGAGATTGAGGTCGGGCCTTGGCTCGGAGCGGAGAACCTCCGATCGCCGACAAGGATGATAAGGCTAGAATTTGTAGGTAAGCACTAAGCAGGCAATTGGATAGTAGTAGAAACGGAGTAGAGATAGGCGCATTCCGTTGCATGGCGACCCCGCTTACGATATATTATTATGGTGTTCAACGGATTCTAATTTCTGACAAGTGACAACATTGGATGGGTCCATGAACATACAGACAATGGATGGAGGAACGGGGCCACGGAACCGGAAGTTTGTCGGAGTTCTCGGAAGTTAACTGGTTGCGAAAATGGGAGTTATGCAAGCTTATGCATACAGTCTCGCTTGATGAGCTCAGAGTTACTGTGGCAGGTAGATGGCACGGCTGAACAAGACACGAGCCCGTAATCGTTGGGGTTCTTGGTGAGATGATGACAAACACATTGGAAACGCGGTCTGGACGCTCAACTCTGATGCACGATGTAACAGCACATCTACTGTGTAGGAGGCCTCGTATCTTTTCCGGCCAACAAGGAACCGAATAGGATGGCCAGAAGGATCTCCCGTGGAACCGATGAGCAAGGGTGTACCTATCTGGTAGGTATCTAACTATCTACTATGGTATGTACGGAGTATCTACTATCTAGTGGACGGAGCAAGAACAAGGCACGGAGCCTGGACCCTGGACCCTGTATGTGTAGTGTACTAAGTACAGGCAGGGACTTGATCGAGGCACAGGCACTTGGCTCAGTTAGCAGAAAGCCGAACAGAGCTGGATATTCAAAACAGCATGAATTGAATAATCGCTTTGTTCAAATGCCCTCCACCCAGCGACTGCTGCTTTTCCTCCCCCCGAGGATCATTGTTTCACAGTTTTACAGTTTTACATCGTACGTTGAGCAAGCGTGCCTTCCTGCCCGTCGTGGGCTAGGTGGCACTTGGCAGCTGACTCAGGTGACGTCTTTTCCGAGCAGCTCTGACCTCCCGCTTGGAAGTGGGTTCTTAGCCCCAGCCAGTGAGATGCGCGTAAGCTTGCCTGATCCGGACACCACCGGTATCAATTACTAGCTGTGACGAGCATCGGTCGTTGGAGATGGCCGGACTTCTGCCGTGTCGGCGCTGCGACTTATCAATCTGGTAAGGAACCTTACCATGGTACTGTCACCGCCAGGGTGTTTGGCGTGGGGCTCGGCTATCCAAAATCCACCAAGTACCTATCTAGCTGAGCACTCTAGCAGCCTGGTTGCTACTTGCTTGAGCCTTGTTGACTTGCTTAAGGAGCAAGACCCATGTTCGTGGATCTTCGCGAGCTTTGCCAAACCTTAATGGGTCAGACTGGGTGGACCACATGCGCCAACGGCTGAAAGGGTTTTCTTTGTGATTCAACCTCCCAAGCAACAATGACTAACTACTACCTGCTACCTACCCTGCGCTCGTCAGATGGATCTTACATACGGAGTACACAGTATCTAGTATTATTCATGAAGGGAAACCGGATGCTCAACCCCCCGTGGAGGATCTCGTCTCTCAACCGGCATCCGGAGGCTCCGAGGCACCCTCGTCCAGTTAGTTCCCATGGTCTCTGCCTTGATTGCGGGCCTGGTCTCCAGCATGTGCCATGAGTTATCTAATGATCACGACATGGAAAATGCGGACTCCTCAGCCACTAGTTGACTTAGCAGGCAGCCAAGTCTGATCCCGAAGGACCGGTGAAACCAGGTGGAAGCCATACCATCCAATAATCCAGGGCGGCGCAGTTCCTTTCCTGCCCACTGCCCACTGCCCACTGCCCTACTGTTGGTAACTTGGTACTGGTATCTAAGTAGTAGTGGTACCTACCTAACTAACCCCAGCACGAGGTCGTACTACGTAAGGTAAGGTACATAAGTGGCTTACCCACTGCTGCCCATCGAAATACATACATACATATCTACCTACTACAAATCCCGAGGTAGTGTGACAACTCAGTCCCCTTCTCTTTCCCGCCCATTCCTCTGCTTGGCGTCGTCGACACCTACGATGCTCGCGCGGCTTTCCAAGCCTTCTATTTCTTCCTCTGCGCCTCTTCATTCTCTATAGCTGGCCCCGCAGTATTCTTCCTCCCTTCTCCGTTTTCCTACCTCTTCGCCCTCCGTCTTCCCCGGCCGGTACGGTACAGCGCATTCTTTTTCCGTTCCGAGGCCATCACCGTCATGGGGGTAGGGGCCGTTCTCGAGCCTTTAACTGTCATCGTCCTCCTCTTCGGAGGCACTTGGATCAATCGAACAATAGGGTCTTCCCCTGCGCGCAGGGGACGTCGCAAATCCATCGTCACTTCACGCGGCACCTCTCCAGATGCGATAGAGTCCGGGGTGGCCACGCCAACCGCAAAGGATGGCTTGTTGCCTCGTCGGTTATCATCCTCTTCATCACTCCCACAAGTTGGTCAGACTCGTTGGCGCAAGAGGCAGGTTGGAATCTTCTCGTCAATATTTGAGGTCACCTCTCCAGACACCACCGTCTTCCACGATCGCCTACTTAGTCGCCTGCTCCGCAAGTTTCCTTTCTTAGTCGAATGCTGGTACTGGGCTCTAGTGTACTGGGTATGTCTCTAGACTTTTACGTTCCTCGGCGCATCCTGCGTGCTTTTATAGCTGGTTGTTGTTGTTGCTTTTTTTTTCTCTTAATGTGCAAAGGCTAATGTGTCTGACACAGACATACCAACTGGGTCGAGCTTTTACTGCCGTCACACTCCAAGAAGGCACCGTTGACGTGGCGAGGAAGCATGCGCTGCAGTTAATACAGGTTGAAGAGGCGTTGGGGTTGTTCTGGGAAGTTCCGATCCAGCGGTTTTTCCTCCGACACGCCAGACTGATGACCTGGACGAACTGGATCTATTCGTTTATCCACATTCCGGGGACGATTGCCTTTCTCGTCTGGCTCTACTATTTCACCACCACCAGGAATAGGTTTGATGAGTCGCAACCAGGCAAACCTCACGGGTTCATGAGCGGCTCACCCGCAGGCCCGCGTCTGTATCAAGCTCGACGCCGAACGCTGGCAGTGTGCAACTTACTTGCATTTGTGGTTTTCACCTTGTGGCCCTGCATGCCACCCCGACTGTTGAGCGACAAGGACGCGCAGGGCCCGGATGCAGCCCTAGGTCGTAGCTATGGCTTTGTTGATACCGTGCATGGCGTCAACGGTGCGGGCAGTGTTTGGACTGAGAATCGGTTCTGCAACCAATACGGTGAGTATTCGCCCAGGGGATGTTTCGGAAGAGACTGCTGACCGGGTCCTTCACAGCCGCCATGCCCTCCTTGCATTTTGGCTATTCTCTAATGATTGGTCTCACGATCATGACCATACCGCTGCCGCCACATCAGCGCCGACGTTCGCGCGTGACCATTGGCTCTGTCGGGTTGCAGATTCCGTCCTGGCGCCGGCTCGTCTGCCTGGTCGTTGGTTTGTCCTATCCGTTGGTCATCCTGGCCGCCATTGTGGCGACTGCAAACCATTTCATTCTGGACGCTGTTGCTGGTGCGACAGTGTGTGCGCTTGGGTGGAAATTCAATGGGATCCTGCTCAACCTGCTGCCCTTGGAAGACTACTTTCTCTGGGCACTCCGTATTCACAAGCCGGTTCCGACCGAGCTGGACGAGGTTGAAGGGGCCGATGGTTGGATTGATGACGGGTTGCCTGAGCATACTGCCCTTCCCTGGTGAGCTCGCGCTTCGGAGTCGTTCGTCCTTCCCATGGGTTGTTCCGTGGACTTGCTTGATACCCTTCTGGATTGTCGTCTTGTCGCTCATGTTTATGAACCTGTCATGACCCCCATTTGTAATCCTTCCCTCGATCCCTATATTTATACCTACGCTCCCTTTAATATCGGTATACTCCAAACCCCCTACCATGTATATGGCGACGAGCCCTCCTCGAGGGCAATGCAATATATATTAATACCCCATTACGAGTTAGAACGCTCACGTCGCACCTCCCTGGGGTTAGACCATGGACCCTGGGACCACTGCTAGTAGGATTGGCGGCAGCGCAGGTCAGCGGAGTGAATGATGCGGATTTCTATCTCCCAGTGTTCCTCTGTCTAAATAAGGACCAAGACCAGGGCCAGATGGCTGGGGAGGAAGAAGAAGAAGAAGAAGATGATGATGAGGTCGGTTAGAAACAGCGCTCCGCCTGTAACACACGAGGGGGGAACCTGGGGGATTGATCTTCAAGAGTTACTGCGTGGTGATGGCCATTATAGATGCGTAATAGGCGAGGCGATCCACCCGAATGCAATTTAGAGAAGAGGGCACCTTGGATGCGACGGAGAGTGAATCTCCGATTGAAGCCGTGAATTGGAGGAGAAAGGGGAAAGTTGAGGGAGGGTGGTACTGGGGGGAAGGATGGCTGGTTGACAAGGCCCCAGGGAGCCAGCATCTTTCTCCTGGCGTCACCATCCGTCCGCCTGTCGCTCGCTCGCTCGCCTGCCACCGACAACACCAAATAGACATCCTCACCACCACCACTTCTTCTTCCCTTCTCTGAATAATCCGTCTGAAAGACTGAGTGTCGACCCCCCTCCAGGTCCTCACCCTGCTGTTCTTGCCCGCTCACCCGCCGTCACCTCCAGGTCCGGAATCTGCAGATCCTTGCGACCGCGGGGTTTCTGGTGTTCCTCACCATCCTCTCTACTACCTACTACTATCTATCACCACTCCGAACCACCCACTGTTTCTCTGCCTCGGCGGTCCGCCACTCGACCGTAGCTCCAGGTTAGTTGGTAATTGGCATGTCTTTGGAACGCGTATTCTAAATCCCTTTAACAGACTCTTGTTTTGGCACGAGTGTCTTGGGGCTGTCTCTTAAGTTGTCCGGAGATTAGACTGCAATTCTACATACACTACGAGTTGGCCGCGCACCCTTTGAGGTTCGTCGCCATTTGACCGTCAACTCCTGCCCAACTGCGCCATCTGGGGTTCTGCGACAATTTCCCAGTTTCGTTGTTGTGCAGCAGCGACTCCGCATTTCCGGGTTGCTGAGGATCGTCAGCCGCTGGGGTGTTTTCGCGTCACGTCCCATCAGCAGCACCAGCACCAGCACCAGCATCCCCACGGGCATCCCTGCATCCCAGTGTTTCGGACGCGATTTGCTCGAATCTTTCATCGCTGCGACGTCTAGAAGCATCGCGACAATTGCCGGTGATTCCCTTGTTGGGAGCTCTGTATTACGGTTGCCACCGCGTCCGAGACACGACACAGCGGTCTGCCGTGAGAGGATCCCCTGCCCGGTCGCTAACACAAGGGTGTCTGATTGCCCCAGAACCTCAGTGTTACTTCTAGAGGCGAGCCGTGGTGGTTAATCCCCACCGTTGGAGAGTTGGGATTGCTGTTGAAGCGTTTGCGTCATTTGCGGTTTGGCAGCTGTCGCTTTGCTTTCCCCCCCCCAAAGAAGTGCAACGCGTTGTCGTTCTTCCCGCCTCCCGGCGTCGCGACCTTCTCCACCACCGATCTCTCTCGCCCTCTCTCTCTCTCTCTCTCATCTCTCTACCTCCCACCGAATTCCACCTCCACCTTCCCACCCCCAAACTCAACTCCATCAGAAGGCATCCGTCATCCTCATCTGCTTCTGACCTTCTATCCTCCCCCACTGTTTTATTTACGAGCTTCGGTTGCGCATCATGGCTGAGGACACCCCTGCTGTCTCGGCGCCCGCCCCCGACGCTGGTGAGCCGTCTGTCGAGCGCACTCCCACTGAGACCCAGCCTGCTCCCGCCGAGCTTGCGCCCGAGGCTGTCAAGGAGAAGGAGGAACAGCAGACCAATGGTTCGGAGGATAAGCCATCTGGTAAGCACCACGACAACCCTGCCTCCCTCGTCGCGGTCATTCCTGCTAGGGTGTGATTATTCCCAAAGGGCATTTGCTAATTCCTATCGCGTCGGCTTATCAGAGACCGCGACTGCAGCTGAAGAGAAGAAAGAGACTGCCGAGACTTCGACCGACAAGTCCAGCGCACCCACTGAGACTGCTGATGCGAAGCAGCCTGAGGAGAGCGCGACCGCGCCTGCAGAGCCCGAGGCTGCCCCAGCGTCGGAGGCCAACGGAACACCCGCATCGGCTAAGAAGTCTGGCGCCTCGAAGCGGAAATCGACAGGAGCCGTGCCCGAACACAAATCCAAACTGAGCCGCAAGAAGTCACAGATTCGCATCACACACTTAAATGCCCAGCCCGGCGAGTATTTTCTTGCGCGTCTCAGGAGCTTCCCTCCATGGCCCTCTATCATCTGCGACGAGGAAATGCTTCCTCAGACCCTCTTGAACACGCGTCCAGTAACGGCCCAGCGCCCCGACGGAACCTACAGAGAGGATTACGCAGATGGCGGCAAACGCGCCCACGAGCGCACCTTCCCCGTGATGTTCTTCGAGACCAACGAATTGTGAGTCACCTTCTACATGGGATTTGATCCAGTCAGTGAACCGATTTGACCAACACAAACATAGCGCGTGGATTCCTAACACAGATCTGAGCCCCATCGATGCTACTGGTTGCAAGGAGGTACCGGAGAAGGGCAAGTCGAAGACCCTTCTGTCTGCATATGCCGTGGGAGCCGAAGGCCATGATCTCCAGTACTTCAAGAACCTTCTGGCAGACCACCAGCGCGCTCTGGAACAGGAGACGGAAGAGAGGGAGGCCCAGGCAGCTGCCAAGGCGGCCGCCAAGGAGGCCCGGGAGGCCAAGAAGAACAAGCGCAAGAGCATGGAGGTGGTCGATGACGACGATGTCGACATGGAGGATGCCGACGAAGACACAAAGAAGCCCAAGAACACCAAGAAGCGCAAGAAGGACACTGATGCCGATGGCCAGGCCGATGAGAAGGTAGGAGGGCGATTCGGGAGAAATCGGGGAAACTTATGCGGTGCTAACATATCTCTCCCGTCTAGCCTGCGAAGACCCCCAAGACGACTACCAAGTTGAAGCTGACAACCCCCAAGACTCCGGCCAGTGAAGTCGGGAAGAAGAACCCTGCATCCGGCAAGGCTAAGCAGACGGCCAGCAGCAAGAAGGCCGGCAAGGCTGCTGCCAGTGATGAGGGCGAAGATTCTCGTGCGGAATCAAAGGAGCCCGAGAAGAAGGTCAGCCAAGAGGAGGCGAAGGAAAAGAAAGAGAAAGAGAGTAAGCATGCCTAGACCCGACGGGCCCGGATCTATGAAGACGGAGACTAATCATGAGCAGTTCTCTTCGTGCGCCACAAGCTCCAGAAGGGGTTTATCTCTCGTGACCAGCCCCCCAAAGAAGAAGAAATGACCGCCATGTCCAACTTCTTCAGCAAACTTGAGAAGCATGCTGACCTGGAAGTCTCCATTATCCGTGCCACGAAGATCAACAAGGTCCTGAAGATGATTGTCAAGCTCAGTTCTATTCCCCGAGATGAGGAATTCCAATTCCGGCAACGTGCTGTGAACATTCTGTCTAAGTGGAAGACCTTGCTCGATGCGGATGCCACCGGTCCATCGGACGATAAGGACAAGGAGGACAAGCCCAAGGCCAACGGTGTCCACAAGGAGAGCAGCGTCGAGACGCCGGCCAAGGTTGATACCGAGAACGAGAAAGAGGATGAGACCAAGGAGAGCAAGGCAGACACCGCGGAGCCTCAGGATGAGCCGATGCCTGATGCTGATGCGACAGAGAAGTCGGAAGCCCCAGAGCCGACCAAGGAGGAGGCCGAGAAGGCAACCCCCAAGTCTGAAGAGGCTACGACAGAGAAGGTCGCGGAGGAGAAGCCTGCCGAAGAGAAGACGGCCCAGGAGAAACCTGAGAAGGCAGAGGAGAAGTCGACGGAGACGGCAGCATAAAGGTGATGGATGTCATTTGCTGCTGCTGCTACCACCCACATTGATTGTGGCGTTCTGTTTTGCTTGTGCCATTTCCTTTGCGTTAGTCCTTGGGCCTGAGTTGTGGCTCTGCATTTCCTTTTACTCAACCTATCCCTTTCATTCTTGGAATCAAACCACGAAGCTGGAAAATTCAAATTCATGCATACGCCATTGAACGAATAGGTTTACTTTACTGTAAACCTACACGTTGGTTCCTCCACTCGCCATCTGTACATCGATCTAACCATCTCTTTATCCTGTTCGGTCTCGAAAAGGTGGGTTTCAGATGGAGTCCAGGATCTGATGATCCTTGCCCCGAAGACGAGGATGATGGATAAGCTGAGATGTCCCCTTTCTCTCCTCTCCAAAATACGAAAAGAAAAGAAAAGAATCTTCCCGTACCATTGTGACGGCTGCCTCTATCATGAAAGTGCTGGGATAGGGATGACCGGAGAACGATCACAAAACCACCCTCTATCTATATCTGTTTTGCCCTGTCTCCATCCATGTTCTATCTACCCACCCACCCATCCACTTCTAGGAAAACTTCGGCGCGACTCTTTCTTTTTTTGCTTGCCTTGATGGGGGATGTTCTGTTTAGTCCCCGGTGTTTTTGTTATAATCATTTTTCCTATCGAAATTGTGTGCTCTATCTATCTATCTATCTCCCTCTATGATTTGTTCAATGACCGACAATAGTATCTACCTACCTACTTAGTCTAACCATCTATGATTGAATTCCTGGTTTTTAGTGAATGCTACTCTGTACTTACTACCTACCTACCTACCTACTTGTGTAGTTAGTCAGTGAAAGTGATCTACCCACCAGTGAATCAAGCACTAATAACTTGTATTCAAGGTATTCATCTCCGACCCTCAATCCCCCCCCTCCCCCATTCATCCTATTATTTATTCATCTGTATGTTTGTGTTGTTTGTTTACTGCAATGGATTGACGCCTTGGGTCTGTGTCGACACCCCTAATTCTCCAGTAGTAGGAATTTAAGTTCTGCCTCAGGCATTAAGAACGAGCCGAGGATATTCTGCTGGACAGAAATTCTGTACTAAAAGGCGGGAGGGTTCCGCCTTCCGAAAATAGTAATAGAGGTGTTTAGTTCAGAGGTAGGGTCGGTGCCATGATGCGATTGATTTGATTTGGGTCTGGGTTTGATGTTTCTGGGATTAGGTGCTTTGGAGACTTAAAATAGTATGATTTGGGTAGAATGGGTGTTGGTTACTTCTATCTAGTTCTATGCTATGTCATGGTCTACTTTTGTTGTAGTCGAGCCAGTGAGGAAGGGACATAGAGGGAAAGGAAAGATAAGAGAAAAAGGAAAAATGAAAGAGAGTATGAATGCAGACAGTGTGACACTGTGTGTGTATGAATTGTATGAATATAGGTATAGGTATAGGTATCGCATGGTAGAAATGCATGCGGGCATGTATGTGTATCAATGTCGATCATGAAACAGGAGGCCAGAAAGGATATTGTATGGAACAAGGAGTTTGTCCCCGTTTCTCAAGGGTTCTCGCATTAACCAGAGTATGCTTCGTCCACGGCGACTACGGCCACCACACAAATATCGTCGACTTTCCCGCCGCGGTACCAGTCGCCGGGATAGTAGCGCTGGGCTTCCTTAGCAAATGGACCGTCGCGGCGCATGTCCATGCTGGCCAGTTTGGCCTCGCCGGCAATCGTGGAGGCGATGAGTGACTGGAGGGTGTAGGTTTGCTCGCGGGTGCTGGGTGAGGATGCTTTCGGTGAGTCAGGGTCGGAGGGGGATGCGGATGGCGAAGGGAGGAGGGATTTCAGGCCCTCTGGGCCAGTCAACTGTTTGAGGTCCTCGGAAGGCCGGATCCCGGAGTTGGGGTTTGCTGCCCAGGCGCCTGTCAGAACCATGCGACTCGTGACGAGCTTGAGGATGTCTTGGTTGTTGAGGTTATCGAAGACACCGTCAGTTGCCAGGATAAGGACATCGCCGTGTTGCATGTGGAGATTCGTGACGGCTGCGTCGCGCGGGTAGTCCTCGAGGAAGGACCCGCCGAAGATGGACGCCTGAGCGCGCATGCGCGGCGGTATGATGCTGAGCTGGTAGGGCGTGTTGAAGCCGTGGGTTTGCGGGATGGAGTAATGGTGAACAGCTGCGAGTCGGAGCAGGACAGAGCCCGAGTCGCCCAGGTTGGCCAGCTCGACTCGTCCGTCTTCCAGTCCCACGCCGACCGACGCGGTGCATCCACCGGCTCGAATCGTCTCATCTGCCACGACCTGTTCATAGCCGGCCTGGAGAAGGTTCTTCGCCCGCAACTGTTCGGCGGGAGAGTCCCAGGATATGGCGGACTGAGCCATGTAACCGCAGAGCGCGTGCGAGAAGTCTGCTGGATCGACGCGGGACTCGGCCCAGCCTCCCACGCCGTCTGCGACGGCAAAGGCCACGGCCCCGGAGTCCTTTTGACCGACCCTGCTCACAAAAAACGCATCCTCGCCACTGTCGGGCCTCCTCTTCCGCCGGAGCGCCTTGTTCTGTGTATCCGTTGCGACCCCAATGGCCTCGTGAAGTTCGGGGGTGAAATTGTAGGCGTTTTTCGCCGGATGGAAGCGGCGACCTTTGCCGGACGAGGATGCAGCAACTCGATACGAAATGCGCGGAGTGGATGAGTCTAATGGCGATGTGGAATGAAAGGCACGCCGAGGAAAGAATCGCGGGGACCGAGGAGTCGAGAGAGGGGAGGGTATGGGGGGGTATCGGAGGCCAGATGGTTTCGGAGCCAAGGAGGCCAAGAAGCCGTCCCTAGTGACGGTGTGTAGGCTACTGCAGGCGGCACTGCAGGCTCTACCGGAAGAAGCCAGCGCGATCATCAGCAGAGGACCGGATCGTCACCGTGGAATCCTGTCTGTGCCAGCAGGAACAGGAAGTGGTCGGCGAGCAAATGAGTCGCGAGAGCGTGCAACACGGCGAATTTGACACCCGGCGCTGGTTTGGAAGAGTGGAGAGGTCACGATGAAGCCGGACGAGGCCGGCGAATTGAATAGGTCGGGATTGGAGGCCGGACGAAGAAGATGGACAGGGCGATAAAGGCTGGAAATTTCAGGTTGCTGGGACGAACGGGACTCCCGACCGCCTGGCGTCATCGACCGCCTCCACGAGCATTGGGAGAATACGAGAAAAGATGAGGCGAGGGGGATCGCCTGGGCTCGGTGGTGGTCAGCCTTGTGTGTGATCGGCTCGAATCAAAGGGAGGAAGCAGGAATCGTAGGGAAAAGGAAGGCAGACTGGATGCTGGCCGGCCTTTGTTGGTGGGAGGAGGATTGCTGGGTATACCTCCGGGCGCGGAGTTGTCCAGAGGGAAGAAATCAGAGCGACTCACCGGATCTGAGCTCTACCATGATTCTTGTAGTTGGGAAATCTGGAGACGTCATCCTGCATGTCTCTGAAGTCTTGTCAGAGAAGCGGCAAGAGCAGACCCGGTTGGGGGGAAAAGGGACGAGGCGAGGTCTGGTGAGAAGGAATCAAACGGGTTGCTTGCTTGTTGGTTGCCGCCTTTTCGACGAAGAAATCCAGAAAGCGCGCCGTTCGATTTCGGCCTCCGCTTCTGCTTCCTCGCATTCAACCTCTTCCCCATCACCCCCTCTTCCTTCGCACGTCAGACGCCTGGGCGGCTTTCTTTTGGATATTCCTGCCACCCTTCAATCGATTCGACTTCAAGAAGTGGCTCTTCTGGTCGCGCGTGAATTGCCCGAGTGTCTGCAAATCCCTCATTCTCGGCGCCCATCATGATGCACCCGTCGAGACAAGCGTACGTCGAGGAGGCGGCGGTAAGCGCATCTTTTCCTCTCTTTGTTTTCGGTGACTGTCAAATATAAATGCGCCGGATAACTTCTCCTCTGCCCACCGGAGGATGTCTCCGTACAACATAGCATATGCTGACGTCGACTCTAGGACGCCGACATGGGCATCGACCTGGCGAACCTGCGTAAGTAATGTCCCCTACGGCTGGTATTCTACGTCGCTTTGTGGGGTTGAATTTATTGCTGATATACGTGACTTTGACGCTTAGCTGTGGACCATGATTATGAACTCCCCTCTGCGGCGGCTGGCATCCCGCCTGAACGAGCTTCGGCCATCTTGTCTCAATTCGAACGAAAGCGAAGGGCTGCGGCCATGGCCGTTCCCACTGACGACAACCGAGTACGCGCACGACTACGAGAACTAGGCGAACCGATCACATTGTTTGGCGAAGGCCCCGCGGACCGGAGAGACCGACTGCGGGAGTTGTTGACCGATCTTGCGGACCGACAAGCAGCGGCAGCAGCAGAAGGCGATGTGGAGATGCTAGAGGCAGCGGGCGAAGGGGAGGAGGGAGGAGAGGAGGCCGAACAGCAGGAGGAATTCTACACCGAGGGCACCAATGATCTCTTACAGGCCCGGAAGGATATTGCGCGCTTCTCTTTACCGCGCGCAAAGGCGCGCGTGGCCCGACTGAAAGACGAATCGACTATACCCCTGCGGACGCATATAAAACATCGCAAGGCGATCAAAGAGAAGCTACACAACTTCAATCTCTACGGGTCCCAAATTGCAGGCGACCGCCCTGTCAGTATTTGCCGCTTTTCTCCCGACGGACAGACGATCGCCACCGGAAACTGGGGCGGTGGGATTCGGTTGCTTACGGTGCCCAACCTCGAGGAGAAACTCTCTATTCAGGCCCATAAGGACCGGGTCGGTGGACTGTCATGGTTCCCGGGGGCTACACTGCCTGGGTCCAATGTCTCGGAATCGACGGTTAACTTGGTGTCAGGAGGAGGGGAGGGGGATGTAAGCTTGTGGTCCTTGAACAATGACAAACCCTTGGCTACACTGTCCGGTCACATCGGTCGTGTCTGCCGGACGGAGTTTCACCCGTCCGGTCGGTACGTTGCCTCTGCCTCTTTCGATACCACGTGGCGATTGTGGGACGTTGAAACGACGACCGAGCTGTTATTGCAAGAGGGACATTCCAGGGAGGTGTATACGGTAGCATTCAACAATGATGGCTCGCTCCTGGCGAGTGGCGGATTGGACAGTATTGGGCGAATTTGGGATCTCCGGACGGGCCGCACGGTCATGATCCTGGAGGGACATATTCGGGAGATCTTTGGACTGGACTGGGGGGTGGATGGATACCGGGTGCTCTCTGGATCCGGTGACGGATGGGTCAAGTGCTGGGATCTGCGCCAAGTCCGGAACAGCGGTGGAATCGGAGCGCACAAGAGCGTGGTGTCCGACGTCCGATGGTACAAGGGCTCCGAGTCGGCGTCGTATCTGCCCTCGGCGGAGGGTCGCATGGACGTGGACGGGGCCCCGCCAGCGAGTGATACGCCTGCTCCTGTGCAACCCAAGAAGTCGGGCACTTTCTTTGTCAGTAGTGGATTCGACAAGAACGTCAACATCTTCAGCGCGGATGACTGGTCGTTGGTGAAGACCCTGAGCGGACATGCGGGCAATGTTCTGAGCACAGATATCAGTGCAGATGCGCAGTGGATTGCCAGCTGTGGGCATGATCGCACGGTGAAACTGTGGGGGATTGAATGAGATATGTATTACTTGAACTATAGAGAAACCAATAGTATAATGATCCTGATGCCATCGAGCAGACAGGACCGGAAGTTGAACTGGGCAAGGGCCGGTTCATGGCAAGCAGGATTCTGCATGGCCATTGATCATTCCCCGGATATTCGTGTAGAATTGACCCTCACCGTCGATGACGTCCATGCTATACTTGTGGCCCGCAACAAGCAGGCGGTGAATACGGACACCATCACATGACCCACTCCGCAGCCTCCACGTGACACTCTGCCCGCCATTACCACTCACCGCCCCTCCAAAACCCGAGGCATAACCGGGGCTCTCTCCGCCATCTCCGAGCAAGCTCTTCTTCTACAATCCTCCACAATAACCTCCAACTCGCAACCACCTGCATAAGCACACCATGTTTAACCGCCGACTCGCATCGCGAGCCTCCTCTGCCCGGGTTCTCCAACCCCTCACGCCCACAACCCAAACCCACACCTATCTCCGCCCTCACCTCATCACCCAGCATCCCACCCTATCATCATCAGCATCAGTATCATCATCAACACCAACCCTCCGCTTCGCCTCCACGCAATCCCCCTCCTCCACCTTCAACACCACCACCACCCCCGACATAACAAACCACTACACGATATTCAAAACCACCCTCCCAGCCGGCCCCCCACCCGCCTCCCCCTTCAACATCCCCACCGGCCCTCTCCGCCGCGAATTCCTCCAATGGCAAAGCCGCATCCACCCAGACAAATACCCCCAAGGACCCCAGAAGCAAGCCGCGGAGGCGCTCTCCGCGCGAATCAACGAAGCGTATCGCACGCTCCTGGACCCGTTACAGCGCGCGCAGTATCTTCTGCGCGAGATGCACGGGATCGATGTCACGGCGGAGGATGGGGCGTCGAAGCATGCGCTGGACGCGGAGACGTTGATGGAGGTGATGGAGGTGCAGGAGACGATTGAGGAGGTGGCGGGGGATGCGGGCGCCGAGGAACGGATCGAGGAGTTGAAGAGGGAGAATGAGGGGCGGGTGGAGGAGTGTGTGAGGGTTTTGGGGGAGGCGTTTGATAAGGGGGATATTGAGTTGGCGAGAAGGGAGTGTGTGAGACTGAGGTTTTGGTATAGTGTTGGGGAGGGCTTGAGGGAGTGGGAACCGGGGATGGTGGAGATTAGGTTGGTTCATTGATTGATTGATTTATTGAGAGGGGGGAGGGGGATGGGGGATAGATTGTATGATATTGTCACAGAGAGATACCATGATTACCTATAGCCTTTGGGCAGTACTTTACGGGTTTGGTAGGGTTGGTAGGGTTGGTACCATGCCTGTGGTCGAGAGAGTATATAGAAATACCGATTCTCCTCTAGATATCTATAGTCTACGATGAAGTAGTTGGCCTGATTAAGGGTCTAGTCTTTGTGACTCATTGCCAGAACAGAATTGTATCTTGGAATAATGCTAGACTACACAACTGAGTCACTGGGTATGAACGCCAGTCCCTAGGTGAATGGATCACACAATCGTCAGAGATAGATTGTATGTCGTGAGTTGTTAAGGAGCTAGATAGATAGGGTCGACAGGCTGTCAGTGGAGAGTCTCGAGCTGTCACTTTGAGTCAGGGGCTAACTATTAAGTACTAATCTCCTGGTGGGATCCACAGTTTGGAGGTCGTATACTACTGAGGCTATACGGAGTATTAATGGAGCAAAAATGAATATGAACTGACACTGACAGCCATCTTCGTACACTATTTAAAGATTGAAAGTGAAGTTGGTGGCTGGTTAGGGCACGGCACGGGATGGCATCCGCCCTTGGATCCTTTAGAGAACATCATCTTACCAGGTACAACAACACACTTTGACCTGGGATTCTATCATTCTAGGGATCTAGGGGAACCGAGGACCCAATTAATAATGGAGAATGACAAAAATAGTCACAGTCACTTGATCATGCATCTAAAGTACGCGCCCACCGCAATTGAAATCCCACGCCAATGAGCTGACCGCCGTTGGGTCCCCAAGAGGCTGGGATGAAGGGTTCCATCGGGCAACAACATGACTGGAACCAGCAGAACAACGCCAACGCCCGCACACGGGCAAGGATTGGCCTCCTCGGTGGGGATGCGCACTATCCCAGCCCCCTGTGACTCCTCTGGTTGGTTTCATTGTCGGGGTTAGAGCAACAGGCCTTGTCTCGCGTGAGAAGTTGCATGGAGGGCAAAGGTCTGGTTGGGCATTGGGAATGAATCATCCCGGATGAGAGCAATGAGCGTTCTCCATCACCATCTATCGATTTTCCTCCCTCCTGCAGCTCGTGCAGCATACATAAGTTGCAATGCACTCGGGAAAAGGGATCATCGCCAGAAGATTCAGCCAGACCAACCGTGTTGATCTTTCACAGGTGACTGGAGATGGTCATGCATCGCCCCGGGTCGCGATAAGACGAACTGGACGGGCCGTTGGCTAGCATCGCAGAAGCTGGCGGTCAATCCACCCCGAACCCCGTTAGGAATGCACACGTAGCAGACTATCTTGACCCAGTTAGTCGGCTCTTGCGCCCATGGCTGCTTTGGCGTAGGGGCTACCCGGAGGGGAATCCAGGGCACAAAGTACTACGAGTGGAGAGCTCCGCGGACGGGCAGGAGTAATGAATGGTCGCATATATTAATTGCGACCCTGTCTGTCTGCCGGTCTGCGCCCTGGCTGTTCTTTTCTTTTCCAATTCTTGTTGTTGTAATCGCGAGGAAGACAACTGGTTTCGTCAATGGAGACTGATCGGGACTTTAGTAGGTGAGTGCGCACCATTCTCGTGACAAGAATTGGCCCTGGGGCTTCTCCGAGTGACTCACTCCATTGCGGCCGGCTTCTGTGAATCTTTCTTTCTCTGTTTCATGCCAACCACCACAGTGTTGCCACTGACCACCCTCTGGATGGCTACAGCATCGTCCATTCACCGCCATTTACTTTCCTGGTCGGCCCTAACCACACCAAGCTGACCATTCAGTCTGGCCTCGCCCGTCATGTCTCCCAGCCGCTCGACCATCTCATGAACAGTGGGGAGACTCGCGAGTCGAAACACCACATCGCGGTTTTGGAGGAGGAGGATGTCGAGACTTTCGTCGCCTTCTGCGAGTACGCCTACACCGGCGACTATCGCGTGCCACCGCCAGGATCCCGTGAGGAGGACCGCGAGGAGCAGGCCGTCAACAATCCCTTTCGCGGCGTCTTCTCCAACGACCCGTCCAGCCCAGCAGCCATTCCTCCGCGGGCTCCGAGCCCCCCACGATCGGGAGACCACCCCCACGGGGACGACAACGACAAGCCTTTCGACGATGGGTGGAGTCGTCCGGACGACGAGCACAGGCCTGCAGAAGTGGAGACTAGTCTCCAAGGCAAGGATGACGACTGGGAATGCGCCATCGCCGATGATGAGCCACAAGAGCTTGCACCGGCGACGAAAGAACCCAGCGAACAGCCCCCTCCAACTCCCGCTGTTGAGCAGGGCGATGGCGATGGTTGGGATGCTATCGGAGATGAAGCTTCTAAGGGGAAGAAAGGTAAAAAGAACAAGAAAGACAAGAAGAAGAAGAAAGGGGGTGCAGCAGAGGAACCGGCCTCTAACTTGACACCCCCGTCCACGCCACCCCCCGCGCACTCAAAGCCAGAAGAAGAGGTCGCCAACCCTGGAGCTGAAGCAAGCGCATTTCCGGAAGATGTGGCCCCGGTGCCAGAGCCTGTTGAGGCACCTCAAGCTTCGGAACCGGCTGATGCTGTGGTGCCATCATCCTTGCCCACCGAGGGTTGGGAGCAGACTGCGCCTACGCCTGCAGAAGACGAGGCCGTCGCTCCTGGTAAAGAGGATGAGAAGGAGCCAAGCCAGCAGAAGGCCAGCGAAGAGGCCAGAGCACACCAAGACGAGGGATTCACAAAGCGACCGACGGGACCGATGATTGACACCTCCTTCGCCAGGCAGCCGTATTCCCGGACGCATGAGAAAGGCACCAGTCTCTGGGATGACTTCGCAGCCATCGACTATGTTGATCCCCGTGCCGAGTTCGGTACGAGGCCACCCAGCGTCATGTCTTCTCGGTCTCCATTCGAGCTGCCGTACCTGGTGTTTCACGCTAAGCTGTACGTCTTTGCGACCCGATACTTGATTCCGGCGCTGGCCCAGCTGTGTCTGCGCAAGCTTCATCGCGACCTGGTGTACCTGGGATTCGCGGAATCTAGCCTCGAGGGAGAAGACGAGGAACAGTATGCCCTCAACCGCACCAAGTCCAGAAAGGTGCTGGATCTGCTCCACTACACGTATACCAAGACCACTCGTCTGGAGCCGATCACACCCACGTCGGCCACCCAGCTGCGGGATAACGAGCTGCGGAAGCTGGTCGTTCACTTTGCTGCCTGCAAGGTGCGCGATTTGGCCGCGTACTCGCCTCCAGTGGACAGTGACCTGGGATCGTCATCGAGCAAGTCGCTGAAGCTGGCAGCTCGGGGCTTCCGGGCCCTATTGGACTCCACCACGGAGCTTGCCTCGGACTTGGTGTATCGCATGATGATGTAAATGTCCCCCAGCTATTTTTGACATCTCCGCTCTTTTTCGTCATTTTCCTTCTATGTTTTTTTCCCCCTATGCAACGTCAAACCGGCCCTACATGTATATCGGATACGCACGACCACCGAACAACGTACGACAGGCGACATGAGATGCATGAAATGCATGACCTGGTGTACGGGATGAAAGATAAGTGTATGGAGGCTGTTTCCAAGTTTAAGCGCTCATCGTTCCCACTGCCAACAACGAATTTCCTTGTGTGATTTGAGATTGAATGATTATTTGCTATGATTTCCCCGTTTTGTCCAAGACGCAAAAACGAGGCCAGCGGACTCTGCGTCGCAATGAAACGTACTGGTAGCGTATTGTATTGTCTTGGGACATGTTGCTCTGCATGATTAGTGGTTCTGCATGATGATCCCAGCCGCGCGAAGCGAGTTCCAGATCCTTCTTTGCCTAGGATTGGACCTGTGTCTTGCATGAGCGTTCGTCTTACTTGCCTATCATGATGGGTTGTTTGTTTCAAGGGTCTGGTCTCTGCAGGGCATCGTACCTCTGCAGCGGTCCAGACGCTGTCATCCTGTTTTGCCGTGAAGAGTTGGGCACCTGCAGTGATGCAGCAAACGTAGTTGCCTTGGCAGGATGCTGGGCATACTCATCAGCCTCTGTATCTATCTCCAGCTGCTCCAGGGGCTAATTGGGATGGCGCATGCCACTGCCTTGGCGGATTGTAGGCAGTCGCATTTCTGAGTCCCAACAGGACTTGTCTCTGTAGATAGGACTGACTAGGGGAGTATGAGGGAATAACGAGCTTCCAGCGTCGTGGATAGGATCGCCGGCGGACAAGAATGCCGAGAATCGAAAGAGTCTCGGCCGCCACCTATTGAGTCTTCCTCAGACAGCTGAGCCATGCTTGGCGACGATCCGGCCAAGACACGGGGATAGTTTGGCAGTGACGGAAAGGGACGGAGAGGAGAGGAGGAAGGGGAGGAAAGCTAAGGGGGGAAAAGCATGACGGTCCGTCCGTCCGCCTGTCCGCCTCCTCTTCCGGGGAAAAATCGTGCCAAGGATGCCCAGGATTCCAGGCTGACATTCCTCTCGACTCTCTCCGGTTTGCTTCCTCAGTCCTTCTCTTCTTCGTCTCTGCTTCTCCGCCTCCCACTTCAGTTGACGTCTCTTCTGGCTCGTTCCCTCCGCCATTCACCGGTTCCCCCATTTAGAGTATCTGGGCCGGTTTTTCCATCAGCGCCACCCATGGGTCGCCCGTCTGGATCCAGGCTCCACTTGGGATCCCTCTCGAGTCTTCCCTGGTTCCCTCTTGCCTCTTGCTACTGCCAGTACTGCCACTCCCGGCCTCCCGGCCTCCCGCACGCAATTCCTTCATGATCCGCAGTCTTGACAACATTGGCAAACTCTCTTGATCCTTCCATCTTGCTGGTTGTCCCATCTTCGAGGCACGCATAGCCACCACAGGACTTGGCAGTTCCGCTGCCATGGTGCGTTGCTGATCCCCCTCTTGGCCCGTACTGTGTAGAGTTCGGGGAGGGGGCAAAACAGGCTGGAGGTATCTATCCGCTGCGCGTTGTTGAACAACTGAAGATGCTCGGGTTGGCGCTACTGTGTACGGTCGGATGGTCGTCTGATTGGACCGGATGCTGAGCCTCGATTCCACCTCGCAGCGATCCATCCAAACTCCAAACTCCATCCGAATTCCAAACTACCTAGATACTGGGTTGTCTCCAACCCGCCCGGCTTACCAGCTCCTTGGTCCTACCGTCCTGGGAGTCTGGGACCTTTTCTTGCCTCCCTGGCTTCCTGACTTTCCCGTCCGTGCCTAATCTTCGGTCCGAACAGGAACTACCTAGTAGTAGCACTTTTACCTTCCCTCCCCTTTTGGTTGGTCTGGTCGCAGACCTTGCCATGAGTCCCAACTCCCAAGGGCAACTCAGCCGGCCTCCCGTAATGGTTCCAGGGGCAAGATTGTCGAAAATTCAGACACCATACCCATACCCATACCCGCATTCGCTAGGCGCAAAATTACGTCTGCGTCAGGGTCGCAAACGATTAACAAAGGTATACACACACCTGGGGTTGGTCATACCGGACTCCTGATGTGGCATCGACTCGGTGGTGACAAATGCTGGCCATTGTCACGTCCGCGCGTTCGGAGAATTTCCGCAACCCCAACCCTTCGAAACGGGTCAAAAATTGGTGATAACAATATAACATGGTGCGTGGCGCATACCATGAATAATTTCTCTGACAGACCGGATTGACTGGCAGTTGACGTTGTCTCTGCATTCCCGACCCACTGGCGCAAAACCATATGCTTTGCTTCCCCTAGGCTTGGCGGAGAAAGAAGAGTCCGGAAACTCGAAAATCATGAACCACCTGTTCCCCATTTCCCAACTTCCCCTAACCATCAGGTTAATAATCCTTCGCCTCCTATGATGCTTCCATTAAGTGCCGTGGATCCCTGCGTGTCTTGGCAAGATCATGGTTCCCCCTGATCTGATCCTGGCGCGAGTGTTCTGCTTCTATTCCTGATGCGGCCAGCCTATCATGAACAGGCTTGTATATCGGTCCCCGCGATACTGGATGTCTAGACTGCGAGCTCCTTCGTCTGATAAGCTAACCGCAGTTGATATGTCCCTGCAGACCGGCCTTTATGCTCTTGGCCATGATGCATTATGGTTGGCGATGGACGATCATGGGAGCAGCCCAAGGCGGACTGCCTTATTATAGCCCCAAGTGCCGACAGGGGCTGATGCATCATCGTCTTCTTATGACCTGTGGATGGTCCAGCTGCAAGCCTGCCAAGTGCCCTGCGTTGCTGGGAGTAAACCGTTGGGATCAATCAATTGGCCCTTCCCGGAGACATAATCGCATTACCTTGTCACTCTGTTTGACCAGAAATTTTTTTCTCATATCCACTCCACAATCATTAATTCCCTACTCCGTATCCAAAAACGTTTTTCCGAGCTGTTTCATTGTGGGCCCCCGGTGTACATAGTAGTACGGGCCCGCTTCCATAATTCTCACGCCTCGTCTTGGTCACCCCTCCCTGGATAAAAGGCTGGCTCGTTCCTTTCGTGGCAACTCTACCAGACCTTGTTTGATATCTTCTTCTTTTCCCTCCTCCTGCCTGTCGGTGGTCTGCCAACCTCTACCTGTTGCATTGATCTACCCTTCTTCTTTATTCCACTATCCTTCTACCACCCACCGGCACGTCTATCCTATAGACCACACTCAAGCAACATAATGCATGTCCACGACACCCTGCCTGGCTCATCATCCGGGTCGGATCTGGAAACCTTCAATCACGAGCCTAAGAAGTCCGCCCACCATGATCCCGAGATATGTGTCAATCATGCATCGGAGATAGCCGTCAACCACGGGCTCGAGAAGCCCGGCCCGATCAGCATTCGCGAACGGTTGCGCCATTTCACCTGGGCCTGGTACACCTTGACCATGAGTTGCGGTGGTCTGGCCCTCCTGATTGTCAACCAACCCCATGACTTCAAGGGATTGAAGGACATTGCTCGGGTGGTCTACTGCCTGAATATCTTCTTTTTCACTGTCGTCACTTCTCTCATGGTCACCCGGTTCGTCATGCACAACAACTGCCTGGACTCCCTCCGTCATGACCGAGAGGGACTCTTCTTCCCGACCTTCTGGCTCTCCATCGCAACCATGATCACGGGTCTGTACAAGTGCTTTGGTGATGATAACTCGAAGAAATTCACCGTCTGCCTTGAGGTCCTCTTCTGGCTGTATACTGGCTGCACTTTGATCGCCGCCGTCGCTCAGTATTCCTTTGTCTTCCAGGCCCACCAGTACCATTTGCATAGCATGATGCCTTCGTGGATCTTGCCGGCCTTCCCGGTCATGCTCAGTGGTACTATTGCCTCGGTCATTGGATCGGGCCAGCCTCCCGAGTCTGGCATTCCTATCGTTGTTGCTGGCACTACTTTCCAGGGACTCGGTTTCTCCATCAGTTTCATGATGTACGCTCACTACATTGGACGCCTGATGGAGGTCGGCTTGCCTTCCCCCGAACACAGACCCGGCATGTTTATTTGCGTTGGTCCCCCCGCCTTCACTGCCCTGGCGTTGGTTGGTATGGCCAAAGCGCTTCCTAACGACTTCTCTCTTAACGGGGATCCCAATGCGGTTATTGACGGCGAGGTGATGCTGTTCCTCGCTACGAGTGTGGCCATCTTCCTTTGGGCCTTGAGTTTCTGGTTCTTCTGCATTGCTGTCGTTGCCGTCATCCGCTCCCCGCCCACTTCTTTCCACCTGAACTGGTTTGCCATGGTCTTCCCCAACACGGGATTCACCCTCGCCACCATTACTCTAGCCAACCAATTCGATAGCGCCGGAGTAAAGGGCGTGGCCACCGCCATGTCGCTCTGCGTGATTATCATGTTCATCTACGTCCTGATCAGCGCGGGCGTGGCTGTTATCCGGAAGGACATCATGTACCCGGGTAGAGACGAGGATGTGTCTGAATGACCTCCTCGCTCGCCGTTTCCTGTTTTCTTTCTCTCGTCTTAGCCTCACCATCTTTGGTTTTCTGTTACACTTGCATCTAGCGTTGGATTACTTTGAATGATCATATGCATACATATGTTGAGCGACTTGTGTCTTTTCATATCTACATTGGAGTTTTTGGAGGCATACTAGATATAGAATAGATTTCCTACGTTCTCAAGATACCAGTATCATTCATTTCCTTGTGCCTGAAACTTGCCACCAACCTTGCCCACTGTGTGGGTTGATCCTTGTTGTAGCCTCATCCCCACCCGGGTGACATCAACGGGCCCCTTCATGCCACCACGACGCTGGCGATCACATTGCCTGACACCAGAGTGGCATGATTCCGTTCACTTCTCTGACCGTTGACCAGTCTGTGAGGATCGTTCACCATTAGCATGAAAGACCAGGGATGAAGTGGTCCCAAATTGTGAATCTTGATGCACAGCGTAACGTTGGGAAGGCTCTCATTCCACGAGAATCACTTTCATTCCACGAGAACCGCTCTATTCTGAGTCTTAAAGTGAACGAAGTAACAAAGTAATCTGTGAACGAAGCCCGTTCACTGGGAGTTGTGACCAGGTATAAGACCCCCCTCATTTTCCGCTGCAAATCGACTCATCTCCTCTCCTCTCTCCCCTCCACACACCCCACGGGACCCCGACAGAGTCATGACTGATTCTACACCTCCCCCTTTTCCACGGAGAAACACGTCTCAGTGCGTTCTCATTACTAGATAGATTGGTCCCTCACTCCCCTCCATGTATCTCCTTTTCGTATTATTACACAATACACTAACCCCGCTCCAGAGATGGACTGGGACTACTATTGCCTCCTTTGGGATTTTCCCCACCTTGGCCTCCCCTTGGGTGAAATTTTGTCCGGTGGGATCGTGGAGGAAGAGGCAGGAGGAGGAGGACATCTGGCGGTCAGCAGCGATAGGAGCGGGGAACCAGAGACGCAGCACCTGTTTCGCGCAGATGATGACATTATTTTTATCACGTCACTTGCTTGTCCTTGCTGCTTGGAGATGAGATGTAGATCCATCTCCTATTCCTTGCAGCCACGTGGGCGTGTCTAGTTGGCTTTAGCCAAGCATGTCGGGAAAACGCCTCACAACGCCTTAACTCTCTCGCCTCATGAGCTTGTTTGGTGCCCTTGCATCTGAACCCCGATAGCCGACAGACACACAGGAAAAATCACCCGACCGTGTGCCGTACCATCCGACGCATCCGACGGCAAACTCGGCATGCCGAGGGACAATTGAGCTGGCTGGCGACGGCTGGTGGCAAGCTCAGGGCAAGCCGAAATCGCCTGGGTCGGCTGGTCCAGCCACGCCCGCCTCAGCACAACCCCCACTTGGCCTCACCTTTTGGCTCACCGAGCTCTCGAGCCCTCTCACCGGCCACCTTCCACTGTGTCACTCCGATTGGAAACACCTTCCCATGCGGCGTTCGAAGAAAAAATCAAAATCAAACAAGCCTGATCGGCACAGGATGCCGGCAGATCGCATCTGGGCTGTCCAACCACACCCACGGGATTATTATGCATACATCGTGGCTGCTATGCTTGATCTATGCTTAATACTTTATACTGACTTCTACCCCACGTCGCCGCGGCTGATTGGTTTCGCAACCCCATAACCCCAATCTCCGCGTGATTCTCGGCTGACTTAGCCGCCTGGCCACCGCCCGAAATCTTGCGTAACACAATAATACATAGTACGAGTCAGCACCGCCTTCACCGAGACGCGCTTTATCCACTCTGGGGCCCACGCTGGAAGGTCCAAGCCTGCATCCGGCATGTCGACCCCGACGACCCCGACTACTGTTGCTAAACGCGTCGCTGTTTCCATTACATACGAGAAACGACCCCCATGGAGCAGACCCCAGATCTGTGGGAGCCCTCAACCCTCAACGAGTCAGCGACCGGCCCATGATGGTACAATGGCAAGCAGGGCGCGTCTACCTACACAGTACAGCTTCACACTCGTTCCAAGATGGATGAATCCCTTTCTGAGAGCAGCTCGGAGGTATCCCCATTCGATTTATGCAGTAGAACCGGTAATATACATATCTGGCTCGACAAGTCGGCCCACAAACACGCCGCTCAGGTGGATGATGGATGATCAATTACTATTTCCTCCAGGAATGTCAGCGACTATGCTTCTGCATCAAAAGGCCTCAGCTGGTATGCCAAAATTGTCACCTCCAGGACTTTCGGCATAATGGATCGATGGATACCCGGGGTATAGCAATTCGCACATTTGCCTGGTGATTGTGGTCTCGACTCCACCGAGACACATTCAGACCTCATGACACTTGGGAAGCAAGTTCTTGGAAGTATCCCACTGGATTCGACAACTATGCCGCACGGCGTCGGGTCGGAAACATCGCTAAAGATATACAACACTGGAAATCATCGCGACGCCCTCGAACACTACCTTCGCGAAATATCATGCAAACACGAAGTCGTGCTTAATTGCGTCGACATATTGGACACTTGGATACCCAGCTATTCATACGGTATCTACATCTGCAATGGCGAATATTCGAATACGGCACATCTTCCGTGCTAGAAGTTTGTTCCAATGGCTTCAATTGCTATACTCGCCACATGTTATGGACCTTTCTTGGACTCGCTTGTTATAGCGCAGTTATGGAGGATATCTTCGGATAGGCTGAATATAATCAGCAGCAGCTTCTCTTCTATTACTGGGGGAGAAGCTGTCTCTCGGCAAGGGGAAGGAGGTGGATCGGGTGTTACCATCTGCACCGGTTGGTGTATCTCTTGCCGGTTCCAGTGGTCGGCTACAGAGAAAGCTCAACTACGAGAAGTCAAATCACCATGGTCAAAGCCTGCAGTAGCAGAGCTGGTCAGAATGGTTCTGAGGCAGCAAGAAGGAGCAGTCTGAGGAGACACCATGATCGAGGCATAACAGCAGGAACTCTGTAATCCTATCGATTGGGATAAGAAGAAAGCGCTTGCGGTCAGCGTTGATGGCCTACACGCTCGGTCATTCTGTTGGGTATATCTGGTCTGGGAGCTGGAAGCTTCACGTTCCAACCTGGCCACGAGGGTGCCCAGTCCTACAAAAGACAGATGAGCTCCATTGGAGAATTGAAGTCGACTCGGCGGCCTGGGGGAACTATGATATCAACAAATCGCGCCCCCGTTAGTATGACATCGACATTTAAACGCCGAATAGTTCTGGCTCAAGTCCAGCTCGACAAATCTACAGTTAGCTCGAACGTATTCATCAGAAATACGGCGGCCATTTGATATACGATCGAAACACAAGATTTGAATCTGATCACAAGAAGACACTTACCGTGTCACAGAATCAGCATGCTTGGATCTAACAACTCATGACGGTCGGGAAAATGTCCCTTACGGCCATGTATTCTCGATGCCATATGTCAAGGATTCCTGCATTCGCTTCAATGTCGCAAATAACACATCCAGACCCATGTCGCTGCTATATATGCATGACGCAGCTCTGCTCTAACTGGCCAGTCTGTTGAATTGGATACAGCGGTTCCATGTCTAGCCTCGCACATCTGCTCATACCATGTCTGCTGTGAACGAACGATATCACTAGTTCTTCAGTATCTAATGAAGACTCGATGGCAAACATATTGCTGCCTGCTGCTTACTGTCAACGGCGTTTCATCGCAAACACCCAGTCTCAGTACATCGATAATAGAATCTGTTGCTCAATCCATCTGATTCAGCTTCAGCATCTGCGCGTGCTGCGACTCGGAACATGGTTGCTTCGAGCTAATGTCCGAAAATTACGCCAGTCCGTCCAATGAAGGTTCGGACATCTTTACGGGGATGACATCCACCACATAGTCTGGATCCATGACACCTCGCAATCTTCATTATATTAAACTCAGACCATGCGAATGGAAATCCTAAGGATACTCTGACGTGCTTACAGCAGCCTGTCCTGCTGCGAAACAGCGTTGGAAATCGAGGCGATGCATCTAATCGTCACAAATATCAATACCTCTGAGCTTGAAAGTAATCATCTCAACACTACGAAAGGACTACACCGATGAGAAACATATCCCCACAGCGGACAGCTACTTGATCCAGATGGGGATCTATCGAACGAAGGCAACAGAAAGCGGGCAGTTCTTCCTTCAAACATAACAACGAAAGTGGAATACTGCAGATCCAATCTAAACGGGTCAGATAATCTGGCCGAAATCTATCTATGGACGCAGAGTATTCCATATCAAGCGTGTCGATATCCCCGGTAGGGCGAGTGCGCTTGTTCGCTGCTTGCCCACTGTGGTGTTCCATTCAACTTTAAATGACACCAAACCAACAGACCAAACTACACTCGGCTCCAATACAGCTGCTCTGGTCACAAAGTACTTCTAAGTACCTACAAGCCCTGACCCAGTGGGCCGGCTCATATCTTACACAGCGCCCGATCAAGTACAACTCGATGACCACGATGTCGATTACCCCGGAGCTTTATTGAAGATGGCGGACGTCTTATTTGATTGCACGGTTCCCATGGGAAAATTTAAAAAGGGATCGCAAATTCCTGACAAGCAACTCTTTGCTTTTGTCAGCTATGGCTTTCGTGGATACATCTTTTGATAGAATTCCCAACCAGACCAAAAGAGATACCTCTTGGCTAGTGGAACAATTCCAAGATGAATAGGTTCCAACATCTTCTACATTCTACATCTAGCCATAGGGAATATGTCACTTTTGGTCTACCTGGTAGCAGCTTTGACATCCTCTACAGTCTCCAGTGGGAGAGGACAAGTTCAGGATTCTTTGTCGCGGCGGATGGCAAAGGGTCGAGAGTTCCACCTTGTATTGGCAGGGGGAACTCTCATCTCGATTTATCGTGGACATATGCATAGCTGAGTGATCGCGTTGCGGAATGTCTTGCATACTGGCATTTCGCATCGGGTGAGCCATAGCTTACCTGCACTTGAGCTGTTACTTCGACGACAGGCAATATGGAAACTAGACATATTACAACAACTGTCGAAGAAGGATCCGATACTTGGTGCCTGAAGCAATAGCAAGGATGATCTGGCTGGGTTCATGTCTATTGTTCGAGTGGCTAGTAGCTGCAAGAACAAGCCTTGGAAGGTGTTGATGCAACACATCGAAAAGAGAAACAATGGTGGATCGATTTTAGACCATTGTTGGCTCTGCTAAACGTGGACGACATATATAATGGAGTCCCAGCCGTTCAACGCATTGCTGGTGATGGGGACAAAACCAGAACATATTGCTAGCAGATTGAATGACAATCGCTGAGCAAGAATAGTTGATGAAGACCAAGGACAAGCAAATCTCTGTTCATATATTCTAATTTAATAACCCACCTTTAACGTCGAAACGTTCTTCCATCGCTCTGAAGAAGATTCGACGCAAGAAATTTGAAGCTGAGTAACTACTCACCCCAGTCCATCCAGACTGGCTGCAATAATTGGCGACGAAGTTGTGGACATCTACCTTAATGTTCGACAATCGAAACAATTCGAAGATCGATCGCTCCAAGAGGAATCAGACCATTTCAGCATGACTGGTCCGGTCTGGGGTTGTTCACATATTCACAGATGTATAAGAGCCATCTATACATCTAAAAGCGATATGAAGTTATGCTATCGCTGCTCTCAAAGAGGGAATCGGATTCCTTAACATCATAAGGAAAAACGACATCCATATGTCCATACGTGGCCTTGATATTGAGCAAAGATACCTCGGGGTATTCCATCAGTACTAGGATTAAAACTGTCCTCAAGAGCAGGGAATAGTCCTCACTGTTATCACCAACAACAGTCACAATCCATAGAGCCTTCCGCTCCTACAAAAGCGAGAAGACCCTACTGATATGGGTGCAGCGATTAAACGTTTGCGCAGAAGAGGCAGTAGGAAGCTTTCGCAGAATATACTGCACAGCAAACTCACTCACTTCCTTGTCCACACTCGCACTCGAAGAGGATCTTTTTCCATCCTCAAGCACCAGAATCTCTTTTATAGAGGGCCTTCCGCGGACATTCTTATGTCCTAACGTCAGATTCCTTTCGAGAATCGACGCAAACGCCGCGCTTCTTCTTTGTCTAAAAGAAAAACAAGGACCATTATTCCCAAGACTGCCGATGAAGAGCATAAAATGCGCAATACAGATCGCAGCCGGAGCAAGATCGCCAAGGTGCAACGCCAGAAGATCCAGAAGATCCAGAAGCTAAAGCAACGCGGTAAATTGTCGTCGACAGAAGAAACGGATGTCAGAGGATCGATCAATTCCTAAAACCGAGACTTGCGACTCGTTGGTCAGGGGTTTTCACACACCATAGGTTAAGAACCTATTATCTTTTCGAACGGGTTATATCCAATTAAAAGAGATATTCCATCTGCCTCAACCATCAGCACATCTGTGTCAAAGAAGTACATCAGACACATCTCGCTGCAGATTATAATTCATTATATCTGTCCTAAGATGAAATGAAGGACGACGAGGCATACATGATGTATCCTCTTAACATGTTCCTTGCATTGCATTGCCTCGCATTGCTATCGAATACAACAGTACGCACAGCGAACATACAAGGTTGATCTCACCAATGCAGATCCCGATGAGGGATCCCTCCAACCAGAGCAACATCAGGCGATAACTCAAGCGCGTCCAACAACTCAAACAAACTCAAAGAAATTAGTAGTTAGCTGGGTGATCTGATTCACTCTCTTCATTCAAATCCTCAAAACCTCGTCCACAGCTCGACGTATACCACGTTACGAAGCACAACTACCTTGTGTGGTCAAATGTCATATCTTCTTGTCATCCACCACCAATTCACCTCAAATTATAACACTCAAAGAATTGAAATAACCTTTAAACCCGATGGAATATCCAAATCAGGAAGAAACCTACTCGCGAATGCTCCCCGACATTCCACGATTTCATATTCTTTCCACGGAATATATTTGATCTCTTGGTTAATTGGGCCGACCACCATTCAGACCATAAACACACTCAATACAAGAACCAAGCCAAATCCATGTGTTCTGACAGTGCACTCGCACTGATGTGAACAACATGACGAGTGTGGATGGTTACATCGCGGGAATGGGTGTGGGTGTCGCCTTTCTTACTTTTATTTTGGATTGAGGATGACTCGAACGATAAGTTGGGATTGGATACATTGATATTATATGGATGATCGAATACAGATGTTGGTATCAAGTGGGAGAGATACCGACAACTTCGTGATGAAGAGGAAAGACATTCTACTAAGATGATTGTCCTGATTAAAAGAGACGGATGCATATTCCTCTATGTGCCCCTGTTCCTGTTGAATAGTACAGGGACAGGATCCTTGATGGGTTGAGTTGGCTAGAGACAAAAGAAGACGGATCTATCCATATTCAACAAACGATACGGGATATGTCCTACAAGCAAGAGTATAAGCTAGAGAATGGGTTTGGCTATGGGTTCTTTCCGGGATGTTTTCTATCATTTGCTATTACATGTTGATCAAGGTGACTAAAGCTACTTGATTATGCGAGTTCTACCAACCAACAAAGTCAAATAAGTCCAAAACATCTATCTGTTCAGGAATAAACGCTCCAAACTGGGAACTTGCATCTATTCTGGTCTCAACGAGGTATGTGCGGGTGCGAGGCGTCATCGTTGCCATCAATGACTATCAAATTGACTACAGCCCTAACCCTGACCCCGGTATCATCGTCCCCGGTCATCAGTCCACTATCGTAAATATCACAGACCCCTGGGAATAAATCCTAGCTAACAGAGAGGGCAACCACAGTCAAGACACAACTACAATAAAAAGTACCATCTTCTCTTCATCGTAATCCCCAGGAACTGCCGGCTGGGATGCCTTCCAACTTCCATATCTATCAAAGGGATTTCATCCCAAAGATCCGTCAGACATCCGGATTCCCCCCGTTTATAGAAATGACTTCTCGGTGGAAGTTTGGAAATGATTGGCACTTGGTCCGGGAAAGGTCATATCCTCTGGTGCTGGTATCGTTGAAAGATACTTCTTCCACGCTGTTGTTACGGCGTACATTTTCTCGCTTAGATCATGTTGATTGTACTAATTATCCCTACGTGGCGTCACAAATGGGGAAGTTGGACGTGTGCAGGATATGTTGTCATGTTCTTTCGATAGCATAGAGTATATAGTAGTCACCGAGGAGACAGAAATACTCAATTCCACAAAGTCAATGAGCCAGACCATGGAAAGATATCGCCTGCAGATAGAACCCTAGGCAAATGTTGGTGACTGACTTGACTTCCAGAGAAGAGCTTTGTTGAAATGACTCGCTGGTAGACCGAAATAATGATCTTGCTTTCAAGATCCCGTTTATTGCTCGAAGAATCCCGGATTGCCCTGTCGAGGCTCGTTTCGTGTATTTCTTAGCCAGGCGTATAAGACCTTATAGTATTAGGTTTGATGGTCTGGGATCTAGGATGAAAAATCGGATGGTTGTTTGTGTTTGAGGCCTGTCATTCCTCACTATCGTTGACGATAAAATCATAATCATAATCCTCTTGTTCGCAAAGAAACTCCCCAGTCCGAGAAAAAACAAGAGATTCAGGGAAAGAATCCCCTCTCGAAAGGTCCAGTCACGAGTATGACTTGCTAATTGGGTCGAGATGTTGTTATATGGTGGGTGGGAGGACTTCCACCATCGATATACCCTGTCCATCGTAGGATCAGTCGCGAGGGCGCTTTCTTTCCAACACGCCAGAGAGACCGTAATGAGTATCACTGCCTCCTGCCAAAGCCACGATTGGAACAACAGAGTTACTTGTAAATGAGGGTCCATGGCATTCACTTGTGTGCGTTTTATCAGCCAAACTGTCCTGCAGGATGCACAGTCTATCCACCCAGAGATAATCTATGTCTAGTTTGGAACAAGCCATTATAGCATCTCTGATAGTTGCTGGAACCAGCAACCCCACCATATCCAGGTCATGGATATTGCTAGGCTTGTTGTTGCTTCGATCTCTATGGCAGTGGGGTATCCCCAGACGTAGCTCAGAGCAGCATATTCGCACGACGACGGACCAGGAAGTGATCTCTTCCTAGTTTATAAGTGGTAGAGGGCATGGTATAACCTCTTAAGCAGATTGTCTTATATCACTCCATAGTGCAATTCCCGAATGATACCTTTCGCCATCTGCTTCACGTCAGAAATGAAACGCCCACAGAGGGTTACCTCATTCCTTACCATTATCCAAAATGCATAATTCCAATGCTTTCAATGCTGTCAAGTCTAACCAACAGCATAGCTACGTTGTTTGGATCGAATACCGAAGCCAACTCTGCAAATCGTGCGCAAATCACACAAGTGCGAGGGCGGTTCCCCAAGCCCCGACTCTTGTCTATGTTTTTTTTTCCATCAGCCAGCATTGAAGAACATGTCCCAGTCGGATGTGCTGACACATATTATAAAGGGGGGTTCCGATGAGAAATGTTGCGCATGGCGAACAGTTGTCATGAAAAAGAAAGTGGAAAATAATTGTACACAGGGGGCATTGGTGGATCTCTATGGTGAGATCCGATGATCAAGTCGGACAAGGCAGACGGTTGAATGATTTCAGTGGAGAGGAACATGATTTTCTGCTAGAGAGCAAAAATACATAATAAATAGATCGTCTCTCAAGGAACCTTTAGTCAAGGCTGACTTCTGCTGGGATAAAAAAAAAAAGAAATCGACAAGGACGCGATTTGAACGCGCGACCCCGAAGGGATAAGATAACATCCGGTTGGATTCACTGGATTGGGAATTAGTATGAAAGTTGGAGTGATGTAAGGCAGCCGGTTCAACATACAGTCTTACGTCTTAACCACTCGACCACCTTGCCGCTGGTTGAGGTTCATTTGGCAGAAAAGGAAAGGTGAAGAGCACTTGCATAAGACTTGTAAGGAATGCCGATCATATCGTAGTATAGTAACTCAGAATAGGATTTTTATGGGGGAGGGGTTATCCACTACTGCTAAGATAGCATCCTCCCTTTTCGTCAATATGTCCTTCATTGACAAGGTACTCTTTGTAGTTGGCGGTCGATCTCATTGTTTCCGAATCGCAGTTGATTCCGAAGCCGAGAGCCGAGCCCCAAGAAGTATATCAACAGTCGAATTAACACAGCGGCCAACTCGTCTCCCATTCCACCGAACGGAGGTCTTCAGGCCTGGCTGTATCCTTCCTCTTCTTCAACTTGTTGAGTATCCTTGTAGGAGGTGCTATCATGAGGGGCAGACTTATATTCATTGCCACGATGTACCTATTTTCCTTCCGACATCTATGAGGGATACCTAACAGTAGATCGTAACCCACTCTCCGGCTGCTGCAATGCTAGTATATTCCTCCCCACCCTGCTATCTACATGAGTGAAATGTAATATTCTTGATCAGAACAGTCCATTCCATGTGCTAGGAACTATCACTCTGGGCAGTGACATTCCTCAAGTGAACCCCTCCTGGGGATCGACTCTCTGGGGAATTCCAAGATTCACTGGGATGGATTGGTTCTGGTCAAGTGGTACGGGTACAGTACAGCTACAGTACAGCTACAGTACAGCTACAGTACCGCTACAGTACCGTTGAGGGATGATGGGGCTATTATTCATGGTGTGTAATATCACCAAAAAAAAAAAAAAAAAAAAAAAAAAAAAAAAAAAAAAAAAGAAAAGAAAAGAAAAGACAGGGGATGATGCCATTATCTCAAGAATGGTAATCAAGAGCCAGATTGCCAAATCAAAGGGGGGAAAAGTGGCCTCTGTCGACCTAACCGAACCCAACCATATTCCCCCTGGCCCATCTGTTCCCATGAGTAGCTGGCTGCCCTCAACCGGCTCCAAAACTCGTTTTGAACGGGGACGGTGTAATTGGGAGCGATTGGATCCAAGAGGATTACCTTCCACTTCCGAGTCGATTCATCCCACAATATGTGGTGCACATCCTCAGCGTGGAAGGAAGAAAAGTTATTGTCGTAAGATACCGACCTGTCGTTGCGCGTGAAAACATGGCTGGCGTCGTCGTAATCATCGAACGTCATATGACCGGTCGATAGATGGATGAATCCCTCGTCCAGGCTGGTGTAACTATGAAGAGGGTGATATTGACTCTGCAGAGTGGTTGAAACCTCGGCGGCACCCAGCATCGCAAGCGCCCACAAGGCAAGTCGGACAGTCAGGATGCCTGGACCCTGTGCGTCGAATGGAATACTTTGCCATTCCAATAGGCCGGGTTCATAGTCGGAGCCGTCATCCACGTAGCCGGCAATGGAGGCAAAACTGGGATCCGAGTGGGAGCTTGGAGATGTGAGGATTTGGGCCGAATAGGACAATGGCCTTGGCCTTCGAGGGGTACTGACAGCTCCTCCAAAGCCACTACTACTACTCGACTCTTGCACGCTGCAGCGAATGACCACAAGTTCTCGGTCGGTGATGATCCACCCATACCGAGTATGGTTTTGCATGCAGTAGAATTGGACCTGAGCAAAAGGGTAACGATAGTTTCGTTTCCGGACCCCCCCAGAGGTCCATTTGGAAGATACTTTGGCGAAGCCACTGGGGACGAGTTCGGCTGGAGCTTGTTGAAGAGCCGGGTGCATTCGATCCCATCTCTTTGCCAGGCACTGGGGTATCACGGGAACCAGACTCCGGCTGAGCGTATGTTTTAGGCTGTCTTCACCCCAGACATCTTTCTCGTTCGATGTCAGCTCCCGGCTAGGTTCATGAATATCTGCCCGAAAATCGAATTGAAGGACTTCCTCGAACAACTTCATCACATTGTCATAGCTAAACTCCTTCCACACTGCTAACCTCTCCACAGGTTTCCAGTCTCGGTGGAAGGTGAGGCTACCTTCTGCCGCCTTGCACACAATCGGTGGGATTGGTCTCGAAAGAATTTCTAGAAGCGTGGGCATTATTAAAAGTACCAGACGAAAAAAAAAGTATAGACTGACCGCAAACCTCATTGAGTTCGTTCTTTGGCGAGACGAGGAGAGGACTCCTATCTTATTATGTTCCTTGTCCTCTTCAGCCAGTGCTTTCGGATGATGGGACTTTTGGAGGTCCAAGGCATATGGGTATTACAAAACGCACATAGAATCCCCTTCAAAAAGGATAGTCTATATATAGAACGCTGATATCGACTCTGCTCGGTCAGTCCAGCCAAGGGGGATTTAGTCCCGGGTTACGAGCAGCTAAGCGTCTGGACAGAGAGATCCGAACCACACCTCTGAGCGGGTCATAGACGCAAGGACAAGATGCAGCAAACAGAAGAATGGAATCGTAGTTGCATATTATTGTGACAAGTGAGTGGTGTGTTGTCATTCGGCTTCGCTGACCCTTTCCAGTGACGTGGGCTTTTGTGTTGCTTCATAATGCCAGATGCATTGGAAGCTACAGGTTCTTGCTCTTACGGTAAGTGCCTACATGCCTAGCATTACCTTTGTGGGACTTGAGTAGGCTAACAAAATTTAACTTGACTTGACTTGACATCACCTTCGAAAGCCACCTGGATGTTCATTAGGAAGAGAGTGCTTCATCCCCTGTCCACAAGCCCAATGGCTAGACTCGCAAATAAATCCAATTGGGATTTCAAAGCAGGCAAAGATACGTGTTGAAAAAAAAAAGGGGGGGGGGGGTCGTCGTGGTTACATTGCCAACAGCCTACAAGAAGGATGTAGAATCACCCCTCTCAACCCAGGGCCCGCTTTATTGCTGCCTCTTCTTCCAAGGGCCAGTCCTCCCCAATGTAGGGGATGCAATTGTCGAAGAAGTGATCGAATTCAAACGTGGACGCATAACCTCTCACAAACGGATACGTTGTCGAACAGCCCAGATCCATCAAAACCGACCCTTTATAATTGTCCATTTCCAGATCGTGTGGTAAGATTCGCGCCTGTTTCGCAATATCAAATCCCTCGCGGATTTTCACGAGATCTGCCTTGGTGGGTGGAGCAGAGAGGAAGTCCTTTACAATCGCCCAGCGCGAACCAGTGTAGTACGGATCGTAACTCTCCAACTGGGGGTATACCTTTCTGAGAGACGCCATCTGGCTATCCGACAGATAGATCCAGCCATGACACCGCACAGCCCACGTCCCGTTCAGACCCATATCACAGAGACGAGCAAATGCCCGGCATTCTCGGCTGAAGGGACCGATGAGCTTTTCGACTGTCGGGTTGATACTTGGGTACGAGTGAGGATACTTCCATGGTTTGAACTGGATAGATGATAATACTTAGCCGAGCGAGCGTCACCAGACCTAGAAAAAGTACTTACCACTTTCAGGCACAAGTCCGTTTCCCCATGTTTGAACTTGAATGTGATTGCATCCTCCCCGATGCCGATATGCTCAGGTTGGCTGATCTTGGCTTCTGGGTGGGCAAATCGCTTCAGCAATAGCCAGGGCGTGTTAGGGCCCTGGTATTTTGACGACTTCGGATCAAGAACATCCTGGGAGATGCAGACATCAAGGTATTCATCCATGATGGTGGTGTGACACTGTGCTCAGGATGTTGTGTGTTTGGTTCACAAAGTAGAGAGATTCATCGAATGGCCTTGGATGGGTTTATAAGCCCCATGATGGCATGAAGCAGGTCGGAATGCCTCTGAAAGGGAGAGGGAATTTCCTCCATCGGAAAATCAGACACTTCCGACTCCTTCCGTGGTGACAGGCCAAACCTAGAGGAACCTATCAACACGTCATGCATAGGTACAGGAATAAGAATGGGTGAATGTGTGGAAGGAAGGACTGATGCCGGTAACCGTGTGGTCGGTCAATGAAAGCCGGAATTCCACTGGATTTCCATCACAGCTGGCCCCAATAGCAACACCTTGTCGTACTCGGCCCTACCCTGCTAGCCTAGCCTGTTCTTTCTGGTCCTAACCAGACGTGAGAACGTTTGGAGTAACTTTTGAAGCCATAGCCCGAAGCCACCCTAGACACGCCATCCAATAAAATCCAGATGTTCCTCGGGATAGGTTGGCCTGGCAGATTCTTTTTTTGTTCTTTTTTTTTTCTTTTTCTCTCTGTAACGTTTCAGCTGGCTTCCCCGCTCCTTGTCAAAATACTCTAGGGATGGATGAATCGGGCTATGTTGTCAGTGTCCCCTTCTCACCTCAACATTCCCTCCGATTGTTATACAACATAAGTATCCTCCCGATAGTTGCCTATCCCAATCCCAATACTATCCACCAGTGTCAACCATGCTTTCCACATACCGGAAGGTACGGAGAAGGAAGTAAAAAAGAAAGCTAGCTGATACTCTGGTGGCGATCCTTCGTCGGTTGGAGGGGGGGACAGATGGCCCATTGTCATGTGGTGGTATCCTTTCCTCCGTCCCCGATTCTCGATCTTGATCGATTTGTCCCCCTTAATGCTTGGCTGAATACAATTAATTTCCGTACCGTCATTTATTGCTATGTGCCAAGCAATAAACGGAGCAAGAAGTACTATGTATGAGTGTATGAGTGTATGTAAATTGTAATGACTATTAGCCACATAAAAGAATTATGAATGGTATCTTTCATTTCATGTCCCTCCGGCTGTTGGGGGTGGGGCAATAACTCACACCCTGTCGTGCAACTACTTGTCCTTGCTAGTACATATGACATATTGATTTGTATAGTACACCACAGTGTGACAACTAGCCACTCGACCAAAAGGACATGGCCCCAGCCAGAGACTCTAAGTTGAGCCGGCAAACAAATCAACGGCACCATCAACCAGGGTGGAAATGTGATGATTCGAGTTACAGTGCAGTCGGGGGGAAGGGCGCAACTGCATCCGGGCATCCCATGTGGTTCACTCCACGACCACCCGATCCGTGGGACAGGCTTTTTTTGGGGGTTTTTTGTGTGACCAACGTGGGTCTACTGGAAACATGCAATCAACCTATTTACTGGGTGAGAGTATGTAAGAAGAAATTCATTGGGCCTGAGGAATCGCTAGGATATTCCCAGGGGACGGCGAGTCTCCCAGTATTCCCTGGAGAAATCGGTGGATGCGTCGGCGATATATAGTCTATTATTAGGAACCGTAGATATTGCCCCATCTCAATCCATCCAGTCAAACGTGTTCAACAGTTCCAGATTTGAAAACTCCGACAAGGCACGCTCGTCGGGCAGCGACAGGCTGACAGACTGCGACGGTGGATTCAGACCGCTGGGGGTATCAAGGATCTGGTCCAGACATCGACTCAGAATCCTCCGAATAGAGGCGACTACGTTCCCGCACGATGTTGTATATTGAATCCACTCAAGATACGCCACCAGCAAACTCAGGTCCTGGATGATGACTGATCGTGGGAGGCGCAGATCATACTGTTGCGGGTGGGCGGCTTGTCGTAAGAGCTCCAGACAGAGGATACCGCTGGAGGGAACGGCGTACGACATGGCCTATTCGCGGCGCATTAGATGTATTCTCGCTGGTCTATAAGGTGCACATACCAGCCAGTCAAAGTCATTGTAGAGCCCGATAAACCGGTCCTCCTTCTTCCAGAATATCAAAGACAAGTCCAGCATCTCCTGACTCACGCTGATGAGGTTTTGCTCGGTCACGATGCGGTGCCGCGTTAAGAGACGTTCCAACAGAAACAGATTCAGCAGAAACTCTAGTCGGGTGAGGATTTGCGCGTAGAGGTCGTGCCCGGGAATTTCAGCCCTGTCTACGCTGGCTTTCGAGAATCGGATTGATGATGGAAGCTGCATGTATGTCTCATGAGTTTCTTGTTTCAATTTTCTGCCAAGTGTTAGAGGATACAGATCAGGATAATTGAGAAACGCACATGACTCGATTGACTGATTGCTCGGGTAGGCTATCGGTCATTGCTCCCAGGAGCTCTAAGATCTTATGTCGGATATGAGCGAACATGGTGCGTGATCGAAGGATCGTGGTGGAGTAGATCTGGCCGTTTTTGCTCCACACTTGAGCATCTAATTCGACAGCTGCCGATTGGAAATTGTCTGGTAAGAGGGCGTCATCGCTGAGATCAAGGGGGACACGCGTGGAGGAATAAGCTTGGTTGAGAAGGGGTGGGCGTCCGGTAAAGGTGGAAATGACCTTGTCGATGTTGAATACGGCAGAATAGACTCTTCTTTTGAGTTCATGTTGGAGGGTGAGCGCTTCTGCGTCGGCGCTGAGCTCGCGATGGAGACCGAGGGAGGTGGTCACGGCGACGAGCTCACCATGCTGCGTCCAGCAGGAGAAACCTGTCAATTAGTCTTCATCCGCTAGTTTGACATGCGACGTACTCTTGTCCCCATTCAAGATTCCCTCCAGAATATTATGCTTGTATAACAGATACACGAAGTGCACATTCACAGAACCAAGACGTCTGCAAATATCAATACACAACGATACATAATGCTTCAGGTGAGCCATCAGTGCTCTTACTCCTGTGACTGAGGGATGTGTTCGACAATATCTGGCGACGGCTCGAGTATATGACGACGATGAGATAGCTCCAAACGCCCATTAGGTGTCCAAAATGCCCAGGGTCTCCCATCGCATCTCCGTCCACGTGAATGAGGCCAGCCAGGCGTTTGGATTCTGCTCCGTCCGTAACGATGTCTTACTATTCTAGGTGAGAATTGCAGCAACCTCTATCAAGTCTGACTTAGATCGTCGCAGCAGATTTGGCCGGAATGCACTCCACATCCGCTTTGACGCGTGACTCCCTGCTAATCGGATCCATCCATCGTTCGGGTTGACGTGCTTGGAAAACAGTCCCGCGCAGTCCTGCTCATCGGGTATCTAGTTTGGAATTTGGACACCAAGATTTAAAGCGTGTCTGGAGGTCGGGATCTGAAGCACGAGTGTCGGCTGCTCGCATCGCATTGTCCAGCTCGAACCGATCGCCATCCACAAAGACTGAGGTAAAGCTTGTCGGACCGAGATATTCGAGCGGGCTGTCGATCATGGGAGGAGTCCGCTCCACAGCCTGGTAGCTCGAGGGTGATGGTGCACTTGCCGGATGAACGGGGCTTCTCCGGCCAGGCGACTGTTCTGCAGCATCAGAATTACCTTGCCTTGTTCTGGTAGATTCTTCGCGGTAGACGCACTCAAACGAGTATTTCTGGCATCGTTGGCAGATGGGATGGCTGTGGTGACAGGCCAGTTTCCGTCTCCGGCAGGATTCGCAGGCAGCTTTGCGGCCGTTTCGTCGTCGGAGAGGGGATGGCATGGCGATAGATAGGATGGATAAATGAATGAATGATGAAGCCGTTCGGATGTCCGACAGCTAAGTCCGAGGGAGTCGGAGCTGGAGAGGGGGGATCGGCTTGCATGGTTGTTTCCGATTGGTTGAGCACCCTCCCGTAGGAATTAGGTACCCCGTGACACGTGACCTGAAAGGTCTCGACCATCACATTGTTTATCCATCTATCGTCCATCTATCTATCTACCTGCCCCGTATGTCAATCGGCTTATGCCGGCTCCAACACACATGCCGGAAGTTCCCAGCACCCCACCGCTGAAACCGCGCCGTCTGCTTCGTGGAGAGATCACATACGATGCTGCCAAAGAACACGACGCCAATATACTCCACCAATTGGGTTACAGAGACCAAAAGATCCAGTTTTTCACCCACCTATACCAGCATCGTGGGGTGATCTCGGTCATTGCCGCCCATCATCTCGGCCTCGCTTCTGCAGACGCGTGCCATGTTGTTGATGTGGAGGAGTGGATACATGGGAGCTTCAATGTCTGTATTCGCATTGATGTGGTAGGTCACGGACCAGATCCGGAGAGACAACTGATGATCCGATTTCCCTTGCCCTACCGAATTGGCGAGAACTGTCGCCCTGGAAATGCGGATGAAAAGGTTCGGTGTGAAGTTGGGACCTACGCATGGCTCCAAGAAAACTGTCCGTCGGTTCCTACTCCCCGTCTTTACGGATTTGGGTTGTCGACTGGCCAGACTGTATGCCCGTTGTGACGTACATTGCAAGAAAAACATGGCTTACATCTTCTAGTTCACAAGTCTGGACAATTTGCCTTTAATGCCCCGAATTGTTCAGCGTTTGCGCCGTCAACTACTGAGTTGGTTCGGCTATCCCGTTCCGTCCCATTACATCCAACATCCAACCACGAATCCGGTGGTGCTGAACACGCCCTATATTCTGATTGAATATATTGATCGCTCACGGGGCAAGATGCTTTCGGGGACATGGGAAGAAGGGCGCCACAGTCCCACCTTGCGCAAGACGCTTTTTCACAACATCTCCCGCATCATCCTGGCATTGGCGCGCGTTCCTTTACCAAAGATCGGATCCTTCAGTATCGATGGAAAGGGGGTTTTGAATTTGAGTAACCGACCCCTTACCCTTGAAATCCAACAACTGGTAAATGAACACATTCCTGTTGACATGCCGCAACATGATACCTACATCACCGTCGACTCTTACATCAATGATATCTTCGCACTCCATGAAAGTCGTCTTCGTCACCAGCCCAATGCAATTAATAGTCTTGAAGATGGTTTCTACCAGGCCTCTGCACTGATGGTGATGAGAAGTGTCTGGTCTGGCTTTTTTCGTCGAGATCTCCGCCGTGGCCCCTTCTTTCTTAGCCTGACTGACCTCAACCAAAGTAACATATTCGTCGACGACGATTGGAACATCAAGTGTCTCATCGACCTGGAGTGGGCGTGCTCTCACCCGGTGGAAATGATCCACCCTCCATTCTGGTTAACAAACCAGGGGATCGATTTGATCGACATGGACGACTATGGAAATCTTCACAAGGAGTTCATGGATGCTTTCTCCGAGGAAGAAGGTAAGGTCCAGTCGCTAATCTGCCTCTCTCCTATCTTGCAGCAAGGATGGGAAAGAGGCACTTTTTGGTGTTCTCTAGCCCTCAGTAGTCCTATCGCGCTGTCCAAGATCTTTTATGACCACATTCAACCCAAGTTTTCTAAAGCCCACGACGATCCCGCCTTCTGGCGAATTACCATGCCTTACTGGGCATTCAACGCTATTGATTTCATCGAACAGAAGGTCGAGGATAAGGACCGTTACGATATCTCTCTGCGTAAAGCATTTGAACAATGAAGCTCCGATCACTTTCACTGACTCTGACTCTGTCCCTGTTCTTGGCTCTTGCTTTCCCCACTCCCACCCTGCTCCTGATTCTTCTATCTACCACTGCCTTCTTTCCCGCGTGTGCGTATGTAAATTACGCTCCAAGTTCTTGATATCCTCCATCCCAACAGTCTACTAATCAGATTTCTATAAGACGTACTTTCCATCACGCACCTCTTCCTGCGCTCTCTAAAATCTTATCATTATAATAGTATTCCATCCTTAAATACACTGTGGGATGATTTGACAGCCATCCTGTTGTATAAATAGTATATAAGACTGGAGATAATATAGAGGCGTTCCGTGAAGCAGCTACAAAGCGAGAGAGAAAAAATAGCAGATACTAGAGAATGGATAAGTACTTATCGTATATTCTTCTCACATATATAGTTCTCAATTAGAGATACATCCATTGAAATGGATCGAATCGCCTGATGACTATAATGCACGATTTAGACAACTTAAGGCCCGAGAATTCCCGCCTTGTACATTGTCTCTGACATTCAAAGCAGACTGATTGGTAGTGAATAAAAAAGAAACTCTGGGACTGGAATGGCACGTGTATGTGGTTGAAATTTAGCTCGGGAATCAGTGCACATCTGGGACAGAGATACCAATTAAGAGATACAAGCAGTTGATTTGTTGTATAGTGGCTCGCAGCAGAGTTCATGATCAACCTATCTCAGTGTACTGACCACGCAACTCGCTCCATCTGGCGCTCTGGGTGGCCTGAACTAATGCTGTATGACTGGAGGTGGTCCATCGATACATGTAGCCGGCTATAGTTTCCGGGTTGGGGAGCCGGTGGAAGGAAGCCCCGAAGTTTGCTTTTTTTGCATCGCTGGAGATCAGTTCCGACCATCGTGAACTCAGCTTTCCTCCCTTCACTACATCCTGATTATGCGAGAGAAAGTATCCCCGAAGTCATTTAGCTGCTCAGCATGGCTACCAACCCGGAACCAGACTAACAACAGAAGAAAGCAGTTATCTGGCAAGACCACATGAGAATCAGAGGGTTACACCAGGCCGGATCTCTCATCTGCCATTAGTCTGTCAAGCGACCCACATTCTGTGTCGATCCTGAGACTCGATCGTGGATGCAGGGATTATCATGATAAGAGTTCTACTCCCATTTACAATGGTGGATAGCATCTGCATGGGTGAGCAGTATTCTTCTTACGTGCTTTCTGATGTGATAACTATGCATATTGTTGCACTAGGCCGGAGATACCAACCTTGCCACTTCGACCCATTGTACCTTGATAGCTTCGTTGGTGGAAGGAATACCTCGAAAACAAGCAAAATGGCAAAAAGCAACAGCATAAATAACAGCCGGAGAAGCCCAGTCCAACACCGAAATCATCCTTGCATCAAGCTCGTACAGTTCTTCCAGTCCATTAAAATCACCAATATGGCAATGGTCCAAGCTGACACAGTGAATGGGGTCTGCAGCACAACCACAATCCCAACCATGCAGTGGGCACAGCTGTTTTCGAAACAAGGCTCAAGTCAAGACTACCGTTATGCTCTTCCTCTGTTGGAATCCGACTAAGTCTTACCAGCTATAAGCTATACCCAGATCCCAGTGCGATCAATTTCCCCCGATGAGATCCTTGTGCAAATCAGATATTTAGGCGTATGTCACAGTGATCTGCACGCTTGGAAAGGAGCCTGGCCCGTTGAGACCAAAGAAACTCTGGTTGGTAAGTTTGGCACAGTGGCCCTTGAGAAATTTGCAGTTCATTGACATTGCGTGAAAGGTGGTCACGAAGGCGCTGGAGTGGTTGTGGCACGAGGGGACAACGTTAATCGAGTATCTGTTGGAGATCAAGTTGGGGTACCGGTAATTCTCGTGTTGGAGACTTTTCACCCCCAGTTGACACCTATACTAAGATGCCTAGTGGATCAATGAAACCTGCGGCAGTTGTGAGTTCTGCAACGAGGGTGATGAGCAGCTCTGCCCTGATGCCCAGATCTCCGGATACACCGTTGATGGCACCTTTCAGCAATTCTGTGTTTGTCGAGCCACAAATGCCGTCCGCATACCAGACGGAACTTCCCTCGAGGCAGTCGCCCCTGTGAGTAGAATTCTAATTGACCGTGTTGCTGTCCACCGTGTGGCTGATATCAGGGCTGACCAGATTCTATGTGCTGGGGGGTCTGTATATAAGGCATTGAAAGAAAGTCACCTCAATCCCGGACAGACTATTGATAAGACTGTCACCTTGTGACTAAGATGCAGATCAAGACTAATTATCGACCACAGCTATTGCAGGAGCTGATGGTGTTCTTGGCACATTGGCTTGTCAGTATGCCCTGGCCCTTGGATACCGGGTCCTTGCGCTTTCGACGGGGCCCAGAAAAAAGACTGTGTTGGTGGATGAGATTGGAGTAGACTACTTCGTGGATTCTACGGCTTCACACCAGAATGTGACTGCCGAAATCCAAAGGCTGACCGGGGGTGGCCCTCATGCAGCCATCGTGGTCGCATCAGTACAGGCGCCGATCAGCCAGGCACTCCAGGCAAGCTTGTTGAGATCCACCTGCTATCTAGCTTGACACTGATGTTGTGCCTAGTTTGTACGACCAAAAGGGACTGTCGTCGTAATGGGCCTTCCCAACAACGCTTTGATCCAGGCTGACGTGTGTTCTATGATCTCCAAGCAGAAAATGATGAGGGGATCTCATGTTAGCAGTTCAGTCGAGACCGAAGAGGCACTGGCAGTGTATGTACAAAGCCGCTTTCACATGCAATATCGAATATACCCTCTTGAGGAACTTCCCATGGTGTTTGAGAAAATGGAGCAGGACAAGACGCAGGGACGGACTGTGCTGGAGATGCCTACTCTTGAGGCCACCGCATCACCCAAATATAACCTTGGGACATATTTGGCATACAGACTGGAAGAGATCGGGGCTAGGGATTACTTTGTTGTTCCCGGTAGGATTCGGTGTGCAAGTGGTCACCAGTGATGCGATGCTAACTGGCCAACATCAGGAGACTTCAACCTAATTCTCCTCGATCAGATATTGAAGAATGATAACCTGCGAATGGTGGGCTGCTGCAATGAGTTGAATGCCGGCTATGCCGCCGATGGCTACGCACGAACGTCCTCGAGCAAGGTGGCCGTCGTCTTCGTCACCTTTATGGTTGGAGGCCTGTCGCTGCTGAATGCCATTGCAGGCGCATATTCAGAGGGCTTGCGAGTCATTGTGGTATCTGGAGCCCCTTCATCGCATACGTATGGCCAGGACAGTCTGATCCATCACACTACCGGCCTGAAAGATCAAGACCAGGCGCTTCGCATGTTCGAGCAAGTCACCACTGCCTCTGTTCGGCTCCAACGCGGCACCGATCCTTCCTCTATCCTGGACCAAACGCTTATTCAATGCCTTGTCGACTCCCTCCCCGTTTACATTGAGATACCGAGCGACATGCCCGAAGACCTCTGTTACCTCCCGGGGCCTCTCCCTCTCCCACGGCCCCTAATGCCCGTCCTCAACAATCTACAAGATGCCTTTACCCTATTCAGCACGTATTGGCAAACGACTCAGAACCTCATGATCATCGTGGTTCCCTTTGCACGGAACTCTCTTACCCGCAACACCCTGATCTCCCTCATTGAAAAACTGGGATGCCCAGTATTCTGTCAGCCCGATGGCAAATCCCTAATCCCCGAATCCCACCCTCAATTCCAGGGAACATTCTGGGGCATGGCATCCGATCCTGCCTGCATGCAGAAGGTAATGGAATCCGACTTATGGGTAGGCATCGGCACCCGCTGGGGTGACTTTAGCAGTCTCCAGAAACCCACTCCCCCGGAATTGCATCTCCAGTCCGATCATCTCCAGACCCCGGATGGCAAATCCGTCGACTGCATCACCATGGCCGAGCTATGTCATCTCGTGATCCATTCCGATCTTCCCAGCCACCACTGCACAAAGCTTCTCAAAAGCCCTCCCGGCATACCGCAAACATAAACTCACTCAGAACAACACAATCCTCCTAACGTCCCCATAACCACATCATCAATCCTAGACGTAATCGAATCCATTCTCCAACCCAACGATACCCTCATCGCCGAAGCCGGCGACAGCTGGTTCAACTCCCAGACAATCCATCTCCCAGACGGAGTCGACTACCAAATGCAATTGATCTACGGTTCAATAGGATGGAGTCTCCCTGCCACATTAGGATGTCAGCTAGCTCGTCCCCATGGCCGAACAATCCTAATGATCGGAGACGGAAGTTTTTCAAATGACGGCCCAGGAACTGAGCACGATGATTCGACTGAGAATGAAGTCTGTTATCTTCATATTCAATAATTTGGGATATAGAATCGAGGTACCCCCCCGCCCAACTCTCCCCTATTCTACCCCGACCCTAAGTCCAAATCCAAAGCCCCACTCATCCCCCCCCAAACCAATAAACTAACCAAACATACAAAACAACAAAACAGAGCGCAATCCACGACGGTCCCTACAACTACCCCAGCAACTGGAACTACTCCCTCCTCGCCTCCTCCATGAGAAACATCTCCCACAGCCCCGGAAACGGGAATAAATACCTCACCGAGCAGGAGAAAAAGGACCAACACAATCCAGCCCTCGTCTCCATGCGCATTAAAACACAGGGTGATTTACTCATCGCCTACGAGCGAATCTTATCCGAGACGGAGAAATTATTCCTGTTGGAATGTTGTATCCATCCTTGGGATATTAGTGAGGGGTTGAGGAGGTTTGGTAGGCAAGTTGGGGGATAGATGATGATGAATCGGAGGTTTTCTTTTGAAGGAGGAGGGAGGGATAGATATACAAAGAGATAATACTGGATTCGGGGGTATGTTTTCACTCTTATCATCTTAGAATGAACATAGGGATATTACTTTTGTGGAAGATGAATGAAAGATAGATGACTTATTCTGGAATTTGAATTTATCCCAGTAGATTAATATTCGTTGTTCTTGGGAATACTAAGGTAGGTAGGTAGGTAGCAAGTCCAGCCCACACACCCGAAGACAATGTGGAGGATCGAACTATTGTTCTATCTTTTTGGACAGTCTTGAGAACTACCTGACAGAGTTCGGAGATGATTTGGATTGGAAGGGATGGAGTCGGTGACAGTGCATGATAAATGATTATATGTCTTTGTTTGATGTTGTATTGTCTGAATTGGAGATTACTGTTATAGTTGATGATTTGGATCCCAAATTAACCGGGGGGATTTATATATCGGTACTCCAGACTCTGTTACTGTTATATCATGCCGCTGATGCCCTCCTGTCATTATTAGCGTTGAGTTCTAACAGTGCCTATTCATCGGCCGACTAGGGCAGACAGAAGTTGTTATACACCCCTTCCAGATTGTCAGACTCAATCTGAAGCTCATCAGAGAATAACCCTAAGCCCACTCCTTTCTTGATTATGTCAACCACTCAGGGTTGTCCGCTGGTGTATGACTCTGCGGATCATCATCACAATATACAACGCGGTATGGCATTCTCGACAGCCAAGGCCACCGGCAGGTCAAGGCCCCGACATCCTCGCCAATCTTTCATGGAAGCTCCGCTGCGAAACTGCTGTGCAATATGGTCATTTCGATCCAACCACACTGTAAATCTCTCATCACAGAAACCACCCCGCGAAGTAATCTGCATCACCTCGGATTTCCACGTGTTCATACTTGGTATCATACTACTGACTCTACGAACAACACGCAAATGCTGAACGAGGTGGTCCTTGCGATAGAATATTCGAAATCCCAGTGATTTCCCTGACATGTATTAAAACGGCGGGTCTCAACACGAGTCTCGATGAAAGGGGTTGGTCGCAAAAGACACAACAGCCCGTTCCATTTATTGGATCGCTGTAGAGCGAGCCATGGGGAGCACAGGTGAACTGCTCCAGGAATAGGTGCAATGATCTCTCATGTCGAGTCCGGTCATGTTTATGCGGAATATATCCATGCAGAATGTGCATTGAAACGGTCTTTTATTGCTACAGCCATCTTCAAGGTTCTTGGTCAATGGCGACGCCGGCATCGTGGAGGTTCATTTAGGTAAAAGCGACTGAAAGGCTATATTGAGATGCATTCGATGACACGACCGATTGGGCATCATCGCCGGCCGACGATGGATTTTTCCGTCTCTCACTGGGCTCCAGACCTCCCTCGGACAGATCACCATTTTCACTAGATGCCACCGCATCCATGATGTCCTCCAAGAAGGGGGTTCTGTTTGAGTAGGAGAGTCCTCCCAGCGGTCAAGTGGATTCAAGCATGACCATTGTTCGTGTGCTGGTTCATTCTCGCGGAAAGAATCAACGGATCTGCGCATCGGCATGTTGCTGGACGAGCTGCCAGATTTCCTGCGTCTCCGCGAATTTGCAAACCAGGTCGACACCTGTGTGGCTGTGAGTCCGGTCTCTTGGGCCAAGGAGGCCTTTTCCTGTTGGGTAGGATAGGGAACGACGGTTCAGCCATGTTTTTAGCACGTCGACGGCATCAGACCGGCGTCATGACCTTTGCGCGACGTGGAGCTATGAGACCATTTCGATGCTGGTGGAGGTTAGAATTGGTCTACCTGGAGCGAAGGCACATCTGCATATAGATCCGGCATCAATGCTGACGAAGGAAACAATGGGTCAAGGTCAAAGGAACTTGAAGGAAAGGCTACCGCGCTTGGGAGTTCACTCGAGCCCATAGTATGAAGGAAGTCATCATCCCCCCTAGCTCCGTGCTACCCTGGTTGCACAGTGGACATGGTGAGTGCATCGGAGAGAAGGCAGCCATCGAGATCGGCGGAGATGGACCCGAGGCTCGTCTTGTCGTGCGCCCTTGCCATTGCTGTTTTGGGTTGAGTGTCTCTCGCAGCCTTGTCCCCGGATTTCGGGGGAGGAGGTGAATAACTGTATCTTCCTTGATCCAACTCTACACATCCAAACCATGCTACGTGGCACATTCAATATTGACAACGATGTTTGATTGTTTCTATCCCCCCATTTGGGTGACAGCCAAGGAACACCAGTGGCAAAAACCTTGACCAGGACGTACAGAACTGCCGAAACATGACAAAGGAAAGGTGATACGACAGTGAAAGTAGATACATGACCGACCCCCAAGCCCCCTACCAAGATGTGTCTAATAACCTGGTCAGTACTCGGCACCATCAGTAAAAGGCCAACTTACATTTTCCTTATTCAATTCTTGCTTCGCCGCATTGGGTATTTTTAGCCAGCCTGCGGAACCATTAGCGTTGCCGTTTGAGGAATATGGCTACTTACAAACTCGATCGCTTACTGGGCCTGCCACATAGCGGCTACTGGATATTCCCCCGTTCGGTATAACGTTGCTATGTGATCGAATCGACGTTGGTGGTAGATCGGACGGTGAGCTGTTGAAACAATCAGTTGATGTCCTATATGACAGAGAAGTACCTACATGAGTGTCTATACGATATAGCCTAGCGTGCAGTGCGGACGATTGTTTTTAGCCAGCCTGTAAACCGTCAGTACTGAACGCCATCCGTGGACAGGCATGCATACAAGCTCTGTCACTCACTGGACCTGCCCGCGGTTCCAGGCATCAAGAGGACGACGAAGGAGTAGTGGTTGATGGTGTGGAGTAGGGAGGGGCATGAGTATGAGTGGAAAAGCACTGTTTTGATGTCAGAAAGGTTCATATGGGCACAAAGTGACTTACCAGAGCATTTCCCTTGTGGGAGCTGACCGGCGTGTGGACTGTTGTGTTTAGCCAGCCTACCATTGTCAGTATCCCGAAGCAGCACGTCCAGTAGTCGATACTCACAAGCTCTGTCACTTACTGGGCCTGTCCACGGTGCGGGTTGATGCTCAGAAAGGAGGTGATATGCACATCCCTGTGTGTGGTTAGTAGCCCACAACCCTGCCTTGACACAAGAGCCAACAGAGAAGCTCTTCGTGTCCACCAGCAAGCCTAGACGGCAGTTAGCAAAGCTAGACGAGAGCGAAGACTCACCTAGATCAGTGTGTTGAGAGACCAGTGTGAAGCAGAGGCAGTAAAAGGAACGATGATAGAAAGGTGCGATGTGCCCTGTGAAGGGAAGACAAAGAGCAGATTAGCAGGGGAGGAGGGGAAAGGAAGAAGGGATGAAAGAAGGGGGAGGGGCAGGGCCTTTTCTACTAGTCCGAGGGACGAGAGCCTTCCAGGCACCGGCAGGGAAGGAGCCAGACTACGACTTCCTCTTCGGGAAGGCACGGCCTGCATCGTGACGAGAGGAGAGCGTAACAGTATCCAGTGACGCAGATGGGTCATCAGGGCGGTCTCCATCAAGGCTCGACCTTCATGGCGTCGGCTTGTCGAAACAAATTGTCGCCCGGTTCAATCAATCCATGGGGAAAGCGTAGCTGGGTGAAAAGGGAAGAGCACGACAGTCGGGGAGCATCGGGCATCGCAAGCCATGGCGATAGTACGGTCACGGGCACACCGGCAGTCGACCTTTCCTAGCGAACGTAATATCAAAATCTCCGGTTCGTGGCCGAGTTGCTGCTTCAAGTGGTGGATCCGGGGCGACGGCGTTAGTAGGAAAAGCAGGCAGAAAAGAGACATTGCAATGCTGCAAGCCGGGGAAGAACATCAGGACGGGGCCGAGCATCTTATATTCAGGCTATCTCTATGTACAGGAACGACGATCCATTCTCGTCTGAGAAACTTAAACTTGCTGCAGGCATGCGGATTAGGCCGCAGCCAACAAACCCTACTCCAAACCGCCGATCCGATTCGATTATCGAGGGCTCCCGTGATGAGGTGGAAGCTTCACATACCAAACAACAGAGGGTATCACGGAAATACGAACAACAAAGTGCCTCACGGTAGCACCACCTCCCCGTCGGGGGCACCCGATTGCCCCAGACGATGGAACTCCCAAGGGACAGAATCCGGGCTGCGGTGTGCGGCCGACAGCTGTCGGCTGGGCGCCATCTCAGCCACGTGGCACATGACCAGGTTAGCGGCGCTACTGGGCGACAAGAAAACGTGAAAGTCGGAGGGCGACGACGAAATGCAGCTTTTATTAGAATTGACGTGGTCGGCGCTCGTCCTCAGCGGAGATGAAACCTTGCCTCCCCTTGCGCCTACGTGATACACCGCTGTCGCCAGGGGGCGGCGTCCGGCACACACATTGGGCAATCCGATGCAAGCTGGTCATACTCTGAAACAGGACTGTGACAGAGCCTTGGAATCTCCACCATAAAAAGGTCGGTAATACCTGAAACAGCCGACCGCACAAATGATGTGAGGCTGACGTTGGGTCTCACAATCAAGCGACCTTACGGCCGACATTGCCAATGCCCCGTCCTACCACACTGATGATCACGTCCCCATTCTCATTCTCCCCACTCGCGTCTCTCAGACCCCATCCCGGAGCGCCGAACTTGGTCAGGTCCCTGGCCAGTTGGATGGTGCTTTCATCGGCGATCACATCGCGACCGACTTGGATTCGTCCAACATCCTCGGAGCCCATCGTCATCAGGCCCAGCATGGTCGGAACGGCCGCAGGGGCAACGCAGCCTCCTTTCGAGATGGCCTCCAGCAGCTGGTAGGCACATTGCTTCCCAATATCCTCAGGCGCTTCGCCGCCTGCGGGAGGAGACGCCACATCGGCAGAGAACAGGCAGCCCGTAGACGACTCGGCCACCAATGACAGGCCGAATCCAAGGCCGATTTTCTTCTTTCCGGAGGGGTTGCTCTTCTCAGGGGCAGGCACGAGCGGGGCAGACGACACATCAGAGAAGACATAGGTGTCGGGAACGAGTGGATTCAGGATTCCACGGGCGGTTTCGATCATTCTCGCGTTATTAGATGCAGACACACCGACGGCATAGGCCACACCGCGGACCTTCTTGATCCTACCCGCGTTCATCAGGTGAAGCGTCTTTGGTAGCCGGAGCTGGTGGCCGAATACTAGCTGAACCTCTCCACCACCTCCTCTACCATTCGGTCCAGGATTCGATCGTCGCAGGATGCGCAGCTCGATGTTGTTGAAAATTCCAAATTGGTTGTAAAGAGGCAGAATGGCCGTGCGCACACTGTCAACGGACATGTCACCCGTCGGGGTGGACGAGGTAATTACACCTGGACCAGTGAAGAGGACCTTGATCGGAGCCTTGGAGAAGGGCGCCAAGAGGCAGAGAGGTAGCAGATAATAGCTCACGCCACGATTGCACCCTGCCGGGAGCTCGTGTCGAACCACACCACCAGTACTGGCCGCCGTGCCTGCAGCACTACCCGTGATGAGGCCGGGCTTGTAGACAAGAATGGTACCGGTGTAGGAGATCTCCATTTGGGAGCCATTGGTGATGGACTCCAGGAGACGAAGGAACGAGATTTCATGCGGAGCTAGACCGGGATTCGTAGGCGACGAAGGACGGATCTGGGAAATCTGAATCGTACGGCCGGTCAACGTAGCGAAGACGAGACGGTAGACAAAGTTTTTGTGGGAGGTAAACCGAAGGGGGGGCTGAGATGTCGACGCCATGATCGCGAAACGGGAGATTCTGCAAGATCTCCGTGGTGTATCAACAACCTAAAGCTCGAAAATTATCGTCGGCGCAGCATTCTGGCCTGGCCGAAAAAGCGAATCGAGAAAATCTGCCGGGGCGGAGTTGTTCCGTTCCGCGGGTCGGCGTTAGCCCGCGGTTATCTCCGGACGGATAGACCCTCACCGGAGAAGCGAGCATCAGTCGATCATCATTTCTAATCCATTTCTAATCATCTCTGATATATCCTCAGTGTTTCACAAGGTCCTCAGATACATGCGCATCTAGCACAGATACCATACCACCATGCTTCCACCCGCTCTCAACATCCCGAAATGGTACGGCACCTTGCCACTACTTACTACATCCTACCCCTCCCCCGCATTACTGCCATGACACTAACACGCGACCACAGGCTCGAAGCCAACTCCCATCTCCTCCAACCCCCAGTCAACAATTACTGCGTATACCATCCATCCTCGCCCGCAACATCGGGCTACACGGTAATGATAGTGGGGGGACCCAACGCCCGAACTGACTACCATATCAACCCAACTCCCGAGTTCTTCTACCAATATCGCGGCTCCATGCTCCTCCGAACCGTGGACACATCAGTCACGCCGCCCGTCTTCCAGGATATTCCGATCCACGAGGGCTCGCTGTTCCTTCTCCCCGGCAATACGCCCCATTGTCCTGTGCGGTTCAAGGATACTGTCGGGGTAGTGATGGAGCAGCCGCGGCCGCAGGATGCGGTTGATGCGATGCGGTGGTATTGTAAGAGCTGCGGGGAGATTGTGTGGGAGAAGCGGTTTGTGTGTACGGACTTGGGGACGCAGGTGAAGGAAGTGGTTGAGGAGTTTGGGGCTGACGAGGAGAAACGGACTTGTAAGGCGTGCGGGACTGTGGCGCAGAGCAAGTATGCGGAGGGGGAGCTGGTGCAGCCGCCGAGAGTTCCGGAATGATGTGCTTTGTTGGAAAGATTGAAATTGAAAGATACCCCGGGTGAGGATGGCTAAGTTGTATCAGTAGCTGTGATCTTTTTATATTTCCGAAGCTGTCAAAAGTGAAGCACTGTTTCCTATATCTGGAGAGGGTAGTCTGTCAACCCAATAAGCAGTGTAGGGTAACAAGTGGATTAGATAATGGGCTGAGGATAGGATTAATAAGTGTATGCATGGCCATGTAATGTAGTTCTGGGTCGGGGGAATATGAAGATAGATAACATGCCACGATAGCCAACCGGCCGCAGCGACCAAAATAGGAAAGTAAAACAATCTAAAGAATGTGACCAGGATCAACCAAGGCTAATAATAACACAGGTTGAATAGTACAGCCGCCTTGAACAACGGGCAACCCTTGCAAAGCGCGCTATGTGATTCGTACAGCCAAAAAGGAAAGAAAGACCAGAAATGCCGCCAAAACATATGCCATCAAGGGAACGGAAAGGAGAAGGATATCCTTGAAATGAGGCCCAGGTATACTGCGCGTTGGACGCCGGGCATTGCATATATCACGGCTCAAAAGGATCCCAGAAATAAAAAGTCCACTTAACCAACTTTCGGACAGACATCTCACTCATCGGTGCAGCACCATGACCATCCGTCAGGACAAACCTGGTCATAGCCTGCCATGTTTCATGCATCCACATCGGTCTTCAATCAATCATCAAACGGACAGTCTATACTATCGTGGCCATCTCTTTCGCAAAGAGCACACCACTTTGACTCGTCCACCACTCCGCTTTCCTTTCCAGCAACAGAGCCCATCGAAGGTGGCACACTGTGTCCTTTCAGCCCTTCAAGAACGGCGTCATGGCCGGTCTTCCGAAGAGGGGTGTTCTCGTCAAGATGTGAGGAGGTGGAGGGCTCATCGGTGGAAGCCTCGGGAGTCTGTTTCTCATCGATTGAGCTGTCATCGTGGGCTGGCTCCACATCATCCGAGGCCTTGTTCTTGCTCTCTGCGCCAAACATGTTTGTGCAGGTCAAAATATCGTGCCCTCCAGTTTCACAGATCTCACACCACAGCGAGCCACCATCCTCCGAGCGGCCGTCTGATTCGTGCATTGTCTCCAGGCGATGGTGAGAGGCGTCCGAAACACCACGGTGGCGGGTAGAGTAGGCCTGGTATTGGCCGTCATGCGGAGGCGAATCTTGCCAGTCGCTCGGAACGACAGTACGATCTGACAGCCGATGCGCATGGCCAATTCCACCACCGTTTGTAAGCTTCCCATTGGAACTAGGTGCTTTATGGCTGTTTGGCGAGGGAGTGATCCTGGAGGAGGTATGGGTGTGAGTGTCGCCATTCAGCTGCAACTGTTGGAGCTCGCGTTCAAGTTCTTCGATGCGGTATGCCTTTCGTTCGGTGAGGCGCTCATATTCCTCTACACGCTGTTCCAGATGGGCGATATGCTCCGGATCATGATCCGGTGCGGTCGTTGCAAATCCACCCTGCTGCAACGCATGCAAGTCCGGGTCACCCCGGCTCAAGGAGTGGATGATGGCTTTCAGACCGCGAATTTCGTCGTCCTTCTGTTCGAGTTCTTTGGAGTGGTACGGTGCATCGCCAGTTGTATGGATGTCCTTGGTATCCCGCTCTTTCTGGAGCTCGAGTTTTGTCCGCTCGACTTCCCCGCGCAAGAATTCCACTTCGGCCCTGGCTTCGGCTTCCCCGCGCCGTGCGTCCTCCAGGCCCTCCTCCAGCTCGGAGACCAATTCCTCCAACTGCTTGAGCTGTCGCGCAACAGCCTCGACATCCTCTCCGCGGTCCTGAAGTTCCTTGTTCTGTTGCATCAACTCATCCAGTCGCTGTTCGTAGACCCGCTCTGTCTCCGATGCGGCCACCTCTAACGTGTCTAAGGTGCTTCTGAAGTCCGCCCGGTGCAAGTCAAACTCAGCTGTGAGTTGGGCAATTCTTTCATTTCTTTCACGCAATTGGGCCCGAATGGACAGGGAATCCGACCCTTCCAGTTCCTCCAGGGTTCTCTGGAAATCCGAGAGGGTAGCGGCTTGTTCGTCCAACTGTCTATCACGGTCCAGTAGCTGTGTTTCCAAGCTCTTGATGTGGTCCTTCAGGTCCTGCACCTCTCCTTCCATCGATGATCGGCGGACTTCAGAAGTCCTTGTAGATGGAATATCATCCTCTGTGCTCACTCGACTCACACGGGATGGGGGACGATCCGAGGCGCGTGACGGGGCCTTGATTGGACTGCGTGGGTAGCTGCTGGAGGGGGCTGCACGAGAGGCAGCAGCAGAAGGGGTTCGCAGTCCGGTCAGGGTCATCTTGGACGGCGGTGGTCCCCTAGGGGACTCGGGGCGTGGAAGAGAAGGGCGCCTCACGCGCGGTGGGCGCATCGCGGGACCAGGACCGACGGACTTGCTGAAATTGATGGGCCGGGAGGGGGTGGGAGGGCCGCCGCTCCCCATCGAACTTGGACCTGACATGCGCTTCGTGACATATTTGTTATTGTTCATGGGCACAAAGATGCCCGAGCCGGGAACGGAGGTGGAAAAGTACTTTCTGCCCTCGACGTCGCCGTTGTTTTTCCCTCGCCGGGCATGCTCCGACGCCAGCTCGATGCCGGCAAACTTTCCAGGCTTTCCCGCCACGCCTCCGAGGTATTTGACCGTCCCGTACATGCCCCCGGGGACATTGACCAGGTCGCCCACCTGGACGTCGTCGAGGGGCGCCATGGCAAAGAAGATGAGGGGTGGTGTTGCGCGAACCGAAGGGAGGGATTGAGGATCGAAATAGCGTAGCAGAGGGAGGAGGATGAGTATGAGCAGCGGATTTAAGGAATGCGTTCAGAAAGGGGTGGTGACAAAAGTGGTGGGGGGTTGGTTGGAGAGAAGACTGTTCATAGGCCAGTGGTCATGATGTTTGCTAGTGAAGTCAAGTACTGATTGCTGCAGCGAGGGCGAGAGGGTCGGAGGGTTTTTCCCTGCGCCGTCCAGCTTTTGCCTCTGTTGGGCAGCGAAGACGGAAAAGAGAAAGAGCCAATGCGTCAATGCAATAGAATTAAAGACGGCGAAGTCAACAGACGGAATTCTGAATGAATGGGGGGTCGCAGGGTCGGTCCAGTGTCGTCATGCCAGCACGGACAGGGGCACACAGTCCTTTAGTGAGGACTAAGGACTCCGTAGTGGCCATGAAGACCAATTATTCTGCCATCCCAGCCTCGACTCGCTCCGTCACAATAAACACACGAACCATGGCTTGTTGCCTTAGCCCACCGCGGGCCCCACCCCCGAGTCCCGTCACGTCTGTTACACCCGGCCGGTCGTACCATACCGTACACGTGCTGGAGGAGGCCCTGTATGTATGGTACAGGTACCGCAATATTTCCATACTTCCATAACTTACTGACCAACGGCCTAGCTCGGTAACAGCCAATGTTACCAACAGCTGAACAGCTGAACAGCTGCCTTGGCTGCCTGTTTGCTGCCTCAGGACAGAACACCACCTCACCCCATCATCGACTCCGAAGCCAGCGATCAGTCCACGGAGAACTACTCCGTCCGGCCTGGCCTCTCCGCGACAGCACATCGCTTCTCCCTCCCGATTCACCCTCTTTCTCTCCGTTGCCGTCCTTACCTTCCACCCACTCCAGGGCGCAGGAATCAATACTTACTGCGCACCTTCTCCCTTGCCTCGCCGGCTTCGTCCCGCCTGTGCGCCATCGCCGTGGTGGAGCCAGCCCGTCAGAACGATAGTGCCGCGTAGTCACCTCCTAGTCGCCACGGGGACCCCGTCCGTCCAGCTACTATCGCGGCTCAATCAGCTTCCTGGGAGCTGCCTTCGACCAGCCTCTCCCCAACCCAGCGCCGGACATTCCACCATGGCGCAATATTTCTTCGACTTGCTCTACAACTTTACCGACTGCATGTGCTGTTTCCCGAGCACGCCGCAGTTGAAGATCAACAATCGCAGTTTCAAATTGCTCCGACTTCTCGGTGAAGTATGACCGCTTCTGGCTTTGGCTTGTGGCTCAATGCACCCCGAGACGCGCGACGCTGACGATCATCGCATGATGCTAGGGCGGCTTTTCTTACGTTTACCTCGTTCAAGACAAATCGACGTCGGAGCTGTTTGCGCTCAAGAAGATCCGATGTCCATTCGGCCAGGAGTCGGTCTCCCAGGCCCTGAAGGAAGTGGAAGCCTATAATCTGTTCACTTCTCAGAGCAACATCATCCACTCCATTGACCACTGTGTTTCCACCGAATCGGGCTCGAAATTCCGCGCCGATGGCGGTGATGCCGGATCGAAGACGGTCTACATTCTACTGCCCTACTACCAACGGGGCAACCTTCAGGATGCCATCAATGCGAACCTAGTCAACCATGCTCGGTTCCCGGAGAAGCGTCTGATGGTGCTGATGCTGGGGGTAGCCAATGCACTCCGAGCGATGCACCTGTACCGTGTGAGGAGCGGCACCGGCCCTACGCGCAAGGCTAAAGCTATCAGGAGGGAGGGCGCCGAGGCTGACGCGGAGGTTGCCATGCGGATGGGGAAACCCAAGCGACACGGAGGTCAAGATATGGACGAAGAAGAGGAGAATGAACCATTGATGGATGATGAGGTCACGATAAGCCAGGAAGGCATCCAAGATGGCGACCTTCGCCCATATGCCCACCGAGACATTAAGCCTGGTACAGCAACTGCCGCCTGCCTAGGGACTATCCGCTGACGCTTGCAGGAAACATTATGATCGCCGACGATGGTCGAACACCTATCCTGATGGATCTCGGATCGCTCGCGCCCAGTCCAATTGCCATTACATCCCGGTCTCTTGCCTTGGCCGTTCAAGACACGGCTGCCGAACACAGCACGATGCCATACCGGGCGCCCGAGCTTTTTGACGTCAAGACGGGGTCTATCATCGACACCAAGGTGGACATCTGGTCCTTGGGATGTACGCTCTACGCCTGCCTGGTGGGCAAGAGCCCTTTTGAAGCCCGCAGCGAGGAGACTGGTGGCAGCTTGAGCATGTGTGTCCTCGGTGGAGATTGGCGATTCCCGGATGAGAAGTCGAGTGGTACGAAGGGCAAGGGCAAGGCGAGCGACGACAACCGCAAGGACAATACGATGCAGATCAGTGCGCCCGTGAAGGAGGTGGTACGCCGGTGCCTGCAGGTGGAACCGGCCGATCGCCCGGACATTGATGAGCTGATTCAGATCCTGAAGGACGTGATCAAAGATCTGCCGGAGGAGGACGAGATTGCCAGTGGATCGAGCTGAGCTCGACCTGCAGCAATCATGCCTTGACCATACTTGATTTCACTGGTTGAATCCCCCGTTATGACGTTCCTGTGGGTTGTCTGGTTGTGGCCAGATTGTATTATACGAGCCAAATGCTGAACATATTTCTGTGCTTGTGGTTGTCATCTGCGGGGGGTTCTACTGTTATGTCCATGTTACTGAGCTTGATACCAGAATAATATTGGCTGCAGGCGGCAGATTGAGAGTCTCGGGCCATTCCTGCGTAGTGAGGTCCACTGTAGAGATGCATCAGGGCGATTCCATGGGTCTGACTCTGGCTTCCGTGGTAACTCTTCATCCAACCCGATAAGATAGAAGCATCGCATCCGACGGAGCTTTGACAGCCGACCGAAGAGGGGTTCTAGTCAGCGCTAGTTCCTCTGCTATCTATCGACTCATTTCCATGTCGTGCCTTGCTTCGCTTGCCGACAGCAACCCCGCCTTGATTGGGCAAGTGCACGCGGTAGCGATGGCTGGTTCGAATTAAGACCGCGCGGGGAAGACGCCAGGCGGGTTATCAACGATATCAACGATATCAACTATCTTTATCAGTCGAGAGAGCTGCATCCGGAGCCTACCATTATCTATCTAGTGCTCCCCGACTCCCAATGCAACGGAATCGCTTATCTGCGATGATAACAGGATCCAGCTGTGGCGGGGAAAGAGATACTCCTGATTTGATGGCCGTCGGGGAATTTCTGATAAACTGCCTTGGACCACGCCGACTCCCGCCCTCTCTTCATCCGTCCTCTTCTCCTCTCTTCTCCATCGGTCGACATCATGACTCCCAGTCTGAATACAACCGCCATCCCGGGCACTGTCACCCTGGTGGATTTGGAGCATGTCGTGGCCACCCGTCATGCTCGAGGCGACAGCGACATCGTTCTGATTCCCGAACCCTCCAATGACCCTGATGATCCCTTGAATTGGGCGCCATGGCGAAAGACACTATCGACCGTCTGCGTCAGCGTGTATGTCTCCTGATGCAATGTCTGGTCTCAGGACTAATGGCTCGATGTACCAGATACACGCTGTTTGCCGGCATTGCATGCTCGGTCGTTTACTCGGTTCTCACGCAAATTGCCGATGAAACAGGCATCTCCGTCGATACTCTGAACCAGGGAACGGGCTATATGTTTCTGTTCGCGGGATGGGGTCTTTTGTTCTGGCAGCCTTTGGCGCTACAGTATGGCAAGAGATTGACTCTGATTCTTTCCTTGATTGGCATGCTGGTAAGATCACCTGGCGCATTCTCGAGACACCACTAACTTATTCTATAGGGCACTACGGTGTGGGGGTAAGTCGTCGAGGTTAGCGCATGTTTCGTGTATTGACAATTTTTCGGGCAGTCCCTACATCCACACCAACGGCCAGTGGATTGCGCGCAGTATTCTCTCAGGGTTCTTCCTGGCTCCCATTGAAGCCCTCCCCGAAGTGATGGTGACGGATGTGGTAAGTCAGCCCGATCGGTAGCACAGGCCAAGCTAATGGCATAGTACTTCACCCATGAGCGTGGTACCTACATGGCCCTGTATGCCTTCTTCCTCGCAGGAAGCAACTACTTCGCCCCGGTGATCTGCGGTTTCATTGCCCAGTACCAAGGCTGGCAGTGGGTGTTTTACTGGCCCAGCATCTTCTGCGCCATCGGCATCGTGTTTCTGTTCTTCTTCTTGGAGGAGACGAACTACGTGCGCGAAAAGTCAGGAGCTGCACCCATGACCCCAATGGACTCTTCACGGACGTCAGAGCAGGGTGAGAAAGAGAAACACCCGTCTGCTGATGTGACGCCGGGCGATGCCGAGTGCGGAGTAATGTACAAGAAGAAGACGTATCTCCAGAAGCTGTCGCTCATCGGGCCCAGTCTGCCGAGGAACAATATGTTCCGGCGACTCTACCAGACTCTGTACTATCTGAGCTGGCCAGTGGTATTCTACGCAGGGTAAGCAACCTGTGATGTGCGGTGGACTTGGCTGACCATGTAGATTCTCGTATGGCTCATACCTCATCTGGTTCAATGTGTTGAATGGAACGGCATCCGTCATTCTGGGTGGTGCGCCTTATAACTTCAGGTTAGTCGAGTTCTCTCAGCTTTACATGATACTAATCCATCTAGTTCCGCCATGGTCGGTCTCAGCTACGTATCCTGCATTGTCGGGGTTGTTCTCGCGTAAGTCAATCCCTCAGAAGTGAGCCCCGAACTAACAGCCGCAGTTTCCTCTTCACCGGACGATTCAGCGACTGGCTCACAATCCGCCTCGCGCGCCGCAACAACGGTGTCATGGAAGCGGAGCAGCGTCTGTGGCCATTTGCAGTTTGCCTATTCATTGTGCCAGCGTCCCTACTGCTATGGGGCGTGGGTGCCGCGCACCAAGTGCACTGGTTTGGATTGATTGTAGCGATGTGTTTTCTGGCTCTGGCGAACACATGCGGCATCACCCTGAGCGTCAACTATCTGGTAGACAGTTACCGGGAATTGAGCGGAGATGCAATGGCGAGTGTGATTCTCGTCCGAAACACCATGTCATTTGCCATGGGCTACGGGTATCTCCCCTTCTTCCCCTTGCTTGAATGAACACCATCTAATGAATGTATCCAGAATCACCCCCTGGGTCAACCACCTCGGGTACCAAAACTGCTTCATCTCGGCCGCTTTCGTGGGGATGGCTTGTGCCGCGGTGTTTCTGGTGATGATCAAATGGGGGAAGACGTTCCGCATACACAGCCGCGAGAAATACTGGCGGATTGTGGAGGAGAATTGGGAACGAGGGATGGGCCATTAGATGGTTTCTCTGATATTTATGACTCATGATGCATTGATATAATATAGTGAATACTTCAGCAGCATACACAGTCTCCCCCAAGCCATAGAATATTATTAAAAGTAAGCTTAGATATGTACTAATAGAAGGAACAATTCAGACACTCGATATAGTGAACCACCATCTTTATTCATAGTAGGTAGTAAGCAGTAGATAGTCGCCAGTTAGGGTATGGTATACCAACGACTTCACTGCATGTAATCAACCCAAACAAGGCAATTTTCATTTCCTCTTCTTCTTCTTCTTCTCTCTCTCAAGCCCTAACTCCCAACCACAGAGCATAGATATATCCCCATTAATCCACCCGAAGTTTTCACCAAATAAACAAATATAATACCCCAAACACATACCCCATTTAAACCAACCTCCAGAGGAAAAAAAAGGGGATGGATCATCCCCTCCCCGTCTTCCACCTCATCGCCACATCCCCCTCATACCTCGCCCTCAACAACCCCATCGTCCACTCCCTTTCCATCCTCTCCATCATCCCCTCGGGCGATTCCTCCCCAGGAACCTCCTTCCAATCCCCCTCATCCCACCTTATTTCATCTCCCTCTCCCCACCTCATCTCATCATCATCCCCATAGATATAATCACCCCCCACATCCCCAAACCTCCTAATCCCCAACCCCTCCCCAACCCTATCCTTAGTCGGCGACTCACACCCACTCAACCCAATAAACCGACCAAACCGCCTCCGCTTCGTCTCCAAATCCACATTCCCTTGATCGGCTGTGCCCAGCCAGGGGGGGATGGTAATCGGGTACCAGAATGTAGGACGCACGGGGGGGTAGAATTGGTGGAAGTGCCGGGCGAGATTGTCGAGTTGGGTGGAGGTTAGGAGATGGTAAGTTAATAGGCTGGAGGGGAAGTCCGGGTGGGTGAGGCCGGTGGTGCTGGAGATTAGGGGGTGGAGGGGGGTGCGCAGATGGGTGAGGATTTTGGGGAGGGATTTTGGGGGTTTGTGGGTGGGTTTAGATTTTTGGGGGTGTGGGGATAGGCTTGAGGATGAAGATAGGGTTGAGGAGGAGGTTGTGGATGAGGGTATGGATGCGTAGGAGAAGGAGGAGAAGGAGGATGGAGTTGATGGAGTAGATGGGTATGAGAATGGCTCAGACAAAGACAGAGACGGAGACAGAGACAGAGTATGAGCTGATGACGGAGGAGTTGGATAAGTAAATGGGCTGTAGGAGGTATAGTATGGTGGTGGTGTTTGAGGAGACAGGGCCGCAGATGGAGAGTATCGTGGAATAGACCCTGGAGTGGCTGAGGATAAAGGGCTCTCTGTCGTTCGACGGGAGGATGTTGTGATAGAGGGAAGTGAAGGAGGGGATCGACGTTTCATCATTCTAGGTCGTTTCACGGAGGGTCCAGCAGGTAAGGGTGATGTGAGTGGAGAGGGTGATGTTGTCGAGGAAGTAGGGCTTTCGGAAATATACCGACGCTTCATATTTCTGAGCCTGGTTGGTCCCATCTTGTCTCGTCTCGGGTGGTGGTACTATATATACTATAGAGTATATATATAGTAGGTATACAGTGGCAGTTCTTTGTCTGAGGATGGAGAGCTGATCGCTATGGCAGTTGATATGTACGGAATCCAGTCTGTATATAACTCTTCGGCTCTTTGTCGAGCTACTCATATAATGGAGGCCTCCGCTTTGGCTGCACTGCTATAAAAACTCGAAATGCCATTCTCCGACAAGCTTGTTGGTCAGAGCCCTTTATTGTCGTCATTGTTCGTTCCAACACGGGGCAATTCCTCAAAGAATCAAGCTTAGTGTTTTGGCTTTCTTTCACGGCAGTCTACGATCCCATTATCAGGCATGGTCATTCGAGCAACTACAAAAGGACGGAAAAAGACGTGACAACCAAAGCTTCTCGCGTTGTCCCTCCCACAAAGAATTCAGACTAGGGACAATGCGCACATAACACGGCCCGTATCATCTGATAGTCACTATCTAAGCATCCAACGCAACATGCTGCAGTCGTCGCTCCATCGACGGTTGCTTGGTCGCGCTGAACTCGGCAAATTCCTTGGATGCCGGGGGCAGTCCCACATACTTGTTGATCCAGTTGAGCACCGTGTGGTGCCACATGAGCGAGTTCTCCGGGTTCAGCACCCAGTGATTCTCATCCGGGAAAGTTAAAAAGGCGCTCTCGACCCCGCGCATCTGCAACACGTTGAATGCGGCAAGTCCCTCGGCGATGGGCAGTCGGTAGTCCAGCTCATTGTGGATCACCAGGTGCGGCGTTTGCCAGTTTGCCGTGTGTCGCGATGGGTCCCAGCGCGCCCAATTCTCCGGCACCTTCCACAGCGGACCCTGAAGATCCCGCACCGGGAAGTAGAGCTCTTCGGTGGACAGCATCGACGTCATGCTGAAAATCCCATCATGCGTCACCAGGGCTTTGAATCGCCGGCCAAGTGGGTGTCCTTGGATCCAGTTGACCATGTAGCCGCCATACGAGGCACCGAGCGCCACCGCGCGGGATGTGTCGACGTACTCCAGGTTGTTCTCGATGTAATCGAATCCCTTCTCAAGGTCAATGTAGGGCAGTCCGCCGTAACAGCCCCGAATTTCGTCGGTGAATTTCTGTCCGTAACTCGTGCTGCCTCGGGGGTTGGGCGTAATGACAACGTAGCCCTGCTCGGCGAACACGGCTGGATTCCACCGCGTACTCCATTGATCACACCATGCACCTTGGGGTCCGCCATGGATCAGGTAGGCCAACGGATATTTCTCGCCCGGCTTAAAGTTGGATGGCTTCACAACCCAGGCGTGAACCGGGGTGTCGTTCGCTCCCCGGTACCATATCTCATCCACCTGCGTGGGAGAGAGCCCAAAGGAAGCACCGTTGCGACCGACTGAGGATATGACGCGCACATCAGATGGGGACTCGGGATCAATAATTGACCAAACGCTGTTGTCCACCAAGCTCGTGCTGGAGATAAGCAACTTAGACGATGTGGAGGAGGCGGGAAAGACATCAGAGACGAAGCCTGAATGGGTGATTTTCTTCAATTTGTCAGGGGTTGCATGGCGGATGTCGGCGACAGGTAGCTGATACAACACCCCACGCCCGTTCTCTTCGACTTGAATGAACAAAGAGTGGTCATCATTTGAAAATACCAGTCCAGAAGGACTCAGATTCCATAAGCCTTCTCCATCAGGAGAGGCAAAAACCTCAATCATCTCGCCACTCCAAGGGTTCGGCACGTATAGGATACATCTCTTGTCGGACTCGTAGCCGTCTTCGCGCATGGCGAGGAGAGCAATTGAGCTACCGTCTGATGTCAGGATCGGGGAAGACATGGCCCCTTCAAGGCCCTTCACAGCGCAGACTTTGGCCTCCAACGCAGTCACGCCGGTCCAGGAAAACATTGGACAGTAGTAACACGAGCAGGAGGTGTGCGTGGCAGGATTGAGATCCGGATCCTTAGCCACAAACACAATCGCCGACGGGCTAATGTCAAAGTCGCCTGTCCCTCCGAATGGTGGAATAGGGGCCTCGACGCCCGTCAGGCCGCTCACCGAGATCAGGTTCGTAAGCCCCGACACGGAGTATTTCCCCGCATGTCTGGTAGCCGGAGATAGAGGGGCACGTTGAAGCAGACCATACCAGATGGCATTCTTCTGAGGCTCAATGTACGAATCCCAGTGTCTCACGTAGAGTGATGTAAACAGCCGGCCCGTGGTCACCGGCTTCTTTGCGTCATGCGGGTTGTGGAGCGTCCCGTCCGGGTTGGCCTTGCCGGTCACGGCGAAGCCGATCTTTCCCGGCTCGATGAGAGTGACCTTGAGATCCGAGACGGGTCCAGGGACGGTGCCCGCCGTGTATGTTTTATCCGCCTCGCGCGCATCGCCCACAATGAACCCGGTGTTGCCGTTGGCTTTGGCCTTCAGCCAGACCAGCTGGTCGCTATCCCCCAGCCACTGTGGAGAGCTGGAACCCGCATCGTTTGTGATCAGGGCAGATCGGCCGGTCGCGATATCCAGAACACGGATCTCATTGGTCTTGGAGTGGGACTCGAAGGAGTAGGTGGTCTGGGTGTAGACCGCGAGGGTGCCTGAGGCATTCGGAACTGGTCCAGAGCGTCTCGGAGCTCCGAGCAGAACCCTAATAAGTCAGCGTCACTCCAACAAAAAGAAATATCATAGGAAGATGGAGAATCAAATTAATGAAGGGTAGATGATGCTTACTCCGGGGTGAACTTCATGGGACGGATGGTCATGTCACCTTCACCGACAGGTCAGCAGCTGATGATCAGTGATAAGATAAGGAAGCCTACAGCTCAGGTATGACAGCAGTGGATGGGGTGCCGGGCTAGGAAAGAACAGGCAATGTTCCTCCTGGGGTTGATGAGGGTCGGAATAGAAGGAGGGGAAGAGCAGGACGGAGGGATGAGGGAGGAATGAGGAATGAGGACCGTGAGGGGAAGCGAGACATGCAGCGGCGTGGCGTGAACTTGCCTTATCGGGGGATCGCCTGATCCCCGGTCTTCCCACGGACTCCGCTGGTTTCTCAACAACCCAACAGGTGGGAGCCGACTGTCTCAGAAGTCACTTCAGGCAATGTGCTGTACATATCAATCTATTCTATTGAGATTCATTGTTGTGAAATTCACATTCACATCCAGCAATCATCAGCACCCCCCTGGCGTTGGATTGTCAAATTTCTCCAAATGCGGGGAATCGATTAGCTCCTCAACTTGTCCGGTGGGTACCTCAGCACTACTCAAAGACCCTCGGCGTGGCTGCTGCAAAGCAAAAAGAGTCAAAATAGCCATAGCGGTGTCGCACTGTCGGTCTCATGGTGATACAAGTTTTGATCAGCACTTGCAGCCGACGAAGCATCCATTTATGCATGGAACAATCCGATCGGAAGCGCCCACAATTGTATAATGCCAAGTCAATGAGCTTCTCAAATAAGCAATAGCTTCATGGTAAAATTATGGAGTATACAAGCTATGAAACAGCGGTCTTTTTAGTGACCGTACGGTGGAGACTGAAATTCATAGATGCTATTATTTGCACAACTGATCGGCTCGGCTATTGTGGGCGAAGCCGAGTGGGCAAGCCGAATACTTGCTTCAATCACTTCATAAGGAGCACCCTTCACCCGGCAGAAATGGATTGTCTTCCTCAACTTGCATCTAACTCTACGAAAACAACCCTAACTGTCAAAATGCCTTTGAAGGTTGTCGTTGTTGGTGCTGGCCTAGCGGGCCTGGGCGCCGCCATTGCCTTGAACCGAGCAGGCCATGACGTCGAGGTATTCAAACCAGAGCATTGAATTTGATATTATGATCTAACTGAGGAGTATGCTGCAGGTCCTCGAGCAATCTGGATTTCTCAACGAAGTGGGGGCTGCCATCCATGTGGCGCCTAATGCCACGCGCATTCTCAAAGAATGGGAAATCAACTTGGAGAGCCTGCAGCCCGTACACTGCGACAGACTGCAGATTTGGGATCAGCAAGGCAACCCCGTCCGAACCCCAGTCGTACGTGTCATCTTTCATCTGCACTTCGTCGCTTGCGGAGGCTAATGATTGGTGCAGGTGACAAAGGACGCTCAGGAAGCCCTGGGCATTCATGATGAATGGTTACTTACACACCGAGTGGATCTGCATAATGCTTTAAGAGACTCGGCCGCAAAGGAAGTCAACGGCAGGAAACCTACCATTCACCTATGCTCTCGTGTAGCATCTGTGGTTAGTATATACCGTTGTTTCAATACAAGGCTTTAATACTAACCAAATCTCTTACTAGGATCCCAAGGCTGGCGAGGTGACGCTTGATAATGGAACCAAATTTACCGGTGACTTGATTATAGGTGCGGATGGCATTCATGTAAGAACAATAGTGCTTTACCCTTGGGAAAGCTCGCCTGACCTATTGTAGTCTCGAAGTGTTCGCAGTGTCACTGGCGACAGTCAACAGAAAGAAAGCACTGGTCAAAACTGCTTTCGCTTCCTTATTCCTGAAGCCAAGATGAAGAGCAACCCTCTCACTGCATCTCTTCTGGACAAAATGGGGTCTGGCGGTGTGCACGTTTTCGCCTCCAAGGATCGAAGACTAGTCGTCTATCCTTGCCGTCATGGTGATCTGCTCAATGTTGCAGGTATTCATCCATCAGGCCCAGAGACTGACGCAAAAGATGCTTCTTGGCTTGACGGCGGGAATCTGAATCAGTTGCTTGAAGCATATGGAACTTTCGGTCCGGAGCTTCAAGAGATGTGCAAACTGGCGGAAGACTTGAAGCTCTGGAGCCTAGCATCTCGCTCTCCCCCGCGGACATTCGTCCGGGGCAAACTAGCACTCGTCGGAGATGCGGCGCATCCAACCCTACCTCGTAAGTACACCTGATGATATCTCTGATATTTCCATAATTCGCGACTGTATCAATGTTAACGATGGACATGTCTCAGATCAAGGCCAAGGTGGTGCGCAATCATTTGAAGACGGAGCAGCTCTCGGAGCCCTATTCCCTGCTGACACCACCGAGGAAGATATTCAGCAACGCTTGGAGCTGTACAACCAAGTCCGCTATGGACGAGCCGTTACGGTGATGATGATGTCCAAGGTCGATGATGACCGCCGGGCCCAGATGCTGGACGAATTGAGGACCTATGTGCCGAGTGCCCAGCTGCCCAAGGATATGTTTTCTTTCACCTGGACCTCATATCCTGGCCGGGATGCTCAACGGCTACTTCAGACCGTTCATTAGCAGCTGGGAGGTAGAAATAGATTAATGCAGTCCTAGAATATCCGTGCTTTTTCTTGTATATTTTCATTTACTTTAGAATGCCTAAACCCATGGCTGCTGAAGAAATGTGTAGATCAACCAACCCTTTCGGGTTTAGCGTGAATGGATGGAGCCGGCCGAATGCGGGCCTCGTTCGCTTCATCCTTCAACCACCGGTTGGAACCGGGGATCTATCAAGTTGGTCCATCTCTACAGTGGATGCTGCGGATTGATTTGGACTACTGACATGCAGTCTGTCGAGCTACGCTGCGAGGCCTGCAATGCTTCGTTTCACCGACGCGAGCATTACCAACGGCATATCCGCACCCACACCAAAGAGAAACCCTTTGCCTGTGCCGAGTGCGGCCAAACGTTTAGTCGAGTGTAACGCCTTTTAGCTCCTTTGTGTATGATATGTCTGTACTGAATTCCGACCTAGAGACTCCCTGGCCCGGCATCATGACACGTTACACGAGCATGCATATCCACATGGCACTGACCGGGAGCGACGCCGGGTAGCGCAGGCATGCAGGCGGTGCAACCTGTCCAAAGTACGCTGTGATGGGGATACTCCGTGCCACAGGTGTCGGACCCACAGCGTCGACTGTTTCTATCAGTTACCACAGAAGCGCAAGCTCGCAAATTCTGCTGCAGCAAAGCGGCCTAAAAGACACCATGGTACAGACTCAAACCAAAATTCGGAACAGTCGGTTTTATTATATCAGGATGAGGTGTCAACCGAGCTCCCAGACGGCGTTGCTCTACCACCATCGCCAGTCACCCAGACACCCGCTTCAACGCATGCATTGCCGCCAGTGGCAATGGGTAGACGGGTGGACAACGCAGATGCATGGGGATTTACCAGCCGTCTACCTCCCCCAATCGCCGCGACAGACGAAACTATCCCGAGCATGTTCCACAATGAGGCATTGGGATTTGAAAACTTACTGGGCATGGATATCGATACGAATGTGTTATCCGATATTTTTGAGCAAGGCCCTTCACTGGATGAACTTAACGATATATGGCTGGCAAGCGCAGATATGGAGTCGCAAGCCCATCTAACAATGTCAGGGATCTCCAGACCAATTACCCCTTTGACACCGACTGCAGTTGCAGAGATTTACAGTCGTAGTCACTCCCCATATTCCGACGCGGCTATGGAACCAAGACGGTATCACCCAACTGTTATCAATGTCGATGCACAGCTATCATTTCCCAATATGGAGAACGTGTCCGTCGAACAAGTGGACGAAGAGAACTTTGCCCACGTGAATGAGGTGCCTGCTACAGTGGTGGAGGAAGTACTGCACATGGCTGAAGTCATGGAGAGTACTCCCACCTTTCCGCGGTTTACTGAACTGAAGATTCCGCCGTTGCCGGTGATTAATGCCTGGGTGCAGCTCTATTTTGAGCACTTTCATCCGGTGTTCCCCGTGCTACATAAACCAACGTTTTGCACTGCGGACACTCATTGGCTTCTTGTATTTACTGTGAGTGCCATAGGAGCTCAATTTTCAGGTCTGCCGCATGCGCAAACCTGCTCGAGAGCCATGCACGAGATGGTCCGACGTCAGTCCTTATATCTAGTAAGTCGGTTCAGTCAAGCAGTGATTAGATAGTCATGATTTCCTGATACTATATAGTGTGAGAATAAGAATGGAAACGCTCGGGAGTTATGGCTTACGCTAGTCTTACTCCTCAACCAACTGGGATTAAGGTATTCTGGCGAACGAAGGGCACTGGAGATTGCTGAAGTATATCAAACGCTTCCAGTTACTGTTGGACGACGGAACCGGTTGTTCAGAAACACCGTATCTCCCCACAAGATCCTCGAGTTGGAATTTCCAATCGCCCAGAAATGGCATATCTGGACACTTGACGAGCAACGGCGACGTACAGGCTTCGCCATCTGGGTTAGTGGAATTCCTTTTCTCTGGGACGTGCTAGCTGTGGACACATCTAACCTGGGTACAGCTATCTGATATGGCATTCCATACTCACTTGGATCTATCTTCTGTGATACGAGTCGATGAAATGCAGAATACACTTCCTCAGACAGAAGAGCTCTGGCAAGCCCCGACTGCACAAGGCTGGGCGAGTTTCCTATCACGTATAGGTAAGTAACCATATCACATTAATTGGATCGTACTGATCAATAGGAAACACGCCTCTCACCATTGGGCATATCACTACCGAGAGGAGTTGGTCGGTAGCATGGTTCAAAACCGGTACTCTCGGGAAACAAGTTATTCTCCAGCTTCTGCTTAACGCTGCCAATGACTTTGGCGGACCTCAGGGGTTCCCAGATTCCTCATCACTGGCTACAAATGATGCGGAGGAGGAATTGAGACACCTCCTTGAGATTACAGAAAAAGAGGTAGAGCTCTCCATCACTGAACTCAAGGCTTGCGTAGCTCACAGGCTCGTCATTCTCTACGCCCTCATGATTAACAATCTTCCGAAAATGCTTTTGCTTCCTGCTGTTTTGAAGATGAAATGTCAGCCTTTAAGTGAGGCCGAACTAGGTAGAATAAGAGATGAATGGGATGCTGCGCCACGACAACGGAGGCTGGCCCTTTTCTACGCAGCACGAGTGATTGAAACCGTACGAACACATTACTGCTCCCATTTTTCGACCCCCGTCATCTTCTTTCGGGCTGTCTTGGCCATATGGCTATACTCTGCGCTTTACAGCCCACCATGTCGTCCATCTATGCCGACTGAAGCGCCATCCATTGCTCTTCGTGCGCCGGACTGGGGTGGCGTGAGCGCTAGGGGGTGGATTGAGTCGGGATGGGGTCGTGTCAAAGTGCCCGGAATCGGCGATTTCATGTCCGCACAAGGCCGCAACAAACTCTTAGATGCGTCTATCGTGACCTTTAAAACATTAAGGTACTGGGGTATCAGCAAGATCTACGAGCAAGTGCTGGCACGGCTTCGAGCGACAGCAACCTCTAGTATTTCCGTGTGCTGAGCCCGAATTTAGCGGTGCGGAAGTTAAGAAAGCACCTAATCGTTGGGATGATATTCTTCAAGCAAAAGACCGGCTTCCCTAGGAGAACAGTGAAGTTTTTACTACTCCGCCAATCTGGGTCATGATAACGGATGTTGTCTGAAACTGAGTTCTGGCCCCTCCGGAATTGAGGCCCGGAACCTTCTACCTTGTTGCAAATGAGACTCTGAGAGTTACGGCTGAAGTTACGAGTTGGGGAAGTCAGCTGTCGATACCATCTGAACGGGCTGCTAGTATTTACAATAGGGTTTTGCTTCTCATGGAACGGATTTGACAGGATGTGCGGGGTTTTGCGATCAATATGACGTGGAACCGAGTCGCGAAGACATATGTATAACCACCCAGATACCCTTCTACAAGCCACAGCAACAGCTCTATCTTCTACTTAACTATCAATCACCATGAGTTTGACCAAGTCTGAGAACGAGCATGACTGGGCCAATGCACAACACGGTCAGATGGCACCCCCTGGCAACGGGGGGTAGTTCTCACGCCGGATTCCCAAGTTATCTGGGATTATAATGCCTATGACTTTCTGGACCAAGAAGAGCCACCCGAGGGGATTGCCAATCAATCCTTGTGGAGACAGTCAAGACTCTGCTATATCGGTGGCATCTTTCACGTAATTGGTGCGCCTGAGGGTGTCATCTATCAAATTCGCACGATGGACCTTTCGAACATGACCATTGTCGAGATCGGAAGCACGAATGAGGTGATTGTCATTGATACCTTGACCTCGGTGGAAACTGCAAAGGCAGCATTTCAGTTGTACCTCGACCAGGTAAAGGAAGGTGCATCAGTGAAAGTGAGAGCTATTATCTACACCCACTCGCACGCGGATCATTTCGGCGGAGCGAAGGCCATCCTGCCGTACAAGGCAGACAAAGATTTCCGTATATACGCCCCCAGCGGCTTCCTGGAGCACGCTGTGAGCGAGAATGTCTATGCCGGAAATGCAATGGCTCGCCGGTCTGTGTACATGTACGGCGAGTCGTTGGAGATCTCCCCCCGAGGTCAGATTGGAGCCGGGCTTGGACTGGCTTTGTCACAGGGAACCAGCTCCCTAATTGCACCCACCCACTATGTCCAGCAAAATGGCCCGCTGGACCCGCCCATTGAAGGCATGAAGATTATCTGCCAATTGACCCCCGGCACGGAAGCGCCATCCGAGATGAATTTCTTCTTCCCGACCCTTCATGCCATGTGCATGGCGGAGAATGCAACTCATACCCTGCACAATCTGCAGACCCTGCGTGGCGCCCCTGTCCGCGATGCTCGACTCTGGTCCCGATATCTGGATGAGGCGATTGCTCTGTTTGGTGACCTCGCTGATGTCGTCTTTTCCAGCCATCATTGGCCCACATGGGAGACGGTTGATGAGGAAGGGAATCGGAAGAAAACCATCATGCATTACTTGAGCAGACAGCGCGATTGCTATGCCTACCTCCATAACGAGGCACTGCGTCATCTGAATGATGGAATGACCCCGGTCGAGATTGCCGAGGTGCTGGAGATGCCGCCGACCCTCCGAGACGTTTGGGATCTCAAGGGCTACTACGGGTCTGTCAGCCACAATGTCAAAGCCATCTATGACAAGTACATGGGCTGGTTTGATGGCAACCCGGCGAATCTGTGGAAACACCCGCCCAAGGAGGAAGCTATCCAATACGTCAAGTGCATGGGGGGCATCGATAACGTGATTGGGCTGGCTCAAGGTTACAAGAACAAAAATGATCTTCGGTTCGCGGCTACAATCCTTAATAACGCGGTCTTTTCTGATCCCACCAACGACAAGGCCAAGGAAGCTTTGGCTGGAATCTATCAGACCTTGGGTTACGGCGCAGAAAACGGGACCTGGCGTAACATCTATCTCACCGGTGCAAAGGAACTGAGAGGTGAGGTTCAAGGTGGCGTCAACAAGATGGCACCCGAGACGTTGTTCGCCTTCAGCCTGGATCAGCTAATGGACACCATGGCCATCCGCCTAGACGGACGCAAGGCATGGGAGACCGAACCTTTTGCCATCAACATGATGGTTACGTACCCAAAGAGCAGCAAAGATCCCGAAGGCTGGCACGCGCGATTGAGCAACGCCGCCATGACCGGCCGTGCCATTCCATATGCAGCACCCGGAGATACGTCGCCTATTCCAGCTTCTTTGACCATCTACGTCACCCATGAACAGCTTGTCGAGCTAGTGAGTGGCGTGCGGAGGTCACTGGAAGGTCTTGAAACAAGCGGCAATCCTGAAGTTTGGGAATGTCTAGCCAACCTACTGACTACGCCCAACAAAGCATTCAATATTGTGACGCCTCTCGAGTATAATCCCCATTCAGCAAAATAGCGTATATCTTGGAGAATGTATCTCTCAATTCATCTGGACATTTCAATGAGTCTCTTGTGATTAGTTCAACAGAATGCAGAATACCAGTTGACCTATCTTTATCTACCCTAAGAAATGCAGTCCAACCCTCACCACCAGCACATTACTCATATCCTCCCACACCAGCACCCCTCCCTCCCTCTACAATCCCATGACCTCCGTCTCCCCCTCCCCAATAAATCTCCTCGCCCTCGCCCTCCCCAAATCCCTACACAGAAAACAATAATCCCCCGCACCACGTCCTTGCACCCTCATAATCAGGCAAATACCTCCCCAACAAACCCTTCCACTCCCTATCCTCCTCACCATCCGCCACCAAAGTCCCCACGAACTCCCACCAAACGGGGAAATAACCCACCAACTCCCAATCAATAATCCCCGTGACCTTACCGCTATATTGCACCATAATATTCACATTCGTCAAATCCCCATGCGTAAGCGTATACAGTTCCGCAGGGGACATCCTCCTTCTTAACCGTCTCCGATACCTTCATACGCAACTACTTCTCCATCTCAGTCCATGAATCCTCATATGACGCCAACGGACCATGCGGAACAATACCCATCCCCTAGGGGATATCTTCGGCCATGTGAGGTGGGTTAGTTGGAGTTTGAGGCAACTCTCGAGGTATCGGGGTCTTTCACAATGCAGAACCACATGACTTTCTATACTGAAAGACATCCAATGAAATATATAACGGCACCGTTACTTACTGTCAATGAAAAGATCAAGATTGAAGTGATAGGCATTGATTGTTCACATTACACATATAATTACAGAATGCGAAGCATAACGAAACATGTATAGACTATCCGGAGAGACACGTCTACTCCTCATCTTCTTCTTCTTCCTCGCTCTCATCCTCGTCCATTCCCTCAGCAGCAGTCACAGTAAACGTAGGGGCTTGATCCACACCAACGTAACTGTCACTCATCAGGTACAGCGTCAGCTCGTGCTCACCCGGCGTGGGTACAATGTACTCCAGACGCAGCTCCAACTTGCGACCAATAGTGATACGCTTGATAGCGAGGAGGTTCTTGGTCTTCTCGTCTCCCACCACCAGCCACCAGTTCTCCATCTTCTTGTTGGGGTAGAAAGGAGCGTGCACTGAGGTATCCGGCTCTTCGTCTTCCTCCACCTCCCGCTCGATCTTGACATTAAGGTACGACGGCTCGCCGGAGGTAATGCTCTCGGGATCCTCGACCTGGAAATCAAGTTCAATGTTGGGGTACTTCTCGTTGGTGAATGCCGCAGCCTGTGCCAGCTGCTTGTTGTCCAGACCCAGGCCCTTGACCAACGACGCATAATCCTTGTTCTCCGACGGGTCCATCGCTTCCATGAATTCGAAGATATCGTTGATACTGGAATGACAGTTAGCATTGTTTTCTCTTCCATTTCCATTCCAGTGGAGAGGGACATACTTGTATTCGTTGGCCACCTGGATGGCGTCGGGACCAAAGTGAGGAATCTGCTTGAGAGGGCTATCCCGGTCCCACATGGCCTGGACAACCATCTGAGACATCTCCATGGCGTTCATGGCGTTCAGATGACCCTCCGAAGAGAGAACATCCACACAGGCACTGAGCAGGTTGAGGATCTTGCTGACAATAACTTCTTGATCCTTGGCAAGATCAATCGGCAACTGCATGCGCGAGAAGTGGGCTTGCAACAGGACAAAGGCCTTGAAGTGTGGCGAGTCGTAGGCGACCTGCGACATCTTGACAGGCACGCGATCATACACGCGACGAAGGATATGGTCTTCGTGACGGCGCATCTGGATGGACTCGAACTCCGTGGCGGACGTGACAATCTCCAGGATACCCTTGAGCTTCGTGCGAGCCGACAGAGAAAGGAGGAAGGTCTGCATAGTAATGAAGGAGATGTTGTAGTAAGACCCAATCATGGCCGCGTTCAGAGGTGAGACACTGTCATCCTCCTCGTCAAGATCAACGATCTTGGCATCCGACAGTTCCTTCAGCGTGTTCTCCAGCAGCTCGGACAGGAAGGTACTGAGACCCTCGTGGCTGACATCAGTTAGACCGTAGAAGCTGGGGTTCGCCAACAGACGACGGTAGAAATAGGTGTGGGTCATCCAGTCGATCGCATCTTGAGTAGATCCAATGGTCCGGGTGCTGATTTCCGTGACAAACGCGTCGTGCAGGTAGGCTTGCAAATGACTCTCAACGGGCAACGCTTCGTTCAAGAACTTCTTGTAGTATTCGCGCTTCACAGCTGGAACCATAAGCACACCACGGCCGATTTTGTCCTCACCAGGGCGAGAAGCTTTGCCAAACATCTGGAGGATCTCACTGATGGGATAGTCAATGTAGCGGTGCTCCCGACCTTCGAAGAACTGGGTCCCCATGACGATCACCAGATGCGCGGTGAGATTGAGCTCCCAGCAGACGTCCCTAGACGCAAGGAGAACCTGGATCGCACCGATGGTAAAGAGATGGGTGACAATGCGCTTGTCCGTAGCGCTAAGCGCTTCGTGGTAGTAGCCAATGCCGTGAGAGAGCGACTCCGCCAGAGTCCGTTCTTGGACCCGGTTAAGTAGAGGGGCTAGCTCATTGATGTCGGCGTTGAGGAACCGATCTTCGTCATCGTCGGTAGCGCAGGCAGCAAGAAGGTCCATGGCAGTCGAACGGGTCTGCTTGCGACTAGGCACGAAAACAATGGCCGGCTTGTCAGGGGACAGCTGAAGGATGGAAAGATACGCCGGCCTAGCCATAGCCAGCATGAGCGAAGGGAAATGGGGGATGGTGAAAGACTGGATGTGAAGTTCGAGAGGCACCGGCCGGGCGTGCGGGCTAAAGTTGTAGATGGTATGCTTGTTGGCACCAATCCACTCGCCGAGATCGCGAGCATTGGCAAGCGGCACGCTCAAACCAACAATGCGCAAGCCACTCTCGGTTTCAAGCGCCATAGAGTGCATACGCGAGACCACTACCTCATACACATATCCTCCGTAGCCTCCGAGCATCTGGATCTCATCCGCGATGAACAGTTGCACGGTTCGCACATTCTTGCGCTTCCGCCACTGTCTGGACAGAACATCCCATTGAGTAGGAGTAGCAAGAACAAGATCAGCATGTTCCAAAAGCCTGAGGTCAGCAGTCGTCTCTCCAGTAAGCTTCACGATGGTCTTTCCACCAGCGACATTGCCCAGCCGCTTCTCCCAATCTGCAAGGCGCTGGTCCACCAATTCCTGGAATGGGGCAATGTAAACGGCCCGACCATTATCCTCCTGGGACCAGTGGCGAAGCAGGGCAATTTCCGCGCAAACGGTCTTGCCACTACCGGTAGGAGCACCGACAAAGACATTGTCATCAGTATCAAACAAAGACTTGAAGGTCTGCGTTTGGACCTTGTTGAAATACTGCCATTCGGGGTACAACTGCTGGTACTCTTCGCGCTTCAGAGCCTTGATAGGTGCACGTTGCATGTCGAGCAGAGGAGTGTGAGGGGGGAAACGTTCGGGAAGAATCAACTTCTGGAAGGAAACAGCAATCTTGGTTTCCGAGTGCATCCAACGGTCCGAAACGAGCGAAATGAAGTAGTTGGGGGGCATGGGTTCGGTGATCGGAACAGTGAATTCGACGAGGTGCTCGTTCATCTCGGACTGCGCGATATCTCCGCGGAGGAGGAACTGGTCGTGGAACAAAATTTCCTCGCCATCACAATCTTCAACCAGAATCCAGAAGTCCTGCGCATTTCCGTGAAGGGCCTCGTCCCACACAAAGTTGGGGGTGATCGTCAACTCCACCCGCAGCATGGAACGAGTGACAGGTTGGACCTGAGCCTGGACCTCCAGACGGGGAAACTTGGAGACGAGGTCGCAGACGACACGGCCAGCCTTCGGCATACCAAGAAGCTCACCCATACGAGGAGGATCAAGATCGAAATAACTAGCCCAGGGCACGTCGATTCTCTCGGACTTCTGCAAGATGTCCCGGGGACAGGTGGGGAACTGACGGAGGGGCGACATTGTTGGCCACATGCGACGTTCAGCCATCTTACAGAGGTTTAGAGCCGTCTTGGCCACAGATGACCAGCCCTTCTTCAGGGAAATCTCGAACACAGCGCGCAGGATACGACCAGCCGACTGAGTGACATAAACCATATCCGCCATAAGAGCAAGACCCTCGAGCTTGAGTCGGGAGATATAGGCCTGCAGCAGAACATTGATCTTCGAGTGAGGCTCGTCGATGCCTTCCTTGACAGGAACAGGCACACGTCCGAGCAACTTGGCCAGCTCGAGTTTTTCATCTTGACGAACGGGAATATACTTGAACTCGTCACTCAGAGCGAAGATCCGGAACAGTTCGATGGTGGTGATGGAGGGCTGGAGGTGCTGAGAGTACGTCAACATGGAGTTGTGGCCAATGTAGTAATGAGAGGCAATGCGTCCAAGCTCAGTCGATTGCAAGCGTCCCGTCTTCTTGTCGTACTTGACAAGCCCTGCCCGCTCCAAGATGACAGCTGCAGAATGAACAAGATCGACCCGCTTTTGCTCGAGCGCATCATCGTCTTCGTAATCGGCACCAACACTGTATAATCCCGGTGAACGAAGCATACGGACAAACAGGTAGGTGTATCCAAGCCAGTCGACGCCCTCGTCACGGGTCCGAATATTACCCAGGACGATCTCAGCGTTCATGTTGTCGGCGAGCTTACTCATCAGCTGACTCTCAATTGGCAGCTGCTGGTTCATAAGAGACAGATAGTACTGAATCTCGGTCTGAGAGGTTATGATGATACCCTCACCGAATGTGTCGTACTGAGGCCGTCCAGCTCGTCCCAGCATCTGGAGGACATCCTGAGGGCTAAGCTCAACCCAGCTACCCTTCTCGGGAGAATAGATCTGGGTACCCTTGATAATGACCGTATGGGCAGGAAGGTTGACACCCCAGGCAAGAGTTGCTGTGCAGACAAGGACTTGGATACTGCCATCACTGAAGAGAGCCTGAACAGAGTCACGATCCGCCAAACTCAGACCGGCATGGTGGATACCAAGGCCGTAAGGCAAAAGGTCTTTGAGCGCAGCATCATCAACAGTCTCGGCTTCTTCGGCCAAGATGGCTCTGCTAGCAGCATCACTTCGCAGAATCTGACCAATGGTCTCCATCTCGAGAGCCTTGTCCCTAATGTATCTGGCGGTTTTGGCGGTTTCCTTTCGGGAGTGGACGAAGATAAGCATCTGATTCCTCCGCTGTCCGACTTGTTCCAGAACCTTGTTGTAGCAGATGTCGTTCATCGTCTTCAACTGCTTGATAGCCTTCTTGTCCGTGACACCGATGAACTCCTGTTTCAGTGGGCATGGCCTATAAGATCCATCGAAGTGGAAAAGGCCTTTCAGGGGGTCCACGCGCAAAAAGCTGGCGACATCACGGTAGTTGGGAAGGGTAGCACTGAGACCAACGATTCGCACCGGGTCGCCGGTCTGCTCGACTTTGCGGATAGTCCGGCTCACAATGCTCTCAATGACAGGACCACGATCGTCGTGAAGGAGATGAATCTCGTCAATGACGACAAGACGAACAAGCCTCGTGTAGCTCGTCTCCGATGCCTTTCTGGTGATGACGTCAAACTTCTCCGGGGTGGTCACAATGATCTGTGTTTCCGCAATTTGCTGCTTGGTGAGTTGGCGATCACCACTGAGCTCAGCGACCTTGATGCCATACGGCTCCAATCGCTTGCCAAGGTTTCCAACCTGCTCTTGAACCAACGCCTTCAACGGGGAGATGTAGATAATCTTGAAGTCGTCTAGCATAATTTCCCCGGTTTCAGAGTTACGATTCTTTCCGATTTCGCGGAGAATAGTGAGCATGGCAACGTTCGTCTTTCCTGATCCTGTGGGCGCACAGACAAGCATGTTTCCATCGTCATGGAACGCGGATGGGAAGCACTTCGACTGGACCCGGTTGAGCTCCTTCGAACTGCCAAAACCAACGCGAGCCCACTCGGGCAATTCAGCGGTCGGAATGTTCTTCTCGCCGGGCTCTCTCTTCTGCTGGGGAGGCGGCACGTGAATCTCTTCGTAGCCTTTGAAGGTCCGTTTCGTGGAGCCCTGTGGCAGCTTCACGTTGGGGTTCGTCATCAAGTGGTTGCCTTGGTGGAAAACGAGGTTTTCCAGGTTGATCAACCTCTTCGGCTGGAGACCCCTTACCAGCCCACCCTCTGCGGGCTTCTCCTCGGTTTGTTGGGGTGCATTCGGAACATCGACGTCCATCAAATCCAGCTTGATCTTCTTCTCTGGCCGACCTGCACCTTCGTCACGAGTGGCTTTGCCCCGAATCTCGTCCAAGATTGCACGATGCCCAGCCTCAACCATCTCACTCTCGACCAGGTGGCGGGCATCCGCATCTTCGGCCACCCGACGCCAGCGGGTAACCCAGATGACCTTATCCCGGTTGGTGACCAGCTTGGCGACGAGGTCGGGGTTCTCGTAGTCGAATAATTCCATCAGGTCGTTTTCCACGTCACGCAGCGGCCGCTCTGCGCCGTCCTCACCCTGACCGCCAAGAATTTCAAGCGCTTGGGTAGCCTTCTCGTGTTGTACGTGAGCATCGGGGTATGCGGTACCAATCTGACGCTGAAGCCAGTAGGCGTCGATTTCCCGGGCATGTATCGTGAATCCCTTGTCTCGTCGCTCCGCACCCCGACCTAGACCGCCATCAATTACCATCTCTTCGGTATCCTCAAGCCCGTCAAGGTCCGCCTTCTCGGTGGTTGTTTCGTCGATTCCAGTAGCCTCTTGTTGATCTGGCTCCTCGTCCTCTGACAATTCATCGTCATCGCGTACCTCGTCCAAAGTGCCCATGCGCTCCTCGTCCTCATCTTCGTCATCGAAAACGACAGCAACACCCTGACGCTCATCCAGTTCGCCTTCCCCTTCGCCATCCAGACCGTCGCCCATTTCTTCATCTTCATCCTGCGCGTCGTAGTCCGTGATTTTCTTGCCGAGGTTGACGAGCTCATTAAACTCCTTGGGATTCATCGAACTTCCGAGCAAGTCATCAATCTCCTTCTTCTTGTCAAAGTCCTTCATCTCCTCATCCTTCAACAGCTCCAGCACTGCATCAGCAGCACTTCGAACGACTTCGTGAGGGACATCGCCAAGGTGATTCGCGGTCATGGTGAGAATGAGATCGTAGGTAGCCCGGGTGGCAGGCGTGCGGGGACGGTACTTCAGGCCCTCCACAAGAGCATCGGCGGCGGAGAGGATACCCTGACCTCGCAGTTGTGCTGGTTGACCCCGCTGGGTCTTCCTCTGTTCCCGGGCAAGGACGTCCTCACCCTCTCGAATCGCGCCCCGCTCAATGTCTGTCGGTCCGACGGCCTTCTTCTTCGTCTTTGGCGCATCATCACGCGCCATTCTTGAGCCCATCTCCCGGATACTTATGCGACCGGCGAGCGACTCTGGGTCTCCGGTGGGTTCATCATTGACGCGAGAGATGAAACGACGGTCCGCCTGGAGAACCAGGTTGGACATCGCCGAGTATTTGTACTGAGAGATATTTTGGTCCGCCATTTTGATGGTATATTAAGGCAATCAACAGTAGAATAATGGAATAGCGAACGTGCTGCGACGGTAATGTGTCGTCTGGGCTCGGTGGAGCTCAGGTTCAGCCGGCGCGTCGAGACACCTGCAACAAGTAATGAATTTCGTGACGGTATGGGATCCTAAAAGGCTTCACAAACCTGGACCATCCTCCGTCAGCAAACAGGCACACACGTCGGCGCAAGGTTGCAAGCTGCTTGGGAGGGTTTGCGGAGTTTGAGGGAGTTGCGTTCAGAGGTCGCGGGAAGTTCTTGTCAAGCAGATTTGCGTGGCAAGGCGGGAAGGTTTGGCGAGCTACGGCAGCCTGAGGTATACACCCCCGTCCGATTTTCTGCCGTGTTCTCTGCCTATACTTCGCTCTTCTCCATCGACGCGCCGGATCCACGCGCGGTCTCGGGATGATGCGGATTCATGGGCTACATTTGTCCCACCGGTGCCAACTCCAAGCTCTCGGACTTGCGAAGCCGGTTCCTTTTCCACCATATCGTTGTCAGGTGCACAGAACGATCTGTCACCATGCTCGGCGGCCGTCCACTCTCCTCCCGCGGGTAACTTGCTATCCGGTGCCGCAGAGAACTGCCAAAACACAGTCCACGGTGATGCTGAAGGATCTGCCTCAGGGTGCTCTGAAGCTCGAGCCTTATCAAGATGCTGTCGATGACACCCCCAGGTATCCTGTTGTCGTGCAAGGGCATTGGAATAATATGCAGAAGTTCAAGAACTGCGTTATCTTGACCCGAGTAGGCGGCTTTTATGAGGTATGGCTACTGCCTTGAAATTGGTCATCATCTAGGAAGTCGACCTCTCAAACCTATGCATCCTAACTTTGCGTCAGCTTTATTTCGAGCAAGCTGAAGAGTTCGCTCCGTTGCTCAACCTTAAACTTGCCTCCAAGAAGACCAGTGCGGGCCCAGTTCCTATGGCTGGTTTCCCTTTCTTCCAGCTAGATCGCTTCCTCAAGATTCTGGTTCAAGATTTGAACAAGTACGTTGCTGTCAGTGAAGAATTTCCAATCACCGCAGAGGACAAGCTCCGGTCTGGTCTTCTCTTCGATCGCAAGGTTGCGAGAATCATCACCCCCGGGACATTGATCGATGAGAAGTTCATGGATCCCTCCGAGAACAATTTCCTGCTCGCGGTCTACATTGATAAAACATCATTGAAAAAGCAATTGGAGCAACAAGATGACTCAGCTGCGCAGCAGCACGCCCTGTTGTCTGCATCTCAAAACGTAGGCCTGTCCTGGTCGGATCTCTCGACAGGTGACTTCTTTACCCAAGTCACGACGGCGCAGATGTTACCGTCCGCTATTGCCAGGATTGGTGCTCGGGAAATACTTGTTGATCAAGGTCTTCAGGATATAATTGGACAAGAGCTGCAACTGCTGGTCGGCCATGATCACCGGTTAATGACTTTCTTCCAGTTTCCACAAAAGGTTGCACCTATGTCTCGTTGGGGAACTATGCTTGAAGCTCCGGTGTCGGCCACGGCTGCCGAGTCTTTTACGCGTGACGAGATTGCTGCTGGCTATAGTCTCTTGGAATACATCCGAGTCCAGTTGCAGGGCTTGAATATGAAGCTTCAACCTCCTCGACGACGGCATTTGGACGAGTCGATGAGTATCGACCGAAACAGCCTGAGAGGTCTCGAGATACTTGAAACTGCCCGAGATGGATTTGGCAAAGGAAGCTTGCTTCATGCAGTACGCCGAACGTCTACCAAGAGTGGCGCGCGTCTGCTGAGAGACCGCCTAAGTATGCCTTGACCTCTGGAACATGCTCCACAGCTCTAACAGTATTACAGCATCCCCTTCTACTTCTATATCAGTGATAGATGAACGGCTTGACCTTGTTTCGGTTTTTATCGAAGACCACGAACTACATGACAGCGTAACTCAATTTCTGAAGCGCAGCTATGATGCCCAACGTTTGGTGCAGAAGTTTACTCTCGGACGGGGTGATCCTGATGATCTGATCTGTCTTTCTCGAGCCATCGAAGCTTCAAAGGAGATCAAAAGGGTTCTATCAAGCAGGAGACATGCGGCTAGTAGCCAAACAGAGCGCAGTCTTGCGGCCATGGTCGATCGTATCCATATGGATGGACCTACCGTTTTGGCGGACAAAATCCTTGCAGCTATTGATGAGGAAGGTCTCCTGCAAAAGCAACGCATCGAAGACGACACAGCAGCAGAAGCAGCAATGCTCGCGCAGAAGGTGACTTTGAATGAAGGCATAGCTGAAGACATGGCCGCGCTGCCGAAGAAAGTCAAGACAAAAAGCAGCGATCGGGCTGCCGCAGCTACAGACGAAGGGACCATTGTCGATACTTGGATTATGCGACGCGATGCAAGCCCTGCTCTAAGTGAACTCCATCAGGAATTGGAGCAATTACATATTGGAAAGTCGGAGCTCACCCAGCGTCTTCGCGAGTCAGTAGGGTCATCCGCGCTAACACTCAAATGGACTCCTGGGTTAGGTCACATATGCCATGTCAAAGGGGCTAAGATCACCCAAGAAGCATTGGAAGAGCTTGGGATAACACGGAATGTCTCGTCCACTAAATCGACGAGGTCGTTCTACCTGCCGGCATGGACCGAGTTAGGTGGCCAGATGGACCAAGTTAGGTCTCAAATCCGTCAAGAAGAGCAAGTGATCTTTGAGCATCTCCGTCGCGAGGTCATTCTCAATCTTGTTAAAATCCGACGCAATGCAGCCGTGATGGATGAACTCGACGTCGCGTGCTCTTTTGCCACCCTAGCGCAGGAGCAGCAACTCGTGCGTCCAATACTCAACGAAGGCACAAGCCACAAGATTGTTGGCGGAAGACATCCAACAGTCAAGCTTGGACTCGAGGAGCAAGGCCGACGGTTTGTCAGCAACGATTGCTTTCTGGGAGGCCCAGAGCGTATCTGGCTTGTCACCGGACCCAATATGGCAGGTAAAAGCACGTTTCTGCGCCAGAACGCACTGATCACAATCCTAGCTCAGGTCGGATCATTTGTCCCAGCAGCGTATGCAGAGATCGGCGTGGTCGACCAGATCTTCAGCCGCATTGGCGCAGCTGATGATCTTTTCCGGGATCAATCCACGTTCATGGTCGAGATGTTGGAAACAGCAGCTATTCTCAAGCAAGCCACGTCGCGCTCGTTCGTCATCATGGATGAAGTCGGGCGTGGAACAACGCCAGAAGACGGAACATCTGTCAGCTTCGCATGCTTGCACCACCTGCATTATCACAACAGATGCCGGACGCTGTTTGCAACACACTTCCACGCCCTCGCCGACATGACACACGACTTTGAGGCCCTCGGAAGGTACTGCACTGATGTCAAGGAATCCGCATCGGGGTCATTCTCATTCATCCACCGACTGCGCAAAGGAGTGAACCGCGAGTCCCACGCATTGAAAGTCGCACAATTGGCCGGACTACCCAAGGAAGCCATTGAGATGGCAAGGAGCGTACGTCAGCGCTTCACCAACAACCACAGTGACATCTCACATTGGGACGAGGAAACGGCACCAAAGCATACAGCGAACGGAGCATGAAGCCCAACCCAGAGTCAAAACCTATGTACAATAGCATCCCATATCATAACAATGTACAATCACCACTATCCCCATCACACTCCACACAAACCCTCCCCCCTAAAGCTTTGCCAACCTCCCCCCTTCCCACTCCCACTCCCACCCTCAACCTCCACGACAATCCCCTCCCCAAACACCACCTCCTGACAATCCTCCCCATCCACGCCATTCACAAACTGCACGACCACAAAATCCACCCGTCTGGACCCCACCACCACCATCGGCGCATGCCACGTCCCCGCCGCATACGTAACAGCCTGCCCACCCGTGGCAACAAACGCCCTCAACCGACTCAAATCCGGGGGGTCCACCACACCAACCTCCTCCCCTGCATCCGTCCTCGCCATCACAGTCGTGCCCTTCACCGACGGCGCCACAATAACCAAGTAAACCGGCTCCTCTTCCCCTCCCGCAGTGGACCGACTCGACAGATCAATCGGGGTGAATGTCTGTGTTGTGTAGGGGTGACGTTCTAGGATGCGTACGTCGAAAACATTCTTCTTTTCCTTCGGTAGAGAGCGCAGTTTGCGAGGGAAGCAGGAGAACATGGTCATGAGGGCGGAGGAGGGCTGGTTACTTGGACTGCTGGAGTAGGTGTTGGTCATTGGGGAGATCGGGCTGTATTTTAATGCGGAGGATTGGTTGGCGAGGATGGGGACCGGGGTGAGGGTTTGCAGGGTTGAGGGGGGTGGTGGATTGGTGATGTCGCGGGCGAGTGGTGAGGTTATTGCGGCGCCGAAGGGGGAGAAGGCCTCTCGGGTGAGGGGGGTGGGGGTGAGGTTGAGGGTTGGGGTCGTGGGGAGGGTGGGGGGTGGCATCGTGGTTTGTTGTTGTTTCGTAGATAGTGTGGTATAGGCTTCGAGGGGGGTTGAAGACAAGGACCTGCCTTGTTTATTGATGTTCAATGGATGGGAATGAGGGGAGTGGGGGAGGAAAAGTGTTATAAGTAGGTGAGGGGAGGGAGGTTGAGGTTATCCGGGGCATCGGCAGTCGCCGTCGTTATCGGCGCTAAGATCGGCGTCGGAAGGGGCCGACGTCAGATTGATTGGCTTTGGGGATGGGAAGATGAAAGCTGGATGATCAGCTATATTATCTATATTATCGTCGGTTTGAGAATGGAATTATTCAAATACCTTGTTCCAAATTGATGCGAATGTGTTACTCTTGTCCAGTGGAAAGTATTACTCAGATCAAGTCACGATATCAGTCTTCAGAAGAACCAATCAGAGGCCAGAACCACCCAGGTGTGAAGGCCGTGGCCTAAGCTAGTGTTGCTTCGCGCCACCGCGCTTCGCAAATCAAATCGAACGAGAATGGTTGATAATCCATGCTAAAACAAAGGTACAGTCTAACAGGCTGCTGGCGGAATTTTGTTTGCCTCGCTACAGGGCACTCAAGCGTAGGGCCAATCAGAGCTGGGAACCCATGTTAGTCTCATGCGTGATGAGTTGTGCGGTCACAGGCGATAACAGGCAGAGACAGAAAGGGAGAGTGGGGGGTGTCGAAAATCTCTTAAGATCCTGATGCTCCAGACTCACAGGATATCTCATCCCCCAGTTTCCTACTGGCTATCTGGTCGCTTCAACATGTTGGCCAGGCTATGCGCAAAGCTCTGCTGCTCTCAAACCGATACCAATGCTGACGAGGCTCAGCCTGCTATCCTCCATGCAAACTCCTCGGCGGCTGAGTGGGAAGGCCCCGAGCCGACAAGCAAGATAAGTTGCGATGTTGACTTCGTGTCTTCAGACCGTGGTGTTGAGGAGCCGAAAGATCTTTGGCAGGTAGCATTCGACAGCCTCGATCCGGAGCGCAAACGCTGGTTATCAAAGGAAGACAAGTCCCCGGTAGAGGTAATCGAGCGGGTGATCGGTGAGACGAAAAATAAATATGAGGAGTATCGTAAGAAGTCCCTGGTGATACGACGACCTGACGGAAGTGACATCAACGTGCGTGAGATCGCTCAGAACATTCTCGCTTCGCATTGGATGGGCAGAAAGTCGTGGAATCGATTGTGAGCTTTGACCCAAGTGGCCACGGTGAGTCCCACACTTTAGCTCTGTAGCTTTGGATGCTGACAGTAATGCAAAGCATCAAGTGCCTGGGCGATTGTCTCACTGGGCTTGACGGTATGTAGCCCTAAGAAGGGAGGGAAACGTACCTTTCTCTTGGATCATCGGTCGCACAACTGACAGAATCGTCCTCTAGATGGTCCAGAGGAATATTTATCGCAGAGATGCCATATTTGAATCCTCCGAGTATTTGGCTGATAAGCTTGCTTACTTTACCATCATTGACAGTGAATCGCGATATAAAGGCTGTGCGAGCGACGAGCATTTGGAGGATGCTCTGACAGGTGTTTATTCGGCGATACTGGAATACGCAGCGGAAGTGAGCAAGACGCACAAAGAAAGTGCTGGTGGTAAGACTCGGGATGCTTTTGGTCCACTGCGAAATGCATGAAAAGAGTACCTGACAGACGCGGATTTTAGCCCGAATAGGGAGCACGCTCATTCCCCTTACCGAACAGCCATTGCAAAAGCTTCGAACAGTGGTGGATGCAAAAGCCACGACGGCTAAAGAATGGGCTAGTATGACTGACCGATCTCGTGAGTTGAACACTTGCATTACATTCTCGTCGTCAAGCTGCTCATGGATGGTAGATCTAAAGAAGCAGGTTGAGGATATCCTCACAGCTGTTGACAAGAATACTGAAAACCTGCAGGAGGTTCACTTGAGATTATTGAGTAAGCTCCCCTATGCATCAGGAATGTTGAAGTCGACATTATTGACGGGAGCAGGTGCCGAGGGGGATCGAATTCTGGAATTGCTATCTAAGTCGGACTATTCGACTCCCCAAAACAACTCTCAATACCATCGAACCAAAGGGACAGGGGACTGGATTGCGGCGAGAGAGGACTATCAACAGTGGAAAGCTCGGCCAGGGAGTATCTTCTGGCTGCATGGCGTTGGTAAGTCTTTCTTGGCTGTGTATCTGGACACCACTGACAGCCCTGAAAGCGGGTTGTGGTAAATCGGTTATGTGGTAGGCAAGCACCATGCAGGCCCGCGAATATATCCAGACTAATTATTTATAGCTCGACGATGATGGAAGCTGACGTTGCGGCCTTTGTCAAACTCGGAGTTCGACGACTAGATAAGAGAATTGCTAGTCAAGAAGTGAAAGAGAAAATCATTGACGAATTACTATAAATTGAGAAGAGGTATGATGTTTCCTATCTGGTTTAGAAGGCCTTCCCCTAACTTATGCAGACGCTTTCGCTGGGCAGACCGTTGACTTTGGAAGAAGTTGCGGCAGCAGTACGTCTAAAGGTTCCGGAGCATATCATCAACATTTGTACGACTTCCTTCGTTACTGTTCGGCACCCAGGTAATCAGATCAGGCTAGCTCATTTTTCAAGTCAAGGAGTTTCTTGTCGCCTCCACCGCAAAGCCAGATCCTTGGTACCATCTCTCCATCTTGTGGGGTCAAACATTGATCGCCCAATTCACCCTGGAAACCCTTTTAACACAGAAGCAAAGATTATCGGAAGAGGATGTGGGGAGGAACCCAATACTCGAGTATGCTGCGTGCAACTGGCACGACCACTTCAAAGGTGTAGCAACCATCAACCCCGATACACCAATCCAGACTATGGTCGATGACCTTTTCTGTGATCCTACTGCCTACCGCAACTGGCAATACATATTAACCGAGTTCGACGAGCTTGAAGCGCAGCCAACTCCTGTCGGTGCAGCATCCGAGCTGGGGCTTGTTCACACCGTCAATATGTTACTCGAACAAGGGGCTGACCCTTTAGAAATGTTTACACGAGGGCGAAAGAAATCAAGCAATGCTGTCTTTGATGCTTCTCAGGCTGGGCATCTTGATGTTCTGGATTTATTGTTGAAGAGATGTTCCTTGTCTCTTCATCTGGCCAAGAGTACATTGGAGAGAATTGAATCCCGCAGCTCCGAAGCTAAGACACTGCATGATATAATGGAAACCCTTTCAGATTCAGGAGTCCTGTTTGTTGAACCCAGGGGGCAAGATATTCGCATCGATGAGCGGATAGTTATCGCCGCGGCGAGTAACAGGCATTACGGCTTGGAACTTATGACCATTCTCCTCGATCAGTTTGGAGGCGAGGGGGTGGCGGCTGTGCCCATAAACGAACAAGTGTTGGCAATTACTCTCAAGAATGAGGAACATGGAAGTGATATACTTGAGCTACTTCTTAAAACACGCGGTGCGGATGTTCAGATCTACCCACGGATCAGGGAGCTGTTGGCATCGACCCACAGCATTGCTTCTCGTGCTGTGGAAATACTCCTCGAAGCGCGGCTTGGAGAAATCTCCTTGGATGAGAACTTCATTGCTGGCTTTGCAAAACACGCAACTGGTGAAGGGATGGAAATAATTCTGAGCAGACTGGATGACGCCACATTACTGACTGAACGCGTCCTGGAACAAGCGACCCGTAGTTAATGATTGTGGTGCTGATGTCATGCGTCGGCTTCTTAGTCGACAAGAACACAGGGCTCAAGTTAGCGAGCGTGTTCTGTGCACGGCAGCAAAACAGGGGATATACCTCAGTTCGGTCGAGATCCTAGGTGTTCTCCTGGGTGATTGTGGAGCGGACTTTCCATTAGGCGAAAATGTCATGCTGGCGGCTCTGAGTGGCGGGAACTATGCGACTCAAATAATTGAAATGTTCTTGTGCAGGCAGCAAGCAGGATTTACGGTCAGCCCGGCGGTCCTAGCACAAGCGGCCTCCCATTCTCACGGTGCAAAGATTCTTGAGTTACTCATGAACAACGGAGGATTAAGAGTTCCAATAACCGAAGAGATACTAGTCTGTGCTGCATCAAAGGATGGAAAGATTAGCTACCTACTCGACCTAGAGGAAAAGTCGCAAATCCAGGTGCTTCCTATCACGGACCAAGTACTAGTACGCGCTGTAGGCTGCTTGAATGCTGCCATTCTGCAGAGACTTTTTCGCAGAAGACCCCAAACTCGAGTGACCGGTGATATGTTTGTTGCAGGATGCAATAAGCTTTCCAAGCTATCACTATTGTTGCAGCAGCCGCACGATCAACTGCCAATCATGCAGATGATGCAGGGATTATTACGGTATCCTGGGGAGGCGCGTGAAGAGGTGATCAAGTTTCTCCTAGATGAGAATTTCTTTGATGTCGATGAACGGTTCGTGGAAATCTTCGCTGAGGATTCATATGTTTTAGAGATCTTGCTCCAGAGCAAGCCAAATTTGCTCATCACGGAGCGAGCCGTCATCAAAGCAGCACAAAACAAAACAGCACTGTCCATTTTGCTCGACAAACGAATTGACGATCTCCCAATTTCATCAGAAGTGATGGTTTCCGTGGCTAGATCATATGATCCAGTGACTAGTAACTTGCGGCGCATTCTCAAGCATTTCGGCTCACGGGTGCCAATCACAGAAGCAGTCTTGGTGGCCGCTGCATTTAAATTCGAGGTCCTACAGCTGCTTCTTCAAGCACAAGTACCCAATCTTGATGCACGCCTTTCTGAAGAAGTAGTTTTCCTCGCCACCTACAGCAACTTGTCAGCATTACCGTGGCTCCTCCAAGAGCATGGCTCGGCAGTACCGCTGACAGAAAACGTGCTGGTGGCTGCCGCTGCAAATAGCGTGTTTGGGGTACAATAGCTTCTCCGAGAACAACCAGTGAGTATTGACGTGAATCAAATCTGGAGAGCAATATGGAAGCTTGATTGCGATTTCTGCGACATCTCCTATAGTCATAAGTTTAACAATGCGTCCATCTCTAGGAAACTGGCCACCGAGAATATTCTCAGGTACACCAGGGCTGTTGATGTCTCAGAGGAAGTGTTTGAACAGGCTTCAACTGCCAGTGGGGACGGAAAGGAATGTGCCCTTTATGATCTGCTGTCTATCTGTATCGAAGAAGAACTGCCTGTTCGTGTTACAGAACAACTGAAGGCACTGGTGTTGAGGAAAGCCGATGCTCACGACATCGAGGATCTCTGCGAATCGTTCAGTAGGCGTGGGAAATTCAAGGATGCGGGGGCCCTTCTTAAGATGCTAATATCGCTTATCCCTAAAGCCGAGGAAGCCTTAAGCGTTGATTCTTGAAGCTAGCCCCCGAGCAGGCCGGGCAAAGGATCTCTATTCCGAGACAGCTATATCACTGCAACAAGGGCTTAGAGTGTTTAAGCAAAATAAGCAGAGTCTGAGAGATCATGGAATTAGGTGGTAAAACTGGACAACGGGAGATAGAACAGAATGAAAGTCCCATTCAATGTTATAGATAATGACCCACCCATACTGCTTTATGTCAGTCCGCTAGGCACCTTACTTCCACCCCGTTCACCTATGATAATTCTACCATGTCCTTTCTGGTTGCTTGTTCTTTCCAATTCGATGCATCTCTGCCTGAATTCGCGACTTTCCGCCCAAAGCACGCGGAAATTTACAATCGGGAAGTGGGTACCAGGCACAGATCCGGATCCCTGTATTAATTCACAGCAACAGACACAGGAGGATAGTACTCTTACTATCTACTTGGTAGGTTGCCATAACGTAATTCACAATCGCGCGGCCCGCCCCTTCCAAAACACCACCTCCAACCACCTACCTGAAGCAATTCAACCACCACAGATGCCACCAAAGTCAGCTATCTCATCAAAAACTGCAGCTGAGCAAGAAGGTAGGATCCTCCTTGCTATTGAAGCTATTCAGAAACACCGAATCACTAGTATTTGTGAGGCTGCACACACTTTCAACGTCCCTCGAACCACCCTTCGCGCTCGTTTAGCTGGACGAGGCTTTGTTAAAGATATGATCAACGCGCGTCAAAAATTATCAAAAAATGAAGAAGAATCGCTTGTTAAATGGATCTTGTCTTTAGATAAGCGAGGCGCACCTCCATGACCGCTTGAAGTCAGAAATATGGCTAATTTGATACTTTCTAAGCAAGGTCATACAACATCCGAAGAAGTAGGCACCAACTAGGCTTATAACTTTGTTAAACGCCACGAGTCCCTCCAAACTCAATTCGCTAGACAATATAACTATCAATGAGCTAAAATAGAGAATCCTGAAGTTATAAAAGACTGGGTCAATCGGGTCCAGAAGGTTATACAAGAGTACAGAATCTCACCAGACGATATATACAATTTTGATGAAACGGGGTTTGCTATGGGACTGATTGCTACCGCTAAGGTAGTAACTAGTTCTCAAAGAGCTGGTCGGCCGTCCCTGATTCAACCAGGGAACCGGGAATGGGTCACTTCAATCAAGTGTATTCGATCTAATGGAGAGGTTTTACCTCCGACCCTGATCTTCAAGGGTAAAATGTATTTCCAAGCGTGGTACGAAGGTCAAACCGTTCCCTCTACCTGGAGGATTGAAGTCAGCGATAATGGTTGAACAACTAATATAATCGGACTTCGATGGCTTCAAAAACACTTTATCCCGTTAATTACAGGCAAATCAGTGGGCAAATACAGCCTCCTAGTCCTCGACAGCCATGGCAGTCATTTGACCCCCGAATTCGACCAATACTGTACTGAAAATGAGATTATTCCTATTTGTATGCCTGCGCATTCGTCCCATCTACTTCAACCTCTTGATATTAATTGTTTTAGTGTGCTTAAACGCGCGTATGGTGGCTTAGTTGAACGGCAGGCACGCTACGGCCGGAATCATATCAACAAGCTTGACTTTCTAGAGGCGTATCCCAAGGCACACCAGCAAGCTCTAACAAAGTCAAATATCATCAACGGATTTAGGGCAACAGGTCTAGTTCTTCTAGATCCTGATCGAGTGCTTCGTCAGTTGAATATTCGCTTGAAAACACCACCTTCTCCGGACAGCCAGTCAAGTGGCTCAGTGCTTCAAACACCACATAATATAAAGCATCTTTTGAAGCATCAAAATACTGTGGAACTTCTGCTTCGAAAGCATCAAACAAGTCCAATATCACCTACCCGCTCTACACTACGGCAGCTTCTTAAGGGGTGTGAGCTTGCAATAACCAATTCGATCCTACTTGCTAAAGAGAATGAGAAACTACGTGCTAGCCATGAAAAGCAGCTACAAAAGAGGAAGCGTTCAAGAAAGCAGATGGTCTATACAGAAGGCACTACGGTTGAAGATACGCAGCAAGCTATACAACATGAACAAGTGGTTCAAAATGATCAAGATACGGAGGTTGGTGGTGAGGTTGAGCAGGCATCTCAACCTACGGAGACCCCCTCGCGGGCGCCTCCACGGTGCAGTAATTGCTTCATTATTGGTCATAAGCGTACGCAGTGTTCTAAACCATCTAGTAATTAGTTATATAGCGTTTTGTATATAGAATTGTGTTGATTAAAAGGCTTCAATTTGATCATATTGGGTGCTTCGGGCAGGGGGTGGGCCGCGCGATTGTGGATTACGTTAACGTATTTCATAAGCGAGCGGCGCACCTCTCGCATTTTATACGCGACTAAAAATCTCGCTCAAATCAACCACCAACCATGCCTCCAAAAGCGCGTCAAATTTCAAGAAATTTAGCTGAGCAAGAGGGTAGAGCTGTACTAGCTGTTTCTGCTTTAAAAAAGTCAGAAATCTCTAGTATTCGTGAAGCAGCTCGCGTATATAATGTCTCTGAAACAACCCTTCGCAGACGATTACGCGGTATATCTTCACGCTCAGAAACACGCGCTAATAGTCATAAATTGACTCAAAATGAAGAGGAATCGCTCGTACAATGGATTCTATCGCTAGATCGACGTGGAGCCCCTCCCCGACCGTCCCATATACGAGAAATGGCCAATATTCTACTTACTCAACGCGATACTACCCCAGTTCAATCAGTCGGGGAGAACTGGGTCACCAACTTTATTAAACGACAAGATCGTTTGAAAACTCGCTATACTCGACGTTATGATTATCGACGTGCTAAATGCGAAGACCCTAAGATCATACAAGAGTGGTTTAACTGCGTGCAAATCACGATAATGCAACACGGGATCGCACAGGAAGATATCTACAATTTTGACGAAACTGGCTTTGCTATGGGCTTAGTAGCTACTGCTCAAGTAGTTACTAGAGCTGACTACTACGGAAAGGCCTCTCTTGTACAGCCAGGTAATCGAGAATGGGTTACTTCGATCGAGTGTATCAACTCTACCGGTTGGGCGCTTCCTCCATGTGTGATCTTTAAAGACAAGGTCCATATAGAGGGTTGGTATCAAGATATCAAACTCCCACGCGATAGTAGGATTGAGGTTAGTCCTAATGGATGGACTACAGACGAGATAGGCCTTCGCTGGCTTCAAAATCTCTTTATTCCTACTACTAGTTGTACAACTGGCAGATATCGTCTTCTTATTCTCGACGGCCATGGTAGTCATTTGACACCTCAGTTCGATCAAATATGCAGCGAGAATGATATTATTCCTATCTGCATGCCTGCACACTCATCGCATCTACTACAGCCTCTAGATATTGGCTGCTTTTCACCTCTAAAGCGGGCGTACGGCAGCTTGATAGAGAAGCAGGCACGCTTAGGAATCAACCATATCGACAAGCTTGGTTTCTTAGAGGCCTTTCCACAAGCTCGCGAACGCGCTTTTCAAACAGATACTATTCGGAATAGCTTCGCAGGTGCTGGTCTAGTTCCATTCAATCCAGATAGGGTACTCAGTCAGCTGAATATTCAGCTAAAGACCCCTACATCACCAGGCAGTCGATCAACCAATACAGCTCCAAAAACGCCTTATACAACTAGACAGCTTGAAAAGCAGGCATCTACTGTGAAGCAGCTGCTTAGAACGCGTACGCAGAGTCCTTCATCTTCGCTAGAGGCGCGGTTTGATAAGCTTATTAAAGATCATGAATTACATCTTAATGAGCTTATTCTTGCACGCGAAGAAATCCACGAATTACGCGCTTCTAATGCAAAGAAGCTTCGAAAAAGAAAGCACTCTACTAGGCAGCAAGAAATTACAGAGGGATTAGCAATTCAGAACGGCCTAGAGCGATTTCAGCGCGAGAATCAGGTCGATGAAGCTCAAAATACGCTTCCCCTAGATCCTGTACTTCCTACAGATAGGCCACGCGTACGAGCGCCCCCGCGCTGCAGCGATTGTCATATTCTAGGACATAGGCGATTACAATGTCCTAATCGAGTTCCTAATTAATTTTTAGATAGAAATGCAATTATTTTGTTGATAAAGCCTCTAGTATTTGGCCCATGGGCAGGAATGAAGCGGAGGTGCGCCGCTCGCTTATGAAATACGTTAGTTACTGCAGAGCCAGCTGAGTCATCCAAACCACTACATCACGTGACCTGTTGTGACTAATCGGGAGGCCCATCGGAGATCCATCGAGAAGTGCAAAAAGCCTAAAGCTTCACGCTGAGTGGATCGGCAGTGGAATCTTCCGGACTAAAGTCTTATCGACCTTCGTTTCAGCTCCACTCAGGCCTCGTCACTACGGTCTGGATTTAGATGACAGTTCGTCTGAGCCACACTCCTCGGCGCAAGCAGATCCAACACTTGGTGGGAACGAGTGGGCTCTCCACCATGCATTATGCAATTAAAAGAGAAGCCATTCCAGCTCTCAAGTGATGCCAGGGGAACACACAAGTGAAACCCGGTCAGCGCCGGCAGCTTATTTGTTTTTGAATCACTAGCGCGATACACCATGAATGCGGGAAAAGATTTTCCAGCTAGCTGCAGCTGGGGCGAGTTGTTGGTTGCGTGGGAAATTGGGAAACAGTGGCAGCTCGAGGTTGACGTACGCGAGTGCGGAGAGGGTGACGACTCCGGCTTAGGCAGTCGTTTTTCTGTTGGCGCCAGTTCCATCCATAAGGAAAACACCTTGCCCACCGGCACCAGCCGGGCTAAGGGCGTTGGAATGTCTTCCCCAACTTGATTCCTTCCTTTCCGTTCGCTGCTGGACTTCCGTCGCGTTCCTGTCTTGTTTTCATCTCACTGATTGCGACGTTGTGGCCTTCTTCCAATGGCGGGAAGCCACTGGCTAAGATGCGTGCTGGTGCTCGCCATGGCGGTCCTAGGGGTCCAAGCCATCGACATCGATATCAGCAGCGAGGGTATGTGATTTTTATCTTATAGTAACTAGTGAGCCACTCGGGTACAGTTCTAACTGCATCATCGACAGATTCCATCAAAAATGCGGCGTCAATAGCTGCGTATGGAATGATGAAGCATTACAAAGGAAATGAGTCCGGCGAAATCCCCGGAAAGATCCCTAATACCTGGTGGGAGGGCGGTGCCATGTTCATGACTCTCATCCAATACTATCATTACACGGGGGACTCCACCTATAATAGCGAAGTCATCCAGGGTATGCAGTGGCAGGCGGGCGATTGCGATTACATGCCAGCGAACTGGAGTAGCTACATTGTGGGTTTCGCTTTGTGGCATTTCCTTTCCTCCAGACTAACCCATCCAGGGTAATGACGATCAAATGTTCTGGGGGTTGGCCGCCATGACCGGGGCCGAATTGAACTTCCCCGACACTGGTACATACTCGTGGCTCTCCCTGGCGCAGGGCGTCTTTAACACCCAGGTTGCCCGCTGGGACAATACTACCTGCAACGGGGGGATGCGATGGCAGATCTACACCTATGAATCCGGCTATACCATGAAAAATGCCATTTCCAACGGCGGTCTCTTCCAATTGTCCGCCCGTCTGGCGCGCTACACCGGCAACAACACCTACTACGAGTGGGCGGAGCGCATCTGGAACTGGTCCACCACGACGCCCCTGCTAAGCAACTCAACATGGAATGTGGCCGACTCGACATCAACCACCAACGATTGCAGCACCCAAGGAGACGACCAGTGGAGTTACAACTACGGTGCCTATCTCGCAGGTGCCGCATACATGTACAACTATGTGAGTGACTCCGCGGGGTTACAAGACTATCGACTAACCCACTACAGACCAACGGCACTGGCACCAAATGGTCCACCGCTGTCAGCGGCCTGTTGAATCGCACGCTGGACGATTTCTTCCCCACTAGCCACGGCGGCTATATTATGGAGGAGATTCTATGCGAGCCGCTCGAGGTGTGCAACGACAACGAAATCATCTTCAAGGGGCTGGTATCTGCCTGGCTGGCCTACACAGCGTATCTGGTTCCGTCGACCTACGACAGCATTCTTCCCAAGCTGCAAGGATCCGCCAAGGGCGCTGCCGCCACTTGTACCGGCTATGGCAACAACACCTGCGGCGTGCGATGGTGGAACAGCACGTGGGATGGATGGAGTGGCCTGGAGGAGCAGATGAGCGTGCTCAGTATCTTCTCCGTCAACATGCTCCCCTTCACCAACTCGTCAGCTGCCCCATTGACTTCCAGCACGGGAGGCAATAGCACCAGCGATCCGTCGGCGGGGACGGATGACAGTTCCAAGGACAAGACGACCCTGAGCACGATCACGACGGGAGACCGCGCAGGGGCGGGCATCGTGACGGTGGTCTTTGCTGCGGTGTGGATAGGGATGATAGGCTGGCTGATGATGGGTTAATTAGTTTACTTGGGTTTGATTCTTGTGTAAATATTCGACGAATTGTGGTGCAGTAATACCCATAACCTATAAATACATCATAATTTCCATCGTTGCACCATCTCGCTCTGCTTTTTGCTCACTCTGCTCGACATCGACCATATTTGGCTACTGTTTTCTCTCCAAGTCCAGACTCCACCTATACTTTTCGGAACGAGTATCCGAATAGCAGCGTATAAGTGCTAGTGACGGTCCTATTAAAGATTCAAGAAGGTTTCACAGCTCTCATGCCGTACACTCCCCTCCACTGTGTCGTACACATCCAACACCGGACAAATATCAACCAATCAGAATGCATTGGATCAACACCCCTGCATAACTCTTTCACCCTCTCTACTCACCTCCCATCTAACCCCCACAACACACCACCGTCCTTCATTCTATCCTTCAAAAAGCCATATCCTCGATTCCACTCTCATCATGAACACCCAACACCAATTCCCCACCGTACACTGGCTCTGGGGAGGAGGTATATCATACGTATACGAAGTCCATCCTCACATCGTAGTCAAGATCCCCAAGTCGGGCGACTTCGAGAGGGAATAATTTCACAAAGAACTCAAGATCTACGAGACCTTCTCACAACATCCGCCCTGCCCTTCCATAATCCAATGCTTCTTCTACACCGACAACGGCATCTTCCTCGAATACATGAGAGGTACAACCCCCAATCAGCCACTAAAACAATAATACATACTAACCACATCATCAGATATATCCCTCTCTACCAGAATCCAAGACAACCATATTCGAAACCAGCAAACAAAACAAGTCACTGAAGTAAAAAGACTAGAGCCTTTATCCCTCCGAAAAAGATGGATGAATGACCTTGCTCAAGCTATTGCGTTCCTTGAATCACTTGATCTCGCCCATGGTGATCTACGACCGGATAATATCCTGCTCGATCGAGATCAGTTGAAGGTATCTGATTTTGACTGTACGGCGGAGATCGGGACGGAGTTTGAGGCTTGTATACCCCCGTATGGACGGTTACTTAACAGTACCGAATCAGATGAAGGACGATGCGGAACGGCTGGCTTCTTAGGCCCTCGCACGGAACTCTTTGTGTTAGGCTCTTTGTACTATCTCATTAACTACGGTTTTGAGGTATACGGGGATCGACGTCTCACTGAAGATCCTAAAAAGCATGGACCTGAAGTCGTGGACTTGTTGCAGAATATGGTATTTCCGGAGTTGAATGGTGGTGATTCGCTGATTGATGATATTATCGACAAGTGTTGGCATAATAAGTATGCTACGGTTGGGGAGTTGGCTGCATACACAGAGATGCTCGTTGATGAAGGAACCAATGAGGAAGGGAACAGTGCTGAAACGAGTGCTATTACCGAATCGCGGAAGATGTTCTGTCGGGATTTGGAACAACGTGGACTTCTTCGTCTGCTTTCTTCTGGTGAACCTGAGCACCTTGGGTTTGGGTTTGAGTGGTATAGATATAGTTCCTGATCGATGATCCCTGGATGTGAATTCATGGTCGGCTGAAGCTTAAAAAATGGGAATAATTGTCTCGGTGTCTTACTGTACACGGTTTCTGGGATCGTCTGAATCGAGTACTGAATCTGGAAACAAACCGGTTCAATATTCTAGGGGTGTGGTTTGTTGCTAGTTGAGTGTTGAAGGGAGAATTGGAATAGATCAACCCCCTGGTTTTCATGAACGATAAGGCTGAGTTCTGGTACTAGTAATCTGTGTGGACCCTGGCTGTGGGGTTACTACCAACTGGCGAAACCTAGCAAATCAGGTGAGAATATCATGTAGAAATATTGAGGCTGAACTCGGTTGGGTTCCGATGAGAAACATACCCCAGTCTAGTCTCCAAAAGCACTATAAATTCGTCCCCTTCCCTAAACATCCCCATCATCCATACGATTCTTAATTCTTATATATTCCTCCCCAGCCATCAACCCAATCCCGTCCCCAAAATGACCCTCCTCCACCACACCACATCTTATCTATACATATGCCTATACATATATCTATACCTACTCACCCACTCAACCAACCCCACTACTCCCATTCCCATCCCCCTCCCACACGAATGCCACCTCGCCCTCTCAATATCCCTAACCATCCTCGCAAGCAAATTCGGCGCTAGTCGTTCGGGCATAATCGTAGCCGGTACCTTTGGCGGTATCCATCTGATCAATGCCATTGATGATTGTATGACTGCGAGAGAAACTGGCAATCTGAAGGATGGGACTACGTGTGCGAAATCTGTTATTAGTGCTGGGATGTTGTTTGGGTTGGGTTACAATGAATATCGGCGGATTGGGGGGTCGTGGACCTCGAGCGGTATTTGAGTTAAATTGGGGAGGATGTGTTGGTTGATGAGGGTTATTGTGGGGGTTTGGGGTTGGGGGGATATGTGGGAAGGGGAGGGTTTTGTATTTTGCATCTTTTGTTTTGATGGGTTTTGGTTTGTCGGATTCTGATGCGGGGGTTAGATAGGATAGGTTGGCTTTATGCATGCATACTGGATTTATCCAGTCAGATTAGATCTATACAGATACTATGTTGGCTTTATTCGGATAATTGGAGCTATACAGTTACCTTGTATTTATATACCTAAGAAAAAGAAAAAACATAAACCCTCAGGCTACATCGCCCAAAGTCAGCGAAACCGGCTTCAAACAGCTTCGGCATGTACCGGCGGAAGAAACAACATGCATAAACAACATTCTATCGTCCAATCAAACCAGCGATCATCAAGGGCGTCGGACACAACAGACTCTGACGGAGTACAACGAACGCTGGGGGCCCAGGATTGGCCCGATCTGCAGTGATCTGCAATCGCGTTAAAAAACGCCGGTCCCCACCCGCATCCATTGCAAATTCCCTCAACGACGTCTTAACAGCATGCCGTCCGCAATGGCCAAACCCAGTGGCCATTTTCGAGCCGTCATTGTTGGGTGTGGGATTGCTGGTTTGACACTTGCGCTGTCTTTTGAACGGCTCGGAATCAACTATGCTCTGCTCGAAGCCCGTGAGTCTTTGGAGCCGGGGTACGGCGCTGGAGCTGGTGTAGGGTTGCAGCCTAACGGACTGCGCATCCTCGATCAGCTCGGGCTGTTGGAGGAGATTGAGGCGCATACGCTCCCCCTAGAAACATGGATGTCGTTGGATGCTAGCGGGAAGTTGCTCTCGACGTCCAGAGCGATGAGCATGTACCGTTCTAGGTAGGAGTGCTCTTAATCTGGGTACACTGTTGTATTCACTGTGTTCGCAGTATCGGATACAGCATCATGTTCGTGGAGCGTCGGAAACTTCTTCAGATTTTGTCAAGCTGTCTGAAAGAGCGGCAGTCGATCCGGACATCTGCCTGCGTCGAATCGATCGAGGAAAGCGAGGAACATGTCACAGTTCGCACATCGGACGGTCTCTCCATCACAGCCGATGTGGTCGTGGGTGCCGACGGGATCCGGAGTCGTGTTCGCAGTTTTATCGACAGGATGGTCCACAGCGATGCCGATGACTGTAGGTGGACCCTGCAGCTTGTCGCACCTGGCCATACTGATGAGTTGGTTCGAAGACATGTCCGTCAAACTTGCTGCCGTGTACGGCATGTCTTCTCCTACCAAGGGCATTGATCCGGGAGATCGCTTCACTGTCTATCGAGAAAAAGCAACTGTCGTTGGGTTTGCCGGCAAAGATAGTGTCGTCTTTTGGTTTGTCTTTGAGAGACTAGACCACTCCTACCCCTTGTCGAAGTGTCCGCGATACACAGCAATCGATGCCGACACTCTCTGCCAAACCGTCATCGATGTACAAGTTGCCCCGTTCGTGAAGTTTGCAGACCTCAACACAAATCGCATCGTCGCTACCAAAGTGGCCGCCGAGGAGGGCGTAGCCAGGACATGGCACACCCAGCGAACTGTGATCGTGGGTGACGCAGCACACAAGGTATGCCCTAGTCTGCTTCTTATCACCGGAAACCACAACTCATAGAATCTCCAGATGACCCCTGCCGGCGGTATGGGCGCAAACCAAGCCATTGAGTCGGCGGCCGTCTTAGTCAACGAGATCATGAAGGCTAAGAACGCATCTAACGGAAAGCCTTCGCGCAAATCGGTGCACTCAGCCCTGGCACGGTACGCAGAACAGCGCCTCCGAGAATCAGCCCCAGCTGTAGAGAGATCACGGATGATCTGCGAAGCGCTATTCTGTAATGAAGGACCGGCAATTCCCAAGCTCAGACAAGCGTTGAGTCTATCGGATGAGGAGTTGCTACCCCGAGTACTGGGGGAATTTTCTCGTGCACCGGTTTTGGAGAATCTTGCGCTTTCGCCTAGAGGAATCCAGTACGAGGAGATGGCTACCTTTTTGAAACAGAGAGCAATGGAGATCGGGATGGCAACTCACTAGAATGGCTGAAGCTGATATTGATGTTTAGAATAGAATACCATAGACCCAGTCTAGTTAATAATGTCACTGCGTGTTGTTATACTAGATCTTACTTATGAGGGTTGTATCCAATAATTCTGTCTAAGGTCAGAATGCTGTGTAGATATCTCGTGGCCCTAAAGCAAGCCTCGCCAGCCTCATCTGTGAAGAGCAACCAGAGCCACAAAAGCTTGGTTTCGAATGGAGGGCCAGGATGATGGGGTATATGCGTTTAGAGGCCATATCGAAGACATAGAACGGCTGTCAGCTTCAAAGGGGCCATTTCAAAGTGGTACTCACACTGATTGATAATTGGGGGAATGATTGACTCCGTAGGAAGAGAGCCTGTGGGTATTGAATCCCCAGAATTCCTGCCAAATGGACATAATGTCACGTATTCTCTGCGAACAAGACCGGAACATGTCATAGGCTCCTAATTGACCATATAGAGAAATCCCCCCCTGACGAATGATTGGAAAAATAAATACATCACAACAGAACATTGATAACTTTTGAATGATGTCGATCTATTCCTCTCAATGAAACACTTTCCTAGCATTTTTTACCTTTCACGGCACCTAATTCCGGAGGTACTGTCTATATCGAGTATGTATGTACATAATGTTGTTCGAATGCTATATAACTGTTTGGTGCATGATATGATCAAAACGGCCACGGCATCGTAGGGAATGCGGAGATGATCGCCGAGTAGAACGGCTTATTGCTCTTGCGATTCTGGCTGTTTCTCCTTCAGGCCTGTTTTGGTTTCAACATGCTCATCGCTGAGATGCTGCCGGGTGATAAATGCGCTAGCGACAAATCCACAGGCAGCCATAGCGGCATACAGAATCCACATGTTGCGGAGACTCCATGCGTAGGCATCTGCCACGGCACGTCTCTGCGTGGGATCCTGGACAGAGCGGACGGCATTGACGTTAGCTGCAGCCTCTGTTCCCGAGAACTCTTTCAACAAGGAAGAGGATAGACCAGCTGCACTGAGGCTGCCTTGTCGCATGTCCATGCTGTTTTGGAAGACAACGCCTCCAAGAACAACAGACATAGCCATTGCTACGTTGCGGATAAACCCAAAGGTTGCGGTTGCGCTGGCCGTACTGGCTTGAGAGACGTTGCTTTGTAAAGCGAGGAGAGGCGGGAAGAAGAGCATTCCACACCCCATACCTGCTGTGATTTGATAGCCGACGATCTTTCCAAGGGTAGAGGTAGCGTTGTAGTTGGTGAACAGGCCAGTCCCGAGGACGACAAGGGCAGTCCCAGCCCAGATGATCTCAAGGTAGCGGCCAGTACGGTGGATGACCAGCCCTGCAAAGAGACTGAACGCAGCTTCAGTCAACACAAAGGGAAGAATCAAGACTCCGGACCGGAACGGGGAGGCCTCTTTTGCTGACTGGAAGTAGAGGGGGAGATAATACTCTGCACCCAGGTAAGCCTGCATAGCGTTAGCTACATGAGTTTCGCGCCTTAAAGCAACTACAGTTGGGTTGACTCACAAAGCCATGCGTAAAATCCACCAGAAAGCAGGCAACGTTAGATCGCTTTCTAAAAACCCCCAGTGGCATCAGGGGATACTTAGCCAGACTCTTTTCACTGTAAATGAAGGCGAACGACATCAGACAGCCAAAGACAATAAGGCAAATCACCTTAGGGGAGCCCCAAGGGAACGTATCGCCTCCAAAGTCGAGACCCAGAAGTAGCAGGACGATGAGTGCAAGCATAGAGAAGCTCCCCCACCAATCCACTGCCTTGATCCCGGCCAGGACCGGAGTCTTGGGGTTATGTATATCCAGGAATGCATAGAGTAGCACAAAGGCCGTTCCGCAGACCGGAAGATTGATCCAGAATATCCATCTCCAGGAAACAGACTGAGTGAAAGCCCCACCGACTATGGGTCCCAAGGCACCAGCAATTGCCCATATAAACTCAATTAACCCGAGGAAAAGACTGCGAAGTCTGTTTCATGTCAGCTATGGGCGAGACAGCCGAAATTGAAGAATACTGGGCGCTTACCTGACGCTGAACAAGTCAGAGATGGTGATTGTGATCAGCTGAATGAGACCACCACCAGCAATGCCTTGGATACCACGGCCTGTAATCAGCATAGGCATGCCATTTGCAGTGGCACATATGATCGACGCTACAAAGAAAAGAGCGACGGCCGTGAGGAGAATTGGTTTTCGACCCCAGATATCCGACAGATTGGCCCAGATGTTGGAACTGGCGGCATTGGCGAGGAGATAAGCACCCCCTATCCATACATAGCCGGATGCCGAGTGCAGATCGGAGGAGATCGTGGGTGTTGCAGTAGCCACGATGGTCTGATCAAGCGCAGAGATAAAGAGCGCAAGCTAGAGGTTCATGAGTACGTGGTGAGGTAGGTCTCTGAGATCAACGGTAACATACCGACAGAGCGAGCATCGTGGCAAAGATCTTCCAGTTACTGCGAGTTTCGGGGCTTTCAGACCCGGACCCAGAGATTTGCTGTGACAGGACCCTTTCTAGATCGGGGGCATTGGATACTATATTCTCCGATGCGCACTGATCATGGCCATTCTCAAGCATGGTTCCGGACGTGGACTCCATCTCGATTGGCTGCTGAGCAGCACCACTCGAGTTCTCAGCAGAATCCAGCGCCATCGCAACCGTTATGACAGACAGATACCTCGATCCAGGCTAGATGACCGAGAGGGAGAAGTTGGGATGAGGCAAAAGAGAAAATCGCGGATTGAGTCAGAGCTGTTTGCTCCGTTTGTCCGTGTCTTGGCTGGCCATCCGCCGGTCGGCGCGCTTTTCCTTCATCTTCATCTTCGGTTTTCTCAAAGGATTGGATGCCTACATGGCCGCGTTGTTCAGTGGTGCATCGCAGCAGGAATTCATGGCAATATGATGCGGACAGTTGGTCCGTTGACATTGACAGGTGCTGGATCTCCACTCCTAAGCATGTTTGTTGACTGTGGGAACGGAATGCTAAATTACCCCAACCTCAAAAGGCATGCCATGCATGGGTACCATGACAGCAATTGAATGCAGCAACACCACGCAAAAGATCAAGTCTTTTTCTTGCGTTTGCAAATAACAAAAGTTCTCTGGGACGGCTGTTCCCTTCCCCGGATTCGTCTCCGTGATAGCGAGATTCTCGGGAATGCGGCCAGGGACGCGAGACGGCATATCTGCTAAGTCGAAATAGGCTTGAACTCCGCCTGCTCGTCGTCCCACAGACGCGATCCCTTCAGAGTCTATAGCCCTTGGGCCAATGCGGAGACCCTGAGTCCCTTCCCCAGCTTTCGGAGGTTCTCCGCAGACCATTGCATGGTGGAGTTAAACGGCACAAAATGACGCATTGGCGTTGCAGAATACTAGTTAGCCAACGTCTGAAGAATATGTCGTTATGGCTATGTTGTCGAGACAAATAATATTAATACGGCATCTGCAGCCTTGAGTGCATTCTTTCCTGCTATCAGTCTAGTTAATCCTACCGAGAGCGCAGGTACTATGTGGTCAAAGGCTTTCACTCTGTGTACTGCTGCAATTCAGCTTCACTCAGCAGCTGCGAAAACCTCTCTTGCAATTGATACAACCGTTGGACGGCTGCATGGCATGATCAATGGCTCTGCCCCGGATGTCGCTCAGTTTCTTGGAGTGCCCTTTGCAGCCCCTCCGGTGAACGAACTACGATTTGCGCCTCCTCAGACCAAGCCTGCAGAGGCGATCATCGACGCTACCAAAATCGGTCCATCTTGCCCGCAGTATCCATTGACTACAACGACAGACCCGTCCGTGTACACCTTTGACTCTCCCTGGCTGCAGCCATATGGAACAACGTCAGAGGACTGCCTAACGCTCAATGTTTGGACGCCATTGCATGCCGTGGATAAGCCGTTGCCAGTTTTGATCTGGATGTTTGGTGGCGGCTTTTACGAGGGTGGGCTACTGACGAATGGCTTTGATCCGAGTAATTGGATTCAACAGACCCAATCTCATATCGTCGTAGCTATCAAGTGAGTCGTCCTCAGAACGGGGGCACTTAGACCAGCTCTTCGTTGGCTTTAAGGTTACTGTGTCGCCTGGACTTATTGAACTGATCATGTATCACCAGTTACCGTGTCAATATTTTCGGCTTCCCCAACTCTGCCGGACTGGCTGAGATCAATCGGAACCTGAATCTTGGACTCCTGGATCAAAGGTTTGCTGTTGAATGGGTCCGAGATAACATCGCTGCCTTTGGCGGGGACCCTGCCAAGATGACGCTCTGGGGGCAGAGCTCTGGAGCAGCCAGCACGGACTATTACAACTATGCCTGGCCTGATGACCCCATAGTTTCTGGCTTGATTATGCACTCGGGGAGTGTGTTCGCCACCGGTGCCAGCGTGGATGTGGACCATACGAACTTTACATTCGTCGCTGAGCACATGGGCTGCGGCAATCTACAACCTCGCGAAGAACTGACTTGCATGAGAAACGTCAGTGCGGATGATATCATTCAATTCTACGAGAACTACACTCTATATTCCACTGACCCTACCCTAAAATTCACGACCATTGTGGACAATGTCACCAAATTCGATGATTACACTGCCCGGGCTTTTGCTGGAAATTATTCCAAATTGGTAAGCTGCAACCTGCATAGACTGTGAATCTCGCTAATGTCCTTGGTTTCTAGCCTGCTATATTTGGCACCAACGCCAATGAGGAAGCATCACTAGTTGCCTGGGCTGGTCCTGATGGACCGAATATGACCTACGTCCACGAGGAGACTGTGATCACGCATCTTTGTCCGGCAAACTATAACGGCCAGTACGTCTTCATGCCAAGTATTTTCGTTCAGTGCTGACCACGATGAACACATAACAGTCTTCGCTACAATACTTCGTCTCTGTCATTCCGCTACTTCAACACTGCGAACTTTAGCAACATCTCTCCTCGGCCTTGGGAAGGAGCCTACCACAGCTCCGAGCTTCCATTGCTATTTGGCACATACTCGCAGTACGGCGGTCCTGCCACGGCGTTTGAGACTGCCGTAGCATCCTACTGGCAGGATCTGTATCTTGCATTTATGCGGGACCCGGTGAATGGGCTACCGGGAATGGGGTGGCCTGCCTATCACCCCGATGGATACGCGATGGTGTTTGCGGTCAATGGGACCGTCTCGAGTCTCTTGCCGATGGAGTCGCTGGAAACCCAATGCGCGGGTATTCCTGAACCAACAATCTAATTTACTAGATAGCTGCATACTTACAAGCCAATGATGTTGGAAATGGTAGAATTAACCCAATGAATCTTGTTAGATACAGCAAGTGGGAATCCATCTCATTCAATGGCACCTTCTACTTTTGAGATTAACCCTTCATCTGGAATGACCCGATGGCGACGATTGCTCAGTGCCTTTCACTTCTGCCCACCCAAGGATCTCTCGGAAAATATTCACCCTTCATAGGGACCTGCATCACTGGTATAGGAGACATCCGACTAAAACCAGGGAATATAACCTACACATCCACCTATATAAGGTGCTTGCCCCTGCTCATGAGTTTACTCGTCGGACGCAAATCATCATCAGGCCTATCAAATTTATCGAATCCAGGTCTGGTCTTGCACATCTCCTATTCCCTACAATAGCATGAATATGCTTTCAAAATGTATCTCAAGGATGCTGTGTTCACTGCGAGAGTTCCTTTGGTAAAGGGAATTATCCTCTTTGTCTGGACATCACCCACCTTACATCCAAGGGCTTATTCGTTTGCTCTCTTTCACATCATTGCGCTGTGTTACCACGATAACCTTATTGCTTGAAACACAGTCAATTCTAACTCAGAAGTCCTGGATCGCACGCCCCACATCCTCGAAGACTACTTGGAGCAGTTGCTTGAAAGGGTATCCTGGGTAGGGGATTTTGCCCGGATGGTGGAACCTGATAGTTGGGGAACAGGAAGGGAGAGGGATTGGAGAAGACCTACATCTACATCAGCCCCAGCCCCTGCCTCCGGGGGGTCTAATTCCAAACCGGCTCTGTCAACTTCAACGCCGACACCCACAACCATAGCGAACCCCACAAATCAAAGACGTATATATCTCATCACAGGGAAGAGATACGCAACGGGGGCGACTATCCACACGGAGCGCAAAGTCTGGGGTCCAGAGGTGCAGTCTAATCACAGAGAGGAGCATCCTATTACGGTGCTGGGGGAGACGGTGTGGGTTCCTGTTTGGAGTCGACGGGTGTATTATGAAGAAGCGCACGATGTGCTGCTTTCGTATAAGGTCATGGAGCTTGTCTGGATTGAGGGGGATGATGGAGAGGAAGGCAGATTTGGGTTGGAAGAGTATGTGGGAAGGACGGAGGCGAAGGATGTGGTGAGGTTGGTGGAGGAACACTGGGATCATGCTATTGGTGTATTGGAACCAATGGTGTGAAGTGGAGGGTTACACAGCAGTCGGATCTCGTTAAGCCATAGTGGGTAGAACTTTGGAACAAGGGCCTAAAATATGCCCAGGGCAAAATAAGAGGCATCGGACTCGGACAAATCCAGGAACTGCTCACCTTGGGAGAAGTGGGCGACCGGAGAAAATACAGCCAGCCAATCCGCAGTACGGAGGGGTGCACTCGGATTGGGACTGGACATACTGTGTATGGATTGGTGGGATTGTACAAAGGTTGAAATGGAGTCATGGATGGGAGTTCTCTTCCTACAGCAAAAGCAAGGGAAAAACAGGATTTGATTGATCTGGTTGTGATACTCTGATCAGTGGCAGCAAGCTGGTATTGCTAAGTGTCGGATTCCGAGATCCTCATTTACAAATTGTCTGGTATACTATTCACCGAGCATAGGAAGTGACTGAGGTACTTTCAACAGTCCACTTTCAACTATACTCTCCCGAATAAACATCATCATCACCACACCACACCACACTCTCTATCATATACATCCCCACCCGCCAGCGGAGGGCTCACCCCTAACCAAGCCACATCCCATAAAAATACCCATAGAGACAAACACCTGTATACGCCCGCACCGTAACACAAACCCCCAACCCAACACCTATTTATTGTGTATCAAAAAGTTCCGGAACGAATCCCAGTGATCCGAGTCCGCGTATCTGCAACAGCCAGTCAGCACACCTATTAACCTCCAGCGCAAAACCAAAGAAACATACATATACACCATACTACTCCTCAAACTCGACATAAGGGTATCCGGATGCCATCTGAAGATATACATCACAAACGCCCACGTCAGGCTCGCAAAGACCGGCCACGCATGACCCTCGATCTTGGCTCTCGCGTCAGACGTAATCAATGATGAAAGCGGATGCATATTTGGCCGAACGGCGAGTTTTGCCATTGCGAGGACGACGCGCGCGAAGACGTAGATGACGATCTGTCCGATTACTTAAGTTAGCCCTCTCATCCTCATAATCTTTCCCCCCCCCCCCCCCGCCACACCCCAAAACTCAATCCAAGGATAGATAGATAGTAGGTGGCGTTACCTGCTGCGTAATACTCGTCTTATGTCTCCCAAACACAGCATACCCGCCCGCCAACCCCGCAAGGAAACTATCATATCGACCTTCCTTGCCCGGCGCAGCGAAATTCACGTTCCGGAGAACAATCATGACGGATTTCCAAATCAGTGCGAAGGTGGCTAGGTTTCGGGCGTGTTGGCGCGTGGCTTTGAATACGAGCTTGACTTTTTCGCGGATGCTGGGGTAATTCATTACATTAGTTAGTTTGGGTGGGTTGTGTATGAGGGATTGGTGGGATGCGAACTTACGTTCCGGATCGGAAGAGGAAAATCATTCTGCATCATAATTGAACATCCATATCAGTTTCTGGTTTCTATGCGATGGTAGAGAGGAGGTAGGCATACACCAGCGCATGCGGAAACCGCACTTTAGCTCCGTAGACAGCGCCATTTCGAATACCCTTGAGGAGAGAGAGGAGGGGGGCGATATCGGGGTTTGTGACGAGGGTGTCGAGATGGGACTGGATGGTGTTAGATTTATTGTGTTGACTATCACTGGAGGGAGTGCTACCATGAGGACATCCATCTTGTTCAGTGTCGGCGGACCTCGGCAACGGTCCGATGGGAATGCGGGGAGGGATTTACGTCCACCGGCGGGAATCCTCGAACGGGAGAGAGCAGCAGGAACCGGAGGAACTGCTCGCGGGCTTCATAGGGGATGACAGGCAAAGAAGCATAGCAGACAGTAGTGGTAGGAGGTGAGGTGGGGGAAGTCGGCATTTAAGGGAAGAAGAGCATCCGCGACGCTGCTGAAGATCCTCGGCATGTGAGAGTCGGCCCGAGCGGACGTCATGGTCACGTGGATGGTATAGATGATTTTGAGGGTGGAAGTAGGTAAACAGGTAGAAATGGAATGAATCAATCACTTTTGCATGTCTAAACATCAACCCGTATCAACAAACCGGTCCGAAGCTAGTCGCCTCGACCTTGGTCAGAACAAATCCAATCCCCCGGAAACGCCTCGTGCGCGAAGATAGATCGATAGATAGGTAGACAATAGAAGAAACACCAACAACAAGACTCAAATCTCTCAGGCCGTCTTGGTCCGCTTGCGTCCCTCGTCCTCGGAGATCTCATCCACATCCATCATGTCGGCATCCTCCTCATCCGACTCCACACCGGCGCGACGCTTCAGACCCTTCATCTTGCGGGTCTGCAGACCACCCAGATCCTGCTTACCCAGATGCACGCGACCGATCTTATCACCGATAGAATCCAGCCCAATGTTCTTCTTGAGCTTGATCTCCTCATTCGGCCTCTTACCCTGTTTCATGGCCTCCTTCATGACCTGGCTCTCCGCCTCCTGCATGCGTCCAACCTTGAAATCAAACTTAGGACCAATTTCATCCAACTCCACACGAGGCAACTTATGCCCACTGCGCTTCGTCCGCAACTTATACCAACGCAGATGAATCACCGGCGCCAGACCCTCCGTCGGCTCCTCCGCCCCAATCATCAACACATACTGCAACCCCTCCACATCAATCTTATCACTCGTCTCCCCCTTGAACATATCCACAAACATGCTCTTAAGCATAACATGCGCCGTCGAAGTCTCATCCTCCCAGGGACTCCCAGCAAACAACAGCATCGGCCGCATGCCAATCCCAATCTGCAGACTGTCCAAACCCTCCTCCTGACCCTCCCTAGGCAACAACAACAACTCACACATATCCAACACCTTGGTATTGAACACCCGAGCCAGCGTCACACAGTTCGGCCGCTTCTTATTGCTGCTTCCAAACACCACCAATCCGCACTCGTTCTTCTCGGCCAGAAACTCCAGACTCTCGGCATTCTCAAACGGCCGGATCTCGTTCTTCTTGTGGAATAGAATCGAGTTCGGGCGAGTCAGCGAGTGGATCGTCTTCAGAACCGTGTGCAGCGGTTGCGGGCATTTCGACCCGTGCAAGAGAAGCGTGCGTTTGGGTGGCTCGATTAGTTGGGGCTCTTTGGCTTTGAGGATGCGCGCCGTGCGCGCGTTCTTGGGTTTGCTAGAATTCCATTAACTATAATTCTCGAAGTATCAAGAGTCAAATAGGTATGGGGGTACGTACACTTCCCGAAGCATTTTGACGTGGTAATAGGGTGGAAGTTGAGGAGGTTCAGATTTGCTCGAGCCGATTCGGAAAATCGAAAAAAGGCGGAGCGAAAAGTTTTGGCGGAAGGGGCTTGGCGTCGCTTATCGATAAGCTTATTCTCCACATGCCAACATTGACATACAAAATAACAGTCAGGATGTCTGTACTTGATGTATTTGAATGGTTGGCGGGCTGTCATTCTACATATATCCATACAGTATATGCACTTACAAGGGCGTCCTTGTTGGAGCAGTCCTGCACCTATCCACAGGTTTGTCCCTTCTCATCTCGTCTGCATAGCAACTACCACGTCGGTCTTCAGGGGTAGGCAAGAAATAAATACTAGTACTTAGAAAGTACATCCCTGTTATGGTCACTACGCTACGTAGACTCACTGTAGAGAAGTTGAACAAGCTAATAAATTGTTTTAATCTGGTATGTATGTGTATCACGGTCTAATCTACTCCAGGCGCAGCTTTTCAAACTCCCGGATCTGCTCCTCCAACCGAGCAGCCTCGCTCTCCGCATCCAGAAGCTTCTTCTGCTCCGCCTCACGAACCTCCGGCTTGGCCTTCTCCCAGCCGGCGCTGGTGATCAGGGTCTGCTGGCGACGCACAGTCTCGCGCGCCTTCTCCAGGCTGGCCTTGGCCTTGCCCTCCTGCTCAAGAGCAACCTCCTTGGACACGCGGAGGTACACAGCCGCCTGGGAGCTGACGGGAGCCACCACGCAACCCGAGGGAGGAGCGGTGGTCTCGGGGCCGAGCACGCTGAGGTCGCCCAGGGTCTTGCCACCGAGAGACTTGATGCTGGTGAGCTCCTCGGACACGGTCTTGTGGCTGACGGCGTCGTAGGTGTGAATGACGATGTCACCCTTGGTCTTGATCTCGTACTGGGCGAGGATCGACCGGACGGCCTTGGAGGTGTCGAGAATCAGCTCGTAGGCGGTCTCGGCCTCGACGTCATCGAATTCGGGGGTGTACTCGGGGTACTTGGCCTTCATGATCGAGATCGTGGCGTCTCCCTCGCGGCGGGGCAGACGCTGCCACAGGTGCTCGGTGACGAAAGGCATCATCGGGTGGATGAGGGTCAGGGCACCCTCCAGTGCGGTGTAGAGGGTCTCCTTGGCGGACTGCTGCGCCTCCGCAGAAACCTCAGGAGCCAGAAGGAACTTGGAGTTCTCGATGAAGACGTCGCAGAGCTGGCCATACCAGTACTGGTAGACGATCTGGGCCGACTGGGAGAATTCGCGCTGCTCCAGGGTCTCGTTCATCTCCTTGGCAGCCTGGTTGAACTTGTGCAAAATCCAGCGCTCAGCGAGAGACTCCTTGCCAGTCTTCTTAGGGGACGCCTGGGGCTTGAAGTCATCGCCCAACTTGCCGAGCACGAACTTGGTAGCCTGGTAGATCTTGTTACAGAAACGGCGGTAACCGTGGATGACCTGGATGTCGAACGCAATATCACCACCTAATTGGAGCAGTCAGTAGAGATCTTTTAGCTTGGAATGCAGAATAACCTACCACCGGTAGTGTAAGAGACCAGGGAGAAGCGCAGAGCGTCAGCACCGCACTCGGGGATACCCTTGGGGAAGGCCTTCTTCTGGTACTTGGTCGCAGCAGCAACCTCCTTCTCGGCCAGGTTACCGACGAGCAACTTGGCGTGAAGGTCCTGGAGCTGGATACCCTCCATGACATCCAGCGGGTCAACAACATTACCCAAGGACTTGGACATCTTACGACCCTCGGAGTCACGGATCAGGGAGTGGCAGTACACCTCCTTGAAGGGCACCTTGCCGGTCAACTTGATACCCAGCATGATCATTCGGGCAACCCAGAAGAACAGAATATCCCAGCCAGTCTCCAGGACGGAGGTGGGGTACAGGTTCTCCAGGTCGTGGGTCTGACGGGGCCAGCCCAGGGTGGAGAAGGGCCACAGGCCAGAAGAGAACCAGGTATCCAAGACATCAGGGTCACGGATCAGGGTGAACTTCTTGCCAGGGAACTTGGCCTCGGCTTTCTCACGGGCAGCCTCCTCTGTGCGGCCAGTGACCCAGAGGTTGCCATCGCTGTCATCGCCGTCCTCGCCCTCAATCTTCACGAAGTAGGCGGGAGCCTGGTGACCCCACCAGAGCTGACGGGACAGACACCAGTCGTTGATGTTCGTCATCCAGCGGTAGTAGCTCTTCTCAGCAGACTCGGGCTTGATCACGATGTCGCCCTTCTCAACGGCCTCGATGGCCGGCTTGGCAAGGCTCTCCATCTTCATCCACCACTGGGGCTTGAGAATGGGCTCGATCACGTCGTTGGACTTGGCGCAACGGGGGATCTTCATGGGGTTGTTCTCCCACTTGACGTACAGGCCCTTCTCCTTCAGGAGCTCAATGACCTTGTAACGCGCGTCGAAGCGCTTCATGCCAGCGAAGGGACCACCCTTGCTGTTGAAGGTACCGTCGTCGTTCAGCACCGATATGAACTCGAGGTTGTGGGCCTTTCCGCGGTTGAAATCGTTAAAGTCGTGGGCCGGGGTGATCTTGACCGCACCGGTACCGAACTCGGGGTCGACATCCTTGTCGGCGACGATGGGCATCAAGCGATCGACGAAGGGGTGGCGAGCAAACTTGCCAATCAGGTGCTTGTAGCGCTGGTCGTCGGGGTGGACAGCGATACCACTGTCACCGATCATGGTCTCCGGACGAGTGGTGGCGATCTCGATGCGCTCCTTGGTGCCATCGATTTCGTAGCAGAAGTGGGTCAGCACACCGAACTCGACCTTCCGCTCGTAGCCGGGCACGTCGAGGAGGGTACGGCCATCCACCTCCTTGTTCTCGACCTCAAGGTTGGAGAGAGAGGTGTTCAAAGCCACACACCAGTTGACCAGGCGGTTGGCACGGTAGATGATGCCCTCCTCGTGGAGGCGGACGAAAGTCTCCGTGACGGCGGCCGACAAGTTGGGGTCCATGGTGAAAGCCTCGCGAGTCCAGTCGAAGGAACCACCCACGCGGCGCAGAGCGTTCTTGATGTTGGCGTGGTACTCCTTCTTCCAAGCCCACACGCGGTCGACGAGAGCCTCACGACCCAGGTCGTGGCGGGTCTTCTTCTCCATCTTCCAGAGCATCTTCTCAACGACACTCTGGGTGGAGATACCGGCGTGGTCCATACCGGGCAGCCACAGAGTGGTCTTGCCCTTCATGCGCTGCCAACGGATCATGGTGTCTTGGAGGGCGTTGGTGAGGGCGTGACCCATATGCAGGGCACCGGTGACGTTGGGAGGAGGAATGGGAATGACGAAGTAACCTTCCGGCCTGACCTTGCCATCGGGACCGAACTCGGGCTGGAACAGGCCGCGTTCCTCCCACCATTCGTAACGGCCGGCCTCAATCACCTTGGGGTCGTACGCATCGGTTGTCTTCTCCTTCTCGATCTTGGGCTTCTTCTCAGCCTTGGGGGCGGCGGTCTTAGCAGCAGCAGCCTGCTTGGCCTGCTTCTCGGCGAACTTCTTCGCCTTCTCGGCCTTGCGACGCTCACGCTCCACTATGATCACCAGCGGTGGTCAGAATATGATGCCAGGAGGGCATAGTCCGGACAATTACATACATTCCTTCTCGCTCTTCACCTTCTGGCCCTCGGCGGGCTGGGTGACGGCACTGGCATCCTGGTTCCGCAACTGATCGTCGGCCTGGGGAGGGACATCGGCGACGGGAGCCTTGGGCTCACCAGCTAGAGTAAGCAGGACATGGTCAGTGAGTGAACATTGCGGGGGGAGGGACGATAAGGACAAAGGACGTACTCGGGTTTTGGGGAGCAGAGGGCTGGGCCATTCTGGAAAACGGACGATATAAGGAAGGGGGAGGAGGGAATCTCCAGGGCGCCGATCGCGCCACGAGTCGACGGATAAGTATCTTGACACCGGTGACTCAAACGGCGATAGAGAGGAAGAGGGGGAGGGGTTGGGTCGTTGTGCGAATGCGGGCAATTAAATTTCCTGGCGCAGAGCAAAGAACGGAACGAATCAGAGCATGCGGGTGCGGGGCCTGAGGACACCGGGCGGTGGAGAAAGCCTGAGGAACTGGTGACTGGGTCAACTGTAAACTAACTGCTAACTGCTCTCTGGCTGCACCCGTCTAGACTGGCCACAGAAGTTGGTGCTGCTCAATGCTTCCTTCAGTTGTCTGCTGTCGAGACATTTATGCAGCATCCCGCGGAGGATCTGGCGCAATTCGAGTGAGTCACGGTCACGTGAGGTCGAGTCATCATGGCTATCCATCTACTCCGGATATCGACGCTTATGGCAGGAAGACTTCATGGTGCATTGTAAAGCTTGTAGAGCATATGCATCTTCTCTATGTAGCCTCTCCATCCAGGCCAGGAGGCAGGTCTTGCCAAACACACGCTCGGGGAATCACCAAGCTCAAACTAGGATTGGCATGCAGATTATGAGGGGAAAGAGGTAGATTGAAATGCAACGCGAAAGCATCAAAGAAATCCCTTCAACACCAGACCAACTAGTCACGCGAAAAATCGGAAACGGAAAAGGCGCAGAGTATGGGAAGGTTATATGGTTACGCAGGTTCAAACAGGAGCGAAGATCCATCCCACTCTAAACACCGTCTGATAGATTCCACTCACTGGGTATGCCAAGAGGTTCGACTCGAGATATATTAGCGCGTATGTCAGCTGTCGTCATCATCATCTCCGTATGCCATAACTCATCGCACCCACGGCGCTTTCATTCAGGCCACGACACCCCGGTTCGTCGGCACAATGTTTGTGATGTTTTCTGTATTAGACCCAGCATCCCATCCGACCCAGAGTAACTCAACATTCGAAAGAGATATCACATCGGAGAAATGACACTGGAAAGGCTCGCAGTAGCGACGACATCTGTAAAGGTATGGTTGGTTCTTTCCACGGCGCGGACTTGTTTATGCGGTCGCGGTGTTGTTTCGGGCAGCCTGGGCCTCGGCGGCCCGCACGGGGGCGAAGTAAGGATGAGCCATGGCCTCCTGGGCAGTAAGACGTTCCTGGAACGGGTTAGCTGGTGAATTGCGAGACCGAGGGATATTTCATACCGCATGGTCGTATCGGAGAAGTTTGTCCAAAAAGTCAATCGCTTCATCGCTGACGAAGCGCTGGTTCTCGGCATTCACAAACGAGGGCCAAGGCTTCCGGGGGAAGCGGGAGAGGATCTCGTCGTATTGAGGATCCAGTTCAATCTCATACCTGTCCAAGTACTCGAACAGCTCCTCGGTACCGAGCACCTTGGCGATTTTCACCAGCTGGTCGGAGTTGCTGTTGCCGTGGAAGAAGGGCTCCTTGCGGAAAATCATGGAAGCAAACATGGCTCCCAGAGACCACATGTCCAAGGAGTAGTCATATTCTTGGAAATCCACCAGCAGCTCGGGACCCTTGAAGTACCGCGAAGCGACGCGGACGTTGTATTCCGTGCCCTTGTGGTAGAATTCGGCAAGACCCCAATCGATAAGACGGAGCTAGTTACATTAGCGACGCCTTTCGAGCAGATGGGGGGGGGAGAAGAACCTACCTTGCGCTTCTCGTGATCGATCATGACATTGTGAGGCTTGACATCACGGTGCATGATGCCCTTGCTGTGGCAGAAATCCAGGGCCTTCAGGAGCTCGAAGACATAGTACCGGACATCGTAGTCGGAGAACCGAGGATACAGGGTACGGAAATCCGTGTTGTTGACATACTCAAATACCAGACTCGGGGTCTTGCTCTGACTGTCGCGAACCACGTCCAACAAAGCGACGACGTTGGGGCCACCGGCCAAGTTCTGGAGGATCTTGATCTCACGCTTGATCTTCTTCTTCTTAACCGGCTTGAGGACCTTGATGACGCATTTCTGGTAGTTGACGACGTTAATGCCCTCGAAGACTTCGGAGTACTTTCCACGACCTGGAGGAATACTGGTTAGCACGTAATTTACACGGATGATGCGATATTCGGCAGGCGGTTTGGATGGCGCGGGCCGTATTTCGCCTTACCAATCTTGCGAACCACCTCGTAGTTCTCCAGAACACCCCAGGAAATGTTCACACTGTCATAGTCCCAGTAGGACCGGGGCATGTGCTCGTTGACATCCGCATAGACGCGCGCCATTGTGATGGCGGCTGGAAGGCAGGTTCAGGATCAGCCCACAATCAGATATCGATCGAGATAAAAAGCGGCGGGGTAGGGAGGGGGGCGAGGAGGCAAGTTCGCGAGGTAGGATTGCGAGAGGAGATGGACAGACAACAGCAGCTGCAAGACCAGGAGTGGCGGGGGCCCGTGTCAAGAAGGCAGCCGTGCTATCGTCCAAGCAAGCGATGGGCAGCGAGTATAGTCTTTGGGATGGTGATCAGAATGGCTAGTAAGAGCGAGTCGCTCCGCCTTGGTGGTCACGGGACCGGTTTGCTCGGAGGCTAGATCACCTGCCGGCCCGGATCAACTCGCGCTCCGGCCGATTTCTCGATGGCCGTTCTCGGACAGGTTCCTCGGTTGCTGTCTGGACGAGTCTTGCGATCCCCAACTCGTGTTCCCTCTGAAGTCAATGCCGGGCGGGCAGTGAAAGCCCTTATAATGTTTTATGATTTGAATCTTCCGTATGGCTCGGATGATCCCGAGATTGCCCCTACCTTAAGCTTTCTTGCAGAACGTGCGTCATGTTTCCCGGCACAAGACCCGATCAGCGAGCAACCTCTCTTTCCCACGACCACCTTGAAGCGCTGACCTGTAACAGTTGGTTACACCACCGTCGCTCTCTCCCAAACCGTTAGCGGAAAGCTGCCTCCGAATCCTACTCCCCCACCAGCCCCGAAGAATGCGCCCAAAGGCCTCACGCTCCTCACCCGCCTGAACCTGACCCTCTCCGATCCGACGCAGAATCAGCGACTGACCAGCCTGACTCAGGCTTATGACCTGGTCGCGCTGCGGCCCACCAATGAAAAGGCGCTTCTGAATGCCTGCACCAACCTCGACTGCGACATCATCTCGTTGGATCTCTCCGTGCGACTACCCTTCCACTTCAAGTTTAAGATGGCCTCCGCCGCGATCTCACGGGGGGTACGGTTTGAGATTTGCTATGGGCCGGGGGTCACGGGGAGCGGTTTGGATGCTCGGCGAAACCTCATCGGCAACGCGATGTCCTTGATCCGTGCCACGCGGGGTCGAGGCATCATCGTGTCCAGTGAGGCCCGGCGGGCGCTAGCCATTCGGGCACCGTGGGATGTGATCAACCTGGCGTGTGTATGGGGACTTTCACAGGAGCGCGGCAAGGAGGCGATCTGCGAGGAGACCCGGAAGGTGGTGGCGTTGGCCAAGCTGAAGCGGACCAGCTGGCGGGGGATTATTGATATTGTGGATGGGGGGGATGTGGTCAAAGTCGATGCTAAGACTGACGTATCAGCCAAGTCACAGGCCAAGGACGATGCCAAGGGTGATGGCCTGAAGAGGAAGGCTTCCGTCGGATCGGAGCAAACTGGCGAGGAGGCGGAGAAGCCGTTGTCCAAGCGGGAGATGAAGCGACGGGCCAAGAAGGCTCGGTTGGAGGCTGCTGGGGCGTGAGATGGCCGTGAACTCTATGTGTTACCGGAGTAAGGGCGATCTCGGATCCACATTCTTGCCATCGTGGCTGCAGACGCAGCAACCTGATGCGGCTATGCCAGCCCTGAGTCAGACTGGAAGTCTGATACAGTCAGGGACTCGAGCTCCCATCCATCTGAGCTGATACTGCAAGGCATATTACTTAGGTATGCTCTTGCTGCTCATCACGCAGTGATTTCCAGACCGGCAGCCGTAGGCACATGGCTATGCCAGTATACCATCACTAGTTCTACTTTGTGTGAACCCTATATAGCTATCACATTTGAGCAACACAAGATATACAATCAATCTCAATCAGATAACGAATCAATATCATGCTCACAGCACAACACATTATACATCCAACCAATACCTAACATCTGCCTCCACCAATATACAGCAAATCAACAAAACACCATGACAATCAAGTATCAACACAAGACTAATCATGAACCCAAACGTCCTTCTTATACCCCAACTCAAAGCCCTCTCTCTCCGCATTTCTCGCACTCCCACCCCCGACCCCCGTCGCCAGCGTCACAACCTTCAACCCTAATTCCCTACACTTATTCAACCTCGCCCGGATCAGGGCCCCATGAATCCCCTTTCCCCGATACCCAGGCACCGTACTATCCAAATACAAATGCCCAACTTTCTCCCCTTCCCCTTTCCCTTCAGCATCCCCACCATCCCCCGTCTCAAGCACCCCCAACGCCGCACACCCAACCACCCTCCCCCCATCCACCGTCCTCGCAACAAACAACCCCGTATCGGCCCTCACCGTCGCCAACCTCGCCAACAAGCCCAACAATTCCTCATTCCTTCCACTATCCCTAAACCCCGCTACCGAGGCGGCAATAAACTCCTCCTTCTGTTCCTCGGTGGGGTTAACCAATTCCGTAACTTCTATTCCCTCCTTCTTCACTCTATCCCCATCCCCATCCCCAACCCCCAAATCACCGCAAGATGAAGAAAAAACATAAACCCCCACCACCCCCACAACCTTATACCCTCTCACCCGCAGCAACACCTCCGCAGACTCATGCGCCGTCTCGGAGAGGTGAATCTCCGGATAAAGGCCTATCTCGGCGTAGATGATTTCGAGGGTTGATAGGTCATTAGGGCTGAGGGGGGATGGAGATGGCGAGACCGACGACGCGATTGAGTTTCCCGGTGTTGGTTGGGGAGGAGCGGATTGCGAGGCCGGTGGTTGTGGTGAGGGGGTGGATTAGGATTGGGGGGTTGTTATTGGATGTGGTGAGGGTGGTGAGGGCGTGGGCTTGTTGGGCGTAGTGAGTGCATTCGGATTGTTCGAGGAGGGGGATTGGGATTTTCATGTTTGATACTAAAGTTAGTTGAGTAGTGGTGGTTGTGGAGGTTAAGTAGTAATATTTAGATGGAGATGGGGATACTTAGTACTGTAATTTGAACGTCTG